GGTAGACATTACGGAGTAAATATGAATTGCTGTGCAACTTCGGAATGTATATAAATATATGGCTATTTTTGCTTCGGAGATGGTTGATAGCGGAATGAGACTGATATAGATGATATTAATATAAATGGAATATTAATTGTATTCAATGCTTGATGATGCTGTGTGTTATTAGTTATTGTCACAGATTACAAGGTGGCTTGGACTTTGGAGAATCTGATTCCAATCCTATCCAACTTTAACCGCAGTTGGTTTAGTGTGTCACTAAATGCGGCTTTTGCAGCTTAATCTGTGCCAAACTGCTCTGAATGCAACTCTATTAGCAACCAACTATTTCTTCTGGTTAAAAAAACTCTATTAAGTCTCTTCTACACACTCCCCTTCCTATCATAATTCATCACAATGTCACAGAGCCAGGCCTCTCAGTTCTCTGAGCACTATTCCTCATCATTTTTGGAGGAAAACCTGTTGGATAGCCCCTGCTTCCTTCCATCTGATGGGTCATTCAACCCTTTGCACAGCCCAAACATGCCAAATCCCAGCTCTAGCACTAATTTCACACAGCCAGTGCCTCCGCCTCCTATTCCTGAGACACTGGAACGCGTTGGTCCTGCAAAGAAGAAGATCTATATCCTTTGGACAGAGATGGTGAATGATGACTTTGTCACATGGTGGTTGAAGACTGAGTATGGAAGTGAGATGAAACGGAATATCTTCAAGGGTAAACACCATGCAGAGTCCTGGGACTATTTCCATCAAGTAGTTGCTATCCAGGATGGATCCCCTAAGGTTATGTGTAAGAAATGTGACCATATCCTTGCCCATCCTGCTGACCGCCACCGTGGAACATCTACTATGAACAGACACTATTCACAAGGGATCAACTGTCAGAAATTGGCACCCCAATCGCAGGATATTCGAAGGCTGATAAATAATGGGGTATAGATATCTCTATCTTTCATCTGAACCTCTACTTATCTTACTAAAACTCCTTATTAGGCACACCGAGCTCTTCAAAAAGCATCTTTCACTCAACAAGCATGGATGGAGAGGATAATTACCTTCATAACAGCCTCACGTCTACCCTTTCAACTTGTTGAGCATCCAGAATTTCATGCCCTCATTGAAATGGCCCGGCTTGCTCCATCCTTTCCTGAAATCCCTTCTGCGTACACGGTCCGCCGGAATCTTCAAGAATTGGTTGAAGAGCGTCAACATACTCTGATTCAGAAGCTCCCAGAGGGCGCTAAGCTCTCTATTGCACTGGATTGCTGGACCTCACCCTTTCGCCAGGCCTTTATGGCAGTAACAGGCTATTTTCTTGATAAAGATTGGAATTATCGCGAGATATTACTTGGCTTTGAACCCCTACATGGCTCACATACTGGGTCTTATCTGAGCACTGTTCTGTTTGACCTTCTTGAGAAGTATCACATTACTGATCGAGTATTAACGGCTACCACTGATAATGCGTCTAATAACTCTACATTGATGGATAGCCTGCAACAGTCCCTTACATCTCTTGAGCTACCTAACTATATACCAATTATTTGCATGCCATGTATCGCACATGTCATCCAACTAAGTTTAAAGGAGCTACTTGGTGAGATGGAAGCAAACCCATGTAATGATAGAGAAGAGATGGAATGGACTGAGAGAAGGAATGGGGCCCAGCAAGAGAACAGAGAGATTGTGAATACTCTAAATAAGGTATGAATCTATCTCTTCTATAATCCTAATTTCTAATCTCTAATAATTTTTTAGGTTCGACGGCTAGCAGTCTTTGTCAATAAAAGCCCCCAGCGACGAGAGAATTTCATGGATCTTCAGACACAAGAACCTAAGCTTGTTCCTATACAAGATGTCCAGACACGCTGGAATTCAACATATCTCATGCTTCGGCGGGCCAAACGACTTCAGTCTACTTTTGATGAGTACTGCTCTGAATACGGCCATCCTGATCTAAAGCTAGATAGGGATAAATGGCGACAAATTGACTATCTTTTATCAATCACCCAACCTTTTTTTAAATTTACAACCTCTCTCTCGAAGACTACTGAGGTCACTATCCATAGTGTCTTTGCAATCTACAACACCTTATTCACTCATCTTGAGAAATCTAGGGCACAACTGGCGCAAAAGAAGGTTGGCTGGAAGAAGGTGATGCTGTCAGCATTAAAGGCTGCAGAGGTAAAGCTCTCAGAATATTATAGGAAGACTGATGAGATTGAGGGTGGTCTCTATGCAATTGGGACTATCTTAGCGCCACAGAACAAGCTAGAATTCTTTTCAACAAAGGACTGGGAGCCAAACTGGCAGCCACGATACCGGAAGGCCCTTGAGGCTTACATTCAACCTTACCAGCAGCGCTATTCAGAGACACAGTCTATATCAGCTGCCCGGTCTTCAGCAGAGGGTATCTCTGATGTAGATATCCTTGTGACATCAGCCGCATCTCTACAGCCACAAACAACTGCTAATGATGAGCTTTCACGGTATCTTGGAAGTGGTAAGCTTATCCTCTATATCTTCCTTCCCTGATATTAACATCTATAGGTACTCAAATTGTGAATCCACGGGTGTACTGGAGAGATCACCAACATGAATACCCCATCCTGGCAAGCGTTGCCCGAGATGTTCTTACAACACCAGCCAGTGGTTCTGGTGTTGAGCGGTTATTCAATTCTGCTCGGGACATCTGCCACTACCGCCGGGGATCACTAAAACCGAAAACAATCAAAGAGCTGATGTTGTTTATGTGTACAACAAAGTTCAATATGGAATCCAAGCAGCTTTCCCTAATGGAAGAGTACTTTACTACTCAAGAAACACAAGCAGCAAAGGAGGAAAAAGATGCTTGGAAAAAACAGGATGAATTTAACCCAATTAGTGATGATGAGGATGAACTATCTTCTGCTGGAGCCACATCTCAAGTTATTCATCCTCCTAGTGAGCGTGCACTTGGGAAGAGAAGGGCTGAAGCTATATCAGATGAGTCGGGTCCTTTACTTGGATTAGATGAAGCTGATGAGATTCCTCTACCTGATAATAGCTACCTGCAAGGTGATAGTAGTACTCAGAGGCGCTCATCAGGGCGGCTTCCAAAGCGCTTGAGACGTGAAGATTTTGTGTATGAATAGTTATCAATCTAACAGACCAACGAATAAAAAAAAAACCCCCATTTTAATCTAAAATTTGCTTATATGATATCTACATGAGTATTCATCTAATATTTCAACTAATCCGTAAGCAAAATACTTGAAAATACAGATAGATTTGCATAAAATATGCATATCACAGAATTTCTATGTTTGTCCTGTTTGTAGGACCGCCGGTCTTAACTGGACCACTGTGGTGCGGTCCTAAAAATCCAAGGACCGCACTGCGGTCCTTAGGTGTCGCACCAAAGACCGGACCACAACGGTCTGGTCCGGTTTGGTTTGCGGTCCTTGCGGTCCCATTTCGAGGCCTAGTGGAGGCATAAAACCCTTGTGCTCCAGAGACGCAGACAGGAGGGGAAAGGGGAAGAGAGTGCCTGGTCTTTATGAGGGAGAGATGACAGGCTTTTTATAGGTGCAATGGTATTCCTATCGATGGCAGGCGGTAGGGCTCGGCAGAAGCGCGGTTCAATGGGAGCCGTTTCTGGCGCCCTGCTAACCGTCACAACAGACACTCCGTATTATAATTTCAATATAGAAGATGTCTACAAACAATCCAAAGCAATATTTTTATATTTGATCGCCGGTAAATTAATTCCATAAATTACAAAATAGAAATTAAAACACCGAATCAACTGCCCTAGTTCCTCCCCTCATGCTCCCCAACCTTCTCCCCCGAATCCTCATCCTCCTTCGCAAACCTCTCAAACGCACTCCGGTTATGACTCGCATGCTTCCAATTTCTCGCATCTCCCCTCGCCCCCGGATCATTCGCCCCCTGTGTCCTCTTTCCCTCTACCCCCGCCCCAATACTGTTTCCCGTTCCCGTGATTACCTCGCCCGTAGCACCCACGTCACGGGTGGATCGGGGCAGATCGGTGGCATTGTCGGCTGCGAGGGCGGAGGTTGGCTCGGCGAGACCTTCGTTGTCGAATTGGGAGTTTTCGGAGCGTTGGTCGGGGCGCGGGACGGAGGGGATGATATTTTGGATGCCGGCGTTGTTGGGGATTGTGGTTCCCGAGGGGGCCATTTCGGAGAGGGTGCCGCCTTGGTGAGGGTTGGACATATTGGTTTGTTTTGTGTTGTAAATAGAGTAGATGGTTGTAGTTGTGGTGGTGGTGGTAGAATATGGTATGCGGAAGTATATGTATGTAACCGCAGATATATCGCAAATCAAGAATACAAAATTAACAAAAGATTCTTTTCTCTACATCAACTAACACAACGCCTTAACGCCTCTGTATATATATCCAAACCATCTTGTGATGTCACAGTGTAGTTGCTGCTTCCCTTGGTCCTCGCCTGGAACATGATGAGATGATGATATCAGTTTGGCCACACCTGCAACCGGGCAGAATTGGGAGAGGACAAGTATTATGGAGTTATCATACTGGTTTGTGATCATGTTTATACTGGAGAAGGGCAATGAAAGTAGTGGTTAGGGTGATGTTATTCGCCAGGGTTTTGATGAACCTGTTTTGGTAGGGGCTCGTGTGGTGAGTTATGCATGTATTATTAAGATGCACAAAATGGGATCCGAGAAACATACGAGGCAATACCTAACGATGATTTGGAAGATTGCCGCAAGGCATCAAATTACATCTCATATTATATTATTTCAGCAGTAACATTGTATCAACTATTTTAACCCTTCCAAAGGAGTGACAACAAACGAACGAAAAATAAAAAGATATTATACGGTATTAGAACCAAGCTTCTACGATACAAAACACAACCAATCAATCCTGATGGTCACACTTAAAGAGCGTAAGCCAACACACCAAGTAATCCACAAACGGCAGTGACAATGCCAGTGCCGGGCAGGAGCTGGGTACCGGCACCAGTGAACGCAACACCAGCGCCAGGAGTGCCATAGGTGCCGTGGAAGTGAGTACCGTCAGCACCGCTAGGGTAGGCAGACGACGAGGAAGCGTGCAGCTTAATGGAGCTGTGCGAGGAGGAAGGAACGTGGACGGGGATGACGTTGTAAGTCATGGGCCCGTGGACGCTGGAGGTCGAGGTGGCCACGGGAACGTGGGTAGCAGAGGTGCTAGTCGGGACCTGAGTAGAGGCCGGGATGAGGGCTGAGTGTGCAGAAGACGTGTGAGGCGCGTTCGCCATATGCGCAGCGAATGATGTGTGAGGAGCGTCGACAATGTGCACTGCAGAAGACGTGTGAGGCGCGCTAGCCACATGCACAGCAGACGATGTGTGAGGCACATTGACGACGTGCACCGCGGAAGTTGTGTGAGGCGCGTTAGCCACGTGCACCGCAGAAGACGTGTGGACAGCATGAGCGGTAGAGGAGGTTTGAGCGACGTGGGCCACGGCAGGCGTGGTAGCCGGGGCGTGGGAGGACGACGACTGTGGCGCGTGAGCGGCCGGGTCAAGGCCGATGGGGTGCGACGCGTGCGAGGTAGGAGTATGCTTGTGCTCGTGCTCGGGAGTCACAGTCTTGGTGATAGTGTGGACGATATGCTCAGTCTGGGTCGAGCAAGTCGGGACAGCTGAAGGGCCGTGGTCTGAAGGCCGCTCATACGAGCCCTCGCTGAAGAATGGGTCGCTCTCAAGGCTGGCCACATCCTCTCCAGGACGGTAAGCACGAGCAGCGTGAGCCATGGGAAGGTGGCTCTCGGGACCGGGGCCGCCGTGGGGGCTGCCTTGAGGGCCACCGTGAGGACCGCCATGAGGACCGCCATGCGGGTGAGGGTGGTCAAAGGCGTCTTCAATGCTTTCTCCAATGTGTTCGAAAGACGAACCGAAGTTACGCTTGGCAACATCCTGGGCCTGCACCTGGGCCTGTACCTGTCCCAAAGCGGCGAGGATGGCAACGGGGATACCTGCGTTGAAGCCCTTCATTTTGATGTAACTGATTAAGAGATTGTAAAAGTAACAACGATAATGAGTGACAAGTGTTTGGGACCAGGAAGGGCGGCAAAATGAATGACAGAGCAATGCACCAAGCAATCAAAGGATAGTAGTTTGATGGAAAACTGAATTACCTTCTCGTGGACATCATCGTGCCTTTTATGAGCCTCAAGTGCGTCTGTTTTCATGCCATTGATGGGTGGAATGTCGCATTGGCGTGGTAAACAAACGTTGTCCTGCCGAAAGATTCGCCTCCAAGAATGGAGTGTCGGACAGCGAAACACAGTGAACCTGAGATCAACCAGCGCGATGGCGCGGCATTCTTCATTTGGAAAGGAACTGGAATGTTGTGCCTGCGCAGTGTATATTCATCTACACAACATCCCTACGACGCGCCTTGACCAACCCCTTCATTCTGGATCGGGGCACCATAGTACATAATTGTATCGGGGAGCTTTCCTGGACATGCGAGATACTCATCGACCATCGCGATGACATGACATTCCGTGGCCGAAATAGCCACAAATAGAGCATCTTCAGCAGCGGTATACAACAATGGACAACGATGAACAGCCAATTTACGACTGATAAGACACTGGAATGTCTCAATCATCCCCAATACTGTCGTATCCTACGATATATAATTAACTACAGAGCACCATATAAGAAATAGGTGAAGAGATGTATCCCGTCATCGACATTCCCCCCTCATCGCCCTCACTGAAGAGGACCCAACGAGAGGCGAACTTCCTATCAAGGAAATTGTTCTCCAGAACCGAACGATCCGAAGATCGAAGGCAACTCATCGCCGTGGATTAAAAACTGGACGATGGTCGTGGCAGGTTCTGTTAGCTTTTTCGATGTATGGAGAAGAAAAGAAAAGAATTCCAGATGTGCCCGAGGAATTTTTCCTTTTATAGTGTGTTTTCGGAGAATCGGAGATCCTTATTCCGATTTAGACTAAGCGAGATGCAAACAGCCTAAACATACTGATAAAACAAACACCGATGTTATCGATCGCGATAAGGGTTAGACTGTAGACATCCCGAGTAGTTATTATTTCCTCAACTCCCTGAGCTTTCTGACTATGTGTGTATTCGGCATGTCCTTTCCCCAGGACCGACAAGAACTTCTCATGTAGGGTATGTCTAGGCAGCGCAGTCCTTGCCGGTTTTGATCATCGTCTGGGCGGACGAGGTTCGTCGCGGAGGACTTTTGGTCACTAGTGAGGTCTCCAATCTCCCACAGGGTCAAACTTTAAGTGGTGCGTTTGGCTTTAAGGTGACGAGGTATTCACGTAAGGGATCATAGATGCCTTTCTGGGTGTACCATGTTAGTTGAGAACTAATAACTGTAAATCTATTGAGACAGACCATATTGACCGTTAAGAACCAACCATTTCAAGATCTTGGGACCTATGCGTACTCAATCTAGTCATCCACAGCTCAAGGACACTGCTTAAAACGGTGCTCGTATTAGTGAAGTGTGAAAAAGGAGGAAAGAGTTTTTCTTGCTGAGACGATGTGATATGTGGAGGAGAGAGGATTGCATGAGAGGAGAGAGAGCTTGGGTCTTCTATGCTATAGGCGTGCTCTGGTGAATATCTCGAGCAATGACGCCAAAGCGACTTTTGGTAAATAGGATAATTGTATATCTAAAGATGCTGCTTATACGTATATTGATGGATATCTTTGGCACGTCTCGACTTGAAGCATTACTATCGCCGCTTCGCCAACCAATTTCGCAACGATGGGCATATTCCTCCCTGGTCTCTCAAGGTCGAGAATCAGTATCGTCAGTATATCTTGGATGGAGACGCGGAAACAACATTCGGCATATTATACGATTGCAAATGCGCTATGGAGGGCGTACGGAAGAGCACAGCATGTTGTGAAGCATACCTACATTGGTACCTAGGGGGAATGCTTAATGCGAGGTGGATGTATACGGCAACTTTTATAATACCAGGGAAAACGCGTCCCACGATTTTATAACCGAGTACAGCTGTGTAGAGTTCCGCATTAAAGCCTTCCAATGGGTATGCTGGCATTCAGGAATCTTGATAGAGTATTGTGAAGGCGTTTCCTCGACGAAGCTTGCTACACATATCCCCAAAGAAGACCTGTAGTCCATCGGCGAATGCGCCCTCCAAATTTTTAGAGTTCTTCATTCAGAAAACCTTATCAACACGGACGTAAGCGCCAGGAATTCCATTGCTCGCAAGGATGGAAAGGGCAGGTTCAAACCCTTGATAATTGATTCTAGAATGTGCAAATCCCGCGAAAATGCCAGTAATGGCATATTCTGTGGCACTGGAAACGGTTTTACGATGAAGGGGGCAGATTGGGGTTCTATATAGAGAAACGCTTGGAGGAAAGCTCTATTTATCGTCGCTCTGAGTTTTCTTACGAGACAAACGATTCAGTGTTGTTGGTTCCAGGGCCTTGAAAGCAGTACTACTGGAACTTTACCATAATTGATATAATATGCTCTGCCGAGCAAGTCTCCAGAGCCGACATCATTACGCGGATATTCGCACGCCCAGTGTTCAAGTCCTAGAAACCTTGGCCATTGGTGTAAATCATGGAGATTATGATTACAAAGCCCTTTCGTACAGTAAAAATACATACCTATACCAAATATATATTGTCTCTAGGCCCGTCCGTTCCTGCAGAGAGATCCGAGGACCGACAAACTCATTGTCCGCTCACATGGACACAACATCTTCAAATGACGTTGTAGACACATGGAGCACCGGGGTACTTCGCTGTGACTCCACCCTACAGTCATGAACCATCGCTAAAGCTTTCTACCGTCATGTTGCGTGGAGAACTCTCTGTTACCATACAAAGTAACTGCGCCTACGCCTTCCTAATATGGTAACACGGCCCCGGATCTCCACAGTGGAGCTTGGCTAACTAGGGCTAGCACGATCTGTCTCTGTTTTGCTTATTTTGGACTAGGAGAGAGTATACGTAGAAAGTGCTCCAAATAATGGATTACACCGTCGGCTATGGCTATGTAGAATAGTGATCGTAATGATACAATTGGACATATAATCATTCTATTTTATCCCGTCTATGCTATATCTATACAATAATTAAGCAGAAGCACAATGGCCACCATCTACCCGCAAATCAGCACCCGTCATGAACGAACTCCCATCAGCCAACATGTACACTGTCGGCGCCTTAAAGTCCTCCGGAGCTCCCAGACGGCCGAGCAGAGCACCCCGCATCCAGATCTCTTCGACTTCGGGCTTCTCCTGGAGCAATTGGTCGGTCATGGCGGTGCGGATGTACTGCTTAATTCAGCTTCTGTATGTCTACTTGAAAAAGTGCGAGGGTGAAGCTTACTCCGGCAGAGAGGGTGTTGATGCGGATTCCATATTGACCCCATTCTTGGGCGACAGAACGGCACATTTGGTGAACAGCGGATTTGGATGAGTTATAGGCGGTGCATGTGAGGCCCTGCTATTGTTAGGTAGCTGTCGAAGGATGAGGAGGGAATAGGAACATACTCGGTTGGCAATGTCACCGGACATGGATGCAATCATAACAATGCTTCCGGGGGTGTTCTGCTCTTTCAAGATGTTCGCAAAGTGCTTAGCGGGGACAAAAGTACCAATAACACTACTCAGTTAGCAGTTATCTCCGACAACTCATGGAAGATGAACACTCACTTAACCTCCATCATCTTCCGGAACCCGTCAATCGGATATTCCAGAGCTGGAACCATCTGCTGAATACCGGCGCAAGTGATCAACCCCCGCATGGGCATGTTCCTCTGTAAGCTCTCCACTGCGATCTTCTCCAGAACTGTCTTTGTATTCTCTTCGTTCGTAATGTCACACCTGACATAAGTCGCCTGCAGCCCCCGAGCCGTGGCAAGCTTTTGTAAAGCATTCCATTCGTTTTCGCTGGGGTTCGGGAGGAGATCAAGACAGACAACGTCACCGCCGGCTTCGACGACGGCGCTGGCGAGGGTGATTCCGACACCGCGACCGCCGCCGGTGATCACGGTTGTTCTGTTGCCAAGAGAGAAGAGGTCGGAGGTGCGGGCGAAGCCGGCGGGTGTTTGGTTCGTCTCGGGGACGGGGCCGGGGGTGGTGTGATCAAGGCCGAGAGAGGGAGACATTTTGGTTGATTGTGAGGAATTGATTGAAGAGGTTGTATGTTATTGCGGGCTGGATGAGCTGGCTGTGGGATAAAGGGAAAGGACGCACATTTATACCTGTTCCGATCACACCCAACCCGTTCTCAAGAAGCTCCAATTACGAACGTATCTTTAATCAAGACAGTTCATCAGTGCTTCCCATTTCCAAATACGGAATACATACAGTGGCGGGTCCCGCATCGTGGAGGCGCGTATATATACCTGATTCGGTAACAGATCGGCTTGACTTCGGACATCAACAACGGCACGAAACAACAGACAAGGGTGCTATACAAGACGAGTATTATTGACGCACGGCCTGCCGACTCGGTAATGACACAACCGATGAACAGGGGGTTATAAGTACCACATCCCCATGGGGAACTTCATCAATCATTAGATCTGTCATAAACCGTTATCATGTCGTTTCTCGTGGGCCAGCACTTGTCGTGGGCCATTACAGCCACGGCAGGAAGCGGCTTCTTGCTGTGAGTGTGCTGCTTAGCTGTTAAAGTTAGTTTGCTGTCTGACTGGAATAGCTTTGGATATGATCAGGGTGTAATGGCTGGTCTCCTGACCGGCGACGCGTTTGTTCGGACGTTTCCTGAAATCGATACGACGCCTACAGGTCATGGTAGCTCATCACTACAGGGCACAGTGTAAATGTTTTTTTCTTTGTGGCATTCATGACAAAGCTGACGAAACTAGGGTTGCCATCTATGAGATCGTACGTTCATCCGGTCCCTCAACAGACGATTCTAACGGTTTAGGGCTGCTTCTTGGGTGCTCTACTGGCCCTCTTTTTTGGCGAGAGGCTCGGACGACGATACTGTATTATGATCGGCTGTGTTATTCTCACCGTCGGGGCTGCGTTGCAGTGCAGTGCGTTTAGTATCCCGCACATGATTGTTGGACGGATTGTGGCTGGTGTTGGAAATGGGATGAACACGAGTACCATTCGTTAGTTTGCCCTCGCCTTTGCCAGAGGCTGATACTAATGGTTTCTACCTAGCGGTCTGGCATTCGGAACTTAGCAAAGCGGCCAGTAGAGGAAAGGCGGTTAGTCTCCTGTTTCCCTGTGTGCGGACTGGCTGACCAAAAAGATTGCCATCGAACTATGTATCAACATTTTCGGCGTTATGATGGCGTACTGGGTTGGTTAGTATTTCTACCCTCATATTTAAATCACTTGAACGAACCTGACGAAGTAGACTACGGCATGAGCTACGTAGTCAACGATGCCCAGTTCCGTTTCCCCATCGCTCTCCAGATCATTTTCGCCATTACCACCTTCCTTGGTACCCTTTTCCTCCCGGAATCGCCTCGTTGGGTGCGACCTCTTCTCTCGAGTTATAAATAGCGCGACTAACAAGGACAGTTGATTGCACACGGTAAACCCGACGAAGGCCGACACATCATCTGGGCTCTCCAGCCAAATGCCCGTTCCATCGCCCACGATGACCAAGTCATCAACATTGAAATCGACGAAATCACGCAGGCCATTATCAAAGAGCAGCAAGCGACTTTGGAGAGCTCGTTCAAGATGGTCTTCACCAATGGACCCCAGCGGTTTCTGCATCGGACGCTGTTGGGTATGGGTGGGCAGATGATGCAGCAATTATCGGGTGTCAACCTGATTACTTATGTGAGTGGCCTTGCCCCATGCTCGATAGTACATACTAATAGGTGGTTAGTATAATACGGTTATTTTTGAGAACTCTGTTGGAATGGACCATAACACTGCCTTGTTGGTGGCTGGGTTCAACGGTGTAGCATACTTTATCTCGACCTTGATTCCGATCTGGACGATTGATCGGTGTGTTACTACCCACTCATACTAAGTCATGAAAGGCAATGCTGACAAATGACAGTGTCGGTCGTCGCAAGCTGATGCTTTTTGCTGCTGCCGGTCAATGTACGTGTATGGCCATCCTGGCCGGAACAGTGTACGATGGTGGTCACGGTGCTGGTATAGTTGCCACCGTGATGCTTTTCTTGTTCAACTTCTTTTTTGGCATTGGCCTATTGGGAGTTGCTTGGTTGTGTAAGTTTATCCCAAAGTGCATTTATTTTGTCCCTTTACTGACCGTGTAGTGCCTGCTGAATATGCACCGCTGGCTGTCCGCACGCGATCCGCTGCGTTGGCGACGGCGACAAACTGTAAGTCCCCTACCCCCTCCTTCCCTTCCTTGTATTACCCTTTTTATTATTATTATTTTATAGATACTGAGAATATAGGGATCTTCACATTCCTTGTCGTGGAAATCACCCCCGTTAGTATCGCGGGAGTCGGTTACCGGACATACATTTATTTTGCCAGTATGTCACCCCCTTCGTGAATACCAGTATCTTTTGCTGATCATATACAGTCTTTAATTTCTGCTTCCTGCCCGTCATTTACTTCTTTTATCCCGAACCGCGCAACCTCACCCTGGAACAGGTAGATCGGCTATTCACCGGCCCGAAAGTACAGTTGCACTGGGATGCATCCATGGGCCAGACAGGCGATGTCGGGGGAAGAACGGAGAAGGACGAGGAGGTCCAGCACGTGGAATAATGTTTCCCTTTTTGTATGGTAAAAGAATGTCTTATCATAGTATGTAGCACCGATGCATGAGTCACGGCCCTACTCCGGTCCCCTTTCGGTGGACATCGGAAATTACCGTCTTCTCCGGATTTCTCCAGAATCGTCATTTTCGGGGACCTTCCCCACAGCGCTTAAAATTACTCTTTTGGGTACCACGTAGCGTCGCTTGCCGTAAATAGCTATCTCTTTCGTATCTCTCCTCTGAGAATCTCAACTGTCACATATGTATGTCACTTTCAGATCCGACAGAGGCCAAGGTCACACATAGTATTATGACCATGACCCCTACAGAAACAAGAAAGCGCACCCGCACCGGCTGTCTGAACTGCAGTCGGCGGCGCCGGAAATGTCCGCCATAAACCCCCCCGCAGGCTCTTAACATAACTAACTGAAGTGAGTTAATAGGTGACGAGACGAAGCCGATGTGCGTTGGATGCAAGCGACGCGGGGAGAAATGCCAATGGCGTATGCTAGGGTCTTTTCGCGAAGCTAATCTTAAGGTGCTGGAGCCGGAGCACCCGTCAATGAAGCAGTCAGCAAGCCGGAAGCAAAATAATAAGTTTAAGGTACTTGCTATTTTTGTCTATGCAGGATTGAGTGCTGACGAAAAAGATTTTAAATGTTCAACCGCGAAAGAGTCAAGATCAGGAATCCCCACGGGCATCTCCAAAACCGGTGGATGATATCAATTTGCCCGATGCAAATAATGACATTGATGACCTTAACGACAACAACGACAATAATGACCAGCAACCTGAGCATGACTTTGCACATAATAGTCCCGTGAATGGCAATGACGCTTTACCAGCTCCTACACCCGCACCGCCTACAGCTACAGCCACAGCTACAGCCACAACTACAGCACCAGCACCAACACCACCTCTCGACCACAGTCCCTCACACCACCTCGACTTCACGAACCACTCGCCATCATCCAGTCATGACTCTCACGTCTCCTACCTCTCCAGCCCGGACTTCATGGGTCTTATCTCCCACAGCTCGTTCTCCGAGGGCTACCCGGCAGCGATGGCCTCGCCATTATTCGATCACGGCGTCTTTTCCGATCCGGCTAATGTAGCGAACATCGACGTCTTCGTACCCGGGTCGGCGTACGAGGCGCTTCATACAGCTCTGCGGAATCGGCAGCTTTGGACAGCACGACCGGATATCCCCAGTCGGGGAAGTACGCCGGATATTGTACCTGGCGTTGCGCCCAACGACACCAGGGCGAGACCTGGAAGGGGGTTTACGTTGTCATTGGAGAGGGAGATTATTCTCTGGCAGAATTATTTGAATGAGATTTGTACATGGGTGGGTTTCTCGCGCTATGGAGTACATACTGTGGATGCTAACATGCTATCGAATAGCTCGACATGTTCGATAACCATCGCCACTTCGCATCGACATTCCCACAGATGGCCAAATCATCGCTCCATCTGCGATACTCGATCCTTGCACTATCTGCACGACAAATGGAACGGAAGCAAAATGAGAAATCGCAATCAGAAAGCCTGTCCCTATATCAAGAAGCCATTCACCTCTTATTACCAGAGCTTGAAAGTAAAACAACACCAGTAATTGCATCTTGCGTCATTCTCTGCGTGCTGGAAATGCTAAGCTGCAACCCCAAAGAATGGCGCCGTCATCTCGACGGTTGCGCATTCCTAATCCAAGCTGCTGAGATCAACGGCTTCTCCGGAAAAGAAGAACAAGCGCTCTTCTGGTGCTTTGCCCGGATGGACGTTTGCGGTGGTCTGATCTCCGAAGAAGAAACCATCATCCCGATTCATAACTGGACGCCCCGCACGATGAATCCTCACCAGGCTTCTCAGCTGTTTCTTGCCTCGAAAGCAAATTTTGATACTTATGCTAATTACACCGTGTACCTCTGCGCGCAGACGTTAGGTGTTTTATGCGGCGCATCAAAGCATCATCATTCGTCTTGTTTCCCGTGCCATTATCTTGACCGTGACATGTATGTTGATCGCTGGAAGGGGTTGTTGGATCGGGCTGAGCAATGGTATGAACAACGACCAGGCCAGATGAAGCCAATATTCAGTGGTCATACTCCTGGGGTTAAGGAGACGCCGTTTCCGACGGTGATCTATGGGAATGGAGCTGCTAGTACGGTTTCCCTCGTATCTGTTTGTTGATGCTCTTTGCTGATGCGATGCGTAGTTTCTGGGAACCAATTATATCATGCTTGTGTATTATTATTACTACAGCGGAAACCGAAGACAGTTTCGTTATCACGGAAGCCAGTGAGTATACATTAACCCCTCTTGGAGAAAGAAGCTTATGGTATTCCGCAGAAATCCGTTTTATGGCATGCCCGGCAAATTTGCGCCATTTCAGCTTCAAACACACATCAGTATGTACTATCTCTCTAATATAGTATGTACTTGTACTGACCAAACCAGTGGCTGCTGGACAAACGCTCTACAACCCCTCTGGCTGGCCGGGAAAGCCATGTCGCATTGCTCGGAACATGAAGCTATTGTTAACACATTGACGCGCATTGAGCGAGAAACGGGCTGGGCGACAGCATGGCGCGTGGAGGATTTGAAGGAATTTTGGGGTGATGATGATTGATATGCATTCCGAAGTTTGTAATAGATAGTCAGAATGTATAGATCGGTGGATCTCCGCGCCTCGAGACGAGCTCGGATTGCCCCTCATAATTTCTTCCGCGTTGTCTCCAATTTCCTTATTCCACTCCACAACTCTCAATTCACTGGTAACGACAAAATGGAGTCATTCCTCATGCATGACGACCGCTTCAAGGCCATCCTGGGCCCCAATCCCACGCTCGAACTTCTCCTTGAAAACAAAGAATACGCCTTTGCCCACGAAGCCGGTGTCTACATCCCCCCGGACAACACCCTTTTCATAACCAGCAACCACATCTATACAACAGCCGGCGACCGCACCGTCCAAATATCCAAAATCCTTCTCACAAAAGACCACCATGGCGTCGTCCGCGCGTCCTACGAAGAACTCCCATCCGACGCAATCCCCATGGGCAACGGCGGTGTCAACTACAAAGACGGGATCCTATTCTGCGCGCAGGGGTCGCTAAAGGCCCCATCTGGACTGTATTACATGTCCTCAAAACACCCACATGACGTCAAGCCCGTGATCACAAATTTCTACGGACGCGAATTCAATTCCGTGAACGACGTTGTCGTGCATACGGATGGGACGATATGGTTCACGGATCCGATTTACGGATATGAGCATGGGTATCGGCCTGTGCCTTCGCTGCCGGGACAGGTTTATCGGTTTGACCCTATGAGCGGGGCGATTAGGTGTTTGGCGGATGGGTTTATTAAGCCGAATGGGATTTGCTTCTCGCCAGATGAGAGGACGGTTTATGTTACGGATACGGCGAGGTTTAGGGCTATCGGGGCTGTTGATGAGACGTTGCCTTCTAGCATGTATGTTTTTCTTTACTTTGGAATGGGCTGAGGATAATACTAACGGGGAGGGCGATGCAGTTACGCATTCGACGTGATGTACTATCACGGGGAACCATTCCTTATCAACCGCCGGCTCTTCGCCATGGCTCCTGTGGGTATTCCCGACGGCATCAAATGCGATCTCGAGGGAAATGTGTACTCCGGTTGTGGTGATGGAGTAATCGTCTGGTCGCCGGGTGGTGTTCTCCTCGGCCGGATCTTGGTGGAAGGGGGAGCTGCGAATTTTTGCTTCGGGAGAGAAGGGGAGATGTTCATTCTCAATGAGCATCGGCTGTGGAGGGCACAATTGAATTCGAGAGGAGCTTTGCTGGGTATTTAGGTGACCTTTGCGGTATGTACAGTGACGAGTGTAATGGCTCCTCGTAATGTAGATTAATGCAGGATGAACTTGGATGAACTTCTATGAACATGTATTACAAGTTATATAAAGAGGAATTTGGCTGCGCTCGTTGATTGGGCTCGATCAAAGAAGACTGACAAAATGCAATGGCCCAAATGTTCGAACATCACCCTCCGAAACCATCGCCAGTATGTCCTCAACCCTATACCCCGATACCCTCTAACCAGTATACATAGTCGCCGGCGCAAACCGTGGCATCGGCCTCGGAATCATCAAAGCCTGCCTCGTTAATGGCGCAACTAGCGTCTAATCCCTCGTCATCGGCGACAACCGATGAGTTCCACGCTCTTGCTCAGCGCTTCCCCCGACAAGCTCTTTGTCATCCATACGGATGTGACCCAGTCATCGAGCATCGCTGCAGCGGTGGATATGATTATTGACGAAGCTGGTGCGCTGCATGATATGACAGTAGATATATGATGGATGAAGCATAAGCCTGCATTGGACTTCATGGATGAAGAGATTGAAGTGTTGTTCTCTGTGAATGTTGGTCCCTCGACTCCCCTGACTGAAGAGAGCAAGTGCTGATTTGGTAGTTTATCGGATCATTTTACACAGCAAGAATGGCTGCGCGAGCCTTTATTCGGCTTGGAATCAAGGGTTCCATTGCCTTCACGGCCTGAATGGCATCTTATTTCGCGAACAAAGCCTCCCTTTCTCATCTCATCCGAAACACAAATGGTACTAAAAAAGCGCGCCCCTTCTACCTCATATGGCGCTTCCAAAGCCGGTGTTTGTAAAATGACACACACCCTAGCCATAGAATGAGCATCCCACAACATCTGTGTCAACGGCATCTCCCCTGGCCTCGTCAACACAGCCATGGCCCACTGGGTGCCGCAGCAAACTGACTGGAAGCAGCAGTTGAATTATTATGGTGGGTTTCCGAGATTGGCGGAGGCACAGGAATTGGTAGGCGTGTATGTGTATTCGTTGAGGGACGCGGCGAGTTATACGACTTCGACTGATATTCCGGTGAATGGGATCATTGAAAGTGAGTACTTCTGTTTTATTCTGAACTGAGGTTGTTGCTGAATGGGGTAGTTTGTTGAGTGCGTGTAATAACGAAACTATTCAAAGTAGTACTTTGCATAAGGTGTATTATTCTAGATGTAATGCAATGACATATTATGTCGAAGTGACAGCCTTCCAAATTAGGAAACCGGGTGTTGCGTTCTGAGGAAGTCGCACTCAGCGCCTTCCAGCCGCCATAAAAAAAATACAAGTAACCACAAGTTCCGCCATTCTTCTCCTTTTTACCACTTGCATATTATCTGCATGTTTGTATACGTTAACAGCGTATCTATTCAGTTCATTTTTTGATTCGCGCATCGCCCTCCTTTTTCCTACGATTCCCAAAGCACCATGCGTCGTCCCTTTTTCAGTAAACCCCAAAACATCATGCGTCGTCCCTTCTCTATTGATTCCCAGAGCAGCATGGCGCCAGGGCCCGGAACGGTTGCTCCTCCCAATACCCCATACCCCTCCAGAACCCCCACCGGTCAAAGCAGCACAGCCCCTCCAATCTTCTCAGACCTGACGCATGTAAAGTCAGCAAATCGATTATCGACAGAGTCATTCCCAGGCCTTGATCACGAACAACTCAACCACAACCCCTCAGCCGACGCACACCCATCCTCCCCGCTTCGCATCTATGAAACCTCGACCGCTGCCATTTCCGCTCAAACCGAGCTAGGACAGGACCCCAATCATGATCCCGAGAAAGGTATTCCGCGCGGCCATAGCCTTAAGCGTCGCGGTCGTTCTGGGCTGTGTGATGAGAAGGAAAGGCGTTGTGCCTGTTGGCGGCGATTGAGCAAGAAGGCACGGTTGACTATAAAGATTGTTATTGCTATCGTTATCTTGGGGGCTATGCTTGCTATTGCGCTTGGGATTGCGGCTGCTGCGGGTGGTGTGGAGATTAGGATTGGGAAATAGGTGAGTGTGGTTATAGGTATTCTTGATTTGTGTACTGATTGTGATAGCGACCTTGCGCTCTTTTTGCTTCTTTACGATTTGATTTGGATTGTGCGACTGAAACCAATTGCAATTGTCATCGTTGGGGCTGGAGTTATGTAATGCTTGGGATAACGGCTGCTGTTGATGTAGGGATCTCGAGTTGAATGATTAACAAGGCTTGGAGGATATGTGAGTTGTGCATTTGTACTGTTACTGTTAATCGGTATGCTGACTATCTTAGTCTAACCAGTTTTTGTCTGGCTGTTCATTGGTTAATCGATGATCTCTCAAGTACTCCTGCGGGGATCCGTGGTTAGAATTGGCCTTGTTTGCTTGATTGTTTGGTTTACACGGTTTACACAGTTTGTATATACTTGTCTTTGCTCTTTTCGTTCGAGACAAAATACAGGTGACTGGGTTGCGCAGTGGACTGTCTACAGTTGTCAAACGTCGTGAAGCGATAGAGGACCAAACCAATGTACGCAATCCATATTTCTCTCTGAAGGATCCAATCTCACCCTGTACAAGCAAAGATGGGCTACCCATACTCTATGTCGTGTTCTTCCGATTCTTTTCGGCAACTATCAACAATGGGCACTATATTTAGACAGCTACGAAGAGCAACTCCTATCCTGAACGTAACGCCCAAAAATGCTCACCAGATCTGCTAGACAGCTTTCTGTACAATTTATACGTTGGTATCATCGGCAAGAACGATATCGAAATAGTCAGAAAAGTTGTGGAGACGGTGGTTGTTGATAACGAGGCATTTGAGTGGGACTGTCAGAAGTACGTGCTGGATTGTGACGACAAGGATTTTCGAGATGCGAGGGAGATATTGAGGGCAAGACAGGAGCAATTCTGTAGACGATCGAGATGCGATTTAATATGATATCTACAATTATGAACACCGAGTGACTACAAATTCTATGCTCAACCATTTATCCAAAATCTGGCATGGCATTGGGTTTTATCTCTTATTATTATTGTTACTACACCTTGGCGACCACAGAGACTAGATTGTTTCATTGCTCTTGTACGCATTTATTAATTTCAAACATGTCATGACCTGAACACAAAACAGCCTGTCTTCAGTTATGTCATTCGGTAATAATGCAGGAACAGATCCAGGGACGCGCAATAGCCACGGCTTGTGTCTGCAAGCAGCAGCCTTTCAGGATCATGATGTGCATTTCAACAGGATCTGCACGCTGAATTTTCTGCGTCTAGCAAGTGTCCACGTGAGAGCTCCAGCCCTGAACTTTACATTTCGGTAAAATACTAGCTGAGGGACGGACATGAGTTCAGAGAGCCCTGAATATCCTTCTAGACCTGGAAAAGCCGACTTCAAATCCCTCATTCTCCAGTATCATTAACAAATCACACTCTGCTCAGTTATTAACCGGCGAACAGACACAAAAAGGTCTTAATGTCGTTTGACGGAAATCGCCGTCACGAGAGGACCTTGCGGACACGAACGCGATGATGGTTGAGAAGGTCATTATGACTGCTCAATGGTTGCGGCTTCTCTAGGGGACATTTCAACCAATACCGAATTCTACAAGATACCCATAGCATTGCCAAAGCGCCCGAGAGCTTCCTATACACCCCCGATTAAGCTGGAGTACATATCCGATGCAATACACGATAGCCATGCCAAGAGCGGAGAGCCAAGCCCCCGGCCAAGCATCCGGAGCGGGTACCCTGGCTGCAATAACCAACCATGGAAGACCCTCGCGGACCCCGGTTCCGGGCCAAGCTCTTGGCGGAGAGCCGCGGGCTGGGCGAGTACCTTGGGGATGCTTGCTTAGTGGATAAAAGCGTAGAGGGCCACGAGGCGATTGAAGAGATTGTTTCTTCGATTGTTGAACTCAGGCAGGCAAAATGATCAAGATCACTGCGTTGTTGCTACTATCGGCTGTGGCTCAGGCCCAGACGGCGAGTGTGACTTCGTCTGCTCAGTCATCTGCTATTACAGGGTGCCATAATCATGGGGACGATGTGTTTTGTATCAATGGGAGCGGAGAGGAGGTGCAAGTCTCTATGACTGCTACTCCAACGGGTGAGCTGCCGGCACAGTATACGGGTTGCCATTCACATGGAAGCGAACAGTAAGTACCTTTGACGAACGCCATGGGGGCTGAGACTGACCGTTGAAGATTCTGCATGGATGCACAAGGAAACGAGTTTCAGGTTATTTCAGAAGCAACGACGGAGGAAGAAGGTCACAACCACGAGAGCGAGTCAAGTGAGAGTTCCGGAGGAGAGAACTGCCACTTCCACGCCGGTGTCGAGTATGCCAAGCCCTACCATCTCTACAGCCCTGTACTAACAAAACAGGCACTGCGTTGGGGCAGGAGAATCTGAAAGCAGCAGCACACCTTCATGCGGTGTCCAAAACCGGGACTATGATGTGCCTCTGCGTATTGGCACGCTGTTCGTCATCCTTGTTACTAGCGCGATTGGCGTGTTTGCTCCGATGTTGCTGGTCAAACTGCCGTTCAAGACTTTGAACACGATGGTTTCGACGGGAATCAAGCAATTCGGAACCGGTATCATCATTGCTACGGCTTTTGTCCACGTATGTTCCTCTTGGAATGCAATGCAGAGATGTCTAGCTAACAACCAACACAATACAGCTCTACACGCATGCCAACCTCATGTTCACAAACGACTGCCTCGGCGAACTCGAATACGAAGCTACCACCTCCGCTGTCGTCATGGCAGGAATCTTCCTCGCCTTCCTCGTCGAATACATCGGCCACCGGATCATCCTCGCGCGCGGTTCCAAGACCCCAGCTACAACCCCCGAGAACCCCGACCAGAGCCCCACGGAGTCAAAAGAACAACCTAATACCCATCAATGCCAACAAAGTAACGCCCTCGCCGGACTAGGTCATAGCCACGGCTCGCCCCACGACCCCACGAAACCTACCACCAAGTTCTCCGTACTGGTTATGGAAGCTGGTGTCCTGTTCCACAGTATCCTCATTGGTATTACCCTGGTTGTCGCTGGCGACTCCTTTTACCGCACGCTCCTCGTCGTGATTGTCTTCCACCAATTCTTTGAAGGTCTAGCCCTAGGTGCCCGTATCGCTCTCCTACCTGGCCGGATCTTCCCTAGCAAAGCTATTATGGCAAGTGCCTTTGCATTGATTACGCCTATTGGAATGGCTATTGGAATCGGTGTGTTGAATTCGTTCAACGGGAATGAGAAGAGTACGTTGATTGCGCTGGGGACGCTGGATGCATTGTCCGCGGGAATTCTTGTCTGGGTTGGTGTTGTGGATATGTGGGCGCGAGACTGGGTGATTGAGGGTGGTGAGCTGGTTGATGCTGGACTAGGGAGGGTTGCTGTTGGTGGAATATCGTTGATTGCTGGGTTGATTTTGATGTCGGTGTTGGGGAAGTGGGCTTAGAATATGCCCGTGTGCACCTAAAAGGATATTCGAGATAGAATAATGGGATATGGTTCAACATTGGTATATTCAGTCCCTACAGGCAGGTTTACAACCATATCAATGGAGGATGATCAATATCTAGTCCCGGTTCGGTACCGTTAGGTAGTCGGAGAGTTGGAGTCTCCAAGTCTCCAAATTTTACCAACCACTCTCCGAATATCATCGACATTTGCGGACAATGTTGGTGGCTGCGCATAAAGAGAAAGAGATTGGTGAAGAAAAGGAGGAGAGAAATGTATCATGATGGAAGAGTATATTAGGAATATACTATTCAAAGCCCAGCGTATAGTAGTCATAATGGCCAATAAAAGGACGTGTCCAAGTCACTTCCGCATTTGGCTAGCTCGTCACGATTACTAATTCCATATTCGACGTGAAGGAGGCAAATTCGTTTGATGATGAAGATGGAGTCCGTTGTATTAATATTGAATTATACGAATTATCTAGTGCAACAACTGGTGCTGTGTAGTTGCTGAAGCCTCCGTTCTCTAACCCAGATTGGCTAGGTTCCGTTATCCTTTCAAATCGGGGGATAGCACCTACTCGAAAAAACTACGCTTTTCGACAGGATTGTAAATGGACAGTCCCAGGACGAGGAGCTCTATGTCTACTATCAGGGGCTTACAGACATGTGAATTTTGTGGTCGAACATTCCACCTCCATGAGCACCTGCGACGGCATTCTCGCACTCGTTGGTGGCCCATCTAGGACCCCGGAAAAGGACAATGTTAACCACCCACCTAGATACCAAAGAGAAACCTTATGCTTGTCCATGCGGTCGATCATTCTCTCGAAAGGACTTGCTCACTAGACATGAACGGCTAAGTCATCCGTCTGACAGAGGTCACACTCAAACTCAAGGTTGGTCTTCAAGGCATGATAAGTCCCGGGTCTAGCTAGTATATTCCTCAGGATCTACGTCCAGTCCACTAAGATCGACGGAAAGGGCTCAGGCAAACTTAACGGAAGCTTTGCCACAGCACTATCAGCAAGATCTAGATCATGCTGATTTCTCCCTACCATCTGCCCTGCCCACAGCGGAGTTTCCGATTGCGGATTCAATGCTTCTATCCACAGTAGATTGTTTATTTGCTAACCATGGCGACCCAATGCTGGACTTCAACAGATTCTTGAGCTCAGCTGAATTGAACATTGACTGGGATGTTTACCTCGCGGACTCAGTGCCAGTTCCGGAGGGCAATCAGTCACAGAGTGCCACGGGTCAGCTCTTTACTCCGGATAGCACGGACTTCCCATCACGAGTTACAGATAATTTGTCTGGTGATGTTAAGTTAGGGATACAAAAACTGTTCCAACTATAATGTCTAACTAAACGACAGACGACTTTCGTGAGCTGAAGCCTCTCGGCTGTCCATGGATCATACTAGAATCACAACGTTTACAATTCAATGAGGCTCTAGCTTTATTCCGACAAGTCATCCATCAATTTGTCCTCCCAACCCGGGCATCGATTGTCCGGTACATGAGTGGCTATGTTGATGGGTTTAGCAACCATCACCCCTTCATCCATGTGCCAACTTTAAAAATCCTCTCGTACTATCGCTCCCCTGAGATGATCCTGGCGCTTCTCTCCATAGGTTCTCAGTATCGATACTAATTAAAAACAGCACGAGCTCTGTACCAGGCCAGTAGGTCCATTGTCCTTGAGAGACTACATAAAGGGGAATTGTACGATCAAGGCCAGCAAGATTTGACATCTGATACGACACTGAGCGATAATATGGACCGTAATCGAGCGCTATTACTTCTGGCTATATACCGTTTATGGCAGAACCAGGCAAGCTTAACTCAGGAATGTTTCGAATATCAAGGTCCCATTGCCCGCTCAATCCAACAAACCGGACTGTTGGAGACATTGAAAGAAACTGGGGATAAGTGGGGTCAATGAGTTAAACTGGAGACCGACAGACGAACTATCTTCTTTGGATGGTGCCTGTTGAATTTGCAGAGTTTTGCATATGACAGTTCTCTGTTACTCATAGGCCGGGAACTCAATCAACTTCCTCTTCCCTGCTCCTGTTAAGAATGGGTCACCAGAAACGAGGGCGAATGGCTGGCAGCTCGAGCACGAAAAGCGTTAACGGTAAGCTTCAAAAAGACACACTCCTCGCACCCAGTTACTCAAAATGATACTGATCCTGTCTCCGACATATCTCCAACAGGGACATATTCTCATTCATGCACTTCTCCAAAGAATCTACCTGGCACAACAGCTTTGAGTAATGTCGACGGACTGCTCTCCCAACATATCGATGATCTTGAGCAAGCCTGAACCGCTGGCGACACACATGGCGCACTTCACCAGAGTCAGTACTCGATCTACAAAGCACATATGCATCTCTTGCCTTTACCTCCACGGCGTTATTAGGAGCTGCCCGTAGTCGACTTCATTGTAACCTTGGCCAATGGCGGAATCTCCAAGGTGGTGATACGGCTATCGTTGCTATGTCTCTTCAAAAGGCTCCAATGCCGCGACGTGGGTCTCATCTTATATACGCACTTTTGCACTCAGTACATGCCCTCAATATTCCTGTACAATTGAGTATATCATATTTGTCACGATGCAGGTCTTTCTCTTGGAGTATACACCATGTACTTTGTGATCTGGAATGCGCAGTTTTCTTCGGCAAGTGGCTCCGCTCAGTATCTGAGGCATGGCAAGAACAGCCGCTTTCTGGTATTTATCCTCCAAGCTGCTTTTTACGTCAAACTTTTCGCTGACAATTTTATCCTGAACTCGAAAACCGCGTGCTACGGTGAATCATTCGAGTGGTATGCGAAGCACTTCTCTCACAAGACAGACGATTGACCTTGGATATAAAATTGATGGCACCGACTTCTTGATCTGACGTCGACTGCCAAACAACTAAGCTATGCAGCAGTCAAAGTTTGGGCGCAGATGTTCAAGCCATGTAACAATCCATGGCCAGTGGTTTTGTTTATTGGACAGAGCCTTGATTGCTATGCTGGGATTAATAATCCCGATTCTGGTAACGAGTGGACTGTGACAGGAATCTCGACATAAGTTATTGACTGAGCGGTACAACGACTATAATTACTATGTCTTGAATACCTAGTTCGTCTATTCTACAATGAAGGTCGATAGACCTGCTCAACAGAATAGCATACCCATGACAGTCCATCAGTCAACAGTCTCCCTCGTCAACTTGCTATGCGCACGAATCGTCTACCCATAAAAACCAAAACCCACGGCACCAAGGTCAACGTAGCCCCAATTCCACCCAATAAACTCCCCGCTGGCCTATAAGTAAGATTACTAAAAAGTTGCCTCGAAACCAACGGAAACACACCTCCAAGCATATTCCGACAGAAACTCTGCGCAGCAAGAGCAGAGCTCGCATACTGATGATAAGTATCGGTAAGATAATTGAACACAGACAGATAAACGGAGAATATACCCGCCGTTGAAATACATACGCCAATGGCCGGTACGATCCAGTGGACGTGATAATGCGGCGTCCAGCCGAAGATGAACAGTCCGATTGGTAGACATATACTCTCCACGCAGCTGAAATACAGTCTATGTTCGGGTACTGAGTTCCAACCCTTTTGACGAGTCGCGAGTTGTTCTTGTAAGATGGAAATGGTTGTCATTAGTAGGGTTCCTGTGCAGGATGCTGCGAATATTGTGTTCGAATCGGATAGGGAGAATCCATAGGTTTTCTCGAATATTAGCGGGATTACTGATAGCTTGATGTACAAGACAGACTAGCTGAATGCGGCCCATAGCGAAAAGAAGAAGACGACGGGCTCGGTGAATAGGAGCTGGAACGGTCGCAGCAGGGATGTCTGAATCATCGTTGCGAAATTCGCCTGTTTCTCCTCCGCACCAATCTTCCATCGGATGCGCATTGTCTTCTCAGATGGTCCATCTTCTCTATCTATTTCTGCTGAAACCTGGACACTATAAACACCAGCAGCCTCGAGCTTCTCCATTAATTGATTTAGCAACTTTGCCTTCTTCCGCAAAACAACCGTCACGCGCGTCTCGCGGAAGAACAGAATCACAGCACAGCTTATCATGCCTCCGACGATAATCTGGATACAGAAAATCCACCGCCATGTCGTATATTCTGCAATAAACCCACAAACCAGTGGCCCCAACCCAGTGCCGAACAGAGCCGCGCTGGAGAAACACGCCATTGGTGTATTGCGTTTCTGCGCGGGATAGATATCTGCAACGATGCCGCCGACCATCGTTGAGAATGTTGAACCGCCGATGCCTGCCCAGAACCTTGCTACGAGCATCCTGTATATATAAGACTCCGTTAGCGTTGCTTAAGATGCAATGGGGAAAAAATATTACAAACACACCCTGTAAAAGACCTACAAACCGCACAATACAACTGACAAACCGTAAATAAAATTGCCGTTCCTACATACACAGGCTTTCTGCCATTAATCTCCGAAAAAGGAGCCAGGAACATCGGTCCAACAGCAAATCCGCAGGTAAACGTCGTGACACCGACGATAACAACTTCTTGACTCACATCCCATTCATTCGCCATCTGTTCAGCGCCCGGGCTGTAGCAGCTTGCTGCGAATGAGGCAAAGATTGTGGAGATGCATGAAATGGCTGTAACTGTGAACTTGTAGCCGGAGGACCAGTTGTATGGTGAGATTAGGTGTTTGAGGTTTGAGGGTTGATGGAGGCTGGCTGTGAGAGAACGGGAATTTTGGTGTTGAATGTTAGGTTGAAGTAGGTGATAGGTTGGTTATCAGGTTTTTGGGCAGGGCCTTGGCTCTCGTGCCCTGGCATGAATGTGCCGTCTTCGCCGGCCTCATTCATGATGAGTTTGTCTCTGAAAAGGCTGGCAAACGGCAAGTAGAAGTGATAATTTGGAGAAATTGAAAACCGATTATGCTGATATACATGGCGAAGCATCTCAGCGGATCATTGTCTGCACTATAAGCGTTACTACTACAATCACATCTGCGGATGCGGAATTTGTGCGGACCGCATTATAACCGCATCTCCAACTGTGACATTATTCAATGCAATGTGTGTTCAATGACAAAGCTGTAATAGATCTTTTAGTCTAGATGACTACCATTATTTAAAAAAGTATCCGGATGTTTTGCTGTTGATCCGTGATATCATGCATGTCTGCTCTCAAGTGGTAGAGAGCATCTGTTATAATACTGTAAGGGATCTAGGGCTCGAAGTGCTATCGGCAGAAGTTGGAGAGTGGGAGAGAGCAGACTTAGAAAGTTGGAGTCTCTAACATCAGATACCCTCATCTTCATTACATCTACACCGGAATCATCAGTCATGGCCATGTTCTAGACTCATATGATAGCCGCTATATAAGCTTCTTTCCAGCTGCCATGGCAGCGGATCAAAGCAAATGAGTTCAAGATCAAAGTTTCATCTACAATCATGGCATTTGAACAAACTCAAACTCCCCCCACTGTCCGCGTAGCAGCCATCCAAGCAGAAGGCTGCTACTTCGACCTCCCTGCAGCTGTCGAAAAGACATACCGCTTTATCGAGGAAGCAGCCAGCAAAGGATGTGACCTGATTGCCTTCCCTGAGCTCTGGATTCCCATGTATCCGGGTTGGATCTGGTGCGTGCCCTACCCTCTCCGAACAGTTGGCAATGCAACGAAAAAATAACAATAAATAAAAAGTAGTCTAACAAAACAAATAGGCAACGCCCGTCGACTTCAATATGGTAACCGAATACATGAAAAGCTCCCTCCGCCGGGACTCCCCCGAAACGAACACTATCCGCCAATGCGCCTCCTCCAACAACATCGCCGTCGCCCTCGGCTACTCCGAAAACGACAACCACCCGCTCTATCTCTCGTAGTCCAACATCGGCTGCGACGGAGAAATTAAAATGCACCGCCGCAATATCAAGCCCACGCACGCTGAACGCACGATCTTCGGCGATGGAGGCGGTGCTTCGTTGATGAATGTCGCTGATGAGCCTGGTATTGGCAAGGTTGGGGCATTATCGTATTGGGAGCACTAGCAGCCGTTGCCACGGTATCATACGTATTCGCAGGGAGAGCAGGTTCGTGTTGCGGCATGGCCGCCGATGAATTACCATGCGTCGTTTCCGCCGCAGAGTGCGTTGTGGTCGCAGTGTCGGGAGGGTATGTTTTTCTTTCCCCTTTCCTACGGCTCCTCGCTTTAAAGATGCGCAGCACAAGCTAATCATCCAGGCGCCCACAACCTCTCAACAACGCACGCCATTGAAGGCAACACCTTCGTAATTCTCTCGTCCTCCTTCACCCAGCGCGGCGTCGACCGCATGAATCTCGGTAATGGCAAGCTCTACCATATAGATAGTGGTGGCTGCGCTTCCATTATTGCTCCTGACGGTCGCAAATTGACTGAGGACTTTGGTGAGTAGGAAGAGGGTCTGCTTGTTGCGGACTTAGACTTCAATGAGATTCTCAATGTCAAGGCGATGCTGGATGTGCATGGGCATTATAGTCGACCGGATTTGCTTTGGTTGGGGGTTGATGCGAGGGAGAAGAGACAGGTTAGGCCTGAGATGGAGGAGAGATTGACTAAGGCTTGAGTTGTTGAATGTGATTCTTGTCGGTGTGAGAGTTGTTATGGAGATATTGATATAGAATTATAGATACATAGAAATGATTATAGGAGATCCTCTAGAAATAAGCGATCGTCAACACATTTGCCCATGTTCAACGTCCTGTCACTGCTCTCATGTCCCCGGAGTGCACTATCCAAACTATTCAATGCTTGCATACGTCTCTCTCGCTGCTGATTTACCAGGAATACCGCAATCTCATATGCCTCCCTCGTCATCCCGGTTTGATAGTGATCTGCCACCGACCTAAGCGTCTGCAAAGCATCAGGTAGCATAACCAACGCCTGTGGATGATCAATAACTAACAACACGCAGACTATCTGAAAGGGAATGTTCAAAATATGCCACCACGGCGAGGATATTCCGGCTAGCTCTTCGGCTGCTTTCAGACTGTGATGTGCTAGGTTCACGATTGAGTCGAGGGACTCTTCAGACATAACGCGGCCCAGAGCGCGGAAGCGGCGGTAGATACACAGCCCGACATTACATTGGATTAGCCTAAGCATAGGCTGCGTCGGACTTAGTTTACAGAGCTCAACAAGTTCGCTTTCAAGTTCGACTATGTCGCGATAAATTTCTGGACCGAGGAGCGCTGAAATTCGACATATTTCGCGCTGCTCGACTGTCCAGCCTGTCTCGGGTAACGCTGATGATGCGCCCCGGAGCTCGACTTGGGATTTTCCGCAGTCGAGGGAGACCCAGGTGTTGAAGAGCTGTGCAACAGAGTACACTTTGCGACGGCGCTCGGGGTGTATACGTGGCCCGGTCGATTGCGCGAGGATGGAGTCGGTTGCGGAGTCGAAGTGCAGTTTTGTTGTTTCGATAAGATGCATTAGTGTACAGCTGGCCATCCAGGTTGCGTGCGGGGAGCTGGTCACACGCAGGTATATGACTCGTAGTAGCCAGCCTACTACATGGTCGAATTCTGGCGTGGCTAGCTGGCTGGAATACTCGAGTACGATACGCGCACTGTGTACTAGTTGCATTTCAACTCCTGCAGACCGATGGCCAAAGAGGCACCCGAGGGCTGCAATCCCCAGCAGCATCGAATCTGCCTGATCATACGGAAACCCATTCGACCACCTCTTGATGGTCGCCTCATCTACCACCTTCCGATCAACAAAGTCATATACAGGCGCAACATGCGCAAAGTAAATAGCCGCCAACTCATGCATTTCCGACAATGACAGTATCTCCGTGATACACGAAACCTGCGGTAAGCACGCGATCTCCCGATCAAACCCGAGATTCCACGCATAGCAGTTCAATATCGGCGCATTAGTGGCATTCATTTTCAGCGCCAGCTGCCGGACAAAGACAGCTGGCGAGTTCGCCTCGAGGAGCTGGAGCTGTGGGTCTTTGCCGTCATAATCTGGGGATTCGGGAGAATTGATATCAGTGGAGTGTTGGTGCAACCTGTGCGCGGTCTTTTTGGTGCGGCGGGTTGGGCCGTAGAAGCACTCGTGCTCGAGGCGATGGCAATAACTGCAGGGGAGATTGCCGTCGCATTTTCGTTTGCGTTCGCGACATGATTGACAGGCTATCTTGGAGCGGAGGCGTTGCATTTCTGGAGGCATTTAATCGAGTATTCCGCAGCGGGGTGAGAGATGTCGAGATGCCCGAATGCTAAGAAATCGGACCCGTCACTACAGCACCGGTTCCGAGATAGTAACAGTGTTTCCTGGAATAGAATAAGCAATTGATAAGGTGTTGGGACCTAAAGCAACACGCATAAAGTCGAAAGATCAACGGCGGCTCAGTTTGCAGATGGTTGCATATGTCACAATGATTGCGGCCCGAGATTTCCGCAGTATCCGCATCCCCGCATCACCAGTTGCAGAACCATAGATAAAGTCATTGCATTTAAAACGGCTTTAAATCCGTATCAAAGCCTTCTCACATCGCCATCCATCAATTCTCACTTTATACCGTCCCGTCAGCCCAACCAGGTTCTCATGCGACTTGAGCCCAATAAACGGCCTCTTCACGCGAACCACCGTCCCATCATCCAGCGTCGTCTTGGTTTTGTAGCAGGTTCCCAGGCCAAACAGTGCTCTGGGAACACTGTTTATACTGATAGTAGTAATATTCAGAATGCAAGGCAAGGGTAAATGCTCAAGGCAAGTAGGATTATAGAAATGACGATGAGGGTCAATTGGATAGCGGAAAACCAGAGTAGGGAGCATGGCCGGCGGTAGTATGTCTGGACCATGTTCGTTAATCGGTCTTTCGGTATTGGCAAGGAGTGTGGAAGCTGAGAAAGGGCAATCTTGTTTGGTGGCATTGACAGGAAAGCGTGCCGATTACAGCAAAAGGTTTCAAAGGAATTTCCCGATTTTGTCACATGACATGATCATGCGGTTGATAGGGAACGAATCCTTCAAGAATTATGTTATCTGAGCATCCATATTCTATGATTTGCCATACTCCATGGTCGTTTATATAACGAGGTCTCGAAGTGTACTGCGAAGTGACGGATCGACGGGATATATAAAAACTAGGAACCAAGCAAACCAACTTGTTTGAAACATTCTGCCGAAGAATATCATCATGATTGAAACTCAACGCAGCAACGTGGTTATAATGTGGATTTTACGTACCCGAAACTATACGTTAGGTTTATAGCCAGACGAAGAACGATGTATGCTCAGCATGCCCGGTACCAGAAGATCTGCTTCCCTGGGACATCCGCATTCCGGAAGTGGCCAATCAACAGAGATTAAGTATCTAGCACTACGAGCGAGGCCAGCAGATATGAACATCATTGGGCTGCAGCTCTGCAGCCATAGCTGTTCTTGTGAACGCGCAATGATGAGAGTAGGGATAGACCAGTGAACTGCCAGCTACTGCAGCGCGGTCCAAATAGCGGTGAACCACACTAGATTTGATACGACTTGGGCCTGAACTATTGATGCTCTGCTCTTCTGGACAACAATAGTCTATTGATCATCTTTCAAAGTTACTCAAAACCATAGATCTGCTACGATTATCAGATTAGGGTTGCGCATGGACCAACCCGTTAAGGTTAGCGGCGTGGGGTATTCCAAATTGGGAAGTATGTGTACTTGAGCAACAACGACCAAAATACCCTACTCCGCATTTCGCATAGTTAGACCATGTCGGCATACCTTTGAATAGAACAACAGCACTGATACGCCTACCGATAAAAATGACCAATGATTATCACGATGCAGCTCGTATCGATAAGACCGCGACGACCTTCCTGATTCGACACCTCCGCGGCGATCCGAACTCGCCTCGAACTATTTCTACCAATAACATTCAGTCTCCACGTCCAGGCTGCGCTGTCTTACAGACCACTCGCTGCAAAGGGTCACGCTGCGTTTCGCAGTGTAACCTGCCCGCATGGGCCTGCCTGGAAGGGATGGCAGCGGTTCATGGTATAAAGCTATGCTTCGCTTTCTCTCGGACTTTTTTGTTTCTTTTCTCCCAGCAACTCAGACTTCAGTATTGTCAATTGCAACCCTCAACGATCGATCGTCTCTCGATACCGGGATTATTGGACCTCGGTTTCCCCCGAAGTATAGATGGCGATATCGATGTCGTCCAACCCCCTCCGAAACCACTCGCACGTTTACACAATTGCTTTATCGCAACCCATCCACAGACCTAGTAATAATTCTAAATCAAATTATAATTATTATTGAAGACATCCGTTTCAACATGGCTATCGAAGTGCTTCCGATCACCACTGCTGATATCCCTGCCGCCGTAGCGTGCATCCAGAGGGCCTTTGCTGACGATCCATATTTCCAATGGATTTTCAATCCGTCCAAGGTACAGCACCTCCACAGAATATTGCAGAAGTAGCAACGAGTATTAAAAAAATAGGACAGTTAAACATACACCGCAACGCAGCCTCCCTCTCCGCCCACCTCCGCTACGGTATTAACTGCAAAGCCCCCATCTACGTCGCCAAATACTCCCCCGATCCAGACCAGAAAGTACCAATTCCCATCCTTACGCCTAAAATCGTAGGTGTCTGCTGGTGGTTCCCTCCCCACCCACCTAGCGAACCCGAAAGCTGGACCGAGTGGACGCAGGAATGGATCCTGTCTTTCCGCCAATTCCTGTTTAACGTGCGCTACTTTGGTCGCGGGGGTTTGAATCTGCGTCGATACCATATTTGGAAGGATGTGCAGAAGGAGACCCATGATGAGGTGTGGGTTGATCCGAGGGGGTATTACTTTTGTAATGTGATTGCGGTTGATTCGGAGATGAGGGGGATGGGCGTTGGACGGATGTTGGTGGATGTTGTTACAGAGAGGGCGGATCGGGAGGGGGTTCCGTGTTATTTGGAAAGTTCGAAGGGCATGCCCAATCTTAAGATCTATGAGAAGCTGGGGTTTGATCTAGTCAAGGAGATTGAGTGTGTTGATGAGCGGGACGCTTGCAAGGTGAGCATGCTAAGACTATGGTGGACTTGATTGATGCTAACGAAAACAGTTGTATTGCATGACCAGACAGCCGACACTCAAGGCTTAGGCATATATACCTAGATATCATGAATTGAGAATAACCCCGTATACTCCGTGCTTAGTACTCCGTACAAGCAATCAATAGAAAAAGACAAAATTTTTCACCATTCAAAACCCCAACCCCTCGACAGTAGTATTCACAACCGCATTATCAAGCAAAGAAAATGAGGCCTGCTCCGCTTTTTTCTCAACAAGAACTTCCTGCAAATACTGAATCGTTTTCGATTTGATGACGCCCAACTGCTTATATTTATCCAGCCCAATTTTTTCCAGTCCATGCTCCACATTGAACCGATGGTACAAGTTCGGTGTGTCGTAAAACCTGCGCTCCAACTCCTCAGACACAGCTTCACAATTAGTAGTAATATCTTTCATGGCGCGCAATGCAGAAAATGGAACGCCCGGCATTACAATACGCTGGAAGAGGCTGGGAGCCTTGACATCGCTGATATCCTTCTTCCCGGTCCCGATGCTGACGATGCAGGAAACGCCCTTGCTGGGAGGGAATACACTCTGGACCTCTGCGATCAGCAATCTCGTGGGGTTATTGGCTCCCATTGCACCGTCGACAAGCTCGTGGGTCTGTCCTTGATGGTCTATCTCTTGACGTTTGAAGAATGTAGGTGCAGCGGATGTTGCTCGTGCAGCTTCGCAAATTGTGACATCGAGATGGTCATCGGGGCTACCAGTTGTGTACGATCTGTACAGCTGAGCAGGTCCAGAGACGTTACTGGCGTCTTTAGAAACCACAAACCTTGTATAATGTTAGTCAAATATATTGAAATTAAGGTTGTGGTAAAACTCACGCTTTACAATGGTTACCCGGTGCAAAGAGCTTCGCATTCGGACCCCCCTCGCCGTATCGCTGAATCATGCCCCGAATGGCATTCTCCAGATTTGTCGCTTTGAATCGCCCATTCAGAGTGGCCTTTGACTCCCCAAAGACATCCTTCGACAGAACGGTGTATTCGTCGAGGACCTGATCTACGGACATCTGAAGTCGGCCCAGCATGATTGCAATGAGTCCTCCGGTGCTGGTGCCTCCAATCATGTCAAACACTTCACAGGGCTTGGGGGTAACTGGGAGACGGTAATTTTTTTGGATGTTGAGCATCAATTGTTGTAAGATAATGAGCTCACTGACACCGCGGACACCACCGCCATCTGAGGCAATTAGTACTCGAATTCGAGAATTGGCAAAGGTGTTAGCTAAACATACCAAGAGAGAGCAGACGGAGAGGTGCATCCTTATTGCTCATTCCAGCCATCTTGGTAATTTAAGGTACAATGCAATTTTGGGAAGAAAAACTGAGAAAAAAAAAGAAAGAAAATTTAGTAGAAAAATGTTTAAATTGATTAAATGCTTTAATTACTGCTAATACTTTGATTTTAATCGGAATAGGCCACCCTTATATGTACTTCAATTTTCTATACAGCTCCACATAAGCCCATATTTTATAATAATCAACGCCCTCAAGTATCGACCCCTTTGCAACGCCCAAAACACTCATTCAGACCCACTCTCACCAAGCCCCAACTAACCCCCACCCCTACCAGTACCATGATCTTAATCTTCTAGCCTAATTCCCAATTGGCCCATGCATCTACAAACACACAAGCATCCAATTCTGTTACATTGGCTTCCTCATATATTTTTTGGAGTCAATAATGAACATGATAGGCCGATTAACAAGTGTCGGCGCTTAAACACGGCCGCGGGAAGAGGACGTGTAGCCGGGGATGATCTGGCGCTTAAGTGAGCGCGTTATGGACATGGATTGGGGAGGATTAGAATTCGGGCTACTGGCGGGGTTTCTATAATTGAGAAGATGGATGCAGAGGTGTGGATGTGGAAGGGGAGTCGGTGGGGTCGAGGTGCTGTGTTTGGTTTTCAGGATGAGTTCTTTGTTCGTAGGAGGATCTGGAAAGGATAGAAGTGTATAGCGGGCATCTATTTATTTATTTTATTTTTTTTTTCAGTTGAAACGCTAGCAAAAAGTGTGCTAGTTCCGAATGACTTGACAGGCCGAGTATACGGAGAGATTCGGTACACGCCCCGAGGGGCATCAATACGGAGCGCTGCCATGCCACCACAGCACGGAAGCCTGTTTATTCAGTTTAATCGATTGATTTGAAATTCAGAACTCCAACGTTATCGGATTTCCTTTTTCGACATGGTAATAACTGGTTGTGAACGTGACGTCACGATAATATCAACATCGATGCCATTGATATATAGAACTGAGATATATCGAACATCAACTTCAAATGTCCATTTATAAAATATCCACCTTGTCCATAGTACACAGAACAGAATGCCAACAGCCATCGTAACCGGCGCAACAGGTAAGCTCCATTCATCTCGTACCCCAATTGATAACCCCCCAGCGCCAACTACAACAATACAGGCCTCACGGGCGCCGCCATCGTCCGCCACCTAATCAACGATCCATCATATACAAAGATCTATACCCTCTCCCGCAGTCAACCAGGAACCCAACACCCCAAAATCCAACATGCCCACCTCGACCTCCAAGACTCTGCCTCCTCAATGGCCAACAGCCTCTCCGGCATCTCAGCAGACTACATCTACTTCTGCGCGTATCTAGCCAAATCCGATGAAGAAGAAGCGGCACGTGTTAACGGCGCGCTATTAGAGAATTTTATCAAAGCGTTGGATTTCACGGGTGCGATTAAGCAGCTTAAGCGGTTTATTCTGACGTGCGGGTTTAAGCACTATGGTGTGCATTTAGGGATGCCGAAACAACCGCTTGTTGAGACGGATCCGAGGCTGGAGGGGGGTATTGGGGGTGTGAAGTGGCCGTCAAACTTTTATTATGTGCAGCAGAAAATTATCGAGGACGCTGCGGCAAGGGGTGGTTGGGAGTGGATTTGTACGCTTCCTAATGATGTTATTGGGTATGCGAAGGGGAACTTTATGAATGAGGCTGCGTCATTGGGGTTATATGCAACGATCTGCAAGATGCAGCCTGGGTCGAAGCTGATATTTCCTGGTAACAAGAAAAATTACTTTGTGTACAACTGTTGGACATCCGCTGAGCTACATGCGCGTTTCTGTCTCTGGGCTTCTACGGCTCCGGGTGCTGGGAACAACATCTTTAACGTCGTTAATGGCGACACACAGTCTTTCCAGGAACTATGGCCGCGGTTGGCCGAGCGCTTCGGTTGCAAGATCCCGGAGGATATGTTCAGTCCCTCGACTACGGGGGCGTATGCCAACCAGTCAACGAATATGGATATGAAGACTAAGCACCCGATTGTTGTTCATGCACAGAAAATGGGTATTGCCGATAACCATATCCTCAAGACACCACCGGCACTGTGTCTCCCGATTGACCCTGCGAAATGGTCGCAGCGGGACGATGTTAAAGAAGCGTGGAAAACAGTCCAGTCGAAGTATGACTTAGATGAGGATGCATGGGACAAGGCTACATGGGACTTTTTGACGTTTGTTCTGGGACGAGAATGGGGTTGTGTAGGGAATGTGAACAAGGCGCGGAATTTGGGCTGGACAGGGTATGAAGATACCTGGGACTCGTTTGAAAATGCGTTCCGCATGTTAGAGGAAGGAGGTGTTCTTCCCCCGGTTGAGCAGTTGAAGAAGGATTATTCTTGAGTTTGGAAAATGAAATATGTTTGTACAACTAGAGCCGAAAGCAAAAATATTATATTATGCCACATTCCACATCTCACCCTTTATATCTTCTCACCCCAATCCTCTCCGTTCATCACCTTACACACACACCAGAATGTCCGCTCTCCTCTACGTCCTAACAACCATAACATCCCCCTCCCTAACGCCAACAACCTACAACACCTGGTACGACACCGTCCACATCCCTGAACTCCTCTCAATCCCAGGCAGCCCCAACGCAGCGCATCGCTACAAATCCACAAACCCACGGAATCAAAAATGGCAATTTTTAACACTCTATCCACTCAATGACATCTCGTTTACGGGGGATCCGGCGATTCGGGAACGGGTCTCGTCGCATCACCCTGTACTTCCGGGGGGAAAATCGATTTGGGAGCTTATTGTGTTCGAGGGGAGGGATTATGTTGCTGTAAATGGTGGTGATGGGAAGGGATTGCAGGGAGGAAAGAGGTGGATTGTTACTGTTGAGATTGGTGGGGGGGAGGAGGGTATGCAAGGGTTGTTGGATGGAGTAGATGGAGGGTATGCGAGGTATAGGATCCATCGAGCACCGACTGCGATGGCTGGTGCTAATTCACCGGAGATTCCTGTTCTAAAGGAACTGGTGATATTCGAGCTGGACAAGGAAGAAGACATCGAGAGACTCATTAGTGCCCTCCAACAAACCTCTGAACCTCTCCGAATCAATATACAATGCTCCTCCTGGGAGTCTATCTAATATACACATATACAAAACATCACATTTACCAATCCAATCCATCTTTCTTCTCAATAACATTCCCACCCCACCTCTCCCTCCAGACCCCCATCTCCTCCCTCCACAAATCCATCACGCACGGATCACACGAACTCCCGCAGCATTCGCCCGGAACCGGTGGATCATTGTAGTCTCTTTCTGCGGCGCGGATGAGTTGTTTTGTGCGCGTGCCGCTGGCGTGTTTTTGGGCCTTTTTGATAGCCGGGATATCGGTAGGGTTGTGGTAGGCTGGTGTTGGTGGTGGTGGTTGTGGTTGTTGGCGGGTGAAGAGGGACGAGAGAAATGATGAAGTGGAGGAGATTGTGGGTTCGTTAGTTACCATGATGGAGGCATTTAAGTTGGGAGAGAAAAGTTGCATGGGAGTCGAATGTCCTGATCGGGATATATGGATGAATGGATGAATTCCGGGATGTCCCGCACCTCGGTTAAACCCGGATCCTCCCGACACCGTCAATTTGGGAGACAATAGAAACTCGCCGAACAGGTCTTAGCAGATACAATGTTCAGAAAACTGCAATCGATGAACGAAATTTAAGTGTTTGTATTATACTCTCGGTGCCACATGTCTGCAATGCGGTCTTCTCATCAGAAACCCGACCGAGATAATAAAAATAATCGCTGTCAACCACAAATGCTTTTTCTTCACCCCTAGAGACAGTTCATTCTCCGACTATACAGTTTCAGGCCGGCGTGAATGGAAGCGTCCGCTACAGAAAGGCTAGGACCGAAGACCCTGTAACTCGATCCGCTCGTGGTGTAGCTGAGGCTCTCTACTCCGGAGCACTAACTCTGTTCACTTGTGCTACCCAATTATATTGGTGTGTTCAGCAATAGTGCCTGAAAAATATCACCACTAGCAGTTAAATTCCGGCACCACCAAAAGCAAACATCAGCTGAACCGTGTCGGTGAGATAAGTCGCGATTCACTATCCCTTGCGCTGTCAAAAGGGACCGAATTCAATTGATAGCTAAGGATTCAAGCTTATTTTCACTTTTGATTTTGATTGCTTTCACCAACGGCAGACCTGACTATTACAATGGCGGGGGGCAACGAGAAGATGCACCATGCCAATGGTGATCCCGATGTCCTGATTCTTCTGGGAGAAGATAGCTCGGTGGATAATGAGAAGAGGGTGCGGAGGAAGATTGACTGTGTGATTCTGCCGATGGTGAGCCAGATTCATAGAAATGATTGATTCTGCAAGTGTTGACTGAATGCGTAGATGTGCATCGTTTATTTCTTGCAATGTACAGAGCATGATTCGTATCATCTTGGATACTTCTAACGGCTCAACAGACCTCGATAAACTAAGCCTGGGATATGCAGCTGTCTTTGGCCTCATTGAAGATCTCGGCTTGCAAGGGTCGCAGTACTCTTGGTGTACTTCGATATTTTACTTTGGTATATGCATATCTCGGTCGATCATGACTCGGTTCTGACTGAACAGGACAACTGGTCGCGGAAGGACCTTTTATCTATCTTATGGGTAGACTTCCATTGACACGGTTCATTGCGGTTACTATGTGGGTAACGACGAACCATTTCCCAACCTGTCACTAACGACAGCAGCGTTCTATGGGGCGCAGTATGCATGTGTCTAGCAGCTCCAACGAACTTTGCCGGGTTCGCGGCCGTCCGAGTACTCCTAGGTGTTACAGAGGGTGCGGACCCCACCTCATTTCCCCTTCATCTCCAACTAACACCGTACAGGTGCTGTATCGCCCGCATTTGTAACCATCACAAGCATCTGGTACAAGAAAGAAGACCACGCCCTCAGAGTCGGCATCTGGGGCGGCATGAACCCTCTAGCCCAGGTCATCGGTAGTCTGCTCATGTACGGGATTGGAAAGATACATCATCCGAGCATTGAACCGTGGAGGGTTCTGTTTCTGCTATGCGGGGCGTTGACTTCTGTATTCGGTGTGGTATTTTACATCGCGATGCCATCGACGCCGCACAAGGCCTGGTTCCTGACACCCCGGGAACGGCAGATTGTCCTCGAACGGATGGAACGGGATAGAGAGGGCGGAGACAAGGTCAAGTTCTCGTGGGCGCAAGTGAGAGAGACGCTGTTTGATACTAAGGCGTGGTTCATTTTGCTCTTCGGGTTCATCGCCAGCATGCCCGGTGCGGTCATCTTCGTGAGTTCCATGATATCACCCGTTATCATAATCATTGACTAACCTCACAGTTCGGCACAATCCTCATCAACGGCCTAAATTACGACAAATTCCAGACCATGCTCCTAACCGCTCCCTCCGGCGCAATCTCCCTGGGAATGCTCTGTGTCGCCATGATCGGCTGCTCTGTCCTCCCCAAATACCGCTGCCTAGTCCTGATCCTAGTGACGATTGTCCCGCTAGTCGGCAACATCCTCCTCCTCAAGCTCCCCCTTTCTGCAACATGGGGCCTTGTTGCATCCTCGTGGCTGGCATCGTGCAACCCTGGAATCCTAGTCATGATCATGAGTCTCAGTGCATCGAATATAAAGGGCAATACGAAACGTGCAATGGTGAATACGTATTTCTTTATCGGGCTTTGTGTGGGGTGTATTGCTGGTCCGCAGCTGTGGGAACCTAGCGCTGCGCCTAGGTTTTTTAGCGGAGTGACGATGGGGCTTTCGTGTTGGTGTGTGTTTATCTTTCTGGTAGGCTTGTATTGGGGATTTTGCTATTTGGAAAATAGGAAACGGGATAGGGAACAGGGTGTGCATTCGGGAACTGAGACTTATGCTGGAGAAGACTTGACGGACAAGGAGGATGTTCTGTTTCGGTATAGTTATTGACGAGGTAATATATAATGGATGTACTGAGATCTGACACATAGAGCTTGGCCGAAACTAGCACCGGGGCTGTGGTAAGTATGCAAGCCGAAAAAGGAAAACGTGACTTGGCCGAGTGAGACAAAAAATGGTGCCTGACAAGCTCCACTCAAACCCGTGGAACACATCAGCCAAGCTTCCACTAAACGCGGGCTTTGTCATCCGGTTTTACATTTGCTTACTTTGATTGGCTAAATCCCACAAGCTCCCCAAAAATAGCCGTCACAGATTGTTATACAGATCCACCTGCGCTTACTTTTGATTGGATCGAATCACTGCCCCCATGCACTGACCAATTGTCGGCCACTGTATGTTCCTTGCGACCAATCAGTGCTGTTTCTGCGGGCCTATCACAAGCAAAAATATATGGACCAATGGGAGAGAATCTGACGCCATCCGGCACCGGGGATCAGCTGCCTCACAAATCGGGCTCTTTTTCTCTTCTTTCAGCCTTCCTTTTTTCTCTCACCACTGTCTCCCTCATATCATGTCTCTTCCAACCTCTCTGCCTCCTGCCATTTCCGCAGAAATCCCCGTTAGAAAAAACTAAACCTACACTACGAAACTACACCCCGCATTCTATACTCTGCACAAATAAACAATCCGCGACCCGCATCCCCCCGAAATCCCCGAGCTTTTCCCTCCTCCCCATCCATTGCCATGTCAAAAAAGCTCAGCGACTCCGCCGTCATTGTCATCGTGATCGTGTGCTGTCTCGCCTTTATTTCAATGGGGGCAGCACTGACTCGCCAATTATACCCGCCAAGCGAATCAGGGACGCGATACGAACCGACCCGAGACCAGGAGATGTATATGCGGGCGGTGCGCATGCGCAATCGTTATAACTTTCATCGACAGTCTTTGATGCCGAATGATTTAGAGTCGAATTGTGGGTTACCCCCTTTCAGGATTGGGGTTTTGAGTATACTAACGAACGAGTGGTAGACACTACGGAAGAGACGTCGAGGATGTGAGAATTGTATAAATATTGGACAAAATAAATGGATATGAGATATGTTAGGCGCTTTACTGATGGATATATTGGTTGGAATTTTTTTTTTTTTTTTTGCAAGGAGCACTGGAGTTTGATATGGATACCATTTTCTGCGTTTGACCGTGTTCAGTTGATCTGATACATGGGTTTGTCCTTTCATTAGCGTTTACGATACGCCCTGGTGGTTTGCGTGTTTTTACAGAAAATGGAATTTCATTTCATTCTCTTCATTCTACTTACCCCGCCAAACTGATAAGACTGCCAGCGAGTAAGTCATGCGGCTTATTTGGGTGCCAGGTCATAGTCTCACGTCATACAAGTTTTATTTGCTTGAGACTGGTCTCGAAGAAGATGCTACAAAGCTCGATTCTGAACTTATTGTGGAAGGGCAGGAGCCATGCGTGACCTGGGGACAGTCGATATCCAGAGGCTCGCCGTTAGACGTTATGCAACAGCCCGGAGGTATGGTCTTTGCAGTTAACGGGCACTTATTGAAACTCAAACCCTAGGGCTAGCATCCTACCAGGAACTGGTCAGGTGACGGAACTATCATGTGGCTCTAAACACTATTGCAATATCGCATCCTAACCCAGTCATACGGCGGCTACCGGCTACGTTGCACACATCAAATACACCCTGACAAGAATCATTCAATCATAAACATTATCTCGACCACACCGTTGCACAATCAATATCAACCTTCCAACTCGTCCAAAGATATCCCACTCAAGCTTATCCGCCCCCTATCCCCGGAAATCAAACATTAGCACCACCGCACCCACACCAACATCAATATTCACATACCTAAGTCAAGCATACTTATCATAACACTCATCACACAACCACAAAAAGTCAGTCCCGCTCTCCGTATAGTATGTCTTCATAGTACACGGCCTGTACTCCGCGCACCCATTGCAGTGCATAACGTGAATCATTTCCAACACACCGCGCAAATCAGCGAAGCCATTCGATATACCACAGCATATAACAACTCACCCCATATCAACAGGGATAGACAGCGTTGCAAGAATATGTAGTATGTGATGCGTTCCGTAGGATACTCAGAAAACAACTCAAGCTGCAAGGGAAGCTGTAACAATAGATAATGTGAATAGACGTAAAGAAAATCAGATGTGGCTCAAAATCACTGGCCACAGCGCATTATTTATACCCCAGTGCTACGTCAGATATTCCTCATGTTACTCTCTTATATCGCAAGCATTATTGCCCATAAACCCAAAAGCTTTGTTCCACGATCTTAGCAACGTGCTAAGTTGATAGGTACGGAGTGCTCGGTGTTTGATTTATCTACATTATAGTCTATTGTTGTTGTTCCTGGGGTTTCCTTGCGAAGGGGAGATTTGGGATATGCCAGGGGTGCATACGGGGAGTGGTTTTGATTGGTGGGATGGGGAGATCGAGGAGGGCGTTTTGATTGAGACTGGGTTGGGTTTGTGAGGGAAGGGGTTCTGATGGGGATTGAGAGGTGATAAGATTATCATGCCGAGTCTATTGGGAATCAACGGATGAGATTGGTGGAGTTGGTTTGATTGTATTCAGAATGGGCAAGTTTTATGCTATGTTTGTTGGGGCTAATGCAGATAGATTGATGTGAGAATTTCATGCTGAGTTCGCGAACACTCCCTTTCCCTTTGCTGATACCGCACAAATAAACTGTTTGATACCTTTGCAATATCTGCTGTCTTGGATGATTTTGCTGTAAACGGGGTTGAGATTGTTTGCGCTCAATCGAGCCTTCCACGCTCGTGATGGCTCTCTCTAGTGCCTCAAGTGAAAGACTGGGTGGGTAACGTGTGACCAACATTAGCAATAAGTGATATTCTCATTCAAGCGCCACTGCTGCTGATGAGTTTAGTTAGATTCTTCAGTTCAAGTATCCCCCGGACCTGCTAAACATCGTGATGCGTGGAAGGAAGACTTGTGTTTTCTAGGTGACATTCTCGTTGATCTGCTTGGTATTTCGGCACATGTTACACCATATGGTCAGCGAAGTACTTCATTCTTGTTTATTTGCTGGAAGGGTTAGTCAACAGTGCATGCTTTTCGCATTGGTTCGTGAGTATTGTGGCATAATGCGAGATTCTCTGTCCTACAAGTCGGATTAGTTTTCCCTCGGACAATGCCAACACACTATTGTTGCTTTAGGCAATACACATTTCAACGGTCCTCATTGCATATGTGGTGGCGTATGACAGTAATGATCAATCGAAGGAGTTTGCTCCTGGTAAATGTGCAGCAAGGTTAATCACAGACTGAATGTAGGGGGAGTTTGTCCATTCTTGCACACCCACCAAGATTGGCTACAAATAAGTGTAGTACTGACTTAGGAGCAGCAAGGGTCGTCTAGAGAGGAATACAAGACGTGTCTTCAGTTTTTAGCGAGCGCAATTTCCCACCCATCCTCTGATTGGAATTACTACCAGAAGAGATTCTTCGCGACCCAAGGAAAGACGACGCTCGCCGCAGCCCACCCGAAACACTCCGAGCAAGGCTTCGACTGCACTGGTGATCCTCGTCCTTATTTCCCTTTTTGCTTATTGATTCCGAGGAGGCAACTGAAACGTCATCTGTCACAGTTGAGGGAGCTGAAAGAACACTTTCTGATTGAAAATGAGCACGCCTCGGACGATACCCGTTATAACGCCGTGTCCAGGCCTGTGCAATCAGGCGGTACATCTGGTCAGTGATCCTACCACCGAACCACAAACCTGGCGGAAATTTCCATGGGTACCGGGCCTTCTTTTTGTAGCCCCTTGTCCAAAACTTCGTCCCGTAGACGTCGTTCAAAACCCTAAGAAATAGGTGACACCCGGAGCACGACAGTTTTGACATGCCGATGTACGCGTAGACAGTCTGCGGTCGTTGCATTGCCTCGAGGACGAGTCTTAACTCGCAGTGCACATGGACATCTCGAGGGACAGGCTCTTTGGCCATACACTCTGTATCTTTAGAAACAACACCAATGTCCAGCTCATACCTTTCTGGCGTTGTACTGGAGGCCTTCTTGAGGACACGTTCCCAATCCTGGGCTGTATACGGGACATCACGAGCTATACTATTTATTGCCGAAAGCGCATAAAGACTGAATGGACGCTTGAGTAAGTCCTGACATTCAGGCAAACAGGCAGTCATTTGAAGGTGCTGTACCATCTCAAAGTACGCTGTAACCTTTTGCAGATACCTTTCTATTGATGGGAAGTAATGGGCGTATGAATGGTCTTTGGGCCCAAATCCGGGGTCGCTGCTCATGAACAGCTCGATAGACTCTTTTGTCCTAGTGAGGCTCGTGGTGAATCGCCCCCACCCCTTCTTGTCTTCTGAACGTGGCTTTCCAATTGTCGGATTCTGGCTAGTGTACATCGTAAAGAGGCGTCGCATATTCTCCCTCACCGTGCAGAATGGATGGGTCTTCGGAAAGTCGTCTAACGGTACGGCCAGTAGAATGGCAATCTCGGAGTTGACCTCCTTCGTCCACTTCACGAACACGAAGCCCATACAAAGACTCACGAAATCGGCAATGAGCTCTTGCTTCTCTCGCACGAACTTCTTCATGGACTCTTCCATCTCCATGCCGCCGACACTTTGCCTGTTCCAAACGGATGCGACGTCCTTCATGGACTTCCAGATAAGCATCAATTGCTGCTTACTTTGCTCTCCAACTTGGCCTTCCGTTGCAACCAGGATCTTGATCCAATTTTGATTGGTTTTCTTAGCATGCCAAGCTTCTAAACCGACCGCGACGACCTCGTCTTCCCTGGAAGAACACAAGCTTGCAAGAGCATCAAGGGCCTTTCTTAGAACGGAAGGGATTTCTTCTTGCAACTTAGCCAGCTTCACAGGCACCTTTTTCAGCGCTTTTTTGAGCACCTTATCCTCATTGTTAGGGGCCACAGACATGTAAGGTTTCCCTTGAGCTCTGTACCGTTTCTGCAGCCTATATATGGCTGCGAGGAGGTTCTGAACGTCAATAGCAGTTTTGGGAGTGCTGTTGCATGACGAGATTGGCTGCTCATGTTGCTGCAGTTGGTCTAAAGACATGCTCTCTCGTAAGGGGCTAGGTATCCTCTGGGCGATGCGTGCCCGTCTACTAGTATGGTGGTGGATGGCATCGATGAAGGGGTTATTGGTTTTGGAAGACATCTTCTCTGAACTCAGTAGTAGCTACTGTGTTGGTAAGATATGCTGAATAGTCAAAAACAAGACAAATTGGGCATATCGGAATAAATCAGTGTAGCGTCGATTTGTGGGGAAGAAAGGAGGGATTGAAAAATTGAGGACTTAAGGAACCCTCTGTAGGCCGTAGTAAGAATAATGGTGCCTAGCCGAATTCCTATTTTAAATCCGATTGATTTGTTTGTGAAAGGTAATCCATGGTGCAGACTAGGCAATCTTCATAAATTTAATCATTTCACTGCCTGCAATAATGATTCATAAAAGATTATCAGTTCTGGTTTGGATGACGATGTAATGAACCTCCCAGTACCTGAATAATTTCCCTGACAATCTTTCTTTCTTAACAAACAATACATTTTCATAGAAGATGCATAGATGATAGTTGTCACCTCAATATAGCCAGAGCAGCATGTTCTGGACAAAGGTCTTGACTGCCCATGCTATTCAAGTCGTTAATAATAGCATTTTAGTGTTTTCTCACAGGTCGTTAGTTGAGACTAGCCAGCGATAGACCGCTGGTGAGCCGAGAACTAGTTAGAAACTTGGCGTTCAAACACGTCAAATGGTTTTTCTAGCAGTATCTTGGGCATCTTCCTTGCGATACTGAGATGAAGATTCCGGTCATGGAATGAGACCATATATTCATCTATTTCCCCTTTGGACACTTGTTCCCGTTGGAGCGCATAACAGAGGAGAAAGTTCTGTGATAGGGTGCTGCAAGTCTCTGCAATTAGGGCCGATCTCATCCGTAATGTCACTCAGTTCAAGATAGCGACTAAATTGAGCACAGTCAAATATCATAAATTTCAAGTTAAGATCGGTAATTTAATTAAAAATGTCGTTTCTCCTTGCTGAAAGATATGTTTCCCACATCATACGCAATTGACCATCTTTTATGGCGAAAATATCTGTAGTTGATCAGCCTCACGACTACTTACAGAACTGAGATATCTTTTACTCGCATGGCTGGATGATCTGACTCCTAATATGCTCCATCTCATTTAGGGAGAATGCAGTCTCATCATACGGAGCAGACTGCATTCGGATTGAACTGCCTCGCTGTGCTCGACATATTGGGGAGGATAACCAGACTCCCGAGTTCCAAAGTGCTCAGCAATCACGCAAGTAGCTCTGCCATGAGATTAAGGGAATATACGATCAATCAAGCTCGTACAAGCGAGGGTCCAATCTAGAAAAGACCATTAGTTTCGGCCTCTGTAGCAAAGTCTTGAGAACCAAACCGGGATATACCCGTACCTGCAATTCAGAATAACTGTTTCTGCAATGGTTGACGCAGGTTGCCCTTCGAAGAACACAAAATAGCATTCAAATTTATAGCAGTACCTTTTCTTCGGAGACAGAATGTCTATCAATTTACTTCGACATAGGTTCCTCCTTTTCTCTTGGACAGGGTTCCATTGGGAAGATGGCCTGGCGCTAATAACAATCTATTTCTGCTATATGGGAATTTTTATGAAGGTACAGGGCTTTTATAGTATGTGATTGTGATTCTAGCTAATTTTGGCAATCAAGAGATACATAATGTGACATTTATAAATGCGAGGTCGACATTCAAGTTTATATCAGGATTGAAACTCGACTCATTCCCGCTGTGCTGACCCGAGAGCGGGGTAAATATGGATATCCTTGTAGCAGTCGAGGAAGCTATATAACCCACTTACTCTACAACCTGAATCCCTTAAATCCACAAATAACCATAATGGACTCCCTCATTGCTCAAGCTAGCGACTACTCACGATTCAACGACTTCAAAATTCTCACCACCACGTACAAAGTAGTCTACAACCACGAAATCACGGTCGACATTCTCTACCCCAAGCATCTTCACAATTCCTCTCACCAGCATCTACGCGCTACTCCTCGTCCAGTCCTTCTCCGCTATCATGGTGGAGGTCTTATCTGCGGCCACAGCCTCTTCCCCCCGTTTTTCAATAAATGGTATCTCGAGCTTGCACAGGAATATTCAGCCGTGATTGTCTCTCCGAATTATCGGCTTATGCCCGAGTCTTCCATCCTTGAAATTTTGGGGGATGTGGAGGATCACTGGGATTGGATGCATGCATGGTTCCCGGCGTTCTTGGAAAATGAGACTAGCGGGGAGATAAAGGCAGAACTTGGTCAGATTCTGGCTGTTGGTGATAGTGCAGGTGGCTATCTGAGCCTGCAAATGGGTCTAAGCCATCCAACCGAAATCCGGGCAGTTAACGCAGTCTATCCCATGACGAATCCCAAGGCAGCATGTTTCACTGGTGAGCAGCTAAGGCCGGTATTTAACATCTCAACGCTTCCCAAGGACACATTGGAGCGTCACCTATCAAATCTCAAGGAACAAGAAGCACTCTCCGAAGTTCCAATTGTAAAATCCGTCGAATCCAGTCCTGATAGACTGACATTGTGCTTTTCCATCTGTCAACACGGAAAAATGGGTCAATTGCTGCCATACGATTCAATTACGCCATATCCGCTAGAGCGACTAGATGCTGGAGCAAGATTTTCTCGAGGTGGGGTGGTGCTGCTTCACGGCAGAGATGATACTGTTGCTCCTATTGAGCAGAGTTATTCATTGAAGGAAAAGGTGGAAGATGTCGATCCTACTTTAAAATTTCGTCTAATCGTGCGGGATGGTGAGCATGGTTTTGATCATTCGGCTAAATTACATGATGCCTGGCTGTGGGATGCGATTCAGGATATTGTAAAAATTTGGCTTGACTGAGTCGACTGGGCTAGTTTTTTTGAAAGCTCACTGTGACCAAATGCTCTTTTCAATTAATATTAGAAAAATGGCAGTAGCCTGAAATCATTTACCACCTTGGACGGAAACTAGGATCACGACGTACATAGTTGGGGATAGTATGGAAGGTGTATTCATTGGGATTCTGGTCCACGATGTTAAATATTGATACACCATTGGTGAACTGAGAGCATGGCCCGTGAAGAAAACCCATGAAATTCTTTGCTCGTGACTTCCCGTACGCCAGGAAATTTTCGGTAGCAGCCAGTCCATAAGACTTTATTCGTTCAGTAAAATACGCATTGTAACTTGGTTGGCTCCATCTGACACCACCTGACTTTATATCATATTTGAGCCCTTTGGGCCCTTCAGATAGCACATGTTCGTTTATTCGGGTCGATTGTTTGAGACTGGGAGCGGGCTGTCCACATATCTGCAGTTGAGAGCCATACTTAAGCAGACTGCAACCGTTAAACAAACGGTATAGAGAATACTAGAAGACGTACGCTCTGTCAAATTTAGCTACACATGCTTGTCAATTCTCAGTCAGTTTAGCTTGGATCCAGCCGTTGCAAAAGCACTGGCCAAAAGCGGTCCAAGTATGAAAACATAAAAAATGCCCCTGAATCCCCGAGCGTCAAGTAATGCTTGCCTTTATAGTCGATGATGCAGAGATCCACGGTGAATTAGTTGATGTCCTAGCCATCCTGAAGCATATTCAGTAGACAAATCATTGGAGGAACCCTGAGAACTTTTTTTTAAATTTTTTTTTTTTTTTTGGCATCGAAGGTCTCCAAAATGGCTTAATCCGGCAAGGGGAACCATCTGGACTTTTTGTTTCACGCACTAAGTGCTACTGATATCTCCGTAAGAGCTTAGCCATCTCTAGTGAGGCCAAAAAGAACGTCTCCCCTGATCATCTTCCAGAGCCCCATCATCTGACACGGCAGGTGCACATGAATCTCCCGCAGACGCTACTCCGTTCATCATATTGTTAGAATGACCGTAAAGCTTAGCGGCTATGGTCATGGTGGCAACAGTGTGGTGACGACTGCAGCAGGTGATTTCAGACTGCCGCTGGAAGTGGTTTCATCGCACTCAGATCATGCCCCGGCCTCTTGCAATCTGCGTAATGAGCTGGCGCGTGCAGGGCCCGAGGAGGTACCAGTAGACACTGTGAGTACCATGGAACCAGCCGAGCAGGAGCAGTGGGTAGTCTGGAAGTTTGAAGACATACTGGATAAGAGCAATAATGAAAGTCTATTCTGCGATAGAGTGACTGGCTACATTAGTATCCAGTCCATTGAACTTGACAATGACATCATCCGGTATATAGATTAGACTCAATGCACTATTCCCCATATAGCTTAGTCGCCGCCGTGTCTGGGGTAGACCCGCTCATAGCTCCACCCCGATTTGTCAGATCTTTCGTCATGCTTCTGTAACCTTCCTCGACCAATATCGTCTACATAAAAATCCTACATCTGCATCCTATATACCCCCTGTACATAATATACTAAACGTTATACTCTCATACTCTACCAAAACCGCCACAATGTCTCAAAAAGTCATCGCTGTCACCTCTCCTAAACAAGCCACCCTCACAAACCGCCCCCTCCCGGCCCTCCGCGACGACTATATCCTCGTGAAAACCATCAGTGTCGCCATTAACCCCACTGATTGGAAGCACGTTGAGTACCTTGCTCCCCCCGGTGTCCTCGTCGGCTGCGACTACTCTGGTGTCGTCGAGGAGGTCGGCAAGGACGTCAAGAAGCCGTTCAAGAAGGGCGATCGGATCTGCGGATTCGCGCATGGATCCAATGCCGTGCAGGCTGAGGATGGGACCTTTGCCGAATACATCGTTGTCAAGGGCGATGTTCAGTTCCGTGTCCCTGATCATATGAGCTTCCAGGAAGCCGCAACGCTGGGTGTCGGTGTGAACACTGTCGCGCAGGCATTGTACCAGTCTCTACAATTGGCACTTCCCTCGGATCCCGTTAAGGAAAAGACCCCCATCCTGATCTACGGTGGCTCCACAGCAACCGGTACCCTGGCGATCCAATTCGCCAAGTTATCCGGCTACACAGTCCTGACAACCTGTTCCCCCCGCAACTTTGACCTCGTCAAGAGCCTCGGCGCAGACGCCGTGTACGACTACAACGACCCCAACGCCGCTTCTAAGATCCGTGAAGACACCAACAACAAACTCAAACTCGTCTTCGACACCATCTCCCTTGAAGACTCGGCCAAGTTCTCCGACAACGCTCTCTCCACTGACGGCGGCGACTACAGCGCGCTTTTGGTTGTCGGCATCGAGCGAGAAAACGTCAAGGACAGATGGACTTTGGCTTACACTATTATCGGCGAGGCGTTTGATTTCGGTCAGGCCAAATTCCCGGCTAAGCCTGAGGATAAGGCGTTTATTGAGGGCTTCTTGCCGCTTGCTGAGAAGGTGCTGAATGAGAAGAAGATTAAGGTGCATCCGGTCAAGGTTTTGCCGGATGGGTTGAAGGGGGTATTGCAGGGTTTGCAGGATATGAAGGAGGGAAAGGTTAGTGGGGAGAAGCTTGTGTATAATGTTTCGGAGACTCCGTAAACAGGCCTATTGTATATAGTATTTCAATTCATGTACACTAACATGCATCTTTTGATTCATTTTCGTGGTTGGAATATTCTACGTAGCTATCAGATTCATGTATTCCATTTCATGTATTCCATTGGATAACTGTGTCATTACCTTGTTTCCCGTCCTTCAGCTGTGATCTTAGCCAGGAATCAGGCAACTTCCTGTGTATGCTAAAATAATGCATAATTACACCGGACTGTATTCTCCGTTCCAGACAACCCCTCTAAATCCACATTCGTGCAATCTAGCGATCTACATCCCGAACCCATTCAATTTCTAATCAGAATTTCTAATCACCTCGAACATTCCATTCTATTTTTTCCATCCCAACTATGTACCGAGATACGGTCCATCAAAGTCTGACCTAAGACTGCGCATTATCAAGACCCACCAAAGTCCGCAGCGGAGTCTAAACCAAATCCAGAATAGCCTGAGCTTGTTCGGAATCGGCTCGTGGCGACTGACATGAATGTAGATGCATTTTCGGGATATATATTCGCATGTCTGTCCTTACAATTTGCTTCAATTCAAGCTTTAATCCTAAGAACGAGAACAGCGCAAAATGTCCTTTCCCTACAAGAAAGTTCTCGTCATTGGCGCCACTTCTGGCATCGGCAAGGCTATTTCCGAGAGACTTGTTAAGAATGGAGTTTCGATTGTGATTACCGGACGGCGAAAGGAGAACCTGGACGAATTTGTGGCCGCGCATGGTAGCGATAAGGTCCAGGCAAAGGTCTTTGATGTTTTGAAGTTAGATGATGTATGTCCCTCTATTCCCAATCCAAGACAAACAGGAAAAACAGCAGCTGACAATCGTGGCTATAGATCCCCCAATTCGCCTCGGATGTTCTCTCCTCAAACCCCGACCTCGACTGCATCTTCGTCAACGCCGGTATCCAACGCGCGTTCAATTTTGCCGACCCCACCTCCGTCGACATCGACACTTTCGACACAGAGCTCCTCACCAACTACACCGCGGCAGTCCGTCTGACAAAGGCCTTCCTCCCTCACCTCCAGAAACAACCAACCAAAACAGCGCTTATCTACACAACGTCGCAGATGGCGTTAGTCCCAATGATGCGCGCGCCCGGGTACGGTGCGTCGAAGGCTGCGCTGCACCATTTCATTCTTGCCCTGCGCACGCAGTTGAAGGACAGTCCGGGTGATGTTAAGGTGGTGGAGGTTTATCCGCCTGCTGTGCAGACAGAGCTGCATGATACTAAGCACCAGCCGGATCTTGAGAATGGGCATTTAATTGGGATGCCGTTGCAGGAATTTGCGGATGAGATGTGGAGTAGTCTGCTGAAAGGCGAGGAGCAAATTGCGGTTGGTTCGGCAAAGGAGATCTTTGATGCGTTTGAGCCGAAGAGGCAGAGCGTTTATGAAAACTTGACGGCAGGGTTGACGGAAGTGCTTAAGCAGTTTCTGCGGTGATTCGAGCGCAATGGTGCAAGTCATATATTCTATATATTAATTGGATATAGTGTTCATTATCTTCATTAGTAGTTCATGCCAAATGATGACTTCAAAGAGAGATTTCTCTGTAACCCTGCACCGGTGGAAATGCAACCTTCTTCGCTGGTAATCCTTTACAAGCCGCAAGAATCAAACTTCCGAAAAATGAAATTCCATGAACCCTTCCACCCTCCAACATATCCGAGTATTCCCGTAAGGAGACCATCGCCACAGGCGCATATCGCGCCTTCTCTTCCCACTCGCTATCAACCGACTCATCCCACATGGATGTCCGGACGTCGAACGGCAATGCATCGACGAACGGCGTGCGGACCGAGAAACTCCTTTTTCTGAATGAGTACGCGCTGCAGAGCATGTACGCGATAATAATCGTGCGCCGGACACTCTCTGCAAAAAGCCAAGCTCGTCGCGCACTCATTGCATGCGGGAGTTGGATGGGTGCTTGGTGCCACAATTTCAAGGCCATATTGGTTAGCATGGTGCTAGTCGCCTCGCTGTATTGGCTGTTCTCCTGGTCATCAAAAGCCAGTATGCAATGTGAGAGAATCAAAGCCTGCACGCAGAAGAGAAGCTCCTCAAATGAAGAGGTGTGGGTAGCGTGGCGATGAATCTGAACTGCCTTCTGTCGGAGAATCCCGAACAACCGCGGCGAATAAACATCACTCTGATAAGACTTGCAAAGCGTATGAATCTCCTGAATTGGCCCCGAGTGACTCGAACTCCTGTACAAGTCGGGATGAATAAACAGCGTTTTCATCTGCTGCGCGAAAGTCACTGGAAATGTTCGCATGCCGTCAACCAGAAATCGAATGATTGCCCCATCGAATGTCTTAATAATCTCCAAATGCAATGGCCGGTTCATCGGACTAGTTGCCTTTACGCTTGCTAGGGGCCCATTGGACCTCTTTCCCACCGCCCACGGCGTGTTGATGTACTCGCAGGGGGTTCCCTTCGCCGCGCACCGGTTGCATTGAGGTAAGCGCTGGTCGCAGCGGCGCTTGAGTTTTGCGCACGTTTGACATGATCTTCTGAGGCTGACTCTGGATGACATTGTCTGTCGTGTATCATTTGGTAATAGTCGTTGGTAGTTGTTGGGTTTGGATGGAGAAGTGCGTCGTGGAATCTCCGTGGAAATTCCGTCGAAGCGGCTGGCGGCGATAGCCGCTAACGTAATCTACCGAGTATACTCCGCATTTTAGTCCTTATACTGCACTGTTTTGGTCTCTGTAATTACCATAGGCTATTCTTCTACATGCACCTGGCTTCCCTTGTAGAAATCTGTGTGGTTTTGGTGCCATTGCATTCTCTTCGAGTGCATGAATAAAGCAAAAAGCAAGATTTATGTATATAACCCCTTCATTAACTTGGCAGCCACATCTTTATCATGCCCAAAAATAAGCATCACATTATGCAACTGCTGCAACCTCCCCGTCAAATTAAGACATTGATGCCACTGCGTATAATCCCTTGCAAGTCTTCCCTACGGATGGCCCAGTTTATAATTCTCAATGACATGAAACCAATCCGTTGTCTAGATAAAAGCCCCGTCCAGCTCCAAGTTAACCTGCATCATGCAAAAACCAGGAGCATGACCCAGTGCATGATGCAGAATAAACCCCTGGAACATATCCAAATGAGACTTGGTAAAAGTACGAGATCCATACCGGGTTACTCAATGAAACTAGCAAACACGATTACATCGCGCTGTTTGTTCTCCGGATTCGGTTCGCTGAGCATACTTGTATTGCCACCTCAAGGATCCTGGACTAATTAGTGGGCTATTATTGTACAATGCGGATGAAGGGCGAACTAGGAATTGTCTGCTTGTAATGTGCCCAGGACCAATATATGCATTTTTGTCCTGGGTCGACATTTAAATACTGGGCCACCAGCTGCCATCAGCAGGGAGGAGGGATCACTCTAAGCGGCTGAATGGTTTCGAAAAGATAAAGGGATGTGAAATACATGCTATTGTAGAATGATATCGATAAAGGAAAATCTAGTGACCAAACTCCCTCAAGATATACACCTGATCAATATTGTTGCAATGTTGCATTAACCATTTCCAGATGCGGGGGAGTTCTTGCTCCGCGGAAAGACAAGGTTTCGCAGCATGTACCAAGTTAAGCATTGATAACATCCAGAGTAATGTGGTTTACTCTCGCATGATTGGCAAGGAGTGCTGATGTTTCTTCACAATACAAACTTGAATAGCATTGCCTTTTGCACGTGGGGCTTCATATTCTTTTTCTTCATAGAGAAGCAAATTGAAATGGAGATGTCCTGCTTATCGTGTCCTGCAGCAACCCCGTATCACTAGAGCTGAAAATCCACTATGTACATGCATGAGAACGCAAATAACCCCCCTGAATTGACCTCCTGATGCAACCCAAAAGTATAGACGGCAACGGCTACAGGTACATTTCTAATAACGCGTACCCAAAATAGCACTCCAGTCACCAACTGCCGACTCTTACAAGGCGTCGGCGCATTACTCACAGTCCTACAGATGGTAACCGGGTTTCTCATGTTGGAATGTGGTTATGCTGAATGGTATAGTGCCGCCCTTTCACGCCAACGCATTCAGAGACGGAAGCATCTTGGTATTCGATTTCGCCGGCACTGTGGTCCCTCAGATAGGAAGATCGGGGATGTCGTAGCTGGTTTTATATAGAAAGGTAGATTCTTCCCCGTTGCATTGTACTCCGTCGACGGTGGCACACTATAGGCCAAATTGGATGTCTCAGGACATACGGCGAACACGCTCTAGCAGAAGAAAATATCTGCTGCAAACTGCCGGCCGGCATAACCCTCGAGCAAGCAGTCACTATGCCTCTAACAGTGACGACTATTGCTAGCCTGGTTCTCTAGCGGATGTCTGAGCATCGACGAGAATTGGGAGTCAGAAACTGCGGTCCTGCGCTGAAACGGTAGCTGTACGTTCGCCTTACAGCATAGAGGCAAGCCAATAAACTAACAGACACAGGAGGCGTGGCCCAATGCGCCATACAACCCACTCACCTTCACTCCCAGCACATAATCAACCAGCAAACCCAAACACATCGATCTCGCCCGCTCCCTAGGCACCCACCAAGCCCTTGTATCGCGATAAGCAGTCGTCGCCAAGATCAGGCAACCGGCTCCAGACCTGTATATCTTCGACACTATCAATCACCGGAATTATCGATGATTTCGTCGCGGACACCGCGACGAGAGTGGAATTCTGTGCACTGTCCAGGGAAAACAAATACGGAGAAATTACTGTAATAGATATGTTGGTGTGAACTGCATATTGTAAAGAGCGTATGTACAAGGTGTTTTATTGGTCAAGTTGTCCTTTGTATCTATGCGGTGCAGTGCACTGCAATGCTAAATAAGGTAACCAGGCTTCACTCCATGCAGAACTCTCCACCATCCCATAGCTACCCCAAACAACCCAACTCCACTCACCCGGACCAGAACCCCTAACCAGACTCAATAGCACAGCACATATGTTTCAGATCCAATCTATCCGCGTATAAAGTAGTCCATTGTATCTAACCCAAGAAAAAGAAGGCAAATGAACGCACTCGTACTCGTATAGCCGAACCACGGAACAAACGGTTCAAAAAAAAAATACGAACGAAAAGCCAATCTTATCAATAGTGTGGCTATGAATAGAAACGGGTGATTTAAGAGGAGGAAAAACGCCGTTTGCTCCACTTTTTACTTTAAAGGCTATTTCAGCATACGAATACGAGCTGACAGGCCGGCGCAGGGCTGAGGGTTGATCTATATAGTCTGCCCCTCCCGGTTTTCCTTTTTATCTTTGTTGCTCTGTTGAAATCATCATTAGAGAGAGCGTATGCAATATCCTGTATTCGGACGTACACTGGAACAACACCAACATGCAATCAACATCATCAAGCATCTACAGCTCAGGGAGCAGCACCCAGTAAGCAAACCCCCTATTCCGAGAACAAAGAAACACAACTAACACAAAAAAACACAGCTCCTCAAACAATTCCTCCACAACAACCTCCTCAACCCCTAGCCAACAACAACAACAACAACAACCACCAAAACAAACCTTCCCAATCGCCTACCCTCCTCCCCTAAAAGCCCCCACCTGCTTCCGCCGCTTCACCCCAAACCTTCTCCTGCAAATCCAACAACTCTCAACAACATCAAATAAGCGCCGCCACATCCCAATCCTAGAAGTCTGGCAGCCATCGATATTTAATACGCGCGTTGCGAAAAAGGTGCCCAAGTTGGGGTCTGGGGATGTGTATGTTACGCAGTGTGAGGGGTTTTTGCATTTGAGGTCGAATTCGGAGGGGCAGACGGATAGAGAGCGGGAGGTAAATGCGGATGACAAAGAGGTCGAGAGGAGGGTTATTGGTGTTGTGGCAAGGAATGCGCAGGATGAAGGGAAGAGGATGGTTTATTTTGAAGATGGGGTTGGGTGGGAGGCTAGTTCGGGGGATGGGGTTTATCGGGTGTCCTTTCAGGATAGAGTGCTTGAGTGGGAGAAGGATGTGCAAGGGGAGAGGTTTGTGTTGAGAATTGCGGATTCGCGACGGGTGAAGGTTGCGAGGATGAGTAGGACGAGTGTGGAGATGGGTTCGTGGGGGAGGAGGGTCAGGGAGTATCTGAAGGATGGGCTTATTTCGGAGTATGGAGCTGAGACGAAAGAAGAGCTAGATGGGAGGCTATGTACCCTGGTACTGATATCGGGAGTTTGGGTTGCCGGTCAGGAAGGCTGGATCAATACATCATGATACGATTGACACAAACAATGATACCAATGAATCGATTCTGGTTTACTATACTATGCTGGATACATCTAAGCAGACAAGCCCTCTTCAATACTCTTTATCTGCAACGCCAACAACCGCGAATAATACCGACAAAGCGCTAGATTACCACCCATGAACCAAAATCCAGGGTGTCCCGTTCGTCGCCAAACGGTCCTCATCTCACCCTCCTCGTCAAAGCCCCAGATATTGCCAATCCGATCGGCCACCTCGTCGCCAAAGGTAATCCGCGCTTGCGTCCGCATGTTCTGATACCCCGTCGCGAAGATGATCTCGTCTGCTTCGAGCTCTGTGCCATCGGCAAAGCGCAATCCCTGGGGCAGGATCTCAGTGATCTCCTGCCCCTGCTTGATCTTGATCTTGCCATCGGCGATCATTTGCGAAGCGCCAACGTCGATGTAATAACCACCGCCGCGCTGGAAGTACTTCAGTAACAGACCCGCATCATCTGGGCCGCGATCGACCTTGAAGCCGGCCTTCTCCAGACCCTCGAGGATAGACGCGTCGTGTTTGTTCTCGAGCTGGGTTATCTTGACCTGTTGCGCTTTGAAGATAGTGGAGGGGAAACTCCAGAGATACAGGTCTGCTTCTTCGGTTTGGGGTCCGCCTTCCTCGTACAGGCCCTTCATGGCGATTTCACCGAGGGCGTCGGAGGATACTACGCAGGTGGTGCTGCGCTGGACCATGGTGATGTCGTAGCCCTTCTCATAGAAATCCTGTGCGATGTCGTGGCCTGAGTTGCAGGATCCAATGACGACTGCTTTCTTGCCCTTGGACTCTGGGTTCGCGCCGGGGAATTCAGAGCTGTGGCAGAGGCGGTCACCTTGGAAGCTCTCTTGTCCTTTGAAGGCGGGCTGGTTCTTCTTGCCCGAGTGGCCGGTGGCTTGGATGACGTGGCGCGGGTGCAGAGTGCGGGTTTCAACGGTGCCGTCTGCTTTCTGGCGCTGGAGGGTGAGTGTCCATTGTTTCTTCTCGTCGCTCCAAGAAGACGAGGTCATGGTGGTGGTGGTCCAGACGTTCAATTCGAGCATCTTTACGTAGCATTCGAAGAACTCGGCGAGTTTGTCCTTCGGCGTGAAAACGGGCCAGTGCGCTGGGAAGGGGATGTAGGGCATGTGGTCGTACCAGACTGGGTCGTGGAGGACGAGCTGGTAGTATCGTCTGCGCCAGGCGTCGCCGACGCTGTCTTCTTTGTCGACGACAAGGGTATCGACGTTGAGCATTTTGAGTCGGGCAGCTGCTGTTAAGCCAGCTTGGCCGGCACCTGGTTTCGTTAGCGACTGTTTTCCGAAATACTACAAGGGAACATACCGATGATAACGACAGCAGGCTCCTTATCCTCATAATTCAAGTCCGTAGTCCGCCTATCCTTCCAATTCTTACTCTCCTGGTGCTGTCCATGCTGGACACCCTTAGGCCGACGCTCATACAACCCTTCCTCATGACCCTTCAACTCCCGCAACGACGTAAAAACGATAAAAATCTTCCACTGCCCATCCTTCTCGACCAGCCGCGTAACACCCTGGCCCCGTCCGATCTCCGTCGAAACATTCGTGAAGAACTCAATTCCAATCACATCACCAAATGCATCAATGGGTCCGACCTTTGGCGCCCGATAAGCCGACGAGCGATCGATATCGATCTGAATGACCTTGGAACCCTGGACGAAATCCGCGATCTTTTCTCTTCCATTGACGGTGCGGAAGTCCCAAGACACGCAAAGGTGGTCGCGCCAGTAGCCGTCTTCGAGGAAGAGATTGGCAAGACCTTGGTAGTCCTTTTTCGACAGGAGTGTGTTGAATTGATGAAGGATGTCGGAGGCTATTTCGTTTGGGTCGACGGAGAGCGATTGGCTGGTTGCGGGGAATTTCCCCACGGGTACGTTGACCGAGCCGGGCTCGATGCGGTTCCGGGAGAGGATTGTTGTTGCCATTGTGTTTCAGAGGCTATCGCAATGTCGTGGGCACTGTACAATTGAGATTGTCTTTGTGAAAACAGCGCACTTGTGGCTATTAAAGGGCCTGCCCTTCGGCACACTTTCTATAGCCAGCTGAAAATCAAATGTGCGACCCCGCCTGAGAGAGGAGGCACAGTAGATCCCACAGTTGGCTTTCTGCTCCCGTCGACCGAGAAAGATGCGCATTCAATAGTCTAGATGGTCCATGGTAGTGATTGATTCCCGATGATTCGATTGGCTCCAAGTGCATAACCCGGGACCAGTTTCCTGCCATTCTCACTGATACTTGGAGAGCATCATCTCGACCACTCGGGAGATATACACACTCTCCATCCAGTTCCCCGCACTCCCCGCCAGGTCCCAGAGAAGGCCAGATGACCATTATCGGCGCAACGCCGGTCTTTTTGGGTTGAGCTTCTTTCTGGTTCCTTCTGGTTCCATGTCACGGCGGAAAGAAGTCCTTGCTTGGTAGTCGGTTGTGGCTGGGAATGGGAGGTTAAGCGAGACAGTATGGCTTAGGTTGTGTACGGTGGTAGGACATAGTGAACGTCAACGGCTCTCGGTCGAGAGCGTTTTGCTTGGTTACCTATAATCCCGGTCAGTACAACGGTTGTGTGGTGGAATGGCTTGGGAGAGAAATGGTACTAGAGACGATGAATGTTTGAAAGTGTACGATGCACCCGTGTTGGTGTTCACATTACACCGCGATATATACCCAGCACTGGAGTCCTGCACCAGGACATCCCTGTCATAAACATCACCTACTAACACGGTCCACGGCTCGAATTCGCGTGAGAACATATTTCTTGCACTTGATTTCTCGCCTGAGTTCTGACTCTTCATCCATATTTTCTGCTTCTCTTGTCCCCCTTTCTTTTGCGTGACTGTCAACAGCTTCCGAAAGAAAGACATCCTGTAAACCGGGAAAATTAATTGACTCGATATCCGGGGTAAGCTACTTCGGAAGTGAGATTTCATCGGATATTCTGCATATCGGAAAACATCCCCCGCAACCGTCCACAGCATAGTAATATTAATGCTTCTGACAATAAAAACGTGCATAACTCTGATTTGGTTACAAATACACTTGCAGATCTCACCCTGGCGCCGGGCAAACTTCGTGGATATCCGGATTTGTGGCTCCGGCTGCTGCTCGGTACTTGCATATTGAACTGCAAGTCTCATACCCCCTGACAGTATGTTCAATATGGAGTGGATATGAGACAAATAATGCGTCGGGATAGCTGGTACCGATACTCTAGGATCTTTCTGCTTGTTATGTTGCCTGGGAGTCCACCGGTTCCCTATCCGATACAGAATAAAGTTTGAGATCCGGAGATTATAAATCGTTATAGATCGGAATATTTAGAAACTTCTCTCGTCCTTTCGTTTTCTCTCCATTCTAATTCAAAATCATGATGGCATCCCGGAATCTATGGTCCATGGTCACTGCCTCCGTGGCAGGACTGTGGTTTGCTTCTGCCACTCACGCTAGCGACTGCTCGACTTCTAGTATCAGCAACCCTTCGATCCCCCATGGTCAAGTCCTGGACCTATCCGCAACCCCTGTCAACAACTACAATTATCAAAACTCAACCCTGGAGTTCTGCAATGTGACCGTTATCTACACCCACCCCGGCTGGAACGATATGATCTACGTCAACGTCTGGCTCCCATCATCCAACTGGAACCAGCGACTCCAAGGCGCAGGCGGCGGTGGATTCTCGGCTCTGGATAGCGTGAGCGATCTAGCAAAGGCTGTGGCTGGAGGCTATGCGGTTGTTGGAACGGATGCGGGACATGAATTGAATCCCGCGAGCTCGGATTCTTGGTCGCTTGACGAGTCTGGAAAGGTCAACATGGCACTCCTCAAGGATTTTGCTTCTGTTGCCTTGAATGATGCGGCGCTCGTAGCAAAAGACGTTATTAGCGGGTTTTACGGACATGGTCCGCGGTACTCATACTGGAATGGATGCTCGACAGGTGGCAGACAGGGTCTTATGCTTGCGCAGCGATATCCTACGGCGTATGATGGAATTCTGGCGAATGCTCCTGCGATCAATTGGCCAAAGTTCATTGTCGCTGAGTACTGGCCGCAGTTTGTGATGAATCAATTAAAGTCTCACCCTCCATCTTGTGTCACGGATGCCATCACCGCTGCTGCCGTTAAGTCGTGTGATGGAGATGATGGAGTGAAGGACGGTGTTATCTCAGAACCAGACCGTTGCCAATTCGACCCATTAACCACGGTCAACCAGGAGATTAACTGCAGTGGACAGACAGTGGCGATCACCCGGAACGACGCACTCGTGGTACAAAAGATTTGGGATGGTATGCGCTCAGTCAACGGCTCGTCCCTGTGGTACGGTCTTGAAAAAGGCGCACCGCTGTCGAGCGGGCTGGCCATAACGACATGCTCGTCGCCGTCTAACTGCACGGGTACACCATTCCCTATCTCATCAGACTGGATCAGTCAATTCATTTTGGAGAACCCATCTGTGGACTTGACCCAAATTAGCCACGAGCAATACCAACGGATCTTCGAATATTCCTGCAAGAAATACGACCCAATCATCGGAACGAACAACCCAAATCTATCCGCATTCAAGCAAGCCGGCGGCAAGCTGGTGACATGGCACGGGTTAGCTGATCAAGTGATCTTCCCCAAAGGAACAGAGAAGTACTACAACGAGGTCGAGGAATTGGATCCTTCGGTTCGTGACTTCTATCGCCTCTTCCTGGCCCCGGGCGTGCAGCACTGTGAGGGAGGTGATGGCGCTATTCCGGTCGATCCGTTGGAATCAGTCGTTAACTGGGTCGAAAGAGGTGTTGCACCGGAGACGTTGCTGGGGAAGACGGAGGATGGTTCAAGGAGTCGGAAGCTGTGCCAGTATCCGCTGGTATCGGTGTATCTGGGGGGCGATAGTCGGGATGCGTCATCGTATGCATGCAAAGAGGCTTCTGCTCGATAGTTTCACGGCTTTTGTATATAATTTATCTTTTATATAAATGAATATTTATGACTGATTTTCAATTATCATTTCTGGGCATGTGGAGATGCCGCCAAGACAAGATCTTTCCCGCAACAACTCCCCATCCAACCCTCAACCTACAAACATCACAGGTCAAAAGTCATCATGCCTCCTACAAATACCAATAAACAACGTGGAAAATATACCACCAGAGCATGTGAAGAGTGTCGCCGGCGTCGAGCCAAGGTACGTCATCTACCGCACATATCACTATGATTACTAATGTATTTCAGTGCGATGGAAGAAGACCATCTTGCTCCAGGTGTCTCCAGGGGGACATTTCATGTCAATATTCAGATGTGGAGGATGGTAGAAGGCCAGCGTCGAAGACGTATGTGTTTTCGCTACGGCAGAGAATTGAGTCGTTGGAGCGGCTTTTGGAGAGGCATGGGATTGACCCGCGTGAACGTGAGCAGCCGAGTTCCAAACAGACTTTGGACGCTGGGGCAAATGTGAAGAAGGCAGATGAGAATTCTGTAATAGCTGAGCTTGCTGAGGGTATCAAGGGCAAGCTTGCGCTCGACGAGTCGCTCGATTTTGACAAAGATGGCGAATTGCGGTATTTCGGACCCATGAGTGGAAGACTCGAATTCCAAGGTTCTTCTGATGCTCTGAACGCCTCTGAACATGGTAGGATTTCTGCAATAACGTGTCTTGATCCTATCATTACGGACCTGGATGATGTTGGATTCTCCAGGCCTATACAAGAACACCTGATCAGTTTATATTTCAAATGGGAGCAGCCGTGGTTTGCAGTCGTTGATGAGGAGCTTTTTCGTCAGAGTATGTATCGTTGTGGACGGTATTGGAGTTCACTGCTGCATGTTGCAATTCTTGCTGTTGGCTCGCGCTACTCCGACCGCATAGACGTCCGTTCAGATCCAGATAATCCCAACACAGCAGGAAAGTTCTTCCTTGAACAGGCAAAGTGCCGCCTCCATAGTGAGATGGAGAGACCTAGTCTGACGACCATCCAGGCGCTGGCTATTATTGGCACATTTTATGTGGTACGCTGTCCTTCAACGTAGCGTGCATTCAGTATGCTAATGAAACAGGCAATTGGCGCTGATGCCGCATGCTGGCTGTATCTTGGAATGGCGGACCGATTGTGTCTTGATATGGGATTGAACTTGGATCCTGCTGTTTTTGAAGAGACCAATATGATGTCGCATCGAGAAATTCAGCTGAGGAGGCAAATTTATTGGACGCTGTACTGTCATGATAAGTGGGCTTCTAGTTATACGGGGAGAATTTGCTCCATGCTGGTGCGTTTATCTTTTGCTTTCTCAAGTTAAAGGTACTGATCTATGTAGGATTCGCAAGGAGCCGTCAAACTGCCCGATGACGACGAAGTATCCGATACGGACAACCCGGCCCAAAAAGCATTCAGACCACTGCAAAGAGCGATGATCAGCATATGCAAAATACAGGAAAAGATTATTCTTTCACTGTATGTCACCAATCCAGCACAAAGATGCCTATATCGACTAACAAACCTAGATGGGCCCCTAAACCCCTCCTAAAAGACAACCAACGACCAGCCTTCCTAGAGTCCTGTCTCCTAAACCTGAGAACATGGTTCTATGACCTCCCCACAGAACTCAGAGTCGACCGTCCAAATGACATCCCCCACGCATACACCCTCCACATGATATACCACACGGCGCGGATCCTCCTCGCAAAACCATTCATCATGAAAGAAAACCCGCATTCGAGCAAGAACCAGACAGATTGCAAAATGATTGACCTAGCAACTTCTATTTGCCGTGAATCAGCCCGCGCAATCTGTCTGGTTGCTCAGCGATACCGGCAAGTATTTGGCGGTTTTCACCTCAGCCCTATTTCAGCCACGCATTGCACGTTATCAGCGGCTTTGGTTTTGCTTGACGAAACAGAGAATTTAAGCCTTTCGTCGCACAATAATAAAATAAGTCTTTGTCTGACTGTCCTCAATGAACTTGCCAAATCGTGGTATCCGGCACGATTCATTGGGCATAATCTTCGGAAACTTTGTCGCTCGGCAATTCCGAATCAAATAACGTCATCCCCGGGAGGGGAAAGCAATACTAACCGTGATGGCAACGAGCTTGGTCTCCCATTGAATCAGGATTTAAGACTTGAACTGCCAAATATTGATTATGATGGGATTGAACCGGAGCAGGATACGAATTTCGGGAGCGCACTGGCTAGTCAATTTGAACTTTCCGTGCCGATGGAATCGCTTCCGATTGATTATGGATTTTTTGATATTCTAAACCAATCTAGTTGGGATCAGATGTGGTAGTGTTTGATGGCTACATGCAGATCAGGCAATGTACCATTCGGAGTGCTTGAGTGAGCTCTTTTGGAATCACTTCGGAATGTCAGAAAAGCCAAGTCTCTTGCAAACATCGATGGAGGAGCACTGGCGCCCAACCTGGGAAATATGATCGTCGACAACATACAGAGTCAAAGACTACCGGACGTACCGACAGAATATCCCCCTGTCGCATTCACGGCAAAATTGCTTAAAAGCAGCAGAGCCTGTTCAATAACATCCGCAGAGGAATATATATTCCGGCCAGTCCATCCATGTTTGGCATAGTCTGGGGAACGAGCGTTCGGACGAACTCCGGAATTCTAGGGTTGCGGGGTGCGTCTTGATAAAATATCCGAATATGACGGCATGTACCGAGCAATGAAATGGCTCACGGGCTTATTGACCTATATCAACCCATGCAGAAAACAATGATGGGCCCATGGCCAAGATGGGTGAAACTTACTTTTATCATAGTATGGCCTGGAAAAGCCGGGTATAAAAGCAACGACTGTCTACGGGTTTTGGGTGAGGATATTGGAGACATTGCAATAGATTATTTCTGCAAGGTGCCACATGATGCGAGGGATTTTTTTTTGTGGTAGTGCGCTGGTGGCACTCGCAGAAGCGCAGCAGTTGTATCTTACAACAACTGGCTACACCGAGCGTCCGCAGTGTACGCAGCCGGTTGCATCACCTCAGTACTCTTTTCGTCCGTTCTCTTATACATTGAATGAGACTGTTCGGTAGGTTCACCACCTCATGATTGCTAACACTTCAGGAGAACATATAGCTAACTGGTTAAACATAGATATGCTACCTCGGTACCGACACCGACAACCACTCAAACCTATGCAGCACCATACTCTGAGGCCGTCAAGTATCTCACCACACCTCCGGTAACTACAACATGGGGCAACTGGCTACCAGACCAGACGGAGATCACAGCCTCGGACACCGATGATTCCTACGGACAAGCGGCATGGTCTTCGCTATGGGAGCTAGCTGGTATTAAGAATTACACGACTACCGGGATGTACTCGACGACGGTCAGCCCGACACCGGTTTCAACCAGTGAACTAGTCCTGCCACCTCAAGACTACTTTGGACCTACGGACTGCTACAACTTCCCAGATGATTTTGTCTTTGGTGTTGCTGGAAGCGCCGCTCAGGTCGAAGGTGCCATTGGCTTGGAAGGTCGCAGCCCTACCATCCAAGAGAATCTAGCAACTGTCGATCAGCCGAAGAACTATGTGGCCAACGAGAATTATTACTTGTACAAGCAAGATATCCAGCGCCTAGCGGCTATGGGTGTCAAGTACTATAGTTTCTCGATCCCGTGGACACGAATTCTACCGTTTGTGGTGCCTGGGTCTCCCGTGAATGAGCAGGGTGTCAAGCACTATGACGACTTGATCAACACGATTCTAGACGCGGGAATGCAGCCGGTAGTGACGCTCCTCCATTTCGATAGTCCATGGCTATTCGTGTCTAGCGACAACTTCCTTGCTACTCCTGATTTAGGTAACGCCAATGGAGGTTATCAAAACGAGACCTTTGTGGATTCGTTCGTCAACTATGCAAAAGTTGTCCTCACTCATTATGCTGATCGAGTTCCGGTATGGTTCACATTCAACGAACCTTTCCTCTACTCGTTCAACTTCACCGGCGCCAATAATGTCGTGCATGCGCATGCGCAAGTATACCATTTCTACAAGGATGAGCTGAAAGCAACCGGCAAGTTGGGAATCAAATTTAACGACAATTTCGGTATCCCTCGCGACCCTACAAATTCCAGCGACATTGCTGCAGCAAACCGATTCCAGGAGATCCAACTGGGCCTTTACGCCAACCCCATCTTCCTCGGAAAGCAATACCCCGATTCCGTTCTCGAAACTCTACCAGGAGCCAAACCCCTTAGTGAAGCCGAACTCTCCTACATCGGCAACACCTCCGACTTTTTCGGCATCGACCCCTACACAGCAACTGTAGTCTCCGAACCACCAGAAACATTTACCGACTGCGCAGCAAACCACACGGCAACCAATGAACTCTTCCCCTACTGCGTCATCCAAGAAACCAAAACCATTCACGGCTGGAACATTGGCTACCGCTCCAACAGTTACGTTTACATGACACCCACCTACCTCCGCGAGTACCTTAACTACCTCTACAACACCTTCCACAAGCCAGTACTCGTTTCGGAATTTGGATTCCCCGTGTACAAAGAGGCCGAGAAAGAAGAGCTCTCTGATCAACTGTTTGATACGCCGCGGAGTATGTATTATCTGTCGTTTATGTCGGAGATTCTGAAGGCGATTCATGAGGATGGAGTGCATGTTATGGGGGCGCTGGCATGGAGTTGGGCGGACAATTGGGAGTTTGGGGATTATATGCAGCAGTTTGGGTTACAGGTCGTGAATCGGACGACGCAGGAGAGGTTTTTTAAGAAGAGTTTTTTTGATTTAGTGGATTTTGTGGGGGCAAGGATGCTGTCTTCCTAAAAGGGAATATGTTCTGGTATAGTTATAATGATCAAGTTGAGGAAGATCAATGTTCTTGAATTCGGCATGAGTATAAACAGTCCCTGGGAATAACGTATTCAACGGGCGAGCGGCGAATACGGCCGAAGTGCGAATTTTCTCCGCAACCATTACTTTTGAAGCTTTTCAACCATCAACACCATTGAATTTGACTGAATGAGTATATCTCCTAGTTAATTATATAGTTATTCACTAGGGCAACTCCTTATAGTGCGCCCAATAACCCCACAGCCACTACAGCGTGATGGAGCTCGCTGGCAAGGTGTAGCATCATTAAGCTTTTCATTAGTTTTCCATATGCGCGTTTTAGTAGCCCAAAAACCCCAACATCTAGGGGCTGAAGAAGATGAGATGTATGTGGAGGCTTACAAAGACAGATAATTGCACTATTCTTGCAGAAATCATCAAATTCAGCAGTTTGGTGACTTGTGTCACGGAGTACGGGCATTTATCAACAACGCAAGATATTTGTATACTTTGGCCTGTTTGAATATAGGGCAGGAACCCCTTCGCACACTAGATAGCACAGCGCTGCCAGGCCCAGCTTCTTTCTTTCCTTCTCCATGTTAGTATTTCGACAGAGTCTACCAATGAATTTATATTGTTCGAGACTGTCACAACTTGAATGGCTATCAAGAACAAGCAGCCGCTTCGCGCCAGTTGATGCAGCCTTGAAAAAGGATCAAAAATTTGCTTTAACCACTTAAGACCAACTGCATCAGTTGTCCAGCCATTTGGACTGTTGGTAAGCTTCTAATCTGAGGAAGGTCATCCTCTTCATACCAAGCAGCTTGGTGTTCTTTCCCCTTCAAGATAACTGCCGGTGGAATATAAATGTCCTTAGAGCTCACACATTCAATGACTGTGACCCATTCATGATTTCCCTGGATAACTGTACAAGGCCTCTCACCGCGTTCTGCTGCAGTGATAACCTTGGATGTTGTACAGAGTCCCATTGCAAAGCCAGTTTCATCAAAGTTCCAGATATCATCTTCATGTATACCATATTCTTGAATAGCGTTGCGTACAGTCTCAAATCACTCTTTAAAGATCTTTGAATCCTCCTGCTTTGCCCTCTGGTATGTAATTCTTTGATTGTATCTTGTACGTAGTTCAGGACGATGTCTGGTAAGGGAATAGGCCCAGTTGATTCCAAGAACTGCAGCTGGATCTTGTGTATGCTCATGGAGTAAAATTTGTGCCATTCCACGCAGGAATTATGACCTAATTGAGAAGCCTTGCTTGTCTGTATCTAGTAGCCTCTTGACAAGTACTTATTCTTCGTATTTTGTCAATTTATGGCCATTTCGCGTGTTTCTGTACGTGGTTTGATTCCATTAAGCCCGCTTGCGGAGGGAGAATTCAGAGACACCATATATTTGAACAGCTTTCAATTTTGATTGAACTTTTTTCTCTTTCCATGCAGTAATAGCCATTTGCATACGGGATTCCTTAGATAAAGGCATATTTGTATAGAAAAAGTGAAGAAACGGTGTGTTAAAAATGGCTGTGTTGAAATATTCTGGTGGTTGCGGGGAAAATTCGCACTTCGGCCGTACTCGCCGCTCGCCCGTTGAATACGTTATACTTCGAAAGCGGAGGTTACATGATTTCCCCGGTATTCTATACACAGACACAGGACCCGAACACCAAATTTACTCCTCTGTAGCTTTGAGTATTCAATTTATATAGACCTCCCATTAAATAAGAGTTAGGCCTTACTCAAGAATCGCAAACTGGGTGGTACGACGGATGGCGATAAATGTACGTTTGTTGAACCGTGCAGCTAGGCTTGTTTTTGCATTCCAAATCCGATCTATTGATCTGATCACTTTACCCAAGAAATAACAGGCCTTGTTTACAGTAGTGTCAGCGGTACGGGTCGTTTTGATAGGGCAAGATGACAGGGGCCTGTGCTTTCAGCTGAACTATAGCAAGGGGGCTGCAAAGAAGCAAATATTGTGAAATACTCCGTAGAAACTCATACAGCAGAACCTGGATACAAGCAATTGATCGATTCAACATTATAGGAGTGGAAAAATACTTACGGATTTTTATAGACATAAACACTAACTATAAAATGGATTTAATGGGCGGAACTGGTATGAATATAAGCAACTTTTTATGGGCAGTTGACGTATCCTAGTTGCTTACTGTACTAGCTGAGAGCTGAGGATTTAGCTGAGACACCCATCTTTTTAAATCCTAAGATTCCCTGAACTTGGAACTGTCTTCTCGACATCTCGTCCAGAGGACACAAAATAAGGGAAATGCCCATTGACGAAGAAAGCCCTTTGCTTCCATCTCGCCATGAGAGCGAGCCGGAAAACAAAATCAATTGCAGGCGCGACAAACTCGCTGTGTACGGTTCGTTTATAGGTAAGACCATGTGACACCACTGGAGGGTATCATATGGCATTCCTGACATCTTGTAGGCATTTTTCTTGCAGCTGCAGACGAATCTCTCGTTCTTTCTACATGGAGTCTTATCGCGTCGCAGTTTCACCGTCTCTCGCAGGGATCGTGGCTGCTCACTGCATATAACTTTGGATTTTGCCTGTCGTTACCGGTGGTGAGTGTGGTGTGTCATGGAAAAGTTGGGTCAGGATTGATCATATTTATCTGTTAGTACGGGGCACTATGTAAGATATACGGGCGAAAGACTGTTCTTCTCGCTGCCTACGTGCTTTTTGCTATGGGGTGTATTGCGTGGTAGGTCGATCTGACATTTCCGAGATCGTGAGGTCCGTACTCTGACATGCGAATCCGAATCCAGCGGGACCAGTACATCACTGCTGCAGCTAATCTTAGCCAGAGTGCTCGCCGGTATTAGTGGTGGTGGAATGGTATCCCTAGTATCGGTCCTTATTACCGGTAAGAGTGTCTACCGTTCTGCCTTTCTCCCTTGCTTGGCTGATCATCGATGATAACAATAGATCTAGCCCCCGTCAATGAGGTAGCCCTTCTTCGAAGCTATGCCAATGTGGTCAATGTCACGGGCCGCAGTTTAGGTGCTCCGATTGGGGGTTTCTTAATTGGTACAGTTGGTTGGAGATGGTCATTTCTGGGTCAAGTGCCCTTCGTGGTCGTCTGCCTACTGATCGGATGGCATGGGTTTCCATCTGCACTGAATTCGACCGGTACCGGTGGTGATGGGAATGAGGAGAGGACAACGCGATCGACCATCTCGCAACTCGATATTGGAGGCCTCTTCAGCCTCTCTACTACCATACTCCTTCTGCTTTTCATTGTGCAGAATCTCAACGCAGCAGATGAATCCATAGCACAGTTGAATATTCTTGTACCGGCCTTTTTTGTTGCAGCGGTGTTATTCGTCGCGACTGAAGCGTACTGGGCCAAAAGTCCGTTGATCCCGTTGTACCTACTGAGAACGCCATTGGGAGGTTATGGCATGAACCAGATATTGGTGATGTTCAGCCGCTCAGGAGTAAGTGTCCGCATTGCTGAGATGAAGAGCTTCTTCCCTGACGCGTGTCCTGTATCATTTAGTTTGTGAGCAATATAGCTCCATACTTGATCCGAGTTGAGGATGCATCAAACTCGTACGCATCGTCAGCTTACGTGCTTTCAGCGGCCGGTGTGTCATTCGGAGGATTGATTGCAGGAGCAATAATCAAACGGCAAGTCATTCCAACTCGGTCCCAGACATACGCCACTAACCATTCATATTTGATAGGTGGAAAAGATACACAACAATGACTGCCGTCGCTATCTGCGGCGCTTCCATAAGTTATGCGGTCATCTTCATCCGCTGGCGATCTAGCAGCCCCACCTGGGAACTACTGTATCTTGTCCCCAATGGCATGTTCGTCGGTGTTCTGTTCACTACGCAGTTCGCTGGGATGTCATTGGGTGTACCAAAAGAGAACCTTTTAACGTGCATCACTACATACTACCTCTGTCAGCAGCTGGGTCATATAATCGGGCCCGCGACAAACGTGGCGCTCGTGCAGCGAGTCTTCGGGGAAAAGTTGGGGAAAAAGTTAGAGGGATGGGAGGAGAAAAGGGTTCGTGTCTATCCGCCATAAATAGTCCGCTTTCGGCTATACTAACCAATATCAATGACTTAGTTAATTGGCAAGATTCTGAATGACGATAGATTTGCTCAAAGGTTGCCGGCTTCAGTCCAGGATCTCGTTCGGTCGAGCTATTTGAATGCATTCCAGTTGGTGCCATGTAAGTTCGCGGCGCCTTTGCAGTTGACCAGCTTACTAATTATGACAGTGGTGTCGGGTGTGTGTTCCTTGATGATGCTATTTACTTGGCTGTGGGAGAAAGAGGGACAAATAGAATAACTTGTCAAGTTAGTATAAGAGGTGTATATTATGGGTAAATTTAATTAGAATGTAGGGAATAATAATAAAAAGCAAATATCGACTAGCATCGTTGGTCTAGTGGTAGAATTCGTCGTTGCCATCGACGAGGCCCGTGTTCGATTCACGGACGATGCATTTCTTTTTTCTTTTTTTGTCTTTTCACAAATTTTTTGTCACTGCCGGCTATTACCGACCCCGAACTCGGCCTCGGTCTATTAAAATCACCGACCTTGCAGCCCTCCTGCCCATTCCATCTCTTTTCTATCATCAAAATGGCCGACTTTACACCCCGAAAACGTCGCCGACCGGCTCTTTCCTGCGTCCAGTGCCGTCAGCGCAAAGTTCGCTGCGACCGCGCGTTTCCTTGCGGTCCCTGTACACGAGCCCGTCACTCTATACCGTGCTCGTATAGTTTCAGTTCCCAGGAGGGAATTGAGAGTGCCCAGAGCTCTTCCCGAATAGCCCGAGTTGCATCAGGCCATTCAGAGGATGGATCTGATTTTCAACCGGTTTGTCAAGCAGCAAGGCAATCACTCCCCTTGGAACAGATGGTTCAGGACCTCCAGGATCGAGTCTGGAGACTAGAACAAGTGGTATCACTAAATCGAGAATCTGAGTGCTTTACGCGTGATGGAGGCTTGTCCCAGTCGCTTTATGAACTGAGCAACCGCGTGTCTAATATCGAGCAGCAAATGACCCGGAGTATTGCTGGATTGGGGCCCCAGGATACTTGCATTCCTGCACCTACGTTACGGTTGAAGACGACCCCTGAAAAAACAAAGGTAGCCAGTCAGGGTCATTGGACAAATGCCTTTCACCAGCTGCGCATGCTCGAGAAGATCGACGACATACAAGCTGCGGAGATGAGAGAAGAAATTAAGAAGTGCAAAGGAATTCGCGCAACACTGAAGCATAAGTCCATAATGTGGGACGAGCCTTTCCAGCACCTGAATCTTGATATAAACTGGGAGGTCGTGGAGTATACCGAAATGGCTGTTGTGTATTTCCGCACCTTGGGGCCTATCTATCGAATTTTGAACTCGTCTTTTCTAGAGGATTATAACAAACGACTTGTTGTACGGACTGAGCCAGCACCGCACAGCTTTATCCTCAAGGCATTGCTGGTGATTGGAATTGGATCTGTGTTTCATCCAGACAAAGCGCTTCAGAACGATATTCATCTACGCGTGCACCGTTGGGTTTATGCAGCACAGTGGTGGCTTACAGGGCCTGACGAAAAGTCTGCACATAGCATTGATGGATTGCAAGTCTATTGCCTGATGCTCCTTTGTCGCCAAGTCCATTCTCTAAACAAAGGGTCTATCTGGGTTTCGGCAGGATCGCTAGTGCGATTCGCCTGTAGCTTGGGCTTACATCGCGATCCGAGCCATTTTCTGTCATTGTCTCCATATGAATGCGAGACGAGAAGAATGCTATGGGCAGCAGTGATGGAAATAGCTGTACAGGCTTCGTTTGACATTCCCATGCCACCGTTAATCTCAGAAGATGATTTCGACACTGAACCGCCGATAAATATCGATGAAAGCCAGCTCGATAAAAATACCAGAAGCGTGCCAAGTGCGGAACCATATAACCAATATACAGATGCATCAATCCAGCGCCTGTTGCTAAAATCGCTCCCAACCCGCTTACAAGTCGCTCGATTCAGTAACCAAATTGGTCAACCGCAATGTTACGAACAAGCACTGAAACTAGGAACCGAACTTACAGCATTTTGCGCAGAATTTGCAAAATATTTTCAATCACACAATCTATCCGAATCTGCCGAGTTCCACCAAAAAGTCTTAAGTACATTTATTCGCAGAACAATCATCCTCCTCTACCGCCCCTTCCTACTCCAGTCTCCACAAGATTCACGCTTTTACCTCGCACGGAAACTCAGCTTCGAATCCGCCATGGTCATTGCATCCTACGCAGACACCACAGACATCGCCTCAAAACCACTCGATTACTATACCAAACTATCTATTTCAGGCGTTGGTGCATTCAAGGGCCCATTTTCAATAGACACAATAATCGTCATATGTTGTGAGCTCGTCACGCAACTAGAAGAGGAAGCCAAGACACGGCCTCGATTACCGGATGGTAAGCTATCTGTACCAGACAACGTCCTTCATAGAATGGCACAAGCATCTCGGAGACCAATAATCGAAGTACTGGAACACATCCAAGAACAATTGCTCCAGGTAATCGGGCTGGGTGTTCCTAGTATGAAACGGTGTGCTATTCTGTCTACTGTGATGGGCCAGATCAAGGCTATGGAGAGAACGGGTCGGTATACGAAGGACGATGTGTATCGGGCTCTAGTGGAGTATATAAAGAAGTGTGCTGGCATTCTTGAGAGATACATTGAGGAGATTGGAAGTGGTATTAGCGGATCTGTTGATGAGTGGACCCCGGTGATGTCGGACATCGATGTCGAGTCTTTGGTATGTAAATATTTCACAGTACTCTCTTCCGGTAGACTTCTCACTAACTTCGTCAAGCTAAAAGAATTTGGATTTCCGTGGGATGATATTCCGTTGGGCTTTCCCGGTGTTCAATCATGGACCGAGTCCCAGCCCTAACACCATCTACTTCGACACTGATTGGGTACAGACCGATAATCCACCTAGTTCTTGTACCAGTAACCAAATAATACCAGAAAGTAGGCAATTATAAGGGTACCCACAGGCGGAAGACTGCCCTCAGATTTTTGTTACCCTTTTGATAGCGACGACCATGCCCCTCTAGCTCTTTGGACACCAGGCCAATCAGCTCCTTCAAGGCTACCTCCCCAATATGACGGAAACGAATGACCTCATCCTGAACAGAGCTGGGAACCGGCACGCAAGGTATCTTGATATTGGCGCAGTAGCTACACTTTCGGTAATGGTTCGTGTTGATGCAGCGGTGATCTGGACCCTCTGCTTCAAGCAACTGACGCAGATGTCCCACACGCTGTCCGGCGTGGCATTACCGGTGGGCCAACTCCCAATGGTCAATGGGCTAACGGTGGCTCCGGCAACTGCATTTGAGATTGTTATGGTGTAATGAGGCTAGTGGATGGCTAGTTTATCTGAGGATAGGCTGTCAGGCTGAGTGCTAAGCGTATATATAAGAATATAGTTATAGTTTCTCGAAAGCTACCTGGGCAGGGAGTGAAGAGATGCAGAAAGATGGAGAAGAAAGGGAATACTTTTGTTTCGCGTCAATCAAGTGACTTCTTTGGACCATACTAACGCTAACAATTCTATTGCACTCCACCACGCTCGAATAAGAATATCAGATAACCAGAAGCTACCATCCAAAATTTCCAATACCTGCCAATGCGTCTCGACACAACAATGTCCGGAATCGCCGTGTTAAGGCTGATACACCGGAAAAACGACTCCTCTACACGTTCTCCCTTTCAGTAACTGAGAAAGCCGTGTAACACAAGGAGCTGAACCCTGAAGATGCGGGGATCCCTGTCATAGTAGAACAAAAGTTCTTATACTCGGAATGCTCGGAATATGCATGATTGCGACGCCTGTCGGAATTATTCCGCTGTCATGTTATAAGGCAAAGGTATCGCTGGATGATAAGCACCAATCAAGCTCACTGCAGAGCAGACAAAATGGCACAGGCAATATTATCCGGCTTCCAGGGAAAGCCTATTAATGGTATTCCAATAATCTCCTATTGACAGACAATATGCTGACCAACACTAGTCCATAAAGGACTGTTCATCAACAACCAATTCGTCTCAGCAACGAACAACCACACCCTCGATACCACAAACCCAGCCAACGCCCAGAGACTAACCGACGTCTCAGCCGCCCAGAAAGAAGATGTCAATTGGGCAGTCGAAGCATCCGAAGCCGCATTTCGAGAATGGAGGCCAACGCCTCCACAAACACGCGTGCGGCTTCTCTCGAAACTCGCAGACCTCATTGAACGTGATGCCGTCGACCTGGCTTCATTGGAGTCAATCGATGCTGGCATTTTATATGGAGAGTCGTTGCAGTTTAACGTTCCGCAGGCGGTGGATACATTACGTTATTTTGCTGGATGGGCGGATAAGGGTGCTGGCCAGTCTTTGCATATTCCTGATGGATTGGCATATACACAACATGAGCCACTTGGTATCTGCGCAGCTATCGTTCCGTGGAATGCACCGCTGTATGTATACCAATCACCTCTGATTTTGGACCATGCTAACATGGTGCTCACTAGCATGATCACAATCTGGAAACTCGCCCCAGCCATCGCAACCGGCAATGTCCTCATAATCAAAACCCCCGAACTAACCCCCCTCTATGGTCAAAAGCTCGCCGCCCTGATTCTCGAAGCCGGTTTCCCACCTGGAGTAATCAACATTCTCTGCGGCGAAGGCAAAGTCGCAGGCCAAGCAATTTCAGAGCACCCTAAGATTCGCAAAGTCGCGTTCACGGGTAGCACCCTAGTCGGTCGACAGATCCTGCGCGCTGCCGCAGAAACCAATCTCAAGCGCGTGACGTTGGAACTCGGTGGTAAAGGTCCTTCTATTGTATTTCCGGACGCGGACTTGGAGAATGCGCTATTCTGGACTGCATTGGGCATCACGGCGAACAATGGACAGATTTGTGCGGCGGGATCGCGGATTTATGTGCATGATTCAATTTATGAGCGGTTTCTTGAAGAGTTCAAAGTTAGGATGTCCAAGACTGCTCATGGAGATCCACTGCTTGCGACAACTAACAAGGGTCCTGTGGCCAGCGTAGGGCAGCATCAGAAGATACTGGGTTATGTTAAGAAAGCAAAAGAAGCCGGCTCAAGGCTTTTGTGCGGTGGAGAGGACCTCGACGGTAATTTTGTCTCGAACACAGCGTTCGCTGATGTCAATGAAGACGATGTCATCATGAAAGAAGAGATATTCGGACCCATTGCAGTAAGTCACTGTCCCCTCTCCGTGCCACATCTAACCGTCGTAACCAGGCCATTGCAAAATTCAAAACAGAATCTGAAGTAATCACGAAAGCGAACAACTCAGAATACGGGCTCAGCGCCGCCATCTTTACCGATAACATCAGCCGTGCGCACCGAGTCGCATCTGCAATTGAAACTGGCCAGGTCACTGTCAATTGCTGGGGCAATCTTCATTCGAACACGCCATTCGGAGGTATGAAGCAGTCCGGGTTTGGTCGTGACTTGGGGAAGGAGGCGTTGGATGGTTGGACGAATAGTAAGACGGTCAGCATTCATCTGCTACCAGTGGCGAATGGGGAGTGCGCTAAGCTGTGACGTAGATTGTAGCATGGTAGGGTTGTAAGCCGTGGGGGAGGGGGAGGGGTTTACTTGATATCTTTTCAACATGATTATCAGATAGCCGATCCTTTTAGCTCAATTGCCGGGGTCGCTATAGAAATTGATTCTCGTTTGCGGAAATGGCAGATGTACTCTTGCCCCCTTTGTTTAGAACGAAGTCCTGTAGAGCCGACTGCTATGAGAGGTGTGAAGAATGCCATATGTACCGAATTTCTAGAAAATTTCCCTTTCCGCTAAAGTTCTCAGCCTCACTCAGTGAACCATCAGTAACAAGTTTGTGTAAGACCCTCGATAAAGCGTAGGGGGAAGAAAGGGTCTGTAGTCCGGAAACACATGTCTGCCTTTTAATCTCACCGTGCCTCCCGGCATTTGCCTCACGTTGGGTTAGTCACAGGTGTATCTATTTTCAGCACCTGCATCCACCATTGGCTCATGGCCTCATCAAAGCTACAAAGTGCCACGCAGCTGTGAGCTGTCCATCTACTACGTAGCATATCTGATATGCGAACTAACTTGGATGTATCTTACAAGTCACAAGTACCAACGCTAGTATTTGGGCGTTTCGAAGACGTTCACAATTGAGGATAAACTTATTGTATATAGTACACGGGAATACTTTGAGTCCTTTCTTCCCTACTTTTGATAGCATTTATTTCCCCGGTTCTTAATCAAGCATAGATGTAAACTTGCTCAATGGTCGACTACACCCCAATGTAATATATTTCTATCCCGCCCCTGCTGCTTCGTCCATATACTAATTTCAATTTACAATAACCCAGACCACCGCCAATCGAATACCCCAGGCAATCGTCCAATAGATGATATGCCATATGTGCCTCTATATGGTGGAGATTCCACCCCGCAGCATCACCCCAATGCGCATGGTCCATTCTCGAACGAGCCTTTATACCACGGAATATTCCCACGACTACTCCACAGGACATTTGAAGTATGTCACATATTCCATACAGCGGTATGAACTGCCAACCCTAAAACACACATACATACTTGCTTTCCCTGGCTAAGATGGTTTATCCATTATCAGGTTTATATAATTACAGAGCCGGCGAAGAAGAGGTAATCCCTTTGTCAAATGAGAATCCCAGACCCTCACTGCAAAACCGACAAGAGAATGTGGAGGACTTCGTGTGACGGCGCCGTACAGAAATTTCTACCAATTCCCATTGCCTGTCCCTCACTCAAGCTCTCTCTATGCAACTGCGCGCATGATGACCGATTCGCCCGACTATACATGCGACCAATCAAATCACCCAGCTTATACTCGACTGTCTGGTTATGTACGTTATGCAATCAGGCATAAGACGACTCGATGGTTAATTCTTTCCTGTTCCGACTCGACTATAACGCTCGCATACTCAGATCCTATCATTACCTCCCACGCAGTTTTCACTTTGTCTTTGATATTGTCAGGCGTACTTGAGGTTTTATTCTTGGTGAAATAAAGCGAAGGGGCACGGCTGGACGGTACTCCCGGAGTACAGTACGGGAGGGATATCTATGCACATCTCATTTCCTTTGTCTAATGTCTTATATTCCGCCACGATATCACGATTTAGCTAGTCTACGGGATTAAGAGTGTCTGTATAGCCCTTTCGATCGATACTTTTCTCATTGGAGCTCTTTCCCAATTTACCCCGAACAAATATTGTCCAAGACATTGTATTGCGGATACTAAGCTTTGATGTGGATTGAGAAAAAAGCGGACGAGATGGATGGTAACTGCATTACATGTGCTGCTTTTACTTCAAGAGCGAACACAAAGTAACCAGCAAACATGCATTTACTGGCAAAACCATCGCTTGATCTACGCGACGGCTTTGGGGGTTTTTCGACAACGGTAAAAGTTTACTTAGTTACCAGGTGCTACCTTCCATTGCTTGACATGGCTCGCTTCTGTTAAAGACAAGACTCTTGTTCTTGCATGCAACGTTACTGATTCTCCATTGACTCATCATCTTCGCTTTCTACCCCCGACTCTGGAGATTCAATTAGTTTGCCAAATTGTTCAATTCGGTTGGCTGGTATGCCTTTCTTCTCATAGACATTCCTCGGCGTGACGTGACCGAATAGGTGAACCGGCATGATCGCCGCCTCGGATTCGATTGCGAGACAGAAAATTCCGCGTCTCGCGTCGCAGGTTCATATATTAGTTCAAATTTCACGGCATCACCTGCTACTTTAGAGTCCCATTTCACGGTTGTCCCTCGGTTCGTGACTAGACTGCAACTGTAGAGAATCGCCCGCTCCCCATGATAATCTTGAGATAACGCTGGTTGCTCGGCTTCAGGTGGACAGCCCAGCCCTTCACTACTTTTCACAGGTGATTTGTAGATAATCTATGATCTTCAGTGTTTGGTTAACATTTCTAACTTGGCTTAACTTTTTGTAGTTTAAACTGAAGCCACCCGGGGATTATGGTGAGTGATAACATAATATTGGCGCCAACCCCAAAGGATCTTGAACTGACGCATAATTGGCATGTAGATGTCGTTATTGACATTGAAGCTTGTGGTGTTTGTGGCAGTGACGTGCACATCAGCGTATCTCGGCTGTTGCATGCTTTTGCTTTGGAACGAAGCGAGCATTTCGTCAATATATTCATACTCTTCTGCATGTTATGGCAACATTGAAAATGGAATGGATGAAAAATCAGTGTGATGCATCGAGGCATCATTTGTGCAGATGTCGTAAAATGTACAATGTATTTTAGCATATTGATACTAATGATTGTTACTGGCCCTTGGAATCTTCCTCCTCGTATACAAGCATCTGACAGTAAGACCGTTCGGCCACCTCCCTGTACTTTGCAGCAAATCGCTCATCACCCGCAACAAAAGCAAATTGACGCTTCCATTCCCTCCAATGCACCATACACCAAATATGTGGCCACTCCGGCTCACCCTCAAACTTTTTGCACTCTTGATAGGTAAAATGGCCTTCTTTCAGTGGCAGAATCCACTGGGCAGCTGCAATCAAATTGTTACCCAGTCTGTTCGGTCCATCGATGGGACGCTCGTCCAAATCAAGATATTCATTATTTGACGGCATTATATATAGAAGAGCGCTATATCTATCGCAGTCACAAAGCTTCAAGGCAGCCAATCGGGCCATGGCAGCATTGAGGTTCCGCAAGCGATATGGAGCAAGCCATACTAAAAACCCAGTGTAAGCCAGACCATTGATCACAAATTTAGCTAAGGGAGGGCTAGGCACCTTTCATCGCCTCCTTAAAATGGTACGAGAACATCTGCCAGTCTCCACCATCTTCCTCGAGAGGCCAGAGTGTCACAGTTTGATACGGCTCGCTAGGGTCTTTCGGAGGTAGACCTGTATAGACTTCATGGCGGGAGAGGGATTGCAGTGCGAAAAGAAATTCAACAATATGAGTCTGTCCAGGGTGATAGGCTGGAAAGGCTGTACATAGTTGCACAATGACAGAGAACAATAGAGAGATATGAGATCTGGGATGGGGCGCTATGCTGCTCTCATTTTCTTCTTCTTCCTCGGTCAGATTTCGGGGGTCTGGCCGTTTCATCAACTCGTCATATTTTCGGTTTGTATCCTCTGTGATCATAGCGTCAAGGTCGATGGCGAGCTGTTTGGGAGTCAACGTTCCATTGACCAGGTTTTCTAGTCTTGGTTTGATCCAGAGATCTTCTTCGTCGTCATATTCGTCATACAAGTTCAAAGGGAGTGGTTTGTCCTCAAACTCCCCTGAATAGTCTGGGTTGGTCAAAAGTGTCGACATGATGAATTCCTTCAGTCTTATGTGTGTTATCAGAATTCCACCATTGGGCAGACCTCAGAGATTTAAAGAGAAAGAGTCGAGAGAAGAGATGTCAGCCTGGCGGACGATTCAGCCGTGTCTGCCTTGCGGGGCCGACCGGGGAGCGGAGCGGTGCCCCTGCGCCAGTCGATCTTCCGCCTGCAAGCAACCTCTAAGCTTACTTCATATCCATCCTTAGCTGTTATTTCTAGGAATCCTTTGAATCAACCAATCTTATTATTTCGTCTATTTCGTATTTATGCAATCTATGTGGCATTGTATCTATCACAGTCCCCGTGTCGAGATATGTACATAGCGTTTCTTCCCTGCTTCGTCTTTCTAATAGTAACCGCCCCATGGGACAGGGATGCTTCAAATCCATGTGATGAACCCTGTGTTGGTGATTGAATCCTGAGACTGATAGCGAGGCATTTTAGATAAATTTAGAAACACAGTCAAGACAAAGCTATAAAGCAGAGCTTCTTCCTCGCTGAGAACAAATTATCTCAATCATTAAGCTCTGCACTCAATCCAATATCAATCAATTTCTTTACTAAAGAAATCACTCACAATGTATTTTTTCAATGTCCTCCTCCCCCTTGCTCTCCTTGCGAGCCCCATCTTTGCAACGCCCATTGATCTCGAAACTCGTGCAGGTGTAAGTCATCCAATCCCTACCAATTGAAGTGAACCACATTTAACCCACCCAGGAAACCGTCCGTTGCAGAGCAACCGACACCACAAAGGCCAAACACACTTCCAAAACCTGGACTGTCAGCGTCGATGAAGCCAAGCAGCTTGTCCAAAAGGCCGGTGTCAAAGGCGCTGACAAGACTGGATATCCGCACGCATACAGAAACGGAGAAAAGCTTGAATGGGACCCTGCTGCCTGCAAGAAAACCAATGTCGATCTTTTGGAATACCCTATCTTCTGGCAGGGCACAAAACAGATCAAATCTGACACGAAGATTAATGGCCAAGCGCACACGCCTATCCGTGTTGTGTATGCAAATGCTGGGGGCACACCTGTCTACTGTGGCATTATGGTCCATACGCAGGTCAAGCAGAAGCCTGATATCGACAAGAAGCAGTCTTGGGAAGGCGATGAAGGGTTCAGCAAATGTACCTAGAGAAGAGTTTTGTGACGATTTTATATCTGGGTTAGTGGTTTTTAATATGGTCTTCTTATTGGTTTCTTAGGCGTTCATTATGTTACAGTTCTCAATATTTATTTGCGTTTTATATTCAAGCTTGTTCCTATAATATTAGAATAGTGTTCAAATTATAGTCTGTTAAAAAGGTGATGGTCACCTTATCATGACCTTGTTATGTTAAGAATGAAAAGTGACAATTACAAAGTTAGAAAGCTGATCAGCATGGGAGTTAATGGCCAAGCATTTTGGTCCGCAACTGAAAGCCTCCTTAGGGCTTTTTTCCTTATGACTACTTTCTCATTGTGGTTTAGTGCCAACAACCTGCCTTGTCTAGCTCGCTATTTTACTATTGTAACGGCTCAGCCCAGCGCCTTCATCAGCAAACATCATCAACACGGAAAACAATACCATGGAAGCAAGCAAGACAAGCAAGCTGCTTAGCGAGACCACACACAACCATATGGGACTTCTTCACGTAAATAGACTTGTCTCTTATTTTCTTTTCTTCTCCAGATTCGATATTCTCGTCGATGGCTACTAGTTGGTTTAGATAAGAATATCAATTCGTTAATATCTTCTAACTATTGATCCCGTGACAAGGAGAGAGAGATTGTGGAGCTACTAGGGCCTTTGGGCCTGGTAGCACTTCTATTCGGTCTGAGAACTGGCTCTGGTTGATCTACTTCAGCTTGTAAAGGAGTCTCGGAATTACATAATATTGGAAGCTCTTCATCTTCAGCAGCATCTGCAGGTGCTTGAGTATTGGCAGATTTGTTTACTGGGATAACCTCCTGTTCATATCGTATAAACTCCATCGAAGAAGGTCCTGGTAATACTTCATCCAGTCAATATTCTCACCTCTCCAATCCACATTATCAAAGTATCGGAGCTATAATAGAGGATAGTTGCCAGAGCATAGATTTTTCCATATGACTCAGTGTCTGTTGCAATAGAGTACTTGCTAAGCTTTTTCTTTGCTGCTGCGAATGTCTGAGGCATTCTCTTTTTCCAAGGGAGAGTCTTTCGTTTGAGTTTGCTTTCAGCGTCATCAAGGTGATTGAAGAGCCGATTATGGATACTGAAAACATGATGAACTGTGATATCTTTAGTCTTTGATAAAACGTTGGTAAAATCAAAGAGTGGCTTTGTGACGGCCTGGTCACGTTCTATACTGCTTATTATAAACGGGGTCGATCTTTTATGTTGTCTAATTTTATTAATTTATCTGTTAATTCATTATAGGAAACAGAGATCGCACTGATAGACTTGAAGATTTACCACAGAAAAACAGGAAAGAAACTCTAAAAAAGGGTACATTCTACTAATTCACACTTGTATCTATCTCCAGCGATCCCAAACTGCCCAAGTACTCTCACAACACGCTCATGTCCAGTAGACATTGCGCAGTGGAGGGTACATTCTTCTTTATCGAAACAACCAGGCACCTGATGTGTACTTCTCTCTAAGAAAACCCGAACATCTGCTTTTCCATATTTTGCTGCCCTTTCCGGAAACCTTGAAACAACAGGATAGACGCCAGCTCCCTGGTCTAGGAGCAACTCCACGGTCTGGGAGACACCATTCAAGATTGCCACATAAAGTGGTTGATCGGGTCCGCCATTAATATTGGCTACTAGAGTTCAACCATGAAACAGCTAAAGTGCCAGCCCATTTCCTTTCCAGTATCTCCTTTCCCATCTCAACGGCGCCTCGGCCCCAATAGCAAGTCTACCAACAGGCGCATCGGGCTCCGCATCACCAATATGCCCAGGAAGCGTATTGAGAAGCTCGTCCTCTTTCTGGACGAAGCCTTTGTCGTCGGAAGGGGACTTAAATTCACACAGTGCAGTACCCATCTTCAGTATAGCGTAACTGTTGAGAGTGTCAACCCAGGGAACCTGGGTGGCAGCCACTCCACAAAACACCTCAGTAATAGTAAAAAGATGGCTATCAAAACGGAGAAGCCGATCATCGCAGGAGTCGAGATACTCGGCTTTAGCATGTCCAAACTGTCCTGTTTATAGATATAGATCTCTTCTGAACCATAGTAATGGGGTTCTTAGTGCGCGTTTATGAGAATAGCCTGATTTGCCAGAAAAGCTGCCTGGTTTAATGCTGGAACTGCGTATGTGGGTCTAGTTAGCATTCGGACCCAGGTCAGAGCGCTCGAAACATAGGCACCACTCAGTGTGCAGCCCATGTTTCCCAGGACGTATGCTAAAGGCGGGATATCATGACAAAGGTATCCGAATGTGCCATTGGCGTCGTTTAAGTCTATGATATTACGGGACCCTGTATCAATGAAGGCCCCCTTTCAAAATAGTGCCACGGTAAGGAGGGCAGGAGGGCCTTTAGTAGGAACGTATTCTAAATGGAAGTCCCCGTCCATTCTGCCAGGGTTGTTTCTATCTGTAATGGTGCTCCTGGAATCCAGACTTTGACACAAAGGTTAGACTGCGATTTGGCTGGAGAGTTGACTATCATGAAGAGAAGTGGAACGGAGAGCTTCTTACGACTTTGACCCATTTCTGCACTCGGGGTAATGGCAACTTGAAAATAGATCCGTCTCCAAGATGGGTCCAAACTTATTGTCAAGTTCATTGCTGGGTAGTTCGAAATAACCCACAGTGGTGAAGAGCGTTAATCGGTACGTTGCGTTGTTCACGCTCTTTCTCATCGAGCTCGGGCTAAAGGTGGCTGTGACGAAAAGCGTCTCGTTAAAATCTTGCCTAACACGTGTATGTGCAAATGGCGAGTGACTAAAGTTGCCAGGCATGAAGACACTGATGCTGAAAGCATATCCGTGACCAGGTCTGTCCCCACCGTGTAGTTCTGGAAAAAGCTGTCGCCCAAGCAGTCTCGGGGAAATTCACCCTGCTCCAGGTCATCCCACACAATGGAAGAATTAATCCGTGGTGCGTATTGCCTGATCATTCCAGTGTTTGTGTCAGATCCGAGGGACGACACGAAGAGATCTAGTGTTGGACTGTCGATCCTATCATTTGGTTCAAATTCCTGATCAGCAGTGTTAACCACAGCCCGTTGACATGCGAAGACAGAGTCATCGTATTTGTAACACTTTTTTTAATCACATGAACAGGATGCATTGCCTTTCCATAGATTGCTATAGACATCGGATGGACGCGCGGTACTGGGACTCGGGCGCAACATGGCGATAATGTCTCCTTGATCGTACGTATTAAGTATGTGGTTGCTCGTTATGGCTAGGATATCAGTAGTACTGGTGAGAATGTAGTCGTCATGAAGAGGCACTTTGTTAATGATCTGTCCCACAAGAAGTCCGTGTAGGGAATTGATAACGGCCCCCAGAATATGGAGAATGCTAGCCAACCAAAGAAAAGATGTGCTGTATAATCCAGGCCGCCACAGCAGCGACAGGATTATGTCCGGACTGGTCCATCCTCGATTCGCAAGTCCGAGGGTTTGTCTTAGCGTGAAGCTTGCTTTGCGGTTCCGTTGGGATTGAACAAAGCCCACCGCTGCAAAGCCAGACGGACGAAGCCACTGGGATTGTTGAGACGCCGATGATTCCCCAGAGAACTCGCGCAGCCCGGTACCAGCGTTCGTTAGCTTTCAATGCAGCTTCGACGTCAGGGCTGTACTTGTAATGATTCAGCACATTGGGAATAGACGCCATGGAACCTCTGCTCAATACACAAAATATTGACCACGCTGTGAGCAAAATGGCGGTATAAAGTAACACAAGGATCGGGACATAGATCTGCGGCCAAAAGCGGACGGTGGATTGTTTGGAGTTGTCTTTGTTTTTGGTGTCCGTCACTGTCGTCGTCGTTCTCGTCGTTGGTGGGCTTTCCTCGGGGCTTAGAAGATGATTCGAAACGGTGAAGTTCTCCTGGTCTGCGAGAGCCATTTTCTTTCCGAGAAAACAACCACCCAAGCAAAAGCGTAGGGCTGAACCTGAGGAAACAATATGGACATTACGAGCCCTTATTTATGTCCAACTTCTCGCAAGGCTGACAGCCCAGGTATGTAGGTTGGACATACAGGGCATTGATCAGCGTATTTTTCATCGTATCCGGGCAATGCAAGTCGACAGTAAATGTGCTTGTAGTCAATAAGCATCTGAGAGTCTGAGGCTCTGTGTAAGCCTTCCTAATCTAGAAGACATGCGCTCAGCTACTTTTCTCAGATACCACCTTCGAAGACGCCATTTCCGGTCTTAAACCCCTCCAGCTCCCAAGCCCCCAGGCCATCACAACAGAAGCCGACCGGAAGATTCCTGCAAAGGTATAAATAACACTCTATGATTAGCCAATGGCATGGTTGATCCTGATTAGCAAATGGGAGATAATCAGTCAAAGTAGTTTTGCTTCATAGCCGCCGCGATACTTAAATTTGGGTTGCTTCGGATAGCTAAGATCACTTGATTTTCTTTTTCTGACAATTTCATTTTTGTTGGTGAGGGAGAACATGGTTGAATGTTAGGGATCGCGTCGCGGCGATTTGGTGTCTTCACTCACTTATCTGTCTCATCCGCTTATCATGCACGTTATCGCATTTATTTCCGGTTAATGGCCTTGTTGCTGTCGCGTCAGTGCCCGGCTTTTAGTTGAGATGTTTGAAATATCATCGACCTATAATCCCCTAGGACTCCGATGTCAGCTGGGATAACTGAGAATTAGGCTTCCTGCGATGTTCATGCCACGAGCGTTCTATTTGCCCCCAGAATTTGATAATTTTGTTGACTTAAAGGCAGCATAGATGAAAAGCAGAGATATGCAGGCTAATATGCCGACTATAGTCCATAATTTAGCAGCATTTGAAATGTATGCACACATAACTGTATCTATGGCATACATATTATTGGGAAGATTCATCATTCTTTAGAGCGGGCGGATAGCTTAAGCTGAAAGTCAGCCTAGACCATACCCACCCTGCTCTAGGAACACAAGGGGAGCACTCAGCTCGAAAGTCCTTTGCATTAAAGTAATTTAGGGCAAAGGAAGGGATTGGAAGGATTAGAGAAAGAGGTTTGCCTCAGGAACTCACAGGGACAAGAGACTGCAGGTTAGCTGCTAACCTCGGGTCCATGGGATATAGTCTGATATGGCTTTAGGGCTCGATATGAACAATATACTTGACTGGATAATAATAATTATAATAATGAAGTGACCTAAAACAACCATTCACGACGAATGGCCCCCTTACACCAACTCACACCGTCCCAACGAGGTGACAAAAAATCACGGGGCGAGCATCTCTGCCTCGACCTCAGGACTGATATTGCTGTGCCACAGATCAGGCTGTCATCCCGCTTGGCCTCTAGTCGTATGGCGTGTAACTGGCACCATTGTCGTGTGTGCCTTTTTGAGGTGGTTAAGGGCCGGAATAACAAACTCTCTAGCTCCGACTAACCCGCGTGAAACGGGGAAGCTTCGGGGCAGCGGTGCCGATTCTCCGGATAACTGTACGAGGCCTATATGACAGCCGAGAATTATAGTGAAAGTATCTTGCGCAGTAAAGAATGTACGTAGTAATGAAGTTGCTGTAGAGTGCTTGCTTAACTAACTAATAGTGCTTCGTCGTCGTACGAGAACCTCTCCGGAGCTCGCCAGATCGGTCCGATATTCATCCGATCTTTATCACCACGAATATGCCATGCCATGGACGCTATGGTTGTTGCTCCAGCCCTTAAACTCCAACTGACAATGCTCAACAGCCTCCTTACCAGCAGTTACTTACAATACAAGTCTGACACTGATACGGTCGCCTCCTGGCTGGCGAGCACAGCCATACAATGTGGTTACGCAGCAGATTTCTTGACAAAAGGCAAACAAAAACAGCAGGGTAGTGGTAGACTGAAAGGGAAAGCGAGAAAAGTGGCCCGGGATGCTCCAGCAAAACCTACGCTTTCGACTCCTCCGATTAAGACGTATACTATTGCTATCAAGGATTTTATTGGGTTGGCGGAATACATTGCGGATTACAAGGGAACCCGCGTAGAGGTTCCAAAAGGCTTTGCTTCTTCGCTTCACCGTGCGATTGCTGTGAGACGATCGCATGGTGCTGATGTTTCCGAGGCTCTGGAGAAGACGACGGAAAGTCAGGCTTCGGATGACCGGCACTCGTATTTCATTGGAGTTCTGGAGCATGTGCGGGACATTTTGCGTCCTTTGATGCCCGAAAGTCTCAAGAACAAGGAGCCAGAGACGAAGTCGGTGGATGCGGAGAAGCTGTCCAATGTATTCAACAAGTTGGAGCTTTTCGAGCCGTCTGAGGACTTCCTTGATGCTCCTGGTCCTATCCCTTCAGGGTCAGGCGAGCCGCCTTCTGCCGCTCTCTACGAGGCTGAACGACTCCATGACCTTGAAGAGGCCCTTCTCCTGTTCCAGCTTCTTGTGCAGGATATGGGCAAGATTCGAGCGGTCATCCTGAAAACATGGTCAGGGTATAAAATGGGAATGTTCGACCTGGTCTCCGCGTCTGTGACGACCAACACTGCGGTGGACATTGCTCGGCGCATGGAGGAAGACGCGCAGCCTATTTTTGACAAGCACGGTGGATCCGAGAAACTTCTGCAATTGTTGCATCTTGGCTACTGCATTGAATGCGAAGAGGACCCTACCTACAAGGAAAGACCAGATGACTTTCTCAATCTACGAATGTACAACTTTGCAGAGAAGGCTTTCTGGCCTACCTATATTCTCTTGGAGGGGTTCTGCGCCATTGCTAAAGGTAAAAAAAACATTCCACAATACAAGCCCGGCCACTACGGAACGTACAATCCGTTAAACGATCGCTCCAAGATGACAGACCGCGAGAAGTCCTATGAAGACAGAGTCCTTCTGATGGAGATGCTATCGGAAATTAATTTCTTGTGCAAGGCTTCTCCGAGACCGATGTCTTGGGAAGATGAGTTGACCAGTGGCTTGCGGACGACGCTGTGTGAAACTGGCAAAATTCCGCTATGGCTCACATTTGCCGCCCACCTTTGGCTGGACACTCACCACATACTCAGAAACGAGGTGTCACGAGCATATGATGATCTATATGAAGCAGCTGTGAGAATGAAAGACTCTATCAAGGAGATTCTCGACTTTCATCGTTCACTCAAAGTTGACAACTGGCCGCGATCAAATGATATGGCGTTTAACATCGTGCTCGAACGCATCGAATGGGTAGTTGACGAAGACACACTACAGGACGCTAAGCGAAGGGCTGGCCGGCCGGTTGGACAACCTTTCGACTGGCTCAAACAACATCCCATCTACGCTGGTCTCTACCTTTATCATATCAAGGCCATGTTCCAGGAAATAGGGATTACATTTGTTGGCGCTTGGGGCTCAGTCATGTACGCTGGACATTTATACAATGCCGTGCGTCAGGAAAAGCTTCTCAACATTCGGTGGGATGATATGGAACTCCTCTTCATGCTACATGAGAATTTCTTCGTGGGTGGTAGACCCAGAACACCAGACGATTACCTGAAAAGATTTGTCCTGAGCTTGGGAGCATCTGCATCAACATTCGCCAAAAACAAGCGCAACCAACAAATCAGAGAATCCAAAAGGGGCCCCAGAGGTCTTACAGAACTCGCACCGGTTGCGCGAATGTTCCATCAACGCTATTGCAAAACGGGCGCCAGAACCGATTTAGCCCCCAATGACCTTGAAGAAATCCTATCAAAAGGAATGTGGGAAGAAAATGAAGAAGAAAGCGCCGAAATATCCGCAGCAAATGGCCAAGATCTCCGCGTTTTTGCCCGAAGCAAACAACCCTCAAAGGAACAACGCCATCGCCGCCGCCGCTTCACACCCCCGCAACTCCTCCAAGCCCTTCGCAACTCCCTTGGCGCTGAAGCCCTCGAATTCTCCTTTGACTACCTCAAAATGCACAAGATCTGCTGGACGCTCCTACGCTCTGTGGAGCGGCAGTGTCGTCCGCACTTGACACAGATGTTCGGACCGATGTACATTGAGCATGAGAACCAGCTGCCGTATGTTGTCAGCTATGTGTTTATGGCTGCTACCGAGACTGATCATATTAATGCGATTATTGCGAAAAAGGAGAATGTTGTTACTAGTGCGCTGTTAGTGGAGGCAGCGGATGCGCTGGGTGAACATATTCGGGATGGTGTTGGGACGGCTGTGAGTCGGGAGATGCGGTTTCCGTATGAGATTAATGTACATTAGACATTCCTAAATGATTACCCAGAATTTTTTTTTTTTTTTTTTTTTTTTTTTTTTTTTTTTTTTTTTTTTGCCTAGCCATGAGACACAAGTATTCGCTACATAGTATCCCTTAGACAAAAGTTTGCCGGTGGTTTTGAAATACGATATCGTAGATAAGTGATCAAGCAACCATCCACTTTTGCTCATCGCTCAGAATCATCTTTCACATACCTACCAGTCGCCTATTATTCCACCATGGTACCTGCCCAAGACTCGCCCCGTCAGAGCACTAATGATCTCAACAACCAAAATGCAAATGACAGTTGGACCATTCCGCTCAAGGATGTATGTACACTGTTAACCGGAAATTCCTAAACGACCACACTGACGAAATCATCGCCTTCGACCTCCCTGAGCCCAAAACCTCAATATCATGGCCCACTTCTGTACAAATCTACAAGATGGCCACATCCGGGAAGGCCCACGTCGCTTTTTGCTCACTGAGCAGAGGTTGAGCCGATGAGTGAGCAACATGAATAATACAGCCTCAACAAAATGCACCACGCTAGGATTTCAATCCATGATTGCTATGTCACCATTTTCGTAGGGCATCAATACCCCAGGGCTGCCAACGGCCCAATAATGCGACTACTCCAACATAAATGTCGCAAGACCTATACAGTCGCTCTTGCGGTCGTGGAAGAAGGCTAGAGCTACGGGTGGGACTAGTGTGCCTACAGGAACCCCATATGGACAAGGAGTTCCGATGTGGATAATATCGGATATTTTGGCCAAAATCAAGATCTCCTCAGAATCGGCGAGTGGCGTCAGCAATCCGGCGTGAATTCTAAACTCGTGCCCGGCCTATAACTCCCAGAATTCCATGCCGTCAACCTAACAGCTCTGGGACCGCTCTAAGGGCTGCTGCAATGGCTCCGTACTAAGGAGTTTCTGAATGATCGTGTGGATAATAACTAGCAGTCCCTGTCACGGGCTCAACAACTAGTAGCGTTTGCCTCGGTGGTATTTGTCGATATTGACTGTTGGCGTTGACCATCACAACCCCTCGCCATGCTTGTTAGCAGCGAAGAAGAAATGATTAGTAGGAGAGATGATCGGTGGATTACCGATAGGGCCACTACTCCGCATAGCACACATGTATATCGCTGCCCGATCGGACCTCCTATGTGAGAGATTCATATGATTTTATGCCAGTTTATAGCGCCAAGTATAAGATTTATATGCAGCTTAAAGCAAGCCCATATCTCCCCTCCTCTCTCCCAACAAGACATTTGGGCCCGCAATTTCTACCAAAGCGTCGGCTGATGTAGTAGTACGGAGTACGTACTCGGAGTATCTCGTGTTTAGAATACCCCGAGTACTGTTAGGAGTCGACTCGGCATTGCTAGCTCATTGAGTTGCTCAATCACTAGTCGACTGACGTTTTATCACGAGCTGTCCGGGAGATGGTTTTCTATTTATGGTGTAGCAGAACATGCCGATCAGGGTCCGGGCGAGGCCATAGAAAAGCGACTATCCCGAATCATCTGTCAAATTTGCGAGATCGGCATGGCCCCCAACCAAGCCCTGACTCAGCCACTCTTGGCATACAAGTAGTCCTTGCAAGGCTGGCTCAAGTATTCGCGATGTCCATAGGCTAAACTCCCCGGGAAGGCCACTTGGTGTGGTGCCTGAGCTGATCTGGACCCTCTTCGGGAAGGGATAATCACCTTGGTTCGGACACGGCCCCAATAAGGCAGGGCCTCTAATTCGTGCTGTCATATGCGGTGAATGTCCATCAGCCCATGAATGAAACGCGCAGTGGGCCATGGCTGATCTCGAACAACTGGTGTTCAAAACCAAGGCCGAACCCAAGAAGACCACAGGCTCGTGAGAGCCTCAGGGAAAAGTGGTTCTTGTGCTGACCCAATGCCATGCAGCAGCATCGACGATGACTCTGGACGCCTCCACCAACCCCCATTAAGGGCCAAGACGGCTCCCAGGGGGGGAGCAACCGATGAGCCTTGTTGAGCCTCATCCTTCGAGAGAGTAATTTCCCGTAAGGCATATAAGCGTCCTTCATGGGTCCATGGAGACGCAGTCCATTTGTGATTTCATCTTCACTGTGTGTGTGTGTGTGTGTGTGTGTGTGTTTCTCTTCTTCTTTGCTATAAGGCAGGAGCTTGGAAATGTATCTTCTTGGAAGCATTTTGGCCTCCGCCGTCTTGGTCGCGGCTCAGACCTCAACCCTCATTCCCACTTCTTCAACCCCTTCAGCGGTCCCATCTAGCTCCAGTTCTGCAGAGGCCTGCGCAAAGATTGCCAAATTCACCGGGGATACCAACAATATCCCTGCTAAAATCGCCCATGATTGTTTGACCTCCGTTCCAGTGGCCGTCGAGGAGGATGAAGCCCTGATCAACCAGCTTAAGCTCATGTGGGAATGGAATTCCGAGACAGGCTGGTTGAAAAACACCCCTGAAACATGGGATCGAGGCTCGCTAGACCTCATTAGCGAGCTAGACAAGATTAAGGGCAACCTCAGCAACTATGACAGCGAATACGACGTGCACCTTGCGATCCAGAAGCTGAGCATCGACACCGGTAACTACCACTTCTTGTTCGGGTCTGACATCCTCAGTATTTTCTTATTCTGGCGCGAAGTTGCGATGACGACCATCTCCGATGACGGGTTGAAGGTTCCCAACACGTATGTGGCAGGTGATATTATCGCCCAGCATGCCGACGACGGTGTTTCCATCTCCCCAATTACCAAGGTCAACGGCCAGGACGTGCAAGAGTATCTGGAAAAGATCGCCGACTGGGAGCAATACACCAACCTGGACGCCCGTTATAATAACCTTTTATTCCGGGAGGCTAAACCTGGCTCTTTAGTCTCTCCCGCCCAGGTGTTCTATGGTGTTTATGACGACGCAGCCACCACAGTCACCTTCAAGAATGGTACCACGCGCAGATACAACAATATTGCCACTGTATCTGGAGTTGCAGAAAACATTGACTGGAGCGAGGTCACCGACGGCAAGAGCCTCTTCAAGATCCTGTCCAAGCTCAAGACTGCGGCCGACGAGCCGGATACTTCTTCGGCTGCGCAGAAGGCTGCACGCCATCTGTCCCGGAGGACATTGATTCCCCGTGACAATACTAACTACCCAGAGCCCGTGGTGAACCATAGCGACGCCATGATGGCCGGGTACTTTATGGATACGGTCAATGATGTTGCTGTCCTCCAGATTAGTAGCTTTGACACGTCCTCTGTCGATAACTCGACGGAATCCTCGCGCGAGTTCCAGCGGTTGGTCAAAGAGTTCCTGGAGCAGTGTCAGGACAAGGACAAGAAGAAGCTCATTCTAGATCTCCGAGAAAATCAAGGAGGCGATGTTGATCTTCTGCTCGATACTTTCATGCAGCTTTTTCCCGCCGAGATGCCTTTCAGCGCCCAGCGGTATCGGGCACAGGACGGATATAAGAGGGTTGGCGATGCTCTCAATGAGATCAAGAAGAACGATACCGCACAGGAAGAGTTCGATTCCAACTGGTCTGAAGGTACAGAGAAGCTCCAATTGCCAAGATGGAAAGAAATATAGCGCTGACTGACCTTCAGATATTTTGACTACTCACTGGGACTACGAGGATTACGTCGACGTTAATGGCGACAGCATTCCTGACTGGGATACTTGGCTCGGGCCCTTTACATATAACGAAGACAATTTCACGCTCACCTCGCGCTATAACGTAAGTGCAACTCCGCAAAACCAAACCACGGCCCGCCCCTTGAACTGTAACAACATTCCAGCTGACCCTCACAGATGTCTAACAGCAACAAAAATAGTGTTCTGGGCGAGGGTTTCAAGTTCGAGAACCCCTCATCCGGACCGCCCATTTTTGAGCCCGAAAACATGGTCATGCTTATGGATGGTCTTTGTGGTTCGTCCTGCGCCTCCTTCCACGAAGAGCTGAAGAACGTTGCGGGCGTCAAATCCGTTGTGGTGGGTGGTCGCGCTAAGGAGGGCCCCATGCAGGCTCTCGGAGGCACCAAAGGTGGTACCATTCTATCATTCAGTGAAATGTCGCAAACCATCGCAGGTATGATAAATGCGACTGAAGCGCTTGGCATCGAGGGCTTCGAAACCCCCGAGCTAAAGGCACTTGCCAACCCGGAGGTCCTTCTCCGCCGCGCCGGCGTTGATGGACAAATCCAGATCCAAGACCAGGTGCGAAAAGGCGACTCATCCGAGTCCACATTGCAGTACACGTATGAAGACGCCGATTGCCGTATGTTCTGGACCACCAAGACACTGTTCGAGCCGCAAGCCTTGTGGGCCGCCGCTTGGGCGGCACACACGGATGAAAACAAGTGTGTCAAGGGCTCGACGAAACAGCCCTCCAGTATCAGTGGTGGCTTTAAGCCCTTTGGAGCGGGAGGCCTGAAAGGATCCATGGAACAGGATGATACGGCAACGTCAACCGGCGGACTTACTCGCAAGTTTTCCCTGGTTGCCTGCGCTGCTACCACCCTCCTGAGCTTCCTCCTATGAAGCAGTCACCTGTGGCGGGCGATGAGCAAAACATACGCACCGGAAGAGCTTGTCAGTTGCCTATCACATGATGTGATTGTATATTGTCTTGATACCTTTGCATCTTTCATGTGTTTCAAAGCTGTTCGTTATAAGACAATTTTCTGAAAAAAACATAGCGTACATGTTGATATGAATTTTCTATCGATGCTCTTTACCAATTAATTTGGTATCATCTTCTTACTCAGTCCAAGCAATACAGTCCAGTACGAAGCATTGAAATGTGGCATTTGCAAATTTTGACCCAAACTCAAGAACAGTGGTCCATGTTATTCAATGTTTCGCCCCTTTATTCAGCTGGATTGCCGTGCAGTGTATTTAATGCTGATGATTATATCGAACTCCATATGTGAAACACATCCTGAACTACGTAATCTTGGAAAGCATCCAAGCAACCTCTAGAAAGTAAGTACAAAACCGGCGGAACAAACTTTCCCGCACTGTGTATATACCTGTAGGGCCGCACGCCAACGAGATCTCTTGCGGTATACCTTAGCTATATAGCTAATCATTAATTTAGCGGATTTGGTCCTTACAGAGTGGGCTTCGGGGCGGCCAGTATGGTTGTAGCTATGGCCGTTCAAAGGCTCAAGGTCAAGATCCTTCGATTCCGCAATTTGACCCAGACCCACCGAGATATTAAATTTCCCCGAAAGTACTCCCATTAAGCCCAATCAACCTCCATGTTGTGGAGAAGAAGCAGCAGTGCGAAAAATGGAGCTCCGATGTTGTGATTCGCGCGATTTTAAAAAATTCGGAAGATAGAATAAAGCTTGTTTCCCATCAGACACTTTTCAATTCCTCTCTTTCGGTCATGATCATGAAAAGATGGACAAGTCCGGCTTCCCTGAGGATCACATCCAGTCGGCTCCTGCAAACTATGTCGACTATGATGCTAACCCCAAGGAGGAACTGGCGCTCAATGTCGGCGGCCGTGCTGCCTTGCAGCGCCGCCTGCGGAACTACCAGGTCACCATGATTGGTTTCTGCAGTGGTATCGGTACCGGTCTGTTCGTTGGCACTGGGTCGGCTTATGCCAAAGCTGGTCCCGCTGGTTTGTTGCTCGCATATATCGTCGTCGGAATGGTTTTGTGGTGTGTGATGCAAAGCATCGCCGAGCTGGCAACGCTTTTCCCAACCGCAGGATCCTTTCCTCACTGGGCTACTCGCTTTATCGACCCGGCTGTCGGCTTTTCACTCGCTATTTCGTACGGATACTGTTACACAATCGCTATCGCCTCAGAGACATCTGCCGCCGCTGTCATTGTTTCATATTGGACGGACATAACGCCTGCAGTCGTGATCACAGTTGGGTTGGTCTTAATTTTGGCTATTAATTTGATGAGTGTGCGATTCTATGGTGATAGCGAAGTTATTGGAGGTGCCGTGAAGGTTCTCTGCTTCCTTGGCCTTGTAATTGTCTCCATCGTTATCACTGCAGGTGGGGGTCCAAACCACGAGACCATTGGCTTTCGGTTCTGGAACAATCCTGGGGCATGGACAAACTACAACGGTATCACTGGTCCGACAGGCCACTTCCTAGGATTCCTTTCGTCTTTCATAAACGCCTCGTTTAGCTTCATTGGTGTCGAGACCGTTGTTATCACAGCTTCCGAGTCCGTCGACCCGCACCGTGCCATTCCAAAAGCTGCCCGTCGAGTGACTTATCGCATCGCCTTCTTCTACATTCTCGGCGCCTTTCTCATCAGCCTCATCGTGGACCCCCGGAATTCAAACCTTGTCTCCGGCTCTGACAACGCAAACAGCTCGCCATTCGTGATCGCCATCAAGAACGCTGGCATCACCGCGCTGCCCTCCATTGTAAATGCATGCATCCTCGTCGCTGCGTGGTCTGCCGGTAATTCCTACTGTTGGGTCGGCTCCCGCATGATCGTCGCCATGACTACAGACCACCAGTTGCCCCAGTTCTTCGGGCGTGTGGATAAGAATGGCGTGCCATACGTGGCTGTCATCGCCGCTTGGCTCTTCGGACCCCTGGCGTATCTGAGTCTTGGATCCGGTGGTGCAGCGCAGGCTTTCACCTGGCTTCTGAATCTCAGCACCGTCGCCGGTCTCATTGCCTGGGCAACGCTTTGTTTCTGCTATATCCGCTTCTATGCTGCAATGAAGAAGCAGGATATCAGCCGAGAAACGCTCCCTTGGAAGGCACCTTTGCAACCTTATGCCGCATGGTTTGGCTTTATCATGTCTACAATAATTACGTTGATTGCAGGATTTCCCGTTTTCCTCAAGGGAAACTGGAACACGTCTGATTTTGTTGCGTCCTATGTTGGCATTCCTATTTTCATTGTTCCCATTATTTGCTGGAAGCTCTGGTATCGTACCAAGGTATGTTGCCTCATCTAATCTTTTTTTTTTTTTTTTTTTTCTCGAAATACAGTTGTTAACATACGATTCTGCAGTTTGAACGTGCCGCAAATATTGATTTATGGTCCGGTCGTCTTGTGGACGGGGAGATTATGCCACAGGAAAATAAACCTAGCGGCCTGGGGCGAAAGTTCGTCGACTGGCTATTTTGAGATAACCCTCATTGTATATATACCAGCCTTTTAGCATGAGCGATGCATCTATTCCACCATTTCTACCATGCATGATTCATGACACTTTGATTTTATTTCTTTTCCCCATAGACTGGTCACTTGGTCTAGAACTGCTCTCGAAGTTTTCCGATATCGTAATGGGAAGCTTTGCAGCATCCACCAACGAGAAACGAGTTAAATTGGCCCTTGGAAAAGGCTTCATTGACCACTTGTGCGAGCTGCTTCTCCCAGGGTCGCTGAAGTTCACGTCAGTATGTTGCTTTGAGAGCCCTTGTGCAAAGAGGCAAAAAGAAGATAATAGATAGTCGTACCGTGTCTCTACTATTCGTATCACCGGAATCATCAGGCTTCTCCCAGATCTGTGTCGTGGTATTGTAAACCTCCCCATTCGATCCATCGGGATACAAAACCAGAATCGGAACATTCGATATGTGCCCAGCAGCAATAGCCTCCGCAACACACAGACCAAACTTATCAACAAGCCCAGGGAGCTTATGGATCTTGGTACAATTCATCCCAATCCCCCACGGCTCACCACCACCTTCCATTGGCCCAACAGCAGCCTGCACAACCTGCTCAACAGAACTCCCATCAGGCAAGACATCGTCCGCCCGGGGGAAAACACAAGCAATCCAGAACGGCACCTTAATTCCCGAATCAAAAAAAGCTCTCCTTACAGCCCGAACCTCATCAAGCCGAGGCAGTGTCTCAAAAGCAACAAATTGCACCCGAGAAATAAGATTCCCATCCGCTTCCGCTTCAACAAACATCCGCAGTCGATCTAGATGCCACCTATACAACGCGTCTTCAGAGTCATGTTCCGTATCATACACACCACTATATTCCTGTCCAGGAATCATGCACGCCCCGTAGGGACCAAGGCTAAGCGCAATACTCGACTTGTCGCAGACTTTTGCCTTTTCAGCAGCATCCACTGCAGTCTGTAGGAAGGGCCCCGCGGCACTGCGCGGGATGCCATCGGGAAAAGCGGGCGTTTTTGTCAGCGCAAACCCTTCTGCAGAGACTTGATATGTGGCTGTTAGGAGGATATCGACTCCTGCGATGGCGAAGTCTCGTTGGCAGGCTTGTAGAGTGGCTGGGTCGCTGACTAGCAGGTGTGATGACCAGAGAGGTGTTGTAGCGGAATCGAATTTGATGCTGTATTGGTCTTGTAGTGAGGTGCCGAGGCCTCCGTCCATGATTTGGACTTTCGCCATGCTGTGTTTTGGGTATTTAGGATTTGACAGGGTGAGGGGGTCGTTTTTGACAAGTTCGGGCCGGTTTCGGGTTACATAATAGTGCGTAGGCGATTGGGATAAAAATAGCCTGTTTTTCACACTTGGAGATATGCGACATGACTCTAAGCAGTGAACTGAGGGCTTAATAGAGGTTAACGGCCAATGATGGCTGAGCTGTGTGCAAACAACAAGATGTCTATTGATGGAATTGGCCTTTTATGGAACATAAAACTTCTTCACTTCCAAAATGATTCATCAATATAAGTCGGTTACCAATCGTCAAGACCAAACCAAATGTACCCCTTCCAATTACCCTTCTGGGCAACTGCTAGTTCCTTGCAAAAGCTACTCACATGTTATCTTCTTCAAGAGGTTTTCAGCTCGATCAATAATAGACGGTGTCTCCATGGAACCGACAAATTTCTCGCAAAAGAAAAGCTATCGTAGTCTTGCCTGAGGTGCGCGTTCCGCAGACATGTATAATTCGGTGATAGTTCAGGATTCCGGCTAGCTTGGACACGATTTCATCTCTGCGGCTGTGAGGCAATCTTGCTCGAGCATGGGTATGGTGGATTCTGGTTCTTGTTATCCCTTTGCTACGGCACAACTTGATATTCCAAACTTGCTTTTCCTGGTGGCAGGGTCAACGCGCTTTCTTTTACATGACCTTACCCTCTCTTTATACCAATTGACTTCGAACTTATCCTTTTCAAAACAGCAGGCGATTGTTGCGGTTTGTAAAAGGCGAAGGAACTATGCAATCCACTGGATCATCTCACTTCCTTAACTTACAAGCACAAATATAAAAAGTCTCAGATGAGACCTTCATCGTTATTTTGTAACCCGAGTCCCCCTGCATCTCCATATGCATGGTAGTAATAAGCAATGCACGGATACCCAAGCTGACTGACAATCACGTTCTCGGTACGGAGTACACAAGTACACAAACAACCCGCCGGATATATACGTGAGATATACGTGATACACTTTTCTTCTTCCTTTCCTTCAGCCATTTCTTTGCCACATATCGTGAAAATGACGGCTACTCACCTAGCAATGTTAAAAAGCGTGGAGGAAGGCTCCCCATTTACCGTCGACAATATCCCCTTCGGCGTCATCTCGACACCCGAGAATACAAAACCGCGATGCGCAACGGCTTTCGGAAACTATGCGATAGATCTGAGCGCGCTTGAGCGCGTTGGATCTTTCAGCGATATTCCGGGCCTTGAGGGTAAAGGTGGAGTTGAGATGATCAATAACGTTTTCTCGCAGGTATGTGTTAGACGTAGTAGAGCTGGTAATAGCTTGCTGATATAAAATGAACAGCCCACTCTGAACGCTTTTGCAGCGATGCCAAAAGAGATTCATCGCAAGGTTCGAAACTCACTCGTCAGGTATTTCCGTGATGGCCTTCCACCGAGTTACTATATCCCGCTCGAAACAGTGACATATCACTATCCCATGGACACATTCAACTTCTCGGACTTCTTCTGCTCCTTGGAACATGTCAAGAACGTACGCCCCTCCCCATCCACAACCCCCCAAACGCACCTCCTAACCAAACCACCCACAGTGCGCAAAAGTAATGAACGCCCCCATAGCCCCCAGCTTCTTCTTCATCCCCCCAGTCTACAATGGCCGTACCTCCAGTCTCAAAATCACAAACACTCCGATCCACCGCCCCCGCGGCGTAATTCAACCCACCCCAACCACACCTCCAACCTACGCCCCGACGCAAGCCCTCGACTTCGAGCTCGAAATGGGCGTCTTTATCTCCAAGCCTCTCCCATCCGGCCAGGTTCTGGACATCTGCAACGCGCGCGAACATATTTTCGGATTTGTGGTGTTGAATGATTGGTCTGCGAGGGATATTCAGAGTTTTGAAATGGCGCCGTTGGGGCCGTTTCATGGAAAAGGGTCTGGGACAAGTATTTCGCCGTGGATTGTTACGTGTGAGGCGTTGGATGGTGTGGCTTGTGCGGTTGAGGTTGCGCAGGAGTCGGGGGTGTTGCCGCATTTGAGGTGGAAAGGGAGAGGGGGGGAGGCGACGTTTGATGTTAAGTTGCAGGCGAAGGTTTTGAGTTAGTATCTCTCTTCTTCTTCTTTTTGGGATTTGATTTGTGGGCTGGATCGGTGGATGCTGACTTGGTGTACGCAGGGAATGGAAAATCGTATAATGCCACCTCGACTAACCTGAACGAACTATACTGGACGCCCTATCAGCAATTAACCCATTTAGCCAGTGCTGGTGAGGGCTTGACTACAGGAGACATATTTGGAACGGGGACTATCACGAGCGATGTAAGTTTAACCAGCGTTATTCTGTCAGACTGTGCATTATATACTAATAACAGCTAGCGCACCAACTACAAAGGCGAAAAAGATGGCATCGCTTGCCTTGTCGAGCGAAAAGCCCCAGAAAATGAATTATCTGGGCTTAAAGACAAAGGAATCGAATTTCTACAAGACGGTGACGAGGTAGTCATGGAGGGATGGTGCGTGAATTCAAAGACAGGAGTAAAATTCGGATTTGGCGAGTGCCGGGGACAGGTTCTCCCTTCGATATATTATAGAGAAGAAGATCATCTATGAATATCAGCAGCACGTTGTCTCTCTGCTCCCTTTTGATTCTCCGTATGTCTTTGCTGGAGATTGATATCCTCCATATGTGTAAGACGTTCGCCGGGGAATTTGGGCGGGCCGCTCATGCTCTCGAGCACCGCGGTGTTATTGGCGGTCAAGTCGTCGAGGACGTCAAGTTCCTCTTGACTGAACCATTTAGGGATAATCCACACGCGCCAGGGAATCAGTGCGATGATAAGGACCGGGAACCCAATTGCCGCGATGGTTTGCGAGATAGCCACACAAGCCGCAACCCCAAATACCTGAGATGCGATCCAAAGGGTAATCTTCCTCCGTTTCACAATCCGTAGCGGCTCATCGCGTGCCACGAACCGATCCTCCAGCAGTAGAAAAATAGCCTTTTTGATAATCCCATTACCCCCAACAGACCCCCACCCAACCGTAAAGAAGACCCCCGCAAAAACCGCCGCAGGCATAGTATGCAGCACAATTAGCAACGGCCCTGTCATTGTCCCAATAATCCCCAGGCCCATTACAAAGTGCGAAACACGCTGCTCGACAACGTTAACAGGTTTGATAACGGGCCTCCGAATCTCTGCACCCTCGCCTTCAGCCGTTGAGTCGATGTCGAGCTCTGTTTGGTAGTTTGTGAGCGAGTCTGTGTGCACGGGGGCTTGGGGAACAAGGCCGTTGGGCATGGGAACACCGGTTATGCCGGCGAGGAAGGTGGTGATGCCGAGGAGGAAGAAGTCCCAGTGAAAGCCGGCAGGTTTTTTAAGAGGGAATTGGCGGGCTTGGGCTGTTAGGCTGCTGACGTTCTGTTCTGGGTTAGATTCAGTTTCTGCTGAGACAGGGGGTGGAAGACGTACGTGATCGTAGTAGAAGAGGAGCATGAGTAGAAACCCGAATGGCAACGCAGCAAATACCCATTTCACATCGAGTTCCCAGAAGTGGATCAACCAGCCACGCGGCTGGGTTGGGTAGAATGCCTTTGAGATGGGTACTCTAGAGATATTCGCGGCCTTGAGATTACCCGGGATATGCGAGAACCCTACCCAAAAGATAGTAGCAAAGACATATGCATAGTCCGCGAGTATGGTTCGGATCATGGGCTTGAAGACGGTGCTTTTCCCTAGTAGTTCGAGCGAGTAGACAGTTAGGAAGTAGAGAATGGCGATCATGCAGCTCATGAAGCCGGCTGTGCGGTCTACTTCGCTGAATTCGTTGACAAGCTCTTCTACTCCTTTTACTGGTAGGTATTAGTCACTTTTTCACGGAAATATCAGGGTACAGATACTCACTCAGATAAATAATCCCGACATACATGCCAAACGACTCGGACGAGAAGTCGGTGACATAACGCATATAGTCACATAGATTGCAAACAGCCACGATCCAATGAAAGATGGCACCCCAGATGGCGGTCCAGCACATGAAGTTTGCATATATGGCAGGCTCATACCGCGTCACTATATCGAAGATAGTATAGTTGAACAATGATATCAAACCCGTGATGCCCACAATAGTCAATGGCTGAGCTGCGAAAATGCTGAATATCATAGCTGCCATAGCTGACGAAAATAGCGATTCATTAATCCCGAAAAACTGTCCTGTTCGGCGGTACATGTCAAGTGTGTATGCAATGGCCGGGAGTACGCTATGTTGATCAGTTGTGCCTTTCGGAATGGATAGTAAAGGAAGCATACTTGACAAAGTACATCCGGATTATACTAGCTATGGTCCGATAGGTGAAGGCATCATAGATGTCGCTGGGGTAGTAGGGCAGACGGCGTTTGACATCGTAGTACATACCCCGGAAGAGACGTAGGGGACGTAGACTCCTCCATCCTGTGAGGCCTTCGTAGGTGTATATGGACTTTTCAGAGGCCATTCTACCGGCAGTTAAGCAAATAATGGGAATAGATAGATAAAATAAAAGGGAAAAAAGAAGGGAAGAAGGGAAGAAAGGAGGAATGGAAAGATTTTCCCTTTATAGTATGGTCCGCACTAGTGTAGACCACCGCTACTGGGTGAGTGTATAGGGCTTGCACATTTACACACTATGTACAGAGACAGCATTGCAAGTATTTTCAGCACTTTCTTGGCCCTTGTGACCCGAATGTTGAAATCCAGTAAAACAGAAGACAATTGAAAGGATATTCATGTATCATGACATCATGGCATCATTTGCTGACTCAGCCACTCCTGGGCAGACAGTTTTGAATAGCTTCATCTTGTCCATATCCGAAAGAGCGAAAAGGCCAACAGGCACCATGTATATAAAATATCATCCTATTCTCCAGTTATGCGATGTGCTAGGCAACAAGGATTTCCCATTGCAGTTGGCTGCTGCATGTAAATCTGCCAATATCGAACAAGATAGTCCTCTTGTCCTACATATCGAAGCCTCCCTTGGTCCGGGCAGGGGATCAAATAGAATTTTGCTGGTATCTTGAAATATGTTATAGACAGGAAAGGGATTTTGCTGACATTGAGAAGGGTAGTGTCGACCTGCAAAATGGCCAGATCATACCGGTGAACACGACAACCGCTACTGCCGAGCACAGTGACTGTAGCAGCGAAATAAGTCAAGACCAGGTCAAACTTGCAAAGAACAATACCACACCTGGACCATATGTGGAAGCATCACCTCCATCGCCCAAACGCCGCAAGACTGGCGGCATGCGTCCAGTAAAACAAACAGAGTCCGCGCCTCTCATGCCAGAGAACAGTGAGGATGGAGCGCCCTCTGTCCGGCAGGTGCATACCGAAACGCGCTTTCCTCAACGTAAAAAGCTCGGAAAAGAGGTACCAGTTTTGGAACCGACGTCGGTGGACAAGCTTATTGCAGGAATTTGGAAACAGTTGTTTTCGTCGGTGCAACTCACACGCTTCTCCACTGTATATTTTCTTGCCGGGAATTCAAATTGCATAATATTAATACAGAACAGATTCCGGAACCAAGCTTCAACATTCGCACTGGGGTCAGCGGCGAGGTTTTTCAAGCTGTCAATATTATGTGCATGAAATACTATAATCAGAGCCAATCGTCGAGAGCTCTTGAGATGATAGTTCAAGCATATTGGATCGAATGCTATGAAGCGAGAATTGCCGTCATTCGACTGGAAAATCCAAATTATTCATCCACAGAAGCCCGGATGATGGCACTAAAAGAAGCATGTGCCGTCCTCAACTGGAAGGAGAAGGACCTTCGAAACAGACTGTATGTCATCCGTGACTCACTTTTATAAGTACAAGCTGACGATAACAGGGCTATCTGGCGAGGTTACAAGGAGATTAAAGATGCAGGCGGATGGGCAAGTCTCATATTTGCCAGTACCGGTGTCTACCGGTTCTGCAAATACCGGACCGGCTTTAGTGACGGCTTCGCAACACGTCTGCGACATCTTCGGTCTGCTTTCGAAGTGGCAGCGGACACACTCCATTCAGAATGGAGAGACTTGTTGCACGTTATCGGACATGATGAACCTCGTCGGTATGATGGACACCCCCATGGATGGGTTATCGTACCGGGAGGTGAGAGTGCAGTACCACTGGATTCAACTTATGGCCATCTAAAGTTATCTAATGGGTTCCAATATGAGTTTATCGATGAATGCGTGTTGGACCAAGACTTTTTTGGATTAATCGACCCGCGCGTGATCCCTGAGCTGGACAATACAGATATCTGCCAGGCCTGTAAGGAAAGGCAGTCAGACGATATCAAGATGAACCAATGCTCGTGCTTTCCATCTTTATTCGGGAGCGTTCGAAGTCCAGCTCCTATACAAATATTCCATACGACAAGTGGAAGAAACAATGGTGTTATTGCACGCTGTGTAAGTCACCTCCCATTCCCAATCTGGCCAATACTGACACGCCCAGAATATCGAACGTGGCACCGCTATCGGTGAATTCACCGGCCTCATAACCAATGGCATCCAAGGCGTCGACGTGATGGTAGGAGGCACTCGCCCGCACACGTACCAGATATTCCAGGGACAAATGGGCAACTTTACGCGGTTTATCAACCATTCTTGCAAGCCGAATAGTCAGTTTCAAAAGTTCTACTGGCGCGGGAAGGAGCGGATTCTAGTCATTTCTAAGGGAATCACGGCGGGAATCGAGATTACTGTGGATTATTCGGATAGCTATTGGAGGCAGTTGGATAAGAGGTGTCTTTGTGGAGAGTATTGTTGTCGGTTTAATTGAGAGAAGTCATGGATATATCTTGGTTAGGCATCCCAAGTTTGTATTTGTTCCAGAAACATACCGAGGCAAGGAAACCATCCGAGACAAACCAAATTAAGGAAATGTAGATCTTTGATTCCAAAATTGATCCAGAAGCCTCTGGCATTTGGCCATGTCTGAGTTCAGTGCCAAATTTGGGCAAAGCACGATTAAGTTCGGGGGCTAGGGAGATATGCTTTCACTGAGGATTCATATGATCGGATTTATTTGGATATATTTGTATCTCTCATTTAACACTGAAAATTTATATTGTACATTGTTACCAACAGAATCGATCATATGTTATCACAAAACATAGTATCCCAAAAAGGAAATACCCAAAATCGACCCACAGCACCAATCCCGCCCCACGGTGGGTTCACGTGTTTGAGCACAGTCGACGCCCATGGTTGGCATTTGTTCTTCTTCCATAAATAATCGTTGACCATTCGTTTGCTTACGTTTGCTTGTTTTCCCCTGTCAGTGATGAAAGCCTGTCGGTGATCACTCGGATCAGCGTAATTATCAATTTCCTTTTTTCCACCATTGCAGATGTCTTCACCTATACCCAGGTGAATAGCGAACACTGGCCATGAGCCAACATCCATACGACTCGGCGGACTGGCCTCTACCGAATACACCCCGAGAGAGCGTGTTTTCCTCGTCGACGCATTCGTCCCGCTCGTCGCAGTTTATCCCGCCGCTGAGTCCGGGGACGTCGTCTCAGGGTTCGGGGTCAAGGAAGACGTCTTACTCGTTGTACGACGATGTAGTGCGGTTAACGTTGAACCCTAGTGTGACAGTGTATGTTTACCCAGGTTGGAACATACCAATGGCTAATTGAGGCAGCACGTTTGTACGGCATAACAAGCTGTTTCGATTACGGTATCTGTATATCGACATTTGCAAAGATGCAGGCGGGGCATTGAAGTGTTTGGAGTTGAATGGTGGCGTGGGCCAGCAGACGGCTTTTGTGCATAGCTGTGGGCATAACCTTCTTTTTCAATTCGATGCGAAACTGACTGTTCAGTTCATAATACAAAACTGCCTGTCCCGCATCTGGAGCATCCCAAGCTGCCTCATGAGCCGTCGCTTCGGGTGTCATTCTTGGATGAGCAGACGGTACAAACAGCGCATACAGTGTTTACGACGCAGATATCCTACACTTTTGATGATGAGCGAGGTATTCTCTCTTATTCAATTATCCAGGAAATACTGCTGACATGCCCAGATGCCGTACAATTCCAAGAGCTCATATTAGCGTCCAAACTCATCTTCATCGCCGGCATCGCAGAAGCAAAGTCCAAAGGTCGCGGTGAAGAATGCATCAGCCAGAATCTACGCATCCTGCAAGACCATAATGGAAAGCAAGTGATGCTTTTCTTTGCCAACTCGTTAAGACGAGAGGCTAAGCGCTATGTTTCGATACCGATCAGCTGCATCGAGAGTGTCAACCCAGGTAAGAAAGCCGGCAAACCGGCAGTCTTACAATTACAACCAAATTTCGAGCTTCTATCACAAATGAAGGTCTTACAGATTCAATTTCTTGATGATAGCGGTAAGTCTGCCTCGTTCTCTGCATGATGCCATACTGACGCGGGACAGATCGAAAGCGTTTCTGCGAATTTTTGTCCGCGCAAAAGATCTAAAATGTGTCTTCTTCTCGGTATCCGGATGGGGCTTTCTCGGTCATTCATGGTCAGGCGTTCAGGTGGAGCAACAATACCCTTTTCTGTATTTCTTCGTTTTAAAATCGAATAATCCGAATCAATCACGGCATGGCCTGCACGTGTAATATTAACTGCCTCCAATCGCATTGTGCTATTCTCACATGTGCACTGTCACACAGGTGACAAGTGGACCATCACGTTGTTGGCCGAGCCTGTCGGTCCGCTGGCTTGGGGCACGTGTAGCTATTGTTTAACTATAATTGGCGTTAAAGGGTAACCCACCGCGGAGGCTAACACGGGTATGAACCAGTGACAGCAACGGCCGAGTAACCTTAAATGAGCACTACTGCAGGACCGCTGACTCGGGTGCATGGATTCGGTTCCTGACCCCTCTTGTTATCGTGTTTTGGTCATCGCAATTTTTAGCTTCTTGGTTGTCTCTCAATTTCTCGCTTCGTATCCTGTATATTCAGGGGATTTTTCTTGCATCTTCATCATGAACGCCTTCTATCAACATATCGCACCCTAAGTATTTGCTATGGGCCGGTTACGCAGCCGGCTGTACAAGACCGATCGGGCTCGGGATTTTGAGCATGAGCAGGTATGCCAGCCACTGCAGCTTGGTGTACTGCACGGACTAACGATGTGCTATGTAGGACCGCCAGGTTCGCATGCGACAGGTCTACGAGACCATCGACCGTCAACACTTCCAATGGATCGTAGTACTCGTCGCCGGAGTCGGCTTCTTCCTCGATGGATACACGGTACACACCCACACACCCACATCCATCCATCAAGGCATTGGCCGTAGCTAAAAATGACAGCTTTTCGCAAGCAACATGGCCCTCCCCATGGCCAGCTACGTCTACTGGCAGAACGACACATCCGGGAAGAAGTTAATGTGCATCAACATCGCCACGCTCGCAGGCACGTTATTCGGGCAAGTTCTATTCGGCTATCTCGCGGATCGATACGGGCGGAAGAAGATGTACGGTGTGGAGTTGACACTGTTGATTACATCGACGCTGGGCGTGGTTATGTCGTCGACGGGGGTCCATAATAGTATGGATGTGTTTGCGTGGTTGGTTTGGTGGAGAGTTGTGGTTGGGATTGGTGTTGGGGCGGATTATCCGCTTAGTGCTGTTATTACTTCGGAGTATGTACGCCGTTTGATCTTGGATGGATATAGCTAACGGCTTGGTGCAGATTTGCTCCCACAAAACACCGCGCGCGCATGTTGGCCACCGTTTTCTTCATGCAACCCCTCGGTCAAATCGCTGGAAACCTTGTCGCTATGATCGTTGTCGCAGCAGGAAAAAGCCACGAACACGAGACCATCGATATTGTCCGTTCCGTCGACAGCATGTGGCGATGGGTTATCGGTATCGGAGTCATCCCAGGCGCCATCGCAACGCTCTTCCGTTTCGCCATCCCAGAATCCCCCCGTTTCCTAATGGAGGTCGAAGACGACCCCGTGCGGGCCGAGTTTGATGCTACCAACCTTTTCAACTTCAACAACCAATCTCCGTCTAGTCCACCCGCAACCGCTGTATCCATGACGAGTTGGCAGGATCTGCCTATGCCTGCGCTATCGATTACCGGACACTCGATCGAAGATCGCGCGTCTTCATCTCAAGCGGAAATGATCCCACCTGCAACCCTCAATTCACAATGGGGTCTGACGGGGTCCGATATCAAACAATATTTCTGGACAGAGGGGAACTGGCGCGCACTCGCCGCAACCGCATTAGCATGGTTCCTCATGGACTTTGGTTTTTACGGAATCAGCATGTCGAGTCCGCAGTTCCTGGCTAAGACTTGGGGGTCCTTACATCTCCAAGGCGCTGCTCCGCCATGGCAGACGGATGATCGTCCCGAGGCCAATATCTATCAGATGTTCCTGGACTCGTCTGTCCACGGTCTGGTGATCCTGAACAGTGGTTCCTTCTTTGGATGCCTATTGTTGATCCTAGTCATCCATAAACTAGACCGCGTCGGCCTCCAAAAATGGGCATTCATCGCCCTAGCTGCCCACTTCATCGCCCTAGGAACCGTTTTCATAACCACCCAAACCGAAGGCGCCGTCGCAGTCATCCTCTATATCCTCGGTCAAATCCTCTTCAACTTCGGTCCCAACGCAACAACCTACATAATTCCTGCAGAAGTCTTCCCCACGCGCTACCGCGCAACTTGTCACGGCATAAGCGCCGCCTTCGGCAAACTCGGCTCCATCCTCGTCCAGGTCTTCTCCGCCTACTACCGCTTTAGTCCCGCTGCAGACCGCGAGTCCACGATCCGCCATGGTTGGTCATTAATTGTCTTCAGCGCATGCATGGTTCTCGGGGCTGCTGTGACGCATTTCTGGATTCCAAGTGTGCAGAGGGCTAACGGGAGGGGGAAGCTCTGGGGTGGGAAGGCGGAGACATTGGAGGGGTTAGCGTTGGGGAGGTTGGGGGGAAGGAGTCGGTATGCGGGGACGGCGAAGGGGAGGACGATTAGGCCTTTGTCGTATGTTTCTTATCAGTTGGGTTGACTAGGTTTATAGAAATTTCTTGTTTTTGTATATAGATTAGGATTCGTATATAATTGGTTTAAACGTACACTCACACCGACTTAGTGCGATGTTTGTATTATTGATAAGTCTGCTTGAAACCTGACATCACCCTTGGGTCAATCTCAAGCGTAACTCAAGAATGCATTCATTGGTGAACTCATGTAGCAAGTCAATACCAACGGTAGACTCTGACCACCCCTGTCCGACAAAACGCAGGGACTTTCTCCAATTTAGATGTAAAGTGTACCACCGTTTCGATAACGTCTCTAGAGTTTGAGACAGAATCAGTATTGGGAATTGGCAATGGAACGGTACGACGTCCTGGCGGCACATGAAAGAGGTCAATCTGGTGACTGAATCGTTGAGAATGAGCCCGGGTAGTATGGCAAAGATAGTGTGTGAAATATGCCGTGATAAGTTCACGATGGTGATCAGTGATCAGGATGACGGTATTGAGTATCTCGACCATAACAGGAATGTTCATACAGTAAAGTTGGCGGACATGTCAAGTCACCTCGTACAAAGGAACCCATTTTTGTCCGTTGTAGTACTGAGCATGACTCAATATTATTACCTGATAATGCATGGGAATAGCGGGTTTGTAGCATCGAACAGCACCCAATCCAATGAACTCGTACTCATCTCGAGGATTATTGGTTCCTAGGTTTCGTTGATTGAATGAGACTGGTGGGATTCATTTTGTAACACATCATCCGTGAATGCGATGTTTGGTATCAACATTCGTCCGGAATCCCCGAGGCTTTCTCAATGGGATTGATAGACCAATTGCATTCATATCCTTAACTCTGTTATAAGCTTCTCTATTTGCGCTTGTTGTTGGATCCTCATTATTTCCTCCTATTCAGGTGATAATGGTGCTTGTGGTGCTAAGTTGCTAATGTTGATTTCCAAAAGCGCTTTGCGGCTTGGTTGTAAACAGACCGATACATGTATCGTTGGATCTATGCGGGCTGAAAAATGAAGATGAATACATAGTCTCCATACGCATGGCCTCACTTTCCTATGGAGTCGAACGTCTTGATACCTCCTTGAGACCTTAATGCTGGATGTATTTAGTAGCCAAATATTTGTGTTTGTGTTATGAGTGCTGTTGGTTGTTACATCGGTAGAGTTCCTCGAGCGCAAAGAGGTATATCTAACTGTTAGTATTAGCGGAGCCGCTGGGACCCATAAATAAATAGAGAGGTGTCTCTACTCATGTGATGACCATAAGAGCTAGCTGATCCAGGGTGGAAAGCAGTCTGGTTGTAGCGTTGCCTGGTTTGAGTATTGAAATCTGCATGTAGCTCCTCTATTGGTGCTTGATTAACAGAACTCACCGGTTGTTGGCTGTAGCGGTCTCGGTAAGGTGAATGCCTTCTTAGCAAAGTATTAGTGCATTTTTGAAGTGCCTCGATGATTCGCAAATTGTCAATGACAGTATTGCTATAACTCTCATAAGCCACCTCATCGGTATAGTTCCGGACGTCTCAGGAACATATAACTAGAAATCTGGACCAATCCATACCACATGCAGTCATCGTTTGATATTACGGAGCAAGTCCGGCCAGAGACCAGACAGAGTTTGTATAGGAACTGGTGTTCGGAAACTTTGCCTTAAAACGAAGATTCCGTGGACAAGACCAGCCACATTGGCCATCATCGGTTGCATCCGTGTCTCTCAACTGGTATTTAGGGATATAGTGGCTTCCGTGGGGGGATGGTTAATCTAGTGAGGCTATTAGCAGGTATCTCCTACACGCAAGGCTCTACCACATATCGTGAGCACACGATCTCGACTCCGTCGAGGTAAACGAGATTGTATTCAATTTGTCTGGAGGTGACTTAAATTTCGGCCTGCCAAAGCTTGCACTCGGCAGCGGAGGCTTTCTTGTTGGCATTATGCGTTGCCAAAAATATGGTTTTAAATTTCGAATCGCCGTACGCTGGCTTTCAGAAACAAAAAAGTCTCAGGGTTTGATATTTTCAACAAAAGAAAAAAAATAAAACGAAAAATTGATTAATGAGACAATTTTGAGTAGCTGGAAAAGGAGAAGTCTCGCGGCTTGATGAGCGTGGCCGTCGGGGTTGTAACGAGCCCTAATCCAACTCTAGACACTCTGCCTATGGCAAAACCATCTCATCTCCGTTCGCATAACTACTCCAAGGCTGTAATATCGTCGTGTTTTCAACCCCGATGAAGGCATGAGTCTTTTGCTCTCTAGTATATCATGCTAAGACAAGCCTGGTTAGGATGTTGACTATTGTTTCCAAAGTCTCGACTGAAAGCAGCACATTAATAGTTGCATGTTATCTTACCACAGCCAACGCAATGCCGTTGCGTTTGCTCTGAACGGAATGGCCTCTTTCAGGTAGCGTGATTGTCGGTCAATTTTGGCAAACTCAAACTCCAGAACCCAACCCTTGAGTGTTGTATCCGCCACACCGGAAAGCATGTAGCCTTCGTCAAAGTTCTCCGATCTCCATCGTTTGTTATTAAGGGACGAATACGTGTTGCAGAAAACACACCCGTTTCCACCGTGCATTTCAACTCGTAATCCTGATTCGCGAATATGCCACCCATGGGACACCAGGTCGTTTTGGCCTTACACAATGGCTGGCGACTGTCGTGGATAATGGTCGGCATTTTGATTGTCTCTGGTACGCGTATGAGGCGATTCGAGATAGGTTGCCAGTGCTCGCCATTTTCTGTCGTCGCTGATATAAGCAAACTATCATCAACAAATTTCGTTAAAAATGTAAATCCACGCACTTCAGCAAGAATCCACTCCCCAACAGCTGACAGCTGGGGCCTTCTGTTGCAACATCCATTGAGCCATATGACCTGCCAAGGTTTCAGGCAGGTAGGTGCCCAGTCTGGCTGCTGATGATTTTTCAAAACTAGTCCAGTCAATTCTGGTTATTTGGCAGGTTTCGTTATCATACTTGTGACCGGGGTATTGAATTCCCAGGATTTTGAAGGAGAAAAAGACAACGCACGCCCAAGAAAGGACCAAGGTTCGTGGGCTTCTTCCGTCAAGAACGTGTTTGTAATGTTGTGTTGATGGTGCTAATGGGACTTGAAAGATTCTGAGAAGTTACCACTGATGGGTACGGGAGGATATTGAAGATAAAGTTAATAAGTCCGATTCCAATAGGTCATAGATATAAAATCAATCGTCGCTCGAGCAATCTAACAATCCGGTTCATTGTATCCATCCATCGTAAGCACAAGCAGACATCAAGCATCAGGGAAGGCATGAACTAGATCAAACGGCATAATAAAACCTCTTCTCAACCGAATTATCCATTTTCCTATTATTATGAATAACAGTCAGTGAATCCCCAACCCTCAAATATCCAAATAAATGGTAGATACACATACTTCACACCCCTCCTTTCAATCTCACCAAAGAAAATTCTAGCCGTATTGGTAAACGAATCCATTTGGACTCTAGCACTGATTAGCACCTTCCATTTTAAATAATAATTCACCATGGCATAGGCATACCTAGCTGCAGTTAGTCAATCGCCATCCTTGCATAGGCAACAGGCAACAAACGTCATCCAGTCTAGGTTCACCTGTAGGTACAAAATCTTTTTATCTTCGAGTTTGGTTGAGTCTTGGATTGCATGGCAGACCTGCTGTTTTGCTTGATTGATGGCTCTTTCGGTTGGGAAGCCTTTGGCGAGCAATACTTAAGGCATTTTGAAGGATGCAAATATACCATCACGATGATACAATTCTTATCCCTTCTCTGTATCTCACCATAGGCAGCATTAATACCAGTAATCTAGACACTGAACAACATAGTCCCCCCAAAGAACTGTCCTCTAATACATAATCATCAGTATATCTATTCTCACTCTTCGATAAATGAAGTGAATAAGGTGTATACATACCGTGCTCGTTTACTCTCAACTTCACCATCCCGATCCAGTGAATCCAGAACATAATGAGCCCAAGAATCATCGACTCCTTTGTATACGAGGTTTCTGTCTTTTTCCTGTAGGATTTCTCTTCGCGCGTGGGCGGAGAGGTCTTCTTTTGTTGGGAAGTTGGCTGCGTGGACGATTTTGTCTGTTGGGCACACCATTTTGTCTTCTTTTCGAGGTCTGGTTAGATGAGACGTTTTGGAGAAAGTAGGTTGTGGGTGGGTTGGTATTCGGATCAAGAGGGTTAATATATCTGAGTGCTGCCTGGTAGAGGGTTGAGTAGGCAATAGGGTGCTCGAGCCTATATCTTTGGAGCCTTGCGTAGTTCATGCCCTATTGAGATGGGTGTATAGTGGTAGCTCACACTTAGTATTTATACCGCAACCCGAATTGACTCAGCAAGCAGCGTTATCATTGTCAACTAAAGATCCCATTCCCTTTATCGTAGAACTCTACCCTAGCACGAGTCTATTCAACAATACCATCATCATATAGCAGATCTGTAACACGCACAGCCCAGTTGCTCTCGACGTGTAGATGTTTTACTTCTTTGACTCTTGGTGCAATCGATCCTAAGCGTGGGTTGAACTCCAGTGTTTCTTTTCTCGAAGACCATACCACATTTCTACTCTCTATAAGGTGGATACCAAGCGATGCCTGGAAGCTCAGCAACGCAAGAATAATCCTTCATTCCATCATCACGACTGCCAGCCATTCATGAATACATAGCAGTCTCATCAATCCATAAACATAGAAACCTAGTAATAAGTTCTTTCTTAAGCGGATTAAATTCAACCTTGCCATTCCATTTGTCAGTGGACAACCATACTATGCGATTTGAGCATACGTACTTAACATAAGTCCGCTCAACCTCGCCATCCTCATCGAGTTGATCTGAGACGTAAATACCCCATTGTCATTCGACGTTGAGGTACTTGACTTCTTCGACTCTGGTCGGTAACATTGCGTTATTGATGTATTTTTTTTTTTTTTTTTTTTTTTTGCGTGGTTGAGCAAATCTTGTTGGGTTGTGAAGTCTTTGGCTGAGAAGAGGTGGGGTTTCAACCGCTAAAATGGTCCAAACCCGCAGACAAGGAGTGGGAAATTTGCGAGAGACAGAGACAAGAATTTGTATACAATACGAACATAATGATGTTTTAATACTAGGCAGTTACAGCTTCGCAAATGATGCCTTGAATGCTTTAGGACTCGATTCATTCTATAGTCTGATATTCATACTGTCGTTGCTCATGCAATCATGGCATATCACTCGACCCGGAGTCGATGAGGGCAAGCCAGGTTTCATCCCCGGTCGAGATGCTCGTAGTTAGCATACAGCCTGTAGATAGGTCCAGCTGCTAAGGATATACAATGTTCCTGTCCCTCCACCGTATTCACGCCGCTTAGTTCTCAAGTGCAATCTTCACATCTCTCTCTGGAGGAGGGACGACCTTGTCTTCAGCGGGACCTCTGAGATTGGGAAGTTCGTTTACGGATTCTTCGATGATCTTCAGAGCCTTCTGGATCTCTTCTTCCGTAATGACAAGGGGCGGTGCCAGACGGATGATATTTTGGTGGGTTGGTTTGGCCTATGGATGTTAGTCGATGTGGTTTTCAGAAAGATAGGGGAAACCCACCAAAAGACCTTTCTCCTTCATCAGCATGCACAATTCCCAGGCGGAATGTCCGTTAGTTTTCGACTCGTCAATAATAATAGCGTTGAGCAACCCCTTGCCGCGCACCAGTTGGATAATCGGACTTTGAATGGCCTGCAGGCCGCTGCGGAAGACGTGGCCCAATCGCTCCGCCTTTTCGACCATCTGCTCATCCCGTACAACCTCAAGCGCACGAATAGCCACTGCGCATCCCAACGGGTTGCCACCATAGGTCGACCCGTGCGTACCAGGCTCGATAGTCAGCATGACGTCTTTGCGGCCCAAGACACAGGACACAGGGTACATTCCGCCGGAGATGGCCTTGCCCAGCAGCACCAGGTCAGGCTTGATACCGCTCCATTCGTGGCACAAGAGTTTTCCTGTTCGGGCGATTCCGGTTTGGATCTCGTCGCAGATCAAGAGCACGTTGTACTTGTCGCACAGAGCGCGGGCTTCGCGTAGGTAGTCATCATCGGGAACGACGATACCGGCTTCTCCTTGAATAGGCTCGACCAGGAAAGCGGCCAGTGTGGGACCGGCCTTCTCGAATGCCTCACGCAAGGCGGCCTTGTCGTTGTACGCGATAGGCTTATCAGTTCCGGGGATGGTACAGCCGATGTTGGGGAGATATGGGCCGTAGTTCTCACGAGATTCGGGGTCTGAGGAGAGAGAGATGGCAGCGAACTACCTAGTATTAGCAATTGAACAGATATAGTATGTAGTAGTACGTACTGTTCGACCGTGGAAGTTGTTCTCCGCACTCAAGACAACGGCCTGGTTCTCCGGAATGCCCTTAACCTTGTATCCCCACTTCCGGGCGACTTTGATACCAGTCTCCACAGCCTCCGCACCAGTGTTCATGGGCAATATCATGTCAAAACCGAAGAACTTGGTGACAAACTCCGCAAACCGGGGGAAAACGTCATTGTAGAAGGCGCGGGAACTAAGAGTCAACCGCGAGGCCTGTTCGACTAATGCTTCGACCAATCTGGGGTGACAGTGACCCTGGTTGACGGCAGAGTAGGCCGAAAGGAAGTCGAGGTAGTGACGGCCTTCTGGGTCCCAGACGGAGGTTCCTTGAGCGCGAGCAAAGACTATGGGTAGCGGATGGTAGTTGTGGGCCGCGAAGTCATGCTCGGCTTGGATGGCCTCGTTGGTGGATGAAGAGTGATATGCCATTTTGATTGTGATTTATGAGTCAAATAGAGAGGAGAAACTTAATGAGAAAGTGCGAGAAGCAGGAGAAAAGAGGAAGTCTTATATAGATAGCGGTATACAGCTAAAAGCAAGAGAAAGCGAGAAATCGGCGCGATATTATTGGCAGGGGCAGCGCTCTTCCCCTAAGTGCAGGTATACGCGGTTACTCTCAGAGAACAATGCTATCTAACAATTGGAGAGAAAATACTACACACTAGTAATAATAATGCTGTCATAGATGTCATTCCACGGTCCGTTTCTCGTGGAATTTCCGTTTTGGGGTTGTTTAGTGTCGACTCCGCGTGTGAGTGCCGATAGCTCTACTTAGTAGTAATACTGCTGCCGACTAGCAAAACAATCTCTCACCCACACTCTCGACACGCGAACCATGGCTTCACGCTCAGGACGGTCCTCGTCGGGTCGCTCATCTGCGAAACTATTATCTTATCTATCGTCGAATACTCCTTCAGCGCCTCCTCCCAGCTCCTCCAGCAAACCGCGTCGCTCCAAAGCGTCGTCCAGCAGCTCCGGGGGGTCGGTAAAGGAGTCATCGCCGAGAGAGCCTCCGCGGTCATCATTACCGCCATTGCGAGAGTACAAAGAATACAGAGAGTCAAAAAGGCCCAAGGAGACGAGAGAAACAAGACCATCCAAAGATACCAGAGGGAAAGAATCAAAAGAACCCCGCGACATCACACCCACCACCATCCTCCTCTCCCTCATCGCCTTCCGTCTCGTCAACGCGCTGGTTGTGCGCACGTTTTTCCAGCCAGATGAATTCTTTCAATCGCTCGAGCCGGCATGGCAACTCGCGTTTGGGAAAGACCAGGGAGCATGGATAACCTGGGTTAGTAGTTCCCACACCACTGCTAATGCTACTGCTGACAACCACAGGAATGGAGAAATCATCTGCGATCCTCCTTACATCCCCTTTTGTTCGCTGCCGTCTATCGCATCGCCGCCCTCCTTGCCTTCCTCCTCCGTCTCTCCCCCGCGCTACGTGCGAACCTCCTAATCGCCGCTCCGAAAACCGTGCAGGCCGTTATCGCAGCTGTCGGCGACTTCTACACCTGGAACTTTGCTCGTCGCATCTATGGTGACGGGTCGCGCAAGAATTGGGCGGTCGTATGTTACTCTGGATAATATCGCGTAACGAGAGACTGACAGTGTATAGTTGGCGTTGACCGTGGCCAGTCCCTGGCAATGGTTCTGCTCGACGAGAACCCTGTCAAACTGTTTGGAAACGACGATAACGGTTGTCGCTCTGGATTTGTGGCCCTGGGAATGGTCTTTGGATTCCGAGCTGAAAGCGGCGCGCAAATCCAGAAGCAGTCGCACTCAAGAGCGGTTGGATAAAGAACTGCTGAACAGGTACGCATTTCGATTATCAGATGAATGCTGTAAACTAACGAAGCAGCCTACGACAATGTCTCTGTCTCGCGGCACTCGCCTGTACCCTCCGTCCTACAAACATTTTGATCTGGATAACTCTGGCCGGTATTGTGTTATACCGTAACTCTTGGGAAACACAAAAGATCCTCGCGCGCGAAGTCGTGATATGCGGATCTGCGATACTGTCCGTGTCCACACTAGCTGACTGGTTTTTCTACGGAGTCTGGACGTTCCCGCCTCTCAAGTTCCTCTACTTCAACATCGCGCAGTCGCTGGCCGTGTTCTACGGAAAGAATGACTTCCATTACTACGTCTCTCAGGGTCTTCCTCTGCTTCTGACCACGGCGCTGCCTTTTGCCCTGTTCGGACTCTATCGCTCAGCCAACCGTCCACCATCATCCGCGTCGAAGCATTGGCGGACCAACATCCAAACTCAACTGACATACGTTTGTCTGGCTATGCCACTTGTTCTGTCATTGATCTCCCACAAAGAAGTGCGCTTTATCTACCCGATTTTACCGTCATTGCACATCTTGTCCGCTACGCCATTGCTCGAGTCCTTCTATCCGGCCGTGTCGCGATCCTCTAGGATCTACACTCCCCGAAGACTCGTCTTGATCTTTGTCCTCATCGTCAACATCTTCATCGCACTCTACGCCACCATCTACCACGCCTCGGGCACGGTAAACGTCCTCTCCTACCTCCGCAACCAACACAACCGCCACACAACCCCCAATCATGTCCAATCCGCCTCCTCCGGCCCGGGCATCTCAACAGGCTTCCTCATGCCCTGCCACAGCACCCCCTGGCGCTCCCACATGGTCTACCCCTCCATCAACGCCTGGGCCCTATCCTGCGAGCCCCCGGTGAATCTCAAAGACTCCGAAAAAGCCGCCTACGTCGACGAAGCAGACCAATTCTACGAGAATCCTACCACCTTCCTCCGACAGAACATGCTCGGCGGTCTCTGGCATGTCCCTCGCAAACCATCTTATCTCTCAAAGCCGTCCAACCGACGGAACCCGAAGGGATACCACGAATGGCCTGATTACCTCGTTTTCTTCGCGCAGCTGGAACCTACCCTCCAGAAGTTGCTGAAGTCTTCATCATACGGTGAATGCCACCGCACATTCAACACAGTCTGGCACGATGACTGGCGACGAAAGGGCGATGTCGTGGTCTGGTGTCTCGATCCGGGCGAGCAGCAATCTTGGAAAGCCATCCTAAAGGAGCGCGAAGAGCGCGCGCATCGTAAACTCTTCAACTTCTATCTCGATATCGATCTCGGCCTCATTACCCAGACCCTCAAAGCACATGCTTCCACTGCTACCAAGGTTTTTAAAACCAGCGCAAATGAAGCTGATATCCGTGCGCGGAAAGCAATAACCGATATCCGAAGCCAAATCGAGAGCGGGAAATGGACCCCCGCATTCCTGCAACAGTCAAGGGTCCAATCTGGGGCGAAATTATCATGGCCATCGTGGGGAAAGACCACTCAAAAGAAGACTTTCCTAGAACGGGTGCAGGGATCTTTATCTTCAAAGCCATCATCATCTTCGTGGTTGAGTGTGTGGGATATTAACGATAGAAGTAAAAAGGGGAGTAAAAAAGGGAAGAGGGAGTTGTGGTCTTGATTTATGTCTTATGTTTTCTGGTTTTGATGCTTTTGGTTTTGAATAAAATAGGGTGGATTAGATGGGTTGAATTCGTTATGACAAAATCTAGGAGGTATATAGTGTTTATGCTTATGCTTATGTTCAATTTCATGAGACTCCGAACTATTTATTATCTTTGTGTTATGTTATGTACCAATTCCCAAAATCAATCTAGATACACGAACACAGAACAATAAACGCCAGAAATGCAAACAGAATATGTAAAAAACAGTAAGTAAGTACTATTACACGACCAGAACGACAAAATATGTAAATAGGCAAATCCGTATTACCCACCGAGAATGTATGTATCTGGCAATAACCAAGAAGCCAAAAGCTAAGGATTCCAAACAAGGAACCAAAAACCAAACGAAGATAGATCGTTAACCATAGCGCGCACTCAAACTCGCAAATGCATCGGGACTATGCCGACCACTCTGCAATCCGTTCAAATCAACGCTCTGCTGACTTGAGTGGTTTCGTGCGAAGCCCATGTTGTTCAGCGATGATGGAGGCGGACCGGTCGGTTTCATGCCCATTCCCATACCCATGTTCATGTTGGTGTTCATTCCCATGCCGATGCCTAGGCCGGATTGTTGTTGCGGCTGTTGCTGTGGTTGTGCCTGCTGGAAGGGCTGTTGCTGGAACTGCTGCGGTTGCGTGCTAAACGGTGAGTTACCGAAATCAGGCTGTGTAGGCGGAGCCGAGGCTGGCGCGGAAGACATAAAGGGGTTTCTAGAGGCGGTTTGCGGGAGGCCCGCGGAGAGGGGCTGTTGTGGTTGTTGGGGGGTTGTGACGTTGGATGCTGGGGTTGAGCCGAGGGAAGGGGTTAGGCCGGGGACAGGGCTGAGGGCTGCTTGTTGCTGCTGTTGCTGTTGCTGTGCGAGGGTCGGGGTTGGAGAGGGGATATTGTACAAGGAGAGGATGCTGCCTTTGTCCACGCGACCGGTGGCTTGGGGGATGAGTTGTTGCGGGGTTGGTTGGGTTTGGAATGTAGATTGCTGTTGCTGAAATTGGGGTTGGTATTGTGGCTGCTGCTGTTGTGCTTGAGGCTGGAATTGTGACTGCTGGGGTTGCTGCGGCTGCGGCTGCGACTGTTGTGCTTGAGGCTGGAACTGGCTCTGGAACGGGTTTTGGAAGCCTGGGTTCTGCGGACTGCTTGGTGCAGTCATTGACTGGAATGGGTTGTACGGGTTTGACTGGCCCAGCGGGGTCGTCTGCGGTTGTAGAAGTTGCTGTTGCGGTTGCTGCTGCTGCTGCTGCTGCTGCAGGAACGGCGAAGACTGTCCAAGTGGCGATGTAGAAGATGCCATCGGCATCGTGTTCGCATGTTGGAGAGACGGAACAGGCGGCGCTACTGACTGAGTCTGCTGAGGTTGCTGCATAGATGTGTATTGCGGCGTGAGCTGGTTGAAGAAAGGATTGTTCTGCGTGGTGTTGTTCGGGAATTGGCTCGCAAACGGACTGTTGTTAACCTGGGGCTGGGCCTGCGGCTGCGGCTGAGCAGACTGGAAGAACGGGTTGTTTCCGCCGTCAAACGTCTGCGTCTGCGTAGACCCAAGGAATCCATTTTGTGCAAATGTCGCTGTGACCGGAGGAGTAGCAGACTGTTGGTAGAGAGGCTGAGGGAGGGAGTTCTGGCGATTCGGGAGCGGGTATCCTCCCGTCGAGTGCGGGAACAACGGCTGGGAAACCTGCAGGCCTTGGAACGATGCCTCCAGATTTGCAGACTGAGGTTGCGTATTTGGCACATCGAAGGGGTTGTATGACTTTTCGGTAGACTGGTTGGCTGGTTTAGAGTCCAATTGATCGAACGGGTTGTAAGAAGTCGTCGCTCTGGCCGGCGAGGTAGGTGCAGCGATGGAGGTCGACGTTGGATTTGGGGTCCTCGCCCGCGAAATCGGACGCGTTGAAGCACCCGAGCCTTCGCCTAATCTTGTCAAAGATTCAATCGTCCTCTCCATATTGCCGCCCAACCCCCGTAGGATAACCGCGTTGCGTCGGTCGTCGGGAAATCCCATCTCTCTCAACGTAGCCAACTTCGCTTCGAACGAAGGTGTACCCATATCTCCAATCGAGGCACCCATGCCCTGCGAGGCCGTATTAACAGGAACCGGCGGAGGAGGCGAACCATGTCTCTGCGATCGCGGCGAAGTCGGCTTGCTGGTAGAAAATCGACGAAGATTTGAGGTAGAAGATGATCCACGGAGTCCAAATCCAAAGAACTTACCATTCTTTGGAGGCAGAGGGGGCGGCGAGCCTTCAGGGGACTTGGTGTAACCGGAATCATGACGACTAGGAGGCTTAGGTTTTCCATCCTCGAGCGATCGGTGTTGGTATTTCTGACGGATGTATCGTTCCATGCACGAGTCGCTCTCGTCGATATCGGTGGGAACTGGAGGCTTGACATTTTTGGGGTTGAAGATTTTGTTCATGATGTTGTTGCCGTGGGATTTCATATTCTATTATGATTCTCGCAATCAGTCGTGCTCTATCACCACATTGAAAGATCTGATTTACTCACATCAACTTGGTCCGACGACCAACTGTCCATAGTTAAGGACTTGACCTTGGAGATATGGGTGCCCAACTTGCGGTGCAACGCAGCACATCGCATGCACAGGAAGAGTCCCATCTGTTACCTAACCATCAGTATCTCATGTTTTCGAGGTGGCACTACCGGGGGATCCGAGTAGTCCGGATACGTACATTCCAACTTGCCCATCCTGTTCACATAACGTATTAGCACTGCATTCTCATCAATTCCTTAAAACCACGGATATATACACGTACCTGGATTCAACTCGCCACAATCAGCGCAACGGTCATTACCCGGGACCGACCGGACGAGGTCTTGTAGAGCCCTCTCATTGCGAGACTGCTGGCGTTTACTGATCCCGACAACCATATTCCCGGCTAGCTGGAGATCGAAACTGGGGAATGAAGAGTGACGGAAAACGCAGAACGCCGAAGATCGTGATTAGGGGTTCGAAGTACGGAGAGAGGCGAGCTTTGTTACCGAAAAGAAATAGGGGTCGACCACCGCGAACTAGCTTTAGAAGAGGCTGGCGATCATGATTTTGAATAGAATCTATAGGGGAGAGGGAGAGGAGAATAGGGAAAGACACCAGGAGGTTTATAGATAGAGAAGAATACGAGAAGGGGCGTGGTGGTCTTGGAGTGGTAAGAAAAGGATGAAAGACAGGCCAGACGGAGAGCACGGGACCAGGGATGCACATGTGGGGAGCGTCGTATGCAGAAATAGAACAATACAGTTGACGGTGCTTATTTAGAGCTTATTCTCGACTTGGTCAAGGGGTCTTTAGCATTCTGTATACAGAATCAATGCTCCGTATGATACTCCGTACCTGAAGTGAGTATTCCGGAAGCATCGCGTTGAAAGCACCGATTGCAGTAAAATACTCCATGTTGGAGTGCGTTCTCGGCAATGGACTACAAGATATCTACTCCAATTCACTAGCAAAAGGATGTCTGAGCAGCAGGTGACTCGCATCAACCATCGCACTCAAGTCTCCGGGAGGAAAACTCAGCGCGGTCGAGGAGCCATAAATGCCCGAAAGTTCGATCTTGTACGCCAATATGACCTACCAACCTATGGATGGAGGACCTGGAGGTTGATTATGCGTTCGTGGTTTTATAAAAGTGTGAGGAAAAAAGAAGAAAAGGTCAATCGAGTTTTTGGTGGTGAAAATATATAGGGGATTGTGTGATCACGTGGTTATCTCGGGAGGATGATTGTTCCGATGAGGGCATTTTATCGATTTTTTCTTCGCCTCTCTCTTCTCTCTCATTCTCATTCCATTGTGCAGTGTCCAAAATTACTCTGTCCAGACAAGTCGAGCTCATAATGAAGAGCTCTCTTGCTCTACGTGATCTATACTAACCAGACTATCACCACTCAGTCGTGCGTCTTGCCCCATGGCATAGAGGCTATACTGTTTTCGTTATCATTTGTGGAAGAACAAACCCATACGGTTTTTAGCAGGACCGCGTCTACTCCACCCTGGTGCTCGCTTTGATCGAGTGGCAGGACTTTTTTTATGACGGACATCTATATAGCATCATATCAATGGCATTCTGTTTCACCTATAGCATCAACCGATAACTCGGACTCCGGTCTCCTAGACGCTCCTTTTCCTCCTCGCTCAAATCTCGTCCCCATCCCTGGCTGGCTCGTTGACGGTTGAGCCACCGGCACCATGCCCAATACATGGTACAGAGTGCGGCGCTCGCACAGGTAAAGCCAATGCAGAGGGCATACGAAAGTCGATACTCCGGTGCATCTTCCTGTCGAAAGGCGTACGTCCCAATGATACCTCCGAGACTTCCCACGGATACCTGCCATGCGCTTCCCACAGCGCGTCGATGGTGGCCTCCAAGATTCATCGCGTTCCAACAAACCTCCACTGCAAAAGTCAGCTAGGTCAACTCTGACCGCGTACGGAAGGGTCACGTACAAGGCATCAAAGCATGCACACCAGCGATGGCCAGAAATAATGCTCCGTACCGCACCTGCACGTTGTCCATTTCGAACAGGATAGCATAGCCCACAATACTTATGACGGCACAGACTATAGTCAAGGCATACCGATTCCCAATTTTGTCGGAACCGTATGCCACGACCAGAGTCAAGACAAAGGCAACCATCCACACCGGAACCGTGTGCCATTGGGTCTGAATCGGAGAATAAATCCCAAGATTCTCAATAATTGTTGGTGCAAAATACGTGCCCATGGTCCCCGGCACGGAGACTGTCAAGTGAAGAATTCCCGTGATTATCGCTTTAGGGTCTTTTATTACCTCCCAGACGTCGCGTACCGTAATACGACGATCAAGTGCTGAGCTACCCTGTTCAGCCCGCAGCCGCGCCCGAACATATTCGCGCTCCTCGTCTGTAAGCCATTTGGCCTGCTCTGGGAAGTTCGGGAGAAAGACGAAGCAGACCAGCGCTAATAGAACCGTCAAGATGCCCTCGATGATGAAGATCCATCGCCAGCCGGGCAAAGAGCCCATTCCGTCCATATTGCCAATGGCGGCTGCTATCAGACCACCGAAAGCGGTAGCCAAACAAGTTGCACTCAAATAGAGTGAGAAGCGTCGTTGGGCTTCTCTTCGTCTATACCACGATCCCATGAGATAGGCACAGCCGGGGAAGATTCCTAGCCGAGTCAATTTCGACACTCATTGACAACGATTGAACCTACCTGCTTCCGCCAATCCAAGGACAAGGCGTGTGGCCAAAAAACCACCATAATTCCGAACGAATCCGGTACACATTGTCGTCAAGCCGAAACAGAGCATACAAATGGACACTATTTCATCAGCTACCAACTCATACAGAAGAGTGGAAGAAGAACATACGCCAAACCCGCGGTGTCAACCTCTTCAATGTGATATTCCACGGAATCTCAAATAAGATATACGTGATGAAGAACATGGCCAATGCCGTCGACACCTGGACTCCGGAAATATTCAGATCCTCTTTCAATCCGTATACAAGCGCATTGGCCACGTTGGACCTACGTCGTCAGTTTCTTTCTTACCAACATAGAAGATGCAATCACCTGTCCAGATAGCACAGCAACACCAAACATGACACACACGGGAGCAATCTGAGATCGATCTTGCGAAGCAGTTTAGCTTCTGTGGTATAAGTCAACGGAGGCAAATCGTCACTTGGGTCAATCAACGATGGCCTTTGTTGCTCCAGCTCGACGGCTACTTCTTTCTGGCGGCCATTTTTGGTGTCATTGTCTAAGATAGTCAGTCTTAGATGGGGACATCAACCCTAGGATCGTAGTTTCAACCTGGTAGTAAGCCGGTCATTCTGTGCTTTCGTGTCGATGGCGTTCCGTTCACTTCTGGTTATTGGATATTCTCGACCCACGAGACTCAACATCATGGCAACATCCCCTTGACCATATATATCAACTCCTCGTATACCACCATGAGCAAACATCTTTCCACCAAACCACAACACTACGCAAGGGATAATCTGCTGTCATTCCTATGGTACGCTCACAGCACGGAATGTTTGAGTCGCACAGTGTAACTTTCCGGCCTGAGGCTGAGATTTCCTCAGACCCCCGTATGAGGAATGAGACATTCAAGAACTATTCTACGGAAGGGGAGTGTTATCATGCGGAAGTCCTATTGTTTATGCCTTGTGGTTATGCTTGTACGTCCGTAAGCGTGGTGTTGTCTGTTAAGGGTCTGTACCTATAGCAGGTGATATTTGATGGATGTGACTATCCAGAACACATGGAAAGTCCCCTATAGAACTAACTACTCCGGCGGAACACTAATACTCCGTGCAGAAGCAATTGGCCAATGCTTGGCTTTCTAGAACCCGGCGCTGAGTAATGCCGCCCACCAGGAAGTTCCTCGGCGATTTGCATTCAGCGCCCGCCACACAGAGCGCTCGCTTTAATAATAATCGTCGCCCGGTGGATCGCTAGCTCGGCTATTCTCGTCATCCAGAGGAGCTATCTGGGTCGACCGAGCAGCCAGAATTATAAACAGTGGTGGCCATATCAAAGTTCAATCTACTGGAAACCAAGAGCCATGGATCGAAGTGCCATTGCCACGCTCAGTGATTGAAGGACTCCTAGTTATGGGACGCTGACTGATGCAGACGTCCAAAGACAACCCATAAGCAAGTCCAGCTAGCCTAAGCAAATGCGGAGGTCGACCCGAACCAAGGGCCCAGAGCCGGCAGATTAGTAGGAGATGATTCCTAAGGATGGGCTTCTGGGCATGAGTGGGACATTGTGATTGGTCCTGAGGAGGTGAGGAGGTAATGTTCGATGGGCTTCTGCTTGGTGATGGATGCGTTTATTTAAAGTGTTTGCTTCTTCTCCTCTTCTGCTGGCTCCTTGTTCTTCTCCTCTTTTGTGTTACATCCTGTCTTCTCTGGTTGATCCGGCACTCTTCTGTGTCTTTGCTCCTCTCTCGTGTCTTTCTGTCTATTCGTTCAATAGCATCAATATCTGAATACACCATGGCTTCCGCCGCGAGAACTGCCTCCCGGGCCTTCCTCCGTTCAACCCCGGCCACTTCATCCTTCAGACCCGCTGCTCGTAGCGCTCGCTTCTCCCTCCCCTCGCAAGCCTTCCGCTCCTCTCGTCGGGGCTATTCTACCGAGGCTCCTGAGCAGGGCAAATCTTCCAACGGCCTTCTCTGGGCTGGTCTCGCCGTCGCTGGTGGTGCGGGGGCGTACTTCTATTTGAAGGGTGGTGATGTTTCGGCGAAGAACTTTGTGCCTCAACAGAAGGACTACCAGGCTGTGTATGATGAAGTCGCTCGCAAGCTCGCCGATGAGACGGACTATGATGACGGCAGCTATGGACCGGTAAGTCGCCTGTTCGATATGAATGAGCAATAGAACACAAAGCTAACAAGACATGATAAGGTCGTCCTCCGTCTCGCCTGGCACGCAAGTGGCACCTACGACAAAGAAACCGGCACCGGCGGCAGCAACGGCGCCACCATGAGATTCGCCCCCGAATCCGACCACGGTGCCAACGCCGGCCTCAAAGTCGCCCGCGACTTCCTTGAGCCCATCAAGGCCAAGTTCCCCTGGATCTCCCACTCCGACCTCTGGACCCTGTCCGGCGTTGCCGCAATCCAGGAACTCGGCGGGCCCGCCATCCCCTGGAGACCCGGCCGCCAGGACAAGGACGTCGCAGGCTGCACGCCTGACGGACGTCTACCCGACGGCTCCAAGAGCTACGGCCACGTCCGCGACGTGTTCTACCGCATGGGCTTCAACGACCAGGAGATTGTCGCTTTGATTGGTGCTCACGCTTTGGGCCGTGCTCACGCTGACCGGTCTGGTTTCGACGGTCCTTGGGATTTCAGCCCTACTGTCTTCACTAATGAATTCTTCCGTCTGCTTGTCGAGGAGAGCTGGAATAAGAAGAAGTGGAATGGGCCCGAGCAGTTCACGGACAAGTCCACGCAGACTCTCATGATGCTTCCTAGTGATATTGCGCTTATCAAGGACAAAGAGTTCAAGAAGCACGTTGAGCGGTATGCCAAGGATAACGATGTGTTTTTCAAGGAGTTCTCGGATGCGTTTGTGAAGCTGTTGGAGCTTGGTGTTCCGTTTGCTAGTAAGGCTGAGGACCGGTTTGTGCTTAAGGCTTCTGAGTGATTTGCTCGAGGCTGAGTAAAGTTGATGGTTTTTTGATAGCATTGTTCGTTTTTGCTGATTTTGATATCCGACTTGTTCCATTTTGGAATCCTCATTGGGATGGCGTCTTCTGCGTTGATGTTTGAGCCTCTTATGGGCAGTCCATTAGCAAGGTATACATAGTAATGGAGATGACTACATATTTGTTGCTGTTATGATGTAGTATGCGACGCGATAAGGTCCAACGGGAAGGATGAACATGGATGGTGAGTGGCACTTGAATATATATATTGGCCGACATCATAGGTTTGTCGTATCTTTAAATAGTAAGACACCAATTATATATCCCAATCATTAAGCAAATTCTTTGAAGTACAGTACACTCTAGAACCACTTCACCTGTACCGCAGTACCCCATACTATACAAATCCTCCGAACCACGCCGCCTTTCCCAAAACAGCAACCTGCAAAATTCCGACCCCTCGACCCCTCGACCCCGCCAAAGCTTTTCCCATACGTGATTCTCCCATACAGCGCAAGAAATTGCCTTTGCACTATTCCTGGCCTCGAGCATCGCATTGAAGAATCTCGGTTCCCAGCAAGATCACCTAGGAAGCGATCACAAAATGGCCGGAGAAAACGCAGTTCACGACCATGACTACTACACAATCCTCAACATCCCGTTTACATCCTCCGCGACGCTCACGACACAACAACTCAAATTAGCATACCATCGCGCGTTACTGCGACATCATCCCGATAAGACAAATACGAAGGAAGCAGACCTCGCGTCAACGCCAGACCACCATGACGAACCCACCACGAACACCTACACAATCGACCAAATAACAACAGCCTACAAAACCCTCTCCTCTCCCACCCTACGCACCGAATACGACCGCGCCCTTCGCCTCGACCGCGCGAAAACCGTCGACCGCGAGAAAAACGGCACTGTATTCCACACAGGCCTTGAAGTCGTTGATTTGGAGGATCTTGTCGAAGACGACAATGATAACAACGGAGAAGGTGTTTGGTATCGCGGGTGTCGCTGCGGTGATGAACGGGGGTTTATGATTACGGAGGGGGATTTGGAGAGGGAGATTGAGGGGGGTGAGGTTGTTGTCGGGTGTCGGGGGTGTAGTTTGTATATGAAGGTGCTTTTTGCGGTTGAGGGATGAGCAGGGAATGAGGACTTCGTTTCTCTTTTTGCTCGTGGGATCCTTGGTGCATGTGCATGCGCCATGAGTTCTTGGTGTTTGTGGACAATGCAGAACGTAATGATTGCCATCGTACAGAATACTTCTGTGCTCCGTCGCGAATGTTCGACATGGACGACATGGACGACCTTCAGCTGCTGGAAGTACCAGCAGCGTGTTGCTATGTGGACTCCATGTTTCACCAACTACATGTGCTCGGAGGCAGCACGAACATGGACACCGGGACTTCAAATCGATGGATACACGGCTACGGTGCTACAGGTGGACCACGTTGACAAAGTGCTACAGAGACGCAGAGCCAGACATTCGAGATGTCGAGGGCCTCGCAGGACATGGGTGACACATTTGGGCCGTGGTTCAACGACATTGATAGCGCTTGCAGCAGATGTGATAAAACAAGCTGCTAGGATACTGCATTTTACCAGCAGTCTTTGAACCAGACTCACCAGGCTGCGCAAGATACTGCTTGAATATATCCCTGAGACGCAGTGGCACAGTAATGAAACCACAAAGTTCATTGAACTATCGCTTTTACCTGGCCAATAGAATGTGAATGATGTCCTGCGAGTCCTGGAGGGAATATGGATTTATTCACTAATTGTTGCTACTATCTCTTCGTCCTCTTTGCTTCTATAGCTACTACAATGAAATGGATAACATTGTTCATTCAACCAAAGACTCTTCCTGTATACGCTCACGTTACTAGAAAGAAGTACCTACTTGGTGGACCTGTCCTCTATAAACAGCATCTAGTCAAGTCACGGTGGCCGCTATGAAGAGATACCTTAGAAGAACTTATGATTCTTAGATCAGACTATATCGTCCATAGATAGGCGCCGGCTGCTGTGCTCACTTCGCAGACTTTCAGGTCTACATGCCAACGACCAGAGCTCAGACACCATCATACCAGACAGCATTGGTACAATCCCCAAAGCTCCCTATTCCCGGGATCCCTACACAACAAATTTAAACGAGTTTCGATCAGCTTTCCCAACTTCGGGACCAACACTCAAAACCAGAGTGCTGAGAAAAATTCCCCATAGCTCCCCAGCTAACCAAGCCTTTTCGGACCAGGTGCTCGTTTTATTGGTACAGTTGCATGCCTTACATATATGGATTTTGGAGAGGAGAGGAAAGGATAATAGCCCTCAGAAACGAGGACGTCATTTAAACTTTCAAGGTATATTAAATGCCAATCCGGTATTTCCTGCCCAGTGTGTGCTAGCTGAGTATGTGGCTTTGACAGTTGGGTCGATGCACATTTTCACGTTCCAACGATGAACTCTGGAGATGGGGAATATCGAGTAGAACTATGAGAGCATGTTGAATTGCATGAGAAGACCACTGCAAGCCAGCATGATGAGGCTATTGACAAAAGCTTCTTGCACACCGGTTGTTTGTAGCGAATTCCGCTTACGAAGAACTTGTGATATGGTTCCGGGATCATTTTATTCTGCTCTGGTGCTCATTGGGAGTTTCCACGCCGTATGCTCTTTTACTGGGTAAAGTTCTCCCATTTGTCTGGCACAAGTGTTGCTGGGTTTATAGTGGAGTATTGTTTCTGTATCTTTATGATGTCAAGGGTGACATACTATCATTCAAACCATAATGATCTATGGGAATTCTGCAAGCTAGAAAAATCTTCCTAAGATGAGGTCTCAGGAATTTATCTGCAAATAACGTACCTGACCTGCATGAGAAGTTCAGGAATACTTGGCCAATATCTATCAAACTCGATTATATAGCATCGATATAGCATATGGCAGCTTATCGAAGATAAATCTACTGATCATATCCATTGATAACAATTTCTACGACGGTACTGCCCAGCACGCTCTGATCATCCGAGAATATCAATTTGCTAATAGAGTCGAGATAAATTTGCATTTCATATTCATCATTAAATTATCCATCATCAGCAACTCATCCTCCTAAAATATTGTTCTGCATCCAAGACCTAAAGCAAGCTTACAGCTTCCCATCCCTCAAAAACCCATTAGCCTTAAGCCAGCCCGTAACATCGTCACGGTCCCGCTTAAGCCAGTGGACCTTAGCCCGGATAGCATCGAGAGTTTGCTCGACGGCACGGTCGAAGCCCTGCACAAGTTAGCACCATATCCCACTGAATTGATGAATGGATGATGTAAGGGAAGGACATACCTTAGTATCCTTACTCTCAAAGAAAGTCTGCACATCCTTAAGCTGCGCCTCAGTGCAGAAGCTAGACGTGCAAAGCTGCACAACAGTACCCAACATACCCAGACCAGGCGGCAGACGCTTGTACAAAGTATCCCAGTTATCCTTGACCCAGTTCCAGCGCGCCTCGATACCGGGGACGTGGCTGCGAAGCCCACCAAGAGGCATGTAGATATCCTGGTTCTTGACTTCGTCGCTGGAAGCCAGTCCCAAAGTGCGCTGAATGAGAGCGGAGTCCTCGGCGGCGCCCAGGCAGCGCAGCGCGGTGGTCTTTTCGTCCGAGGTGGGCGCGTTGCGGAAGCGATCGTAGACAACATCGTATTCCTTGGCGCCGCCATGCTTGAGGACGATGCTGAAGACGCTGCCGCGGATATTGGGGTGGATGGCGCTGAGGTCGCCGGCGGCGAATTTGGCGAACATTTCTTGAGCAGCCTTGACCACGGTTGAGTCTTCAGCGGAGCCGGCGCTGGCGAACATCAGGGCCTTGAATTGTTGGAGGATGTGACCGTCTTCTTCGGAGAATGTCCAGCCCAGTTCGTGGGCCTTGGTGGCGACCAATGAGCGCTGGAAGGCCTTGAGGGCGTCCTTGGTCTGAGTGTCCTCGAACAACCAAGCGGCGCGCACAGTGCCAATGCGGGCCAGGATCTCGTTCCACACGACGAACTCGGACTCGCTGTCGAAGCCCTTGAGGAGCGACAGAAGACCAGAGGTGCTCTGGTAGCCTGAGGCAGCAAGAGCACCGGAGTCGGCAATCATACCTGCGCGGTCCTCGACGGTCAACAGACCCTTTCTGGCAGCCTCTCCAAGCTTGGTGAGACGCTCGGGGCTGTATGAAGCACGGTAGATGGCGGAGTGGTCAGCGTTGAGCTTGAAGAAATCAAGGTCAGGAACCTTGAACTCGCTCTCGCGCTCCGTCAGCATCGTCTCCTCATCGACACCCTGCTTAGTACGCAGGCCCAGCGAGATAGGGTAGAGAGTGGTGTCCTCCTCTGGACGGACATCACCGGTACGCAGGAAGCGGTTCTGCTTCAGCTTGATCGACGAAGTCTCGGGGTTTTCGGTCACCGAAACGACAGGGAAACCAACGTGCTTGGTCCAAATATCCATGACAGCTTGCACAGGCTTGCCACTGGCATCAGCCAAAGCACCCCAAAGATCACCAGTCTGGGTGTTTCCATAGGCGTGCTTCTTGATGTAGTTACGGACACCTTGCAGGAAAACATCCTCACCCAAGTACTTCGAGATCATGCGCAGCACAGACGAACCCTTGGAGTACGAAATGGCGTCGAAAATCTGGTTGATATCCTCAGCACGCTTGACAGGCACCTCAATGGGGTGACTGCTACGCAGCGAATCAAGAGACAGAGCACCCTGCAGGTTATCGATGACGTAGGTCTGCCAGACCTTCCACTCGGGGTAGAAGCTGTTGCAGGAGTACCACGACATCCAGGTAGCGAAACCCTCGTTCAACCAGAGGCCATCCCAGAAGTCCATGGTGACCAAGTTACCGAACCACTGGTGGGCCAACTCGTGCTGGACAACCTCGGCAATGCGCTCCTTGCGCGAAGCACCGCTGGTCTTCTCATCCAGCAACACATCGACAACACGGTAAGTGATCAGACCCCAATTCTCCATAGCCCCGGCACTGAAATCCGGCACGGCAACCATATCCATCTTGGGAAGCGGGAACTCGTTGTCGAAAGCCTTCTCATAGAAAGCCAACGTCCTAGCTGCCAGCTCCAACGAGAAGCGACCATGCTCAATATCCTGATCAGGAGTAGCATACACCCGGATAGGAACACGGAAGTTCTTAGTCTCAATATAGTTAAGATGACCAACAATAAATGCCACCAGATAAGTCGACATAAGCGGCGAAGTACTGAACTTAACAGCCACCTTACCGCCCTCAACATCCTTCTCCTCCGCAACATCCATATTACTTAAGCAAGTCATACTTTTATCCGCAACCAGCGTGATCGTAAACTTCGCCTTGAGTGCCGGCTCATCAAAGCAGGGGAACGCCCGCCGGGCATCCGTTGGCTCCATCTGCGTCGAAGCAATATATTTCGTCTGTCCATCGCTTGTCTTGTACGACGAGCGGTAGAAACCAGCCATGTTGTCGTTCAGCGAGCCGACAAAGTCGAGCTTCAGCTGGGCGGAAGTCCCCGCGGGGATAGTATCCGAGAACTTGACGGTAGCGACCTGGGTGTCTGCGTCGATGGAGACATCGGGGTTAGACGCAATGACGGAGCCCTGAGATAGGACGGAGGCCTTTTTGATGTCGATTTCGTTCGAGTTCAGCGAGATCGAGGTGGTGTCTTCCGTGACTTGGAGGCTGCACGGTGTTAGCTACCCCACCACCACATAGCTATAGCTATAGCTTAGCTCAAGACAAGAACAAAGTGACATACTCAATAACAACACTCCCATCATAAGTAAACTTCTCAAAATCCGGCTCCAAGGTCAAATCATAATGCACGGGCTTAACATTCGTCGGCAACACCTCACGACCCTGGATGGTAGTCGAGCCCGAGAGCTCCTCAGCACGGCGGGTGCCACACATCCTGCGATAAGAACAGTAGCGTTTCGAGGTATGCGAGAGGGTGGAACGGCGCAAGACGCGATTCGTGGCGGGATAGGTAGTAGTCGAGGACGGAGTAGTCTTTGTTGAAAGAGAGAATGTGGATGAGGGGTTGAGGAATGAGAGCGAAAGCGGGCGACGAGAGAGCGGTGGCTGTCTTGCTGCGTTGAGCACCAGCGGTAACCGCGCGGAGGAAAAGCGACGCATGAACTGCGGCGGAAGGCAGAAGAAGAGGAGAGAATGAAAAGAAACGAGAGGTTATATACGATACACTATAATACAAAGAAAGAGAGCAATGGCAAGGCAATTGGCAATGGACAATCTCAAGATGAAGCTCGAAAGAATTGAAAAATTGAAGCACGGAACAATATCAAGCTAAAACAGGTAGGCGGTGAGTAATATATGACAATACCTGACAGCCTGTATTAGGCAACATGGCAGACACGCTATTCCTAAACTACCCTAGCGTTAGAGGCGGACGATGCTTTTCTCTTCTTTTTTCCTCTGCTTTCTTCTTCTTCTCTTCTTCACATTCTAAACCAAGCAAGTCAAAAAACAGTATATGCCATATTTTCATTCATGGCAGATACTGCAACCTGCCAATTGCTGGCAGTACTTGCGAGACAGTCCTCCAGCCAGTTTGAGGGGTCCATGAAAAATCTACGTGACTGGACTTCCATAGATGGCTGGGACATAATTATTTTATCTCATCTCATATGATATCCACATTTAAATTACAATTATGCTCTCTATGTACTATTTTTCGCTCATAACGCCATATTATCTCAAAATGATAATCCGAAAGAATAGAAGAAACAGGGTCACGAAGAACCCGCCTGCGACAACGGCAGCCGCGTGAAAACACTTCTGGACCAGCCATCAGCATCCACCACGGTCTCCTTGACCAACATGTATTTCCCAAATTTGGGCATCAGGACCGCCCACACCAGATAATACAGCGCGCCGAAGGCAAAAATACCGATCGCGACCACGCAGTGCAGGTAGTAGGGGAGGTCGTTGTAGACGCTCTGGCCGGCCGAGGGCGGCACGTAGGGTGCCACGACGAGGTAGCACTGGGAGAGGAAGAAGAAGACGGTGACGGGGAGGGTAGCGCGGATACCGGGGTTCCAGTTGGGGAAGTGCGTTTTCCGGTTGATGTAGATCCAAATGAGACCGGCAGAGACGAAGACGTTGACGATGGAGAGGGGGTAGGAGATGAGGCTGTGATTGTTAGTCTGATATTCAGATCGCATTCTGAATGGAAGAACTCACTTGACCAAGAAGTTGTATGCATCACCTGGCGGAGGTGCCAACAGAATAATAATCGACACAACCCAGTGCTCGAAAAGACCGGCAGCAGGCGAGTTGAAAGGCCGGTTGCTAGCCCAGATCTTCGAAAACGGCAGGACACCCTCACGACCCAATTCTTGGACAATCCGACCCTGAGAGAAAATAACAGAAAGCACATTGCCAAACGCCGACAGTGCGACGAACACAGACATGACCTTCTCAGCGCGAGCACCGAACATGTTTCCAAAGAAAGCCGCCGCAACAGTCTGCCCCGACGATAAGAATTGCTCCTTGGGCACGGCAGCAAAATACGCGATATTGCAGAGCATGTAGAAGATACCGACAGATCCGATAGCCATCGGGGCGGCGATCTTCAACGTCCGGACCGGGTTCTTGGTTTCACTCAACGCCTATTGTGCGACATGCATTAGCGATAAACTCTGTGGAAGCATGTGCAGCAGTGCAGCTTACATAGTTCGCGTTCGAATATCCAATAAATGACCAGATAACGTTGTACAACGCCATCACAATACCATATCCACTACTCGTCGTGCCCTCGAACGCATTGCTGAAATTATGCGGCGGGTTCTCAATATGCATATGTCCAGCCAACGCGACCCAACCAGCGACAATGACGAACAGGATGATAACCAGCTTAATGACACCGAGCAGGTTCTGCAGTCGAAGACCCCATTTCACCGCGAACGAATGGACAAGGAATGCAGTGGTGAGACAGGCCAATCCGATACCGCGTTGGTTCCAGCGACCAACCTCGACATCGGCGGCGTTGAGGATGTATTCACCGAAAACGACACTGTTGCTGGCGGCCCAACCCAGCAGGACGGTATAGGCAGCGTACATGGCGGTAGCAAGGAACTTGGGCTTCTTGAAGACGTATTCGAGGTAGTTTTTTTCACCACCGTTCCTATTCCCGTATCAGCTCAATCCACAAACCGTCCAGGGAAAGCAGGAACATACTTAGGAATAGCAGTCCCCCACTCCAGATAAACCGCCGTTCCAGCCATGGCAATCAACGTCCCGACAACCCACATAATCAACGACAACCCAACACTCCCCGACAGCTGGAGAATAGTACTCGGCGTCGCAAAGATACCCGTACCAATAACACGGTTGAAAATCAAAAACGATGCACTGATCACACCAATCTGGCGACGATCTTCAGGTGAAGCTTCAAAGACATTTCCCTCATCTGCGCGCACATGTTAGCCTCAAACTCGGACCTGGTGGTAATAAGTGAGTGGCAACATACAAAGCTGCGAAACACCATCAGCCCTACGCGGCGCCTCATCAACGGGCTTTGCGTCAGGGATAATGCCCTTCTGGACACTTGACTGTGCGACGGGGTCCTCCATTTTGCTGTGGCTTCTTTTTTTTTCCCTTCTTTTTGCTTATGCGTAGGAACAAAAGCTGGGGCTAGCAGCTATATAGCAGCTCAGCTCGGACAGCCGAGAACAACCGCGATGCAGATGGTGTGCTGGGCCTAAATGTGATGCAATCGCTGACGGCCCTAATGCCTCTTCCTTTCGATGACAAGGTTGTTTCTATTTCTTGCGACAATTGAAATAAAAAATGTAGATGTAAATTTGAAGGAGAGAAAAAAAAAAAAAAAAAAGAAAATCCTCGGCTGTGTTACCGATTCAACGAACCAAGAATGGAAGCTGTCAATCTCATTCCGTGGCGAAAATCTCCGAAGCAAAGTCCAGACAGATCCGATTAGGTTGCGAAATGATGAAAGAAGAATTTAGTGGTCAGAAGTCCGAATACTATCACAAGGAAAGAAAAAGAGAAAAGAAGTTAAAAAAAGGCGTGACCCCATGAGGCAAAAGCTGTCAGTTCGGCGATGGCGCAATTTTAGACCAAGAAAAATCAGCCCTTTTAGTCTAGCCGGAACCACTCCACATCTCGGCGACACTGCCAAACCTCTCGGGACCCCGATCACGCAATTCTGTCGGCCGTTTCAGCATTTCAAGCAGTCAATGAACTGTGGTTATTCTCGGCGTCTGTAAGTGGAAACTCAGACGTTGACATATCACGTGGTACAGATCTTGATCTTATCTCCAGTCACCACGTTGTTTTCCCTGCAGATTCCAAAAATAAGCTCAGATTTGTGCTATGTACAACCGCACTAATGTACTCGTATCAGTCACCGGTCAATCCGCCGGTCATGTTCATTGCTATCGGATCAATCTGTATATATCTCCCCTGTTCCCAAACGCCATGAAATATTGGATAATCGCTCCCTCTCAAAACAAAAACAAATAACACCTGGTGCCAATCGGATATATGATAATGAAATGGTCAAGGAATCACAAACACAAATTCAGAATGAAGCAGGAGCGGAGTTTGTGTCCCAAAGAAACCTCAACAGCAGAAAAACCGCCCATGATCGTATCTCGTAAAAACAGTAGAGCCAACGCCAGAACATAGCGCCCTGTCAGCTCTGTAAAAATCTCATTAAGTAAACCAGAAAAACAAAAACAAATCAATATGAAAGTTAAGGCCACTTGAAAGTGGCATGCGATGCAAATTCTTCACTTGGGCGGCGTTGCGCCCACGGTGGGCGAAGCCACGGCCACGTTCGATGTAGGAGGCATCTTGCCAGTGACAGGGGTTGGTGCTCGCTTCGCCATCAAAGAAAGCTTCTTGCGAAGTGCTGCCAATCGGCCCCGAATGCTGGAAACCACTGTAACTTAGTTAGATCAAAGCACACACAATTTTGGGGCACCAAAAAAAAAAAAAAAAAAAAAAAAAAAAAAAAAAAAAAAAAAAAAAAAAAAAACTTAAAAACTTACATTTGACAACCACTTGCCTGTCCTCCGCTTGCATCTCATCCAGAATAATCTTTTCATCGCTCGGAGTACCAGCTGCTCGCGACGATGATGGTCCCTCCTCCTCGAGCACCGCTTCCAACATGCGTATAGCGGTGACGTATGCAATTTCGCACCCGGGGAGATCTTCACCGGTAAGCTCATTGATGGCAGCCGCTCGACTCATTTCCAACGCGCGATCGTACATCAGTTTCTCTGCCGTCACGCCAGAGCTGACCATCACATCCACAGAGCCAGCGGAACCAGCAGACGAGGCGATCGAGCGATTGCTTGTCTGGCCGGCCAGTCGCTTTTGCCCTTCGACCAATTTCAACCGGACAAACTCTGCTTTCTCCAAGACCTCGTTAAAGCGACCCCGCACCCATTGGACAACATTGTTGACTCGAGTTCCTACGGCACCACTGGTAGGATCACTCGACTTGTCAGCAAATGGGTCGCGGTTCTTGCGTGACCACCAGACACCGGCGATATCCATGGATTTGGCCAATTGTGAAAGCGCCTTGACGTAGAGTACCAACGCTTCCTCCGCAAGAGTCACAGTGGCGTCAAAGGTCAACCCAGTATCCGCGAATTCCGAGCTATCCTGGTCAAGGTCCGGTGCATTAGGCCTCATGCCCTGTTGTTCGATCTGGGCCGATGGTGCCAAAGGAATGAGCTGTTTGTACTTCACTTCGGCGAAGCCATATACAACATCACTACGGGTTGCACACTCCTCAATTACTTGGACAGTCTTAGTATCTTCATCCAGAGCTGCGTTGGTTTTGGCACCATCTCCAACAATTAGACTACCTTGAGCAGGGTAGGCTGGAAATGGATTGTACCCCAGGGGAGGCGACCGTCCACTTTTTGTGGTCGTCACTGGCGGGGAGAAGCCCATCCCAAACAGTCTCCCACTGGCCATGTTAAGTGCCTTCGAGATGGCCGATGTTGCTGACGTAGGGCTCTGGCCGTACCGCCGTTCATATGAGCCCTGACGGCTGTGACCTGAATCCGCACGTCCCCGCCCCGGAATTATCTGCATGGCCTTGCTGGTGGGAGGTTGACCGGACGTTCCTGTGGTCGTCGCACTTGGTGCCGTCGTACGACGAGACATAGTACCTTGCCCCGGACGAGCATAACCCTGGATGCGAGGACTATGTGCCAACTCATCTGCAAAGGCATTGACCTCAACCGCACGCTTTTCCACTACCACATAATCCCTTTCAAATGCAACTTCCTGTGCAGCACGCTCCCGCTCTTCCCTCGTGCCGTCTGTTGCAGGTTTCTGGCCTTGCGGCACTTTCTGGGCTCCGGTCGGAACATTGCGATCGACGAGTTCCTGACGGGCCGGAGCGGTAGCGGCGGAAATGGGCGGCGGTCGTTGCGGAGGGGTCTTTGCACGTGGTGGCTCTTTGGCAGCGGATGGAGGCCTATCAGCACTTCCCATTCTCCGCATCGGTGTAACGCCAGGAGGTGTCGCCGACTTCTGGCGAGGAGTCGGTGGCTGTTGAACCGGTATCGGCTTTTCCGACGGTTCCTCTCGCGTGGTCGCGGGTTGTGTAACTTCCTTTTCACGCTTAGGTTCAACTGGGCTACTAGGTCCAGGACGGGATTCGGGTCGAGGCGCTTGTGGCATAGCACCGGTTTCGATAGAAGAACGACGACGATCTGATGTATCGTCGAGTACTAACCCAGGGATAGGCCCTTTGATGATGTTGTTCTCGAAGAAGTCGTTGAAGGTCATACGCTCCACTGGATTCCGCTTGAGTAGGCCACGGATTAGTTTCTTGACGTCGTCGCTCGCCGGATTTTCTTCAGGAAACTTGATCCTATCATCCCCTTTCTCGATCTTTCGAAGTAGTTCCACATGGTTTGATGCTCGAAACGGTGGTTTCCCGACCACCATCTCATAGAGCACAGTACCAACAGACCATAGATCTGCCTTGGCATCGTACTTCTCATATCGAAGAATCTCAGGAGCCATGTACAATGGGGAACCACAGAGGGTTTCAGCTAACGATGTGGCGGGAAGGGAGCGAGCAAAGCCAAAGTCTGCAATCTTGAGCATGGGCAATGACTCAAGACCAGTTTCTGGATTAAATGAGTCCTCGCTGCCCTTGAAGGGAACAACTTGGGCAACGCCAGCCCGGTAGGATGCAGGAGCTGGACAGAGAAGCAGATTCTGCGGCTTGATATCACGATGGATAAGATTCCGGTCTCGAAGGAACTTGAGGGAGCTAGATAATTGCTTGAGAAAATGACGAACGATGACCTCGTTGAGAGCACCACCCCGGGGGTTGGGGTACTTGGCTATCATGTCCCGTGTATACCGATGCTCCCCGAGGGTGTCCCGCCGTTTGATAAACAACGACAGGTCCCCGAGGGCACAGTATTCCATAACTAGATGAATATGAGATGTTGATTCATGGCAGTCGATAAGAGCGACGATATGAGGATGATAGAGGCCCTTGAGAATCTGAATCTCAGAGTAGAGATTCTCCTTCAACTTCCGGTTCAGCTTCGACAGGTCGACCGACTTGATGGCGACATAGGTGCGTGATTTCTAATGGAGTCAAGCATATCAGCATCTACCCATCAATCTAGCAATAGAAAGCAAAAACACACTCACCGTGTGCACCCCCTGGTAAACAGTAGCAAAACTCCCGCGACCAATCTCATCAAGCCTTGTGTAGCGACCAACGGGCATCTGAGCCCCGGAGGCGTCTCTTGGCCTCCTCGAGTGATGCGAAGAGGCCATGAGTGAAGATGAAGAAGGATAAGAGAAATGTTCTCCCTTCCGATAAGCAAGAGAAGATGAACACTACTTTCACACCCCGAAAGAACACTCCCAACTACCTCAGCAGCGTCAGAAACAGCGGCGCCGGATGATAACGGAGGCCCATCAGGGGAAACAAGGGTTGGGGAGGATGAGGTGATGTGTAATGCCGATCCAAGAACCGAAGAACCGTCAAACGATGAGTAGTGGAAGTGGAAGTAGATGGGGGATGAGGTCGAGGTGAGTAGGGGAAATGTGGGAGGGAAAAGAAGCTACCTAGGTAGGTAGAGGCTGGGGACCCGTGGAACGAGGAGGAGAGTCGAGAACCAAGAACGAGTACGAGTAGTAGGGTATATATGAAGCCGGAGAAGCACTGGAAGACAACGCGCGCAAAGCCAAACAACAGTACAGTGGTATATGATAGAGAGAGCGGTGAGGTATCGAATCGACGAGGATAAACGGGATGGTTGATGGTTGATTGGTTGGTTGTACTAGTAACGAGTATGTAGATAGATGGTAGGACTAAGGCGACTTGCAGGAGAAAGTCAGTAGATAATTCGCTGATAAGAGCACAACGCAGAATGTAGGTATTTTCGGGCGGCTTAAAGGGGGGAAAGAAATCACCAACAAGTACTTATTTATTAGAGCAAAGATGAGCTGACCTGGTCTAATGAACGCTGGAGATGATGTGATGGAATGTCGAATCTGGGGGGGGAAACGGCACTGGGCCCAAGGAACAACAGAGTGTGACTGCGTGAGTGACCCGGGGGAGGCGATAACAGTGGGCAAAGGCGGTCAGGAGGGCGGCGAGTGATCGATGATGTAATGCTCTCTCCCTCACAGGGTGTGTGATTATGATAATAAATAGTTCAATATATCAAGAATATCAAAACGCAAAAAAGCATAGAAAAGAGGATAGAATGAAGTTATGAAGAATGAAGGAGGACGAACACAGGGAACATGGCCTGAGGCCGGAAACGATAACGGCGTACGACGATACCGATACAGGGCGGTCTGTTATCGATTAGATAGAGCTAGCGGGCGATCGCGGGTAACTTACAGTCACCACCCGTAACTCACCCGTTTTTGAAGCTGCTTCATCAGCTGATCTTCAGTATTATCCCGTATTACCATTACTAGTGGTATTGGATGACTGATCCGCACATGACTCACCAGGTGACTGGCGTGTTATACGGGAGAAGTGTAAAGCTGTGCCAATAATAGTACAGGACAATAAAGAAGAAAGAATGTGAAACAAGAGATACTTTCATTCTTTCATATATGAAAGGAACAAAAGCATGGATTCTGCCATGTCATCCACATCAACGTCTAGACTCGCGGAGCCGCTGGATGCACCAAAACTCTCTATCATAGGCTGTGTCGTTACCCATATCTGCAACTATGAAAAGCAGACAAATCAATCGATCATCACTGCATCACGCATCGCTGAATCCAGACCAACTCCATCATATCAGAAAGGGTAAAAAAGTACTTATATATGTATTATGTACACGAATCAAACTCCAAGCCCTCGCACCAACAACCATAACACTACCGGGACCACTACATTATCATTGCATCCTGTCAGGATCGCCTCGGTCGCACTGGTCCCTCCAGCTGCCAAAACGGCTTTCAGCATAGTCCACGTCCATGAAAATGGTTCTTCTTGTCCGTTGACTGGCCATCGGCCAACAGCCAACCAAAGCCGTGCACACATCAACCCGCAGAACACAGCAGCCGCAAATGCACCACTACCCTCGAGAGACTTCCCTCCGCCCCAGAACCATTTCACCCGACCGTATCGTCGACCGATTAGTGATGCCGCTGCATCTCCCATCCCGACGCAAATGACGCCGCTGACCATGCTAACGTCCCGGGAGAGCACGCCCCACCCGGCCCATGGGCCGTCTCCGGTGCGGGGGATATCGGCAAGGGAGAGCCAGAGCGGAATCGAGCATCCGATTAAGAGGAATATGTGTGAAACGATGACTGGTCCACGGTGGTCACGGCCGTCGACGTAGGGTGCGAGGAAGTGCATCAACGGTCGAGAAATAGGTGGTAATTGAGACGCCCTGAACAGGTCCAGGAGGAGGAACATGGCTAGCACGGTGCCCAGAGCAAGGGAGCAGAACGCTGGGTCAATGAAAATTGTCGGGAGGAACATCAGCACCATCATACCATGGAACACTTTGCGCCGGGTATCGACCTCTGCAATATTGCTCAGTCTAAACACGATCGCCATGCCAGTCAGGAGTACTGTGAAGCAGTATGCGCTGACCAGCAAGCGCGTATTGGCTTCCCCAAAGGTCTCCTGTCGTAGGTGTTCCACGCAACCAAGCACACATGATGAATGCACCTCATCCACGTCCAGGCGAGCGGGTAACCGAATCCATCCCTCTAGATTCCTTATGACCACCCAAAACCGGAACAGGGAGAGATTCCCAAAGAGATACCCCAACCCCCAGCCAAAGGGCTCGTCTCCGCTCAACGCCTTCTCTGTCACATATTTCCTAACAGGGCCCATAGCAATCCCCAAGATAGTGATATAAATATACGCCGCGTAGAGCCACTTGCGAACAGTCGCCTGGGGCACCGTCATCGACAGGAAAGACGCCAAGCCGGGAGCCATCAAACGTTTCCGCCGACCTTTAGCCGTAGTCCTGGCCTGCGGAATATTCTCAACGGTAGAAATAGTGTGCCGTCGCTTATGTCCAACATCGACAGGTCTGACAGGTCTCTCTTGTACCCTCTCAAAGGACATGAGGTTCCCGGCCAGAGGCATTTCAAGAGTCCTGCGCGACTTTAACGGAGGAAGATCCTCTCCTTCCTCACTATCCGACGTAAGCTCCTCCAGAGACCCAGTTCGACTCAACTTCTCGCAAACTTGATGGTCGATGAAGTTCAGAATACTCTTTGCAGTTTGCGAATTGCTCGGGTACCGCCGGAACTTCCAACTGGGAATTCTAGCCAACGCAACCTCCCAGCTAAGAACATGTCGACAGAAAATGAAAATACACAGTCCACCTAGCCATAACAGTGCTTTGAGAATCTCCGCCTGAGGAGACGCTGCGAAAAGATAAAGATTGATAAGAGCTGTCGCCAACAGCTGCAGCTCTGCTGGTAAAAGACTCGTAGCGAGTAAGAAATCAAGAATGGGTATCAATGCTTGTTGCAAAGGAAAAACGAGAGCCAATGCTTCCGAATCAATGCCGTAAAATGATAATGGCTTGGGTGGCGCATCTCCCCAAGCCAGATTCTCAGACACACAGAGGGGAATCAGTGTGATCAGCCAGTGAACTACACTGCAGCCATGGTCCCACGCACGTAGTGGAATAACCGGCGTTGGTAGCGACGAGAGGCCGAGCAGGATGTTCGGCAGTATTAATACAGGTCTATGATGCGACAAGGAAAGTGAAACGAAAATCGGAATCAGGAGCGGATAGATTAGCGGCGCAGGATCAAAGCTGGCAGGTATCGAGAATGAGGGGAGTTCCAATCGTCCAGATCTCCATCTGGATATGCGAAATGGATACGCGGCATAAAGACAGCTCACCAACAACCCATACGTAGAAATCTCTGCACTCGTCAGCCAAACCAATCTCGCTCCCAATCACATAACCACAAATACATACCCTTCCTCCAATCCCACGCAACCACCTTCACATCCACCGGCCGAATCACCACCGCACCAACAGAAGCCACCAACGCAACCTCCAACACCCTCCTCATAAGCTCCACCGGTTTCCCCTGCGATATCCCCATATTTCCCCCCCCTGCAGCCTTCGCGACATCTTTCTGGCTTCGTGCCCTCACCCGCGCCAACGACCGTAACCCCGGAACCGGTACCCACAACTCCCCGTCCTCAACAACGCGCAACCCTTTCCTCGGCCGAATCGGCGGGGCCGGTAACCCCTTTAACACGCCGGTGCTCTCATCGTCTGCTTCCGTGCCGCTATCGCTGGACGTGCGCGACCAGACTGGGTGACGGGGTCGTTCGGTTTGGCCGTGGCCGGTGCGGTGGTAGGGGTGAGGGGAGCGAGAGAACGGTCGGAGGAGGTCGGAGTTAGGTATAGGTGTTGTTGTTCCTGCTGTTGTTGCTGTTGCTGTGACTGTCGATGGAAGAGGGTCAGGGTCAGGGTCAGGGATAGGAGAAGGGGAAGGAAAACGAGAAGGCGATAGTCTGTCTTCGTTTTCGTCGCGATTTAGCGGAGAGGCCATGATGCCATTCCTTGGGGCGGATCTTCGTGGGTTGATGATAGGCTTATGTGGGATACGTCATGTCGATAGAAACAGTAAAACTGGAACTGAAAAGGATATTAAACAGAGAATAATATCGCGATAACAGAGCGAAGATAGTAGTGAAAGGGCTGGTGAAGGAGGCGAAGCTGTTATCATTAAATCAAAGGCGGAAGTGTGTTTCGCTTTCTGCCCTATCAATCACATGCTTGACAGTTGCTATTTTTGCTAATTTTTTCCGGTTTGACAGTTTAGATAGAATTCAGGTCAATCTATTATGTTGATCAGGCACAGAAATTATGCATTCCAGACGATCGGGTTCGTCTACCGGTTTCAGCGTGCACCGGTGCCGGCATACCGGACAGGTATCGAATGGAACCTGATACTGTCATTGCAAGCGTAGAGCTTGGAGTTCTCGACTATAAATGCGTGATCGTGGTATGGCAATGCTTGGCTGCGAACCCAGAGTATACCCATAGAAAAACCACCCATAACAACAACCTTGAAAATGGCTACGAACACTTCTGTATAATAACCCCACCCTTCAACCTCCTCCCCTCCCTCCCCCAAACCGACAAACAAGGTATAATCTGCCCCGGCCACACAAACCCTTCCTCCAACACCTTCGCCGTATAAAGTACCATATGCTCCTTACCCTGACCCTGGCTATAAACCCGCAGAATCTCCTGCAGACTCGATTCCAGATCCGATTCAGAACCTTCACCGATCTCAATGCAAGTATAGTCTAGCCTCTTATCGACAGTGGTAGTGGATGTATCAACACCAACGCCGATATCCGAAACGGACTTATCCGTCATCACGGCCACATCCTTACAAACGCAACCTAATCCCTGCCACTCGACATCGCTGGCTCGCGGTAACCCGGAGATTTGCGCTGCAAGGAATGGAGGGATTGTAGTTGTAGCTGTATTCGTATTTGTATTTGTATTTGTATCGGTGGGATCGGGTTTCTGCAGAATATCGAAGTTGGGCAACCCCGGCGCAGATTTTGTCGAGGATGTTTGCTCGTATGCGTATTCCCTGCGGCCATATTTGAGATCCCATGCATCAAGGGTTGGTTCGTCATCGTCATCCTCCTCGTCATTTTCTTCAGGACGCATGTGCATCTTCGCCCATGTTTCCCAGGCAAGTCGGGCTTTGGTTGGGATGTGATTCTTGTTACCATAATCATCATCACCCGTCAAAAAAGCAATGCCCCCAACCCACCAATCAACCTGCATGGCCGCGCCGATTCGCCACAGATGCTGGAGCGCGAGAACCGCGCGTAGAGCGTATTCCGCTACCCATGACTGCTGTATTTGTTTATGTTGTGACAAGGCCTCCCAAGTAATCATTTCCATATTCGCCGGCTCAAGTGGGATCTGGCCGGCAATGTACACCAACTTACTCGATTCCTGGTCCGATGCCGGAGCCGGAACCTGGACTGAGATGGCCTGCGAGTACGGTCCAATATTCGCGGGTGCCCAATATGATCGTGACTGAACATGTAATCCCTGTCGCGCATCCCGCGGGCCAAGATCAACCACATAAGAAACCATGATATTGACTCCGCCGGGAAGGGCATTGCCGCAGGCCACTGTTGCTCTGGCTGGTGGGTTAGGCTTTTTGAATAGAGAGACGTAGATATTGTTCATGCTTGTAAAGTCAGTCATTGAGCGGAGGAGGACGGTTGCAAAGACGATGTCGTCGGTTGATCTGTCACTAGTAGAGGATAGGATAGATTGGACCTTTGCTGCGATTGCAGACATCTGCTTCCCAGCATCGGGGCCGGCTTCTGGTGCGCTGAGGTTGGATATCGTCCATAGCCCACCGTTGCTCGTCTGGACTGGTTCACAGTGCCATTGTTTCGACGCTCCTGCTACTGGTGCTTCTCTTTCTTCCTCTGCGGCAAAACTCAACCCATCAAGTAACGCATCAAACTCCTCATCCAAAATCCCCGGCCTCCTCACATTCCCGGGCTTAACCTCATCATCGCTCTCCTTATCGGCACACTTCGCCCCCCTCAGCCCCAAAAACCCAACACCTCCTTCCCCAGCTCTAACCTCCCGCCCCAGCACCTCAATCCTCCTCTTCCAAAGAAAACTAGGCCCATCAACAGCAAGGCTCTCATACTCACCTCCCTCACCCAATACCGCCCCCCTTACACCCCCCGCATCCGCCTCTGCAAAGCGCCTCATCGCCTTGATAATGCGTCCTCTCGTCGCGGAAGAGGTACTAGATACATCTTCCCAGAGAAAACTCTCGTCGAGGCCTCCGGAGGCCACCTTGATGATTCGTGCTGAGCAGTTGATGGCGGCCATGTCTTCTAATAAGCCTGCGTCTGCGACGTTGGTAGATAATGCGGATGCGTCTCGCCGCTCTGCCGGCGGTGGTAAAATTGGATACTGCCATAGCCACGCCAATGGTACCAGGTGTAATCTTGCAGCAACATCCTCGATACGCGTGCGCTGGTATGTAGAGAGAATAGCTCCCGCGGAGACGGCGTTGGCTTCTGGGTGGGCTTCTTTGACTTTTCGCAGAAGCGGGATTAATGACTCTGTTTCATCTCCCTCCCCTTCCCCTAAACTCTCATTCTGATTCCCAGAATTATTAGCGGTAGAAGCATTTCCATAAACCCTCGCTGTATCCACCGCACCACCGCTAATAACCCCCCGATAAAGCGGAATCTGTAGCGCAGTTTCATACAACGGAACCACACTATGGCCGATAGTCTGATACATGAAACTATCAATATCTTCTTCCTCATCCCCGTGATCCTCTTGAACACCCGAGCCATCTGGGGCAGAGGTTTTGGTTTGTTTCGGGTAGAGATTGGCCAGCGCAACCACTTTATGGCCGTTGCGGATACAGTGCAGTATTGAATAGAGAGAGTCTTTGCCGCCTGACACCAGGGCGATCACGTTTAAGCCGTTTGGTGATGACATGGTTGGAATGTTGTGTATGGTGGTGGTGTCGGGTGATAGTAATGGTGATAGACAGGCGGGGCGGAGAAGATTTTGTCTCTCCGAGTTCAAAGTGATTGAGGTTAACGGGTTTAATTGAAACAGTAGAGACAGTGTGTAATGGAGTCAGTTAAGTCTCATATAGAGGATCGTGTTCTTGCGACTGCGATATGTGATGCGAAAAAGATGATCGGGAGAACTGGTTCCGCGCCGGTGGTCTCGAATAGACCACCGTACTAGACTACAATACTACTGAGACAGCTCCGCAGGCAAATCATTTATAAGATACAAAAGATAATATGTAAATGCTGGATGTATGATTTGATGCAACTATCAAAACAAGGCCCTCTTGGGCATGGATGACTGGGAAGATAATTAAACGGTACACATGTGACCAGCACAAACAACAAGATAAAACACACAATATTACATCAATATAAAAACAGAAGAATGCAATGTAAACGAGAAGTGCCAAGAAGAAAAAATTGTACACTGAAGTGGAAAAAGGAAACAGATGAGAAAAAGGAAAAGAAATGTAAAAAGAATCATCCCAGGCCACCACCGTATTGGTATCATCATATGCGCTCTAACAAAAATTTTGGTCCGATCCGTGTGCGCCCTCGTTTCCCTCTGTTGCAGCTCAGGCAACCCGGTCTATGTCTTTGCCTCCAATGACCGTATATGCAAAATGTGATAAATGAAAAAGGGGACCAACAATTGTAAACCCTCCACTTGGATATAAAACCAGTGTATGAAAATGAACAAGTCCGTACGCCAACCCGCAATAAAAAAGCCTCAAGACCGATGAGAAGATACTATGACTCGAAAGTCAAGAAAACAAAAGCTCCTGGTCACGTAGCGTCATCAAGAAGTAAGCAGCAAACGAAGACAGATAGTTTACTGGTCGTCGCGCTTGCGCTTCTTCTGCGAGTTACGTCCCGAGGAACCAGCGTCAGAAGAGTCGCTGGCGGTCGCTGCTTCGTACAGGACCGCGCCCAGTGCGTTCGGATCATGATAATGACCAGTCGCGTCGCCAGAGTCCATAGCACCCATGACAACAGACTGGCCGCCGTGGGTCCGGGCATGCTGGGCGAGGTTGTCGCTGCGCGAGAACTTCTTGCCACACTCGTTGCACTCGAAGGGCTTGTCCTGGGTGTGCAGAGAGCGGTAGTGACGCTTCAGGTGCTCCTGGCGACGGAAGCGACGCGAGCAGAGAGAGCAGACGAAAGTCTTGGACGGGTCATCCGTGAGCGACTGCTTGCGACCCCGACGGTTGACGGAGACAGGAGCGGAACCAGAGTCAGAAGAATCGGCGACCGAGCGGGCTTCAGCGGCAGGCTGAGCGTTGGCAGTCACCTGGGCCTTGTTGTCTTCCGACTCGCTCTGGGTGGAGCTGGAGCGCTTGACAGGCTTGCGGGAGTTGGTGCGCTGCTTCTTGTTACTCACTTCCTCAGGCTTCTCGCAGGCATGAGCGTGACCGTGGGCATGAGCATGAGCATGAGCGCCAGTCAGGTCAGCACCGTCAAGGAAGCCAGCGTGTGCGACATCCTCATCTTCCAAGCTGTGTTCGCTGAGGAAGCCATCCTCTTCGAAGCTGTAAGCCGCAACACGCTGGCGCTTGTCACCAGCAAAGTAGGCGTTGTTGCTGGGGTGGAAGTCGACCAGACGGTTAACAAACTCATCCTCAGAGTCCAGGTCAGAGAAGCTGTCAAAAGTCGGCAGCGAGGTAAGAGGGTCTTCAGTGGAGCTTGTGAAGGTAGGAGAGGGGTTCTCATGGACAGGCAGGGTCACTGCGGCAGCGCCATCAAGAACAGACTTGGGGTCCTCCTCCTCGCAAGACAGAGTCGGCAATGGGGGCAGGTCCGAAGCCGAGCCAGCGATTGTCGACTCGACGGTCAACTCCCGAGGGTCACAGAAGTGGGTGGTGGCAGGCTCCACCGGCAAAGCAGACTGCGATTGAGCAACCAGACCAGTTTGAGCCTGGGGATCAAAGCTCGAGGACACGGGCGACGGCGACGGGGAAAGAGACGGGCATGAGCTGTTGGCCGAAAGCAAGTCGGAGCTCTGGCTTGCGGTGAGCGAGGGCGGGTGGATAAACACTGCATTGCCAAAATAGGTTAGCGGCCGCCCCAATGCACAAATCGCTTAAGTACCCAAAGCACGTGCGAGAATCGCTGCACCAGGGAGGGAAAAAAACATACCTGGAGTCATCGGAGGAGAGTCCGACCGCGTCCAATCGGCGTTGGCCAAGATTTCGGTGTGGACTTCGCCCTCACAACCTTCCTTGACACCCTCCACCTTATCAAAAGCGAAAAAGGTGTCCGAAATCGGGGTGTGTTGCGCACCACTGGTCGAAGGTGGGCTACTGATGGAGCTTCCGGAGGCGGAGAGCGGTGGGGTTGAGGGGAAACCATAGAAATCAGTGCTCACAAACCTGGTGTCGAGCGGCATGAGACTCGAAGATCCTGGCTGGACGACAATGGTGGGCTTAAGGTGGGATGGCTGCGGCGATGCAATGGGGGTCATATTCATGGTCCCCCGGAAAGCGTTGGCGGTCGCCATTTGGTGCATGTTCATCGCGGGCTGGTAGTGTTGGTCGGGAAGACCGTGTGCTTGCTGCTGAGGGTGTTGGGGGTACTGCATCTGACCATAGTAGGGCTGCATCTCGGATGGATGGCTGGGGTAGTGGGTGTGTTGTCGCTGCGATACGTCCGAGGGATAGTATGCGAACGAGGTAGGAGCCATTGTATATGTTTCCATTGTCTGGAGAGTTAGTCAGGTCCGAACTATAGAAGTAAAAGAGATATAGGTACTCACGATGTGAAGAGCAGAACGACGTTCTACTCCGATATTATTAGGTATAGATAGGGTGTTAAGGTCGAAGTATTAATAGTGGTTGATATAGTTTGTCGACAGAATGAGTGTGTCGAGTATGCGAATGAATGACTGAGGGCGCAGAAAGATTGATGGCCCTAGTAGTAGTAGTAGTAGTAGTAGTAGTTGTTGTTGTTGTTGGTAGAAGAGAGTCAAGTATATATAAACCAATCTCTCAAAACAATCTATCTTTTCTTGTTGTTGAAGTGATAGATCAAAAATGAAGGACAACGAGTCTTGTATAGACTTGTAGCAGGGGTGGGATGGGGGAAATATAAGAAACAATGAAAGAATGGAACAGATGATCTGGAACGAGAGGGAAGAAAAAGAAAATATAGACCACACGCCCTAAGAACAGATAGATAGATAGAGGGAAGAGAAAGACTGAAGTAGTAAATGAGAGACAAGAGACTAAATAAAAGAAGGAAGAAGGGAAGAAGGTCGAGAAAAAGAGGACGAGCGCAGATAAAGAAGTGTTCAGCGCAGTCAGACAGAAATAAACCCAAAGCCAAATACTCCATCAATCAAACCACCAGCGGGGAAAATGAGAGACAGGCCCGATGGAGACAGTTAGCATAAAACGAGTGATTGATCTGCCTGTGCTACTGATATTGGAGTCGAATTAGGTTGTACTTTTGTATCTTACTGTAATGTACGGTATGGTATGTATGTGTACCACCAGACCCGCAGTGGGTCTGGTTTTCGCAACCAATAGAAAGCACCCGATCAGCGGGGATAGCATCATCAGAGCAGCGCCCCTTTGTCCAATCACAATTATCCCTCGATTTGGGCGGCAGGCAGTGTCGAAAGCTCCACTTAGCCTTTCAACCAATAGTAAAATTACATCCCACAGACTAACCTTTTCTTAGTCTCAAGAGCCATTCTCGGACAACTCACTATTTTGGGAAAAGTGTTATGGAACCCAAAAAGAGCACGAGGGCCCATGGGGCGGGTCCTTTGCCCCATTTGGGCCCCAAGTCAAATTCTATGGGTGGACGACTAGTCGGGTACGCTTGGTCCTCAAATTGGTAAATGCGGAGGATGGACGTGGGAGGGTACGTATGTGTATTGTGTACTCTGTATGAGAGAAAAAGTCACTGCCACTCTGTCGCAATTTGAGATGATGTTTTATTATTTAGGGCAGAGAAAAAAAGATATTGCCACCCGAAACTACCTGTAGAGTGTATGTATCCATTATATCAAATCTCAAACGTGGTGGTCAAATCCTGAGACCAATTATCCGTCAATGACAGTGTGCCATCCCATACTGATGTGTGAAGAGGTCTCATCACTATCCTGCACACTGCATCACTGCATCACTGCATAACCATACAGGAGAGTCAAATACCCAGTGGACCAGGGTCAGGAGACCGGGATCCTGATGTGTACTAAATTCCATATCTGACCAATAAGAAAACCATCTGCAATAGTAGCACACCGCGCATAATTTCCTGACCAATAATGCTCGACCCGCCGAAAAAAGAGGCTGGCAGTCGGTTAAGCTAATGTGCTAAACACCGCGGCCGGGTCCCATCCCGTCCGCATCTTGGGGTACGGACAGGCTCTTAACTACAGGAGTAGTTATCGTCATTTTGTTCGTTGCCGGGCTGATTCTAACATTTCCGCGATCGGCGCCCTAGTCTAGTAGTACTCTTTAGAGATAGAAAGGCTGGATACCCATTACGGAATAGAACAGAATTCTCGTCGTTGTCGACTTTCCCTAGCGGCGAGATCGTATATCGCCCAGGAGCAACTAGTGGTAATTCGAGAAGGAGCATACAAGTTTATCCGGGAACAAGAGCTACAAGTACGTTCACATGATCGATGCATTACCGAACGAATGATAGCACGCATAAGATAGCACAACTCGACAACGGCCGACACAGCTTAATATAAAGGAAAGAAAATACCCGCTATTGAAGTTTACCGCCTATCGACCTACCAGAACCGGGTTAGTTCGGCCTTAATACTAACCGCTGCTTTGTATGCACGTCCTGACTCTTTCTTTTTCTGGGGAAGTTATCAATTATCAGCAACACTGACTCGATTTTTTATACTTTCTTCAGATACGGTCATACGAGAGCATGCAATGTGATTTCCAACTGGACGGTATTTTATTTTTCGGATCTTCGGTTTCTAGGCAGACACACAACAAACAAACAGAATGCCTCACATTTGAGATGCGACCTGTCCCTCGGTCTACTGCAGGAACCGTGCGGAGAATCTGTCAGGCTACCCTGCCCTTGCTTATGTATCTTTGTGTAACTGCGTATTATTTATGTGTATGCGTACAAATATACATTTTGAAGGAATGCGTATACTCTGTGCATATAAATAAAGAAACGATACATAATATGCATGTGGCCTGTCAAAGGACGATGCACCGTCGATTCACCGTTGGATGGTGGAGGATAGGCGGATGGCGCATGGATGGGTGGTTATAATCCCTGCTTCGGTACTTGCAATCGACCAACGGCACTCTGTCTTTGCCAACGCTTTACTGTGAGCAATCACATTTTCTAGCCAGTAGGCTCAACGGTTACAACCGGAGGCGGCTATCGATAACGATAACACTGTCCACAAGAACTTTGGACTATACACTTTACATGCAAATTGTCACGATGCAAGGGCGACTGTCAGAGATGTCACATATGTATTCAACCTCTGCCTCAGCCTCAAACACACGCATCTATCTGTCAGCTCTTGCAGAACTTGGCTTGATATAGTCAGCAGCAGCAGTCCTCGTTTACTTGATTCGTACTTGTGTGTTAACGGAAGCCGATAAAGAAACAAATAACGCAGTCTCGGCTGATAAAGTTCGGGTTCCTGTACATCGCTCGGCAGTGATTGGTCCGCCTATGGCTAGTACCTTGTGCCTGACAGCAACCGACCCGACCCAGGAACAAAGAGCCAGACTTGCTCGGTACCAGTATCATAAGCCGAGTCCTGATCATTTCTTCCGCCGTACCGTAGTACTACTACTTATTAATCCATAGTATAAATATTCTATAATAAGAGCCCCATTATAGCTACGGAGACGGATTGCTCAGCTCGATATTCCGTGTGGATAATCATTTGCAACGGAACCCGATCCCCGACGCTCCAATGCGGCTTAGCCCCGCTCCAGAGGCCTCCCATATTAGGAATTAATAGTCATAGTCCGCAGGAATTAATATATGCATGGAAGGGACAAGCGACCTTCGAGAATCCCAGAAGAATTTCACTAGTGGCAGCGCCGGCGTAGCAGCTCTAAGAGTATGGAGTATCGTACTATATGCGTAGGATTTTAATAATTAAAATGTTTCCGAAGCATTCTAGACGACTTCGATGGGGTAAAATAGAGAAGACTCCATTAATCGTCTTAACGGTTGCGTTATTTAGACGACCATATTATTGCATACGCTATAATCTCATGGGAAGCCATTTGCAGTCAATGCGCACCCATCGCTCGCCACCGGCGTGGTTGCACAGACTTGGGCCGACATGTCCCGAGCCTGCCAGGCCCGAATACTAATTTGCCAGGTACAAAGAGAAGCGGAAAGCGGGCGGGAGTCAGGGCTGGCCGACCGGAATTTCTTTCGGATGGGGCCCAGTTGATATCAAAGCGTGTTCTGGACCGTTATCAGCCTTTTCCTTACAAGAGACGCTGAGATTGCATAGTACTCTGTACAATCGTACCGATTCAAAGAAGACCGTGCGGATGGCTTCGTAAAAAACTTCCCCGACGAATCAGGGTGCGCAAATTCCTTCAAACTTCATACGGAGTAGGCTCAGTGTTCTATCCGTACAGAGTAAATGGAATTCTGGAAAGAGTAAGAGTCTTGATTTTTGGTCAGAATAGAGTTGATTCTATTGAGTTTGGCAAAAGAAACATGCTTAGAGTAAAATGTAGTATTTGAATTTACTCTAACGTCGCTTGAACCAGATGGATTCGTATCCTGGTTATTATTTGCGGTTGGAATACGGCGACTAGTTTTCGGGAAGCTTTTTCGATAATGTGGAACTCCGAAATGCTTTTACGGACTTTCCCACACACTCTGGATAACAATAACTTGCTGAAACATATGATCCTCACGTCAGTAGTGGAGATGAACGACCTCTTGAGTCAGTTTCCTGTCCTGTTTATGGAGGTCTCCGTACGGAAGACTCCAGGGTAATACTCCATATGGTGGTTTGCAATTGGCCTGATGGGCAACGGTGAGACTGGATTAGGAAGGTCCAATTTGACCAACGGGTCTGTCTCCATACCAGATCAAGGATATATCGTGGGCCATCATGGAGCCCTCCGTACGGGCGCTGATGTGCAAAATATTCCGAATGATGTAGTTGGGGGGCCTTGTATGGGGGAGTTTATTTGATAACGATGCTCATGATACTCAGGAGGATTGCTGGTTGACGATGATGATAGTGGCAAAATGACTGGCAGATAGATGATGTGATAGACTTTGCCCCGGATTCTAATTCTTGGTTCATTAGTTTACTCAGTATGGATTATTATGGAATACTGAGTTTGTTAATGTTCTACATAGTACAGAGTACATAGCTGAAGAATCTGCACCTATACAGATACGGAGTACTCGGTACAGAGTACCTGTACAGTCTGCAACCAACTGATAACATAAATCTGAAACGGCTACGCGTCGTCAGTGGCACTAGTCGCCGAAGATCAAAAACTAGCGTGTATAAATAATTTGCACAAGCCGCTGACTCAGATAACGTGACACTTGTGCACTGGCGGCGGACTCTCCCGCCGGTGTCGGCCGTCATGCCACCAGGTTGCCCGTGCCTGACAGTTGAAACATACAGGGTACTCCCTACAGGAGTATTATTATGGTCTTCATATCAATCGGTATCATTCACGGAGTTCTTTCTCTTTCTGACATCCGGTGCAATTCATTCATTGTTTACTCTCATACTCGCACTCTTGTATTTACATAGTACTCCGGAGTATGCACTCCATACTCCAAACTAGCGTAACCTTGCCGGCGGAAATGAAATCGACTTGCCGATGTCCCACTTGCAATATGCTAACTATGTACGGAGTATGCAGCGTCTTACCATTTCCAGAGCTTAACTTAGTTGCGCGCTAGGTACATACCGAGTCACTAGTCTTCCGGAACATGCTGTAGATTCCGCCATCTATATAGTACGTGCTCTGGACTCGTTATGAATGCAGAACTACAGATACCATGACCGAGTCCCTGGGATGAGGAACATTCGTCGAAAGTTCCGTTGCAATCTCGGAAAACACTGGTGCAACTCTACCAGAACCTAAGGACGAATTAGCGATGCGCCATATATAAAATCGCTTTACCATACTTATATCACTGTATCAATTATCAATATGAAAGGGCATCCAAGCCGCCATCCATAGCATGATATCCAACACGTGCGTACCCGTTACTTACCACCTTATCCATACAGTAACGGACAGTAACCACGGTACCCATCCTCCATCCCCCAAGGTCCTCTTGGCCCAACTATCAAGCTCCCCCATTGGCTGCGATAACGGGGTCTATACCCGTTAGGAATGAGGGTCTGCTCCCGTCTGCAATTTGGGGAATCTTTCGGTACGGTAACGGATAGTACCATGTGAGTGTATTACAGGCCAGTACGGCTACTGAAATACATACGCGGGACGATGATAATGTTGTTAAAGGTCCTCACGATGACGCTACGGAACTCCAGTCTTTAATGATTAGATGATTCCTGTGGATGTTAGGCGGGAATTTTCATCCACTATGACGGAATTCAGTTTCTTTAGGTATCTTGCAGGAGCACGTGCTGTCATACTGTATTGCAGAGTACTATGCAGCTCTTATCTCTGTCTGCTTTGTTTGGTATGAAAAAGCAACGCCGGCAATATTGCACCATTGACCATCAGCACTGCTCTATCTCCTCCCTCCCTTCTTCTCTCTCTCTCTCTCACCCCATATCTGTCACTGCCAACGTGCTGGAAACTTTGACCGATAAAGCTTGAGCATCTTACATACAGTCACACTCCCTCTCAAATCTATGTCTAATTTTTAGTACTGGTTTCATCTTCGGTCCTGGGTCCTCAACTCTGGCTCGGAGCCATTGTGCTCTATCGGATGGAATGAAAGCAATCTACAAGTCCGAAGTTATACAAATGATGAGTACCATGGTAACTGTGCAATTGGTTCCAATGCGGAGACCCGATTCCCCATCTCAGTCAGGAAAAGCTCATCAATTTGGTACTAACACGACTCATGGATATGGATCCGAATGAACCTTTTGCAGCACCAGAGATCACGCCTCCCGAATCGACAACGTGATTGGAGAAAAAAGCAAATACAGAACCAGCATATATCTCTGGTTCGCAAATGGTCGGGAATAGTGGGAATGATTTTGTCTCCGAACACCGTTCATCGCAATAAGAGTTTAACCTTTGTGTTCTGTTTTCTATTATGTTTACTATGGAGTATATGTGTGGTTTTGAACCAACCAGATCTTGCACATCGGCGGGCGGCCGAAATCGCATCGACTATCCGTGGTTGTGGTCGATTTTCTCCATTCCCCAGCTGAAGAATCTCGCAGTCTTCCGATGTTTATCCTCGCGGCAGCTTGCCGGTGTGTTATTATGGGGATAGAGATGGATATGAAGTATGGATACTGTGCGGGTATGGGTACTCTGTACGACCGTACGAGTATGGCCTGATGGTAGTGCAACTCGTTATGCGCTCTATCCATTGCACAATATATGAGCTGCGATGGAGACGGATCACGCCACGACCAATTCCGAAATCCAAATCCACGATGGAGCCATTTTTACGATGGTGACTATGCACAAAGACTGCATTGCTTTTTTTTTTTTTTTTTGGTCCTTCGCTCTAAATGTTCCCAGCACAGAACATCATGCGTACCTAGAGTACGAAGTACCTGAACTATCGTGCCTATCGTGATCGACGAAAACCGGGGCCCATTTCCCGGGTCTTCCCAAACTGCAGTTCGCCCAGAAAGGTACGCGCTACGGCGACTACGGCGACTACAGCGAATATGATACGGTGATACGGGAAGCACTGAACTAAACTCTTTTCCTCGTGACGAGAAATAAAACCTCCGTGTGGCAGTCCATTGGGCGCGGAATTCCTCTTTGGTAATAGTTTATTGGGGGCCACAATAAGAAGAGAAATAAGATTTACACCAGACCTTCGGATCCTGGATCCTCTGCTGGTCAAAGTCAGGGCCGACTACAAAACTTCTCTTTTGGTTATGTATTGAGTTGGGAAAACATGGAGGATCACCACGCAGTAAAGTTTTATTTATTTATTTATTTTTTTTTTTTTTGACTTTGCTTTGCCTTTCCCCCCCTCATTTGCTTTCTGCAAGAACCGGTACAAGCCGTTCAAAGACTAACCTAACTCAGAGTAGGAATTACCGATTGTCGGGTATGTACGTATCGCCACCGCAATAATAACTTCTTCAATTCAACTCAGCTTGGCTTTTGACTTTACCGGCCGAACCTTGCAGAAAACGGAACCTTGCTCGTGCTGAGTTCCCGACACCCAGCTCGTGGCAATCGGGATCGGAATCTTGAAAATCTATATATATAAAATTCCACCACTGGCCACCGCACCGCGCCGGGGAAGGCGAGATTTGAAAAAATGAAACTAGCTGAAACCTGACTCGCACAATGGCACTATACACAAGCTTGGGGCACTTCCGGATACTACGCACCGTTCTAGATAGACCAGACCCAGATCCAGACCAGGGCCAAGAAGCCTAGGGAGATCGCATCCGTGAACCCCATGCCCATCTATGTGCTTGACTCTTGCCCTGCCATGCCGTGCCGTATGACGGCGGCGGCGAATAATTTCTGGGGCAGATTCCAATAGATTTCGCTATGATCAATTGCTGGACATGTTGATGGTCATGGCCATGATCAGTGGCGAGGCCTTGGTTCGTTCTCGTTTATTCTGGTTCGCTGGCATTTGTGCTGACTCCGATCCTGGCCCCAGGGATGGTCCTCTACGTACGTTTATACTTACGGAGTAGTCCGTACAAAGACGGAGACGGGGATGTGCGAAAGCAAACGAACGAGATCAACGTCGGAAACGATCCCCGAACCCGACGAAAAAACATGGCCTCTTTTGGCTTCGCTAGCTAGGACCATCACCATTACCGTAGCCATGGGCATGGACCACTGTCGCTGCCACTGCCGGCATACTAGTTTTCTACTGACTTGTGCGCGGTCCCTCGTGTAAGAGCCGTATAGAGGTAGGTATGTAGGGCCCCTTGTGCTTCGGGCCGTGGTCGGCTCCCCCCCGCAGGTACCCCCGGGGAACCCTGGGAAGACTAACAGAAGAGGTATTCACTCCGTGGATAATACGTATAACGGAGGCACCGGGTACGGAAGTACATAACCATTGGCACTTGAAACGATAGACAACGACCTCGAAGTGGGCAATTGACTCTGGTGTCTCACTGCCTCCCTACGGAAGACAAGTACGCGAATACGCTGTCAACGATGGCAAATTGCATTTCAAAAACGAAAACGATCAAGACAAACCAAATATAACCAATTTCAAATAAACGAGAAAACAAAAAGGCCTCAGTGGATGTTCTTGTGAGATCATACTCCCTGATCAAGGGGAGAATTCAGTCTCTTCCTATCATATGATTTCATCCAACTCATCATAAGCCATAATTATGGGAAAAAAGATCCAAAGGAAGAAAAATCCCAAAACAAAAGACACGAAAAATTTTCTGATACGCTGATGTAATCATTAAAATCCACTGTTTGCTCACTTTACACCATTTGCACCATTTGCCAATCGCTTCTGCGCTCGCAACAACTGCTTTCCCGAATGCCGACACACAAGTCGTATAAATTCTTCGCACGCAGGGCAATATTTTAGAAATTTTTTTTCCTTTCTTTTCCTCGTGCGGCGGCGCAACTATTATTTACACCCGTGTTGCCTAAACATCCTTTTCCCTTGTGGAAGTTCGATGATGTTAATTAGGTGTCAGTTGCGCCACAGAGCATTGGAATTGCACGCCGGTCCTTACTTTACTGGTCTTTCTTATTTCTCTCAAGGATGAGGCCATTTGGTTTGGGATCGGACACTACTTTTTTTTTTTTTATGAGCTTGCTCTTGTTTTTATGTGGATGAGACGAGCTTTTGTAGATTTTGCTCAAAACCAAGTAGATGGTTAGATTTGAGTAGACGAATGATATGATACTGTTTTTTAATGTTTTATGCAAGTCATGATCGTAAATCTATGTGTCGCACGTAGTTCGTGCGTTCAGTCTCTGTAAAGTGCCTACTCACCAACCTCGTCACCAATCTTCTCCAACTTGCCCATTTCTCTCTTCTCGCCCGCCTCACCCATAAACCGAATCCGATCCACGCGCAACTTGTCACTGTCCCCATCCCCATCCGCAAAGAACAACACCAGCGAGTTCACACTCTGGAACTTGACAAACCGCAGCTCAATCTTAGCCGTTCCTGTCTTCTTATCCCAATCCTCCGGGTTGATCGTCACCGTCTGCACAGGCGGGATATCCTCCGCCTCGTCAAAGCCCAGCACCTGCGAGCGGTTCACATACACATGGATAGTCTTAGGCCGCATAGGACGCTCATCATCATCCTCATCTCCATTTGCAGGCGGCAGCGAAGTAATATGTAGCGAGTGAATCTTAAGCCTCGACTGGAACGCAACGTACAGCATCAACTGTTCATCCGTGTCACTCTCCACCCAGTCCGCAGCGCTGCCTTCCGTGGCCTTTCCGCCCGAAAGAGCAGACGGTTTCGAGGTGTCAAACAGCGTGCGCGGCTGGGCGAATGCAGAGTCGCGATTCAGTAGCTCCAGGCCCTTGGGTTCGGTTTGGTCCGTGATGTCGCTGTAGCCCTTGGGGATGGAGGCGCCCAGCCAGCCGATTCCGCCGCTTACTGAGGAGTCTCCTGAGGCGCCTTCGCCGGAGGATTCTGCTTTGCCGGCTTCAGAGGCGAGTTTCTGGACGACTTCGTGGAGTTTGCGGGGGTCTGCACCGCGGACGGTCGATGCGGGACGGCCTCGTTCGAAGACGATGAATGTGGGCATCCTACAACCACACCAACTATCAGTATGTCCCTTCCTTCCTCTGGTTGTTTATTTCTGTAACGTACGCAGTCACGCCATATGTCTTGGCAATATCTTGCTGCTGGTCAACATTGATCTTGGTAAAGGTGATCCGGTTCGGGCGCGTCAGCTGTAGAGCCAGCTGTTCATAGGCAGGAGCGATAGCTTTGCATGGCCCGCACCAGTCCGCGTAAACTAGACAAGAATAATAATCAGTATCGAGGTCAAAACAAAGGATAATGGTAGCTCGTATTCGGGATGAGGGACAACGGAGAGAGAAGAGGGGCTAGAGAGCAGGCCAAGACTCACAGTCTGCGACGACAATGGCGGACGAGGTCAGGAGAGAGCTGAATTGCTCCTTGGAGGTGATATTTATTAGTGTTGACATTGTCGATACGAAGATGTGCGATTTAGAGGACAGGAATAGGATGAAGGAAGGTTGGTTGGCGGTGGGTGTCAAAGGTCGGGCAAAATATATATGTATGTCATCAGCCCCTCCGTAATGATAATGACAGCACTACTGGCAGTCACCATAAATCAGAGCAAACATAGGCTGAAAGTACTGGTTTATTTTATTTTATTTTATTTTGCATAATATGAAGTCAGTTGGCATCGTTGTTGCTTATTTTCTACTTCCAACCAGTATCTACATTAAGATACAGCTGAGCCCACGATTCAAGCGTATGGTACAGATATTAATATGCAATTCATTATTCCACCAGCTAGTTGTCGAAACGCCAATTCGAATGCACGATTTTTGAAGGGATAAATGGAGTAATGTCGTGAAATGTAGCATAGAATAACCAGTGAGTATAACATCTCGCCTCAGCCAGAGAAGGCGATATGACGAATCTACCAACCCGACTTTCCACCAGCGTCTTCAGTCTTTCTGCCCATCCGGTTTGGCTTCGATTGGGCAGCTTCATGCTTGCGCAATTCTTCGGGGACGCGAGAGATGGGTGACTTCATGAGCATTTGCTTGAGGTCGTACCTATTTGATCCAACTGTTAGTTCTGCTGTGCAGGTAGTCATAAGAGGAAAGGGACAGAGAAACATACATAACATCCGTATCCTCATTACCCAAGAAGGTAATAGCAACACCACTCTTTCCAGCACGACCCGTACGACCGATACGATGCGTGTAGCTTTCAATAGTGTTGGCCATGTTGAAGTTGATGACCAGACTGACGTCGGGGACATCGATACCACGACCCGCGAGATCGGTGGCGACAAGCACATCCGTGCTACCATTCCGTACAGAGGACAAGGCGGCTTCACGCTGTTCTTGTGTTTTACTTCCGTGCAACGTAACGGAGGAGAAACCCATGTGCTTTATTTCTCGTGCGATAGCATCGCAGTTACGTTTGATATTGACGAAGACGATGATCGGGGGCCGGAAGTCACCAGAGGAGAGGATGTCGCCAAGACGCTTCTTGCGCTTGTCTTCGCCAGGAATTATCTCGACACGCTGCTCAACTGTGTCGACAGCTTCGCCGACGCTGCCAATTGTGATGATTGCTGGCCTGCGGAGGTATTTCCGGGCGATGCGTTCCACGGCGGACGGCATAGTGGCTGTATACATCATGGTTTGACGGTAGCGGTCTTTTCCTGCGACATGTCGGCTCATCACGTTGGGGTTCTCAGCTTCCTCAGAGTCGGGCTTCTCGTTAGATACGGGAAGAGCGTCGAGGATCTTGTTTACGGGTTCCTCGAATCCCATGTCAATCATACGGTCAGCTTCATCCATAATGACATAGCAACATTGACTCAAAACGAGCATTCGTCTCTCGATACAGTCAACCAATCGACCCGGTGTTGCGATGATAATTTCAGCACCATCCCGTAGACTGTAGGCCTGCTCCTCGAGGGAATGACCACCAACAATACTGACGACATTGAATCCAAGCGGTTGCGTGAACTTCTTGGCTTCAATCTCAATCTGCTGTGCCAATTCACGAGTGGGTGCCAGGACAATCGCATAAGGACCATCGTTCTTCCTCCACTCGAACTCATCGATCCGCGGTAGCTCGGAGATGTACACGAGCAAGGGCAGCAAGAAGGCCGCGGTTTTACCAGAGCCGGTCACGGCAACACCAATAAGATCCCGGTTTTGCAAGGCAATCGGAATGGCAGCACGCTGGATAGCACTAGGCTCATTGTAACCAACCCGACTAACAAGCTCCATTACCCGATTGGGGAGACCAGACTCATCCCAAGATCGCATGGGGTTCGGCACACTTCCACCCTTGGTACTGATGTTGAAATCTTCCTTGAAGATACGCCAGTCTCTCTCGCGCATGAGCTCCAGTTTCTTCTCGCTCCAATGCTTGTCGAGCTGGTTGCGTGTGCTCTCCTCCCTCCTTCGCCGCTCCATTTCCAAGATCTCTTTCGCCCGGATTGCTCCCGCTTCGTGATCTCGGTCCTCCAGAGCACGGGCATATTTCCTTGCCACCGAATCTGCGACATCATCCCCGAAGCCAGCAAGACGGCCGCGACCAAAGAAGTTTGCCTCGTGTCGGTGCTGGTAGAGCGGGTTGTAGTCGCCGCTGGTGTCTTCCTCCGCGTTCCACTCAAAGTTGAATTTCCGGTCAGTCGTGCGCTTTCGCTTCTTCTTAGCCGAAAAGTTCGACGTCTGATCGGCTCCCATGTACCTTTCCTTGATCAGAGCAGCCTGCGCGACCGCCTCTTCATCCTCCGCCGGCCGTTTATCAGCAGGTCCGCCCTTCGATTCTTTCAATCCGAATGTCATCGATTTGGGCGCAGGTGGCGGTGACATATCATAGCCTTTGTTCGGGACAGAACTGCGCATAGCTCGAGGACCAGTGGGGATGGATCCTCCATCTTGACTTGCCCCGTCGAATGGTGTCCTATTACGGTCTGCGCCATTCGTCGCTCGTTCTTTCGTTCGTCGATCTGCCTCGACTTCCTTTGCACGTTTCTCTAGAGCAATCTTTTCGCGTTCGGCTTTCGATAGGAATTTCGGCTGTAGTAAAGAAATCAATCCGTTAGTATTTTCTGGCTTGATCGATTATCAACAAGGGAACTAAGCCAAAGTACTTACCTTAGCAGCTGCTGCATCAGCCTCCCTCTTTTTCCGCACTAGTTCCTCCACACTCAACGGTGCAGGCGCAGGTCGTTTAGCCCCCCATCCCTGCTTCTTCTTCTTTGTCGCCGGCGGCGGTGCGGGTGGTTCTTCCTCCGGCGGCGGAGGAGGCGCGGGCACGTCTGGGGGCGGCGGAGGAGCGAAGTCGAGAGGAGGAGGGGGGGGCGGCTGTTCTAGATTAGAGGGACTCCGAAAAGGAAGAGATGTGTCTGAAGGGTCATCTGGAATGATGGGATCCATGATTTGTTTGACTGTCTGCGAACGCGGCAGGAAAGTGAGAAATAACGAGCCAGACCGCGGAAGAAGATGTCGGAGACGTGGTCACGTGCGCTCGACCAACCTAGGGCAAAAGAAGCAGTGGAATGAAATTACAAAAAGATCGCTTGATATCTGGCTTGAAATAACGATAAAAGACAACAGCAGACAGAAAAAATAGCACATCAATGCCGCAATGGCTCTTCTGACAGAAACAAAGACGACCCTTCAACGAAATATCCCAACTAAAATTTGCTGAGAGGTAAGCGTACGGCATCCAACAGGAAGACAGTGGAAATGCTGTTTGTTCCCATGATTGGCCAAGGACAAGTTCGGTTTAGATGGCAGAGTGTCGGAACTTGGATCAAGCATTTGGGTGAACAGTTAGTAAGTCAGACGAAGCAAAGCCGTTCCTAGAATCAGTCTGAATTTGAACTTTGATTTAGAAACTTTACATCTAGAATGCTACATCCATAAGGTATACTACTACAAGTATAGATGTTTGAGTTATGCCTAACCATTACTGCACGACGAGACACAGAACACTAGTACAACATCTGTTAATACGCTGCTTTAAAATGTTATACTCGAATAAGGCACGGTATACTCGCTCGGTTCGTTTTTGTTTATCGATTTGTACTTCACATGGTGCCCGCTTCAACATCGAGCGTATTCGCCCTTTCTCCCAAGATCTGAGCCCTTTCCACGCCACTGTCTTTGAAAAAAAAGGTGGCGAATAGATTGCAGTGTAGGTATATTTCAGTAGGAGATCTTTGAATGTGTCGTGGCGCCGTGCAACAGGTATAATGCATCCCGTTGCACCTCGATGGGAGGTGTATGGAAGGCCGGGACGGAGAGAATATAGATCAAAGGATGAAGAATATGAAGAGGGATGAGATCCATCCAACTATCATAATCATCTGTTGGCAGCAAGCAAAGCACCCTTTTCAAAGCTTCAGCGCCGGTGGAGGAAGACGTGAGTCCGGGACGTAGAAGCCCTGGTATTTCATACAGTAAGCACACTCTACCCGTACAATGATCATAGTCCTCAACTAAATCTTTCTGTCCATCCCCTTTGGCAGGTTGGAGATACCAACCCAGCGCCTTCTCGCAGCAATAACAAGGACACCCACAGCATCCCCCCAGGGGCAGCACATCTTTCCTGATCCAGCGCCTATGAGTAAAGACGACCATATCGGTCTCTGTGTTCAGAGTATCATTTGTTCTTTCACGGTAGGGGCACCCACCGGTTGCATATAGTAGTACCGACTCAAGTTATTTTGATGTTTCTAGTATATTTCCAGTAGCTTTATAAGATGCTCTTCCAGGTCTGTTTTGTGGTAGTCTGATAGCTTCTCGTCTGGTTGTTCTCTTCCTTGATTTACACCAGTAAGTCTTTCCCTTTCTAGTTGCTGTGTAATCAAGCGATACTGGCGTTGGAGGATAGAAACACAAATTGCTCTTCTAGTTGGAAGGGCTTGATCCATCCTTCTCGATTGCTGAGGTAGTTAGCTTGCTTTCACGTCAGTGTGCCCTTGACACGCTTATGTGCCTTGTCGAAGCCGCGCTCGCATTTCGGCTTCATGAAGAATCAACTCATTTTGCGTACGCGATAAATGGACTTCTGAGGTATAGGTAAGAGATTCCAGTTGAATATTCTATTAAAGCGGACAATAATGGCAACCATGACGCTATTACCTCGGGGTTGTCGAGGGCTCATGCAATTATCGATATATAAAAACAAAGATCGCTAGCAAGAAGGGAAATTTTACATAGCACAGAGTATTCCTACGCATCGGAGGTAAATAGCCGTAAAGCCCGATAGTCCACTGATTCGTCAACAGTTGGCATGAATGAGTGATACCCCTCACTGCATGTATATCTAGAAGAGAACCCCACCATACGAAAATTCCGCAAAGCACCAAGCATCAGAATTGCAAGACGCAATGGTCAAAACTCTACCTTTTGGCGACATTCAAGTCTCATCACCCGGCTTCGGTGCCATGGGCTTCAGCTACGGCTTGGGCAAGAAATTGTCTCTAGAAGAAGCTGAGCCAGTTCTGTTGAAGGCGATTGAACTGGGTTGTACGTTCTGGGACACGGCAGTTATTTACCAAAATGGGGTCAATGAAAAGCTTCTGGGAGACGTTATTCGGAAGCACAACGTTCGGGACAAGGTTTTTGGTGAGCTGCCGTCATTCCACTCTTTAATAAACCATCTTCTGTATTAATGATTCGTGGATAGTTGCATCGAAATGCGGGTTCAATGTATTTGAAGGTGACTGGAACAATCATAAAGTCAACAATTCCGCCTCGCATATCAAGGAGTACATCGAGGGTACTATTGAACGTCTCGGATTTGCCCCTGACCTGTACTACCTGCATCGTATGGATCCCAATACGCCCCTTGAAGAGTCGATCCCGGCTCTCGATGAGATCCGCAAGGCGGGGAAGACCAAGTATATCGGTCTTTCGGAGTGCTCTGCTGCGACGCTACGCAAGGCTAATTCGAGTGAGTTCTCACCCGTCTACAGACTTCCTTTGTTTCTGCTGACTCGATATAGTCGCCAAGATCGATGCTGTCCAAGCAGAATATTCAGCATTCGAGACCTTGCATGAGACGGACGGCTTGATTGATACAAGCAAAGAGCTGGGCGTGGCCTTTGTCGCTTACAGTCCACTGGGCCATGGATGGCTTGTCGACAACTGCGACTTTGGCAATTCTCCCGAGGATTTGGCACCGAATGATTTCCGTCGAAGATGTATGTCTCTTCTATCACGATATCGAACCAGTGCGAGGTACTGATACTGCCAAAGCCCCCAAGTTCCAAGGCGAAAACTTCTACAAAAACAAGGCTATCGTTGAAGAGATTAAGAAACTAGCTACTCGAAAGGGTTGCACAACCAGCCAGATTGCGCTTGCCTGGGTTGCTTCTCAAGGGATGATTTCTATTCCTGGAACAACTAAGCTACATCGTCTCGAGGAAAACTGGGGATCTTCGGACGTTGAATTGACAGAGGGGGAAAAGCAGGAAATGCGCAGAATTATCAATGAGGCCAAGCCGCATGGAAACAGGTATGCTCCTGCTCAGCAGGCTCTTGTTGGACATTAGGTATCTGAATGGGATGAATACATGGTAGAGAAAGAAGACATGAATGAACCCGACAGGTTTCTGCTATCTCTTTTAACCAGAGCGCAACAAGCATACAGTTATTCTACTCCACACTTCTCCAACATGAAGTGTGCTTCCATAATCAAAGAGACCTCGCATTTGCAAAAGCTCATAGTGGAATGTACTGATGTTAGCCGTTGCTCGTGTAAGCCCCGCCATGCACTGCAGCTGACTTAGGTACAGACACACTGCGTTTACCTGCACGCCTTTACAAAAGCGCTACAGAAGAGGCACTATAGCGTTGCGCTCAAGTGCTTTTTACCGGACAAGATGCCTTCTGGAGTCCCGTGGCATTAGAAAATAATGTTGAAAGTAGCGCCAGGTTGTGCTTTTTGGGCCCTATTTTCTATCCACCCGATGACTTCGTCATGGAAAGCGCCGTCTTCATGATCCTTGTCTGACAGTATGGCACCGAGCAGCCTTAATTTGGTCGCAGGATCTTTCTGTTTACCAGATTCATTACCTAACTACTAGAATACAAAAAGGAACAACGGTGTCCAAACCCATTTATGTCCACCCAACCAATCGACTAGCATAGTATCATTTGAGGAATCCGTATAAATCTTGCTCTCCTCATGCTCTCAACACGCCACGCCGTACGATAACAGAAAGCTGCACTGCAAAAGTATGAAAGAACTCGTAAAAGCAACCTAATATGGTTTTACACGTGGACAAACCACTCAATGGGAACGTAGATGGAACGAAAAAGGGGGATTAAAACAACCTGGTATGCAGTTTGAGGGATGAGAGGCCATTAGGCGCCCATGCCACCGTTGACAGGAGCCTGCTGGTAATAAGCATATGCGTTTGCTTGTGCTGCGGCAGCCGGGTCAGGCACGGGAACAACGGGCGTGGCTGGCGTAACGGGTGCGACAGGGGTTGGTGCCGCGGGGGTTACTTGGCTACCGTTCTGAGGAGCGGGCTGTGCTGTACCACCGGTCCTCGTCGTAGCCACAGAGACAGGGCCGTGGACTTCACGGTCAAGAGTCATGTACTCCTTGGCCGCGTCGTTAGTGCCCCGCTCGAGCAGGTAAGTCATGTAGATCTGGACAAGTTCCTTCACCACTTCTGTCGAAAGAGCACTTTTGGACCTGATATCCTCAACAACCTGCTTGATACGTTCATATTGGGTCGATTCGGTATCAGCACTCGTTGGCTGCTCCAGCTCAAATGTGAGGTAGCTGGCCCAGAACGCTCGGCTGTCCAGGTAGTACTGTTGGTTTCCTTGGAAGACTTGTCTAGCCTCTTCAGGCGAACCCTTAATCTTCCAGAGGAGCCGGGCCCATTCGGCAACAAGAGCAGCCTTAGTGGCCATGTCGCACTGCGGCGAGTCAAGTTCGGTCTTGTATACGTCGATTGCTGCATCGAGACCTCCGTGGCGGCGGCTGGTGTTGGCCAACGAGACGATGGTCTCGACGTGGTTCGGGAGATGGATGAGGATGGCTTCGTGAATGTCCTTGGACACATCCACGCGGCCTGCCATCTCCTCGAAATATGCGTACTGGAGACGGGTAGCGGGGTTTGCGATGGGAACATACAAGCAACTTGCGCGCTGATAAATGATTCGCACTTCTTCTTCCTTGTTAGGCTGAGCGGCCATCCAGCGAGCGTACCGTTGCCAGAATTCGTCATAGTGGGCGCATGTCACCAGACACCGTTCGTACAAGAACTGGATGCGAGGATACTGCCCTTCGCTCTCTTCGAAGTCAAGGTACTTCTTCCAGTTCGACAACTGTCCCTCATCCAGCTCAGTCACATGGAAATATGGTCGCTTGATCTCCGATTCGTAGGTCCACCGTTTCGTTGTCTCGGTCTGTGTCTTGGAGAAGATCTCAAGGTGATAACCGTCAACACGCAGCCGAATGTCTCTTTCAATCTCAGCTTCAGCTTTGGCACCTGGAGGGATATGCGCAGAAGCTGCCTCGATTTCGGCGCGGTACTGGGACAAGAGCTCGGGAGATGCAAGCTCTGTCAGAGGCCGGGTTTGAGCCATCTGGCGATACCGTTCAAAGTATCGAGCATACTGGTGCATGGGAATATGGATGGCACGGCCAAGGATCTCAAAAATCTTATCAAAGGCTTCCACACGCTCTTCGTACTCGATATACTTATCCCAGAACGGATGGGCAAGGAAATCTAGACCAACACATTTCGCTCCTCGTTCAAAAAGCCTGAATCATGTCTGCATTAGTATCCTTAGAGCCGACCATAAAACAGGGGGAGAGATCATGGGGCAGTGGAGGGGGAAACGGGGGAAGGGTTGGACAAGGACAGCAAACATGAGCGTCAAATCTCCAGCGCACGGGTCCAAGCAATGAACAAACTAGATCTGTGGGACGCAGGTTTTCTTTGCATCGTGTGCATGTATACTGGTGCTGTGGTAATGGTAGTCTTCTTTGGGCATCAAGATAAAGAAAACAGCCTGAAAAGCCATGGGTGAGAAAGTAAGATCCAGTTGAATCCGGGTAAGGTAACCATCTCACCCATCATCATAGAGGGAACTGTTGCCAAAGGCCCTTTACATTGTGCGAATCCGACACAACAAGAGCGTGGGCGCTGCGTTGAATCACGGTTACAAGGGAGGGTAAGGGGAAGGAAAAGGAGAAAGAAACCAGCTCCAGTTTATACACAACTTACTCTCGAATAATGTCAGGGTCGTGGGAGGTCTCGGCCTTGAAGGAACAGTAGTTGGTCCAGAGGTCGACTGATGGTGAGATACTAGCGACACCTCGTTCGTAGACCTGGTCGTGGAGAGCAAGTAGGTCAGCAGGTGGAACCTTTTGAATATCGCAAAACCTACCATATCTGCTGCTTCGGTTCCCGTGATGGAGAATTCCAGATCCGCATATTTCTTCCAGTACCCAAAGAGCAACGGGAACTTGGCGAGGAATCGATCGTACACGTTTCGTGCGGTTGTGATGGCCTGGGGGTTGGAATTGCGGTTGATGCCTCCTTCAAGCGCCTCTCCGGCGCGAACCAGCTTTTCCCAGGTCTCGAAGTTATCGGGGTCATCGGTCTATCGCAGTCATGTTAGCAGACGCGCTATATTCTGAGAGTAGCCATGAAAGACCCAAATATCCTTACCAGGTCAATCTCGAGCTTTTTCAATTCCGCGTTCTCCTCCTCGGAGCCTCCGTAGCTGTAATCCGCCATGACGGGCAGTGTTTCGCACTCAAGATAGAATAATCAAACAGATATAAGTGGTTCAAATAGGTCAGCAATCAACCGGAAAGATAAACAAAGTACAGAGCGTGAGTATCGAGGAGGTAAAGTCGAGAGTCAGAAAGGTCACAGCCGAGCCGGAAGAGAAGAAACACGTGCCCAGCCACACCCCATCAAGCCTCATTTCCCTAAAACGGCTTAGCGCCGGACCCGGAATTTCTACCTACCTCTTATCAAAAATCCATACGGAACTCCGGACTCTTCAACCACCACCACCGCTGTCTTTTTACGGAAAATCGCTACAATCGCATTCATCATGGCTACCACCGGCCTGGTGAGCAACCTCCCCCAACGCCTTCGCAACTTCTTCGCCCGCTACCCACCCCAAATCTACTCCGCAGCGGTAGCACCACCACGCCCAACAACACAACCGCCCACCGACCAACAAACCACCGCAATTGCAACCACCCCTTCCCAACTCGAACACCTCCAATCCCAATCCCCCGAAACAACATCCCCATACACCCCCAATCGCGACGCCAAGGGCTACAAACGCCCAGACCCAAAACTCTTCTCCCCATCCCGCGCTCTCCTCAACAACAACGACCCCTCGCACCCAAACCCGTTCTTGCCGCAGAAGAACATCCGCACGGGAAAATGGATCGGACCTAAGATTGGCTTGCGCCGCCAGGCGGAGCTCGTCAAGATGGCAGTGAAGTATGAGGTGGAGGAATTGTTGCCAGTGGGGAGAAAGGCGACGGAGTTTAAGGAGACGAGAAGGGCGGAGAGGGGTGGGTTGGCGGTTAAGGGGACGGGTGTTGGGCAGAAGGTTAAGGGTCATAAGTGGGAGAGGACTATGGAGGCGAGGTTGGAGGATCGCAGAAAGGCTATGATGGAGATGCCAGAGATGATTCGGTTGTGGAAGCAGGTATGTTTTCTCCTTTGTTTTCTCCTGGAAAGGGCTCTGAGGCTAATATATGGTTATAGAGAGGACACGGTCGTGGCTGGAAGCAGTGGCCCAGACGGTAAAGGCCTTGGCCTTGGGGTTCTATCGGAATATCAGTCTGAATGGAGGTTTTTAGGTTTCAACTTGTTTGAAAGGGTTGGAGAGCTTTGTACGAATCTGTATGGTCTGGGCTAGGAGTTATTCGTTTACTTTTTTTTCATCTCACATATTGTACAAATAGATATGACAGAAAAATGCGCGCACGTTCATGCTATGTACCTGTATTGCAATATTATGTCCAATCAGTATACTTAACCAACTCATTCTGACGTAAGAGATACAAATCACTCATGTCCATCATAAACCGGAACAACCCTATCCCCAACCATAACCGTCGTTCTTTCCCCATCTCCATACCCCTCGCCCATATCACCTATCTCTCCATAAGACAAACAAACATGCCTCCCAAAATAAGTCTTCCCACCAATCTTCCTCGTCTTCGCCAGCGTCGATAACGGCTCATCCCCTTTCACCCCCGTCATCTGATCAATACAAACCATCTGACATCGCTGACAAGAACCTATCACATCGAAACGGAGCTGACCCGGTCCGATTCTCAGAGAGGACCAGTTATCCTCGATATACGGCTGTTCAACATTGCGGGGTTGAGAGACATCTTCTGCGACGACGATGTTGCTCCGGAAGACATCTGCTGCGACTGCTTTTCGGGGTTTGTTGGTTAGTGTGATGGGATTCCCGTGGGCGTCTTTTTTGGCGTTTGCTTTGATGGTTTCGTTGAGGTGGTTTACTGAGGAGCGGGAGATGAGGAGAATGGGGCTTTCGTTGGAGAGGAGGATCGGGTTTTTCTTTTCTGGTGTTGGTACGGCATCTGGGGGGTAAGAGCCCGGCATAATGAATTTCTTAAACGCTTGTTTCAAACTTGTACTGGAGAAGCGGCTCGACCTTGAGTATCGGTTGTTTGACGATTGAGGCGGGAAACGAGCGAGTGTGCATGGGACACCTAGGAAGTCGGAGAAGAAGGAAGATACTTCTGGCGAGGAATAGGCCTGCACAACTACCTGGTCTCCGCAGATGGTGGAGGATTTCTTCGCGCTTTGGCATAGTGATGTGCATACTAGATTTGTGTCGTCGCGGAAGAGGGAAATTTCCAGACTCTTTCGGCTAGATGAAACCATGCCTTCACAGGTTATTCGGAGGACGCAACGCTCGAGGTCGATGAAGGGCCGGATGAGGGCCATGCGCGGGTATTTCTTCTGGTTGAGCGTTGCGCCTGTGCCTTGGTGCACAAGACACCACTCTCGATCCCAGGCTAGGCCTTCACGTCTGATGTCCCAGCGTTTTCCATCCGGGACTTTGAAAGAACCGCAGCTCTTGATGGGGTATACCGAGAGACTTTCAACGTAAAAGCCGGTCTGCTGCGGTGGGCTAACACCAGGAACAGGGAATGGTACACTGATGTCGATAGCCTTCTCGACGTAAAACTCCTCAATGAACCCAACGATCGTGTCGATATCTTTCATATTCGTCATCGCGCCGAGGCTAACCCTCAGCATCCCAGTCGGTCGTCCATCCATGACATCGTGGTCATCGCCACAGCGCAGACCAGACGAATACTGACGGCGCAAATCAGTCCCAGTCCAGCCAAGACTATGTGCCGTGCCTCCAGGGTTACACAATGACCCAGATCGAATCTGAATGTCCTGCACGGTAGCAAGTCGTTCCACTTCAGTCTTTCCAACCCACCGGCCCTGACTGTTGCGCAGGTTGAAAGAAACGATTGGACCCTGCGTAGATGGGTCGTCGTAGTTCGATGCGGGCGACTTGTAGAATTGACAAACCCTCACGCCGTTCGGATGCGCTAGTGAGTACAAGCTGTTATAGAGTCGCTTTGCCAGAAATCGAGTATGAGAGGAGATATTCGACATGGTACCATAGAGCCGGCTATGGATGTCAAACGCAGAGTCCAGTGCGATGATGGAATGGAACGGGAGCGTCCCATCTTCCAAACGGTCATGGATTGAAGAGTCCTTCTCCGCATGCCACTGAATTCCTGCTGTAAGAACCATATCCACTGTACCGCCTCCAAAAAACCTGCGTTGTGAAAAGACACTACAGGCACTCTTTCGAACAATCAGCGCCCCGAGGTCAGGAAATCCAAAAATCTTGTAAAAACTGAGTGCCGTGAAGTCCGGCGCATTGGTTGAATCACTGAGATCAAGCGGCGCGGTCGAGACGAACGATGCTGCATCGAGAAGGGTATAGACATTTGCATCGCCTCCACTAGCTTTCCGTATCTCCTCGCACCATCGAAAAGGTAACCGCCGGCCATTCCCATTCGACTGCGCCGGGTACGCAAACAGTTTGGGCATCTTCGCTTGGACAGTACTCAACTCCGAGATCCATGTATCGACCTCTGAATCTGTAATGAAACATCTATTTCCCATATCCGCCAGCTCGCGCACACCAACCAGACTCGTATGCGCATCGAGATGATATCCATACCAGAAACCCTGAGGTGTCGAGTCCCTCAGCGAATCAGCAACAAGTTTAATAGCAGCCGTAGCATTTGCCACAAACACCAGATCGAACTCCTCCGGATCCGCATTAAAAAACCGCAGCGCACGCAGACGAACATCATCAATACGGTGCGTAGAAAGCTGAGACGAGGGCGACAGCGAATGAGGATTCCCGAATAGATTTGCCGTGAGATCGCGGGAGAAAGACTCGATCAACGACCTGGGATACAGCGTCGTGCCCGCATGGTCTAGATAGGTCGTATCTGCAGAGCCCAGGGTAAGCTAAGCATGCACTGGGGGTACAAAGAGATAAGGATAAGAGGCATACCCTTGAGCAAAGGATACTCCCGGTCCCGGATGACGTCGATATCCTCCGAATAGCCATGAACGTATTCTGCTGGGACATAGGCCCCTTTACCTCGTTCTTGATCTTCCATTATGTATATTCGAGATAGCCCTGTGCACTGTATGCTATGGAGTTTCTTCCCGGAGCTGACACGTCAGTTCTCAGTCATATATGCCCGAGGCCAAGGGAGCAAAGGGATGCATATATGTAAACGACCTACATGTAATCTTGGCAAGAAGTTAGCAACATCCCATTCAAAGAAAAGCACATAAAAAAGCGACTCAATAGATAGCAGACAGAAACTGATAAGACAAAAGTGGGAGAAATTAGTAGAGATCGGAGCTCACCGATAGTATCAACCAAGCTCTATCAATAGCAATAGCCTAGATCTTCTGGATATGAAGACTTGAGGACCAGACATGGCCTTTAAATGACTGTCCATAATACTCCGTCTGACTGTGATCGCGACGATGAGTTTTGGTTAGTTGGTAAGAGGCGAACTTCGAGGACGTTGGTTGGATCCAAGGGTGGTGGACCGAGGGATCTCCGCATGCCCAACCAATATTTCCATTTTTGGATGCGGGGAGATCATTCAGCCTCAACATCGATCAATAGTATATACAGAGGATCAATTGATCGAATACACCTCAACAGAATGAATTACAAGAAAAACTTGATTAACTTCAGGATCAAGATCGATACCACTCGCAGCAAGATCTATAGAACCAGAGGGGTTTCATCCCGGGAATTCCGTACAGAATTGCTTTTCTCAAGGCAATCACTAGTCAACGATAGCATGCTTATATTCTCTCGTTTCAGGATTTCTATTGGACCACTAGACGCTGTGGGTTCCTTAGGGCTATTCCTATCTAAACTGGTGGTGTGTTGGACGAGGCTGAGAACCCATGTACGCTGACAACGGCCATAGCCAATTTGTATGGCTATGTTTCTTTGTATCCTACAGCAATATCACATCCATCACACTCAGTGGAGCATAGCACATACTCTAGGATCTTCCATAGGACCGAGTTGGCGATGTAACCGTGATGCACCTGCATACGCAGCTGACCAGAGAAGAGCGCAGGGCCAGATCAAGCAGGAACAATCCGTGTGCATTCAGACAAGATTTCCGTTGTAATCCTGGACTATATTTGAAATATATTCCTCAACTCAGCCGTAACGACATAATAAATCATTGCTTCATTAGGATATTGGTGCGTGGACCCTGGTTTTCTCCGGTCTTTGTCCTCGTGTTCTCATGATCCCATGTCACACATATCATCAAAAACATTACCAATTAGCTTCATATCATAGATCCCGCATCTTAGCAGACCAAGTAAATGAACGTCACAGCCTAGACGACATAATGCGGTCTCCGACTCGAGCTCCTCGCCCGACTTCCATGTCCCCGTCGACTACTATGACTCCTGCGCCTCGACGACGATGAACCCCTCACTTCCTTCCTTGCCACCGGCCTAGGCTGACCCCTCCAAATCCACAGTGCCCAGAGCGCAGACCAGAAGAAGAAAATCACCTCCATGATCCCCATTGCAAAGCTCGCCTTCAGCATCGCACAGGTCTTGTTCAGATCATTCGCTAGCGGGTTCCCTGTTTGTGCGCCGTAGAGCCCGAACGGACCTAGGGAAACGTATTCGCCATCGCCGTGCCAGTTGCCGCAGTTGGCGTTAGCGATGAAGCGCAATTCGTAGACGCCGGCGATAAAGGCGCCGAAGAAGAGGAGGTCGACGAAGGAGACGAAGATTGCGGAGCGCTTTGTAGTAGCATGGCGGATCATCGTGTCGAAGCACCAGAAGACGGCAATGACACTGACGATGAAGAGGACGAGGATGTAGACTGGGGTGATTATGTTGGCTTTGAGGAAGCCGTCGATGAAGTAGGCCTGGTTGTGTTAGTATACCGTTCGGGATGGAAGGGATTGCTCCGGAGAAAGTACCAGCATTCCAATGATCGGAATCAAGAAGACGATCTCGACCAAGCGGTCGAAGATGAAAAACAAGGTCCCAATCATTTTGCTTCTGTGTGGTCCGTTGTCGAGTACCGTTTACCAGAAGAAGGGATGCAAGTGTCGATTGTGTCCGGAATGCAGTGAGAATATTCTATTGAAACTTCACCTCATCACGCGGCATGCGACATGCAAGATGCAGATTCGACAGTATTGTTGATGTCAAAATGTTCTGCAGTTGTACGGAGCGCTCTGTATAGCGACAGTGGCTGTTTATCTTATACACTGTACAACCAAAACAATACAACCACAATTGCACCGTGTAGAGAACAGGGACGAAAGGTACAGAGTAGGAAGAAGAAAAATGGAGTGATAGGCAGGTACCCCAGAAAGAAAAATCATTTACCAGATTAATACTCGTGTTGTTCTTTTTTCGATCAATTGAGGAGGCTGGGCGAGTGTCAGCTTGGCTGGTGGCTGGGCAACAAAACAACTGCTCCGGACAAAGGACAGCGAGACCCTGCCAATAATTGTGAGGCAACTAATGCATAACATTTTGTCTATTTGATTAATGTTGCCTGGTCGATTAAACTGTTAGAACCGAAGAACGGTGAGGCCGTTGGAGGTTGAAGGATTGCCCGAGACTACTCCGCATACGCCAAAGATCAGGATGGAGGAAAAAAAAAAGAGGTCCAATTCCTATTATACAAAATAAATCGCAACTGGGCAAATAGCAGATAGATTCCTCTCAGCCATGAAAAGCCGTGACAAAAAAAAAGGGCACTATAACCACCCAACATAATCATCGACATCGTAAAATGGGCATGTTCATAGCCAGTAAGCCCCAAAAACAAAGTAACCAAAACCAACACTGATTTTTCGCATCCCCGTCTTCACCGTCTTGACACCATCAAATTCGTCCGTTTCCAGAAGTCACAACACCCGGCGGCGAATGCAAGGCGCTAACGCCCGGCACCATCGGCGGCTCTGCCTGGCGATGATATGAAGTGTCAACCTCATACTGCGGAAACGGAGTGGTACTCAAGCCCGGGTTCTGCGTCCGCGTATAGCCATGCTGCATCTCGTACCCATCTGCGAGATCCTCGCTGCTAGATGACCAATCCCCATCATGCTCATGTGGGCGACGTTGGTAGAATGTATTATGGGTGTAAGGATTAACGGGAGTTGGAGTCGAGTATGCCGATGGCGTAGGGTAACGAGGGGGCTCTTGCGCAGGAGGCACGGTAAGGGACGCGTCGAGCCGCTCTTCAGCCGGATTTCGAAGAGCGGCAGTGCTCTCACGATATTCGGAAGGAGGTCGATTCGAGTCGTCGAATGGGTTAGCTGGCTCAACGCCCCATGTGCGAATCGGATACGCCCGTCCTTTCTTCCAAGGTTCGCTGAGCGAAGGGAAATACTGGCGGTAAGAAATAGACGCACAAATAATGCCCAGCACCGACCCCGTAATCACATCAAATGGATGATGTCTGGCGTCCATAATCCGCGTGACTGCGATAAGCATTGCACCCAAGGTGGGAACCATCACTAATAGTGACTTCCAAGCCTCCCCGCGATTATCCATAATATGCAACTTTCCCGACAACCACAGCGACAAGTAAAACAATCCCGCAAACGACGAGCTGCTATGTCCTGATGGCCATGACTTGAATCCATCCTTTAGAATTCCCGGATCGCCCGTGCAAATTGTATAGTTCGACAAACCAAACGGCTGAGGATCCTGCGTCACGTTCGGCTGGCACCGGTCGATAATATCCGGTCGCGGCTTACCACAGGCGTTTTTCAGCACCTGGGTGATCACAAATGCAAGACCTTGCGAGAGCAACAGGCCCAGGAAGCCGCAGTTGAACTCCCATAGTCGGTCCTTTAATCGGTATGGACCGGTCAGCTTTCTCTTCCCGGACACGGCGTTCCGCGGCTTATTGTGTGAGAACAGTCCATCGATGAACAGTGTGTAGACGGCAATGGTAACGAGGGGAATGATTCCAGCCAGGCACAGGGCCACGGGCATCGGAATCGTCTCGTGAACGGCATAGGGGTATTTCAGGGAGATGTTTTCGAGGGAGAACGGTTGATGAAACGGTTCGATGGAATCGAGAATGTAGAAGCCGGCGATACAGGCGCTGTAGTTATATATAGTCAGCTGGCCGGTTTTCACCAATTAAGTAGAACAGGAACACTCACACGAGAATTACATAGTCGAGAATATAAGAAATGATAACGCGAGGTCGTAACCGTCGCTTGGAAAAGGGCAGCTTGGAGGGAAGGCGGTCCATCGTATCTTATCCCCACCGATCGGAGAATAATCACCAGGAACAAGAATGCAGAATTATCTGTGCACAAATAGTGACATTGGTATACTCCGTACTCTGGAATAGAATAAAATAAGGATAACAATAGTCTGTCGATGAAAAGAGGGCGCTAATCATTAAATAAAAGATCCTGAGGCATACTAAGATTTGCCGGGGGTGGCTGAGTGAGAGGCCAAGAAACTGTGCCCTGGAGCCACGGCAGGGCCCAGGCTTATTATAGAAGGTTTATACTTGTTCATGCACCAAGCCAGGCAGCATAATTTATACAATGTTGGCCTGTCTAGCCGAAAGAACACTACTAATACTGTATTTGGAAGACGACAAAGCAATAAATTAAGGAAAGACATTGAGAAAGTAACATTATCAATAAACCGGGTACTATACATTCATAGACAGGTATGTCTCTGGAAAGCTATCTGTAGGCTTCTCCTTCCGTCTGCTAGTTTTTTCTTCTTTTTTGAGTGACATTAAAAAAGCGTATGTCCAAAATCAAATTTTAACCACATCCCATAATCAAGAAGGAAAGTCATGGAATTATCATAAGATCATCAATCAATACCCGGAAAAGTACAATGGGATCGATGCCCATTAAGGTTCGCCGTATGGTTGGCGATCACTTTAGCAGGTGGTGATGTAGAGACCGATGGGAGAGGGGTTGTAGTCCTCGAAGAAGTCGAGGTAGGTGCTGCCAGAGTTCTTCATCTCGTAGCTGACGGCCTCACCAGCGGGGCACGAGAAGGTCGAGATAACGTAGGAGTTGCCGGGAGCGACAGTGGTGACACCGTAGTCCTCCTTGACGCTAGGCATGTTGCTGTAGCTGGTGTCGGTGGTCACAGCCGACTCGAGAGAAGCGAAGTCGATCTTGCCGTCACCGCTGAAAGTGAAAGCAGAGGTCTCAAGGTCCTCCTGCTTGGGGAAGAGGAAGACAAGGCTGCAGGTCTTGTCGGCGTAAGACTGAGGGACGTCAAAGTTGTAAAGGGTTGTCTTGTCTGACGAGATGGTACCGTTGAAGGAGGTGCCGGGGGCGTTGTCGGGCGACGACGAGTCAACGGGGATGATCAGGTGAGGAGCAGTGTATTCGCCGTTGAGGTTAGTAGGGCAGCTGCCAGAGGCACTTCCGGAAGGCTGAGATCCAGTGGAGGTTCCCGAGGGCTGAGAGCTGGAGGCAGTACCAGAGGGCTGAGCAGACTCGGAAGGCTGAGAACCGCCAGGGACGCTAGCGGTACCAGAGGGCTGGGAGCCGCCAGGAACACCAGAAGTACCAGCAGGGCCAGAGGGTTGAGCGGACTCAGAAGGCTGAGATCCACCGGGAACACCAGGAGTAGTACCAGCAGGGCCAGAGGGCTGAGCGGACTCAGAGGGCTGGGATCCACCGGGAACACCAGGAGTAGTACCAGCAGGGCCAGAGGACTGAGCGGACTCAGAAGGCTGAGATCCACCAGGGACAACGGGAGTAGTGCCAGAGGGCTGAGAACCGCCAGGAACACCAGGAGTGCCAGAGGGCTGGGATCCACCGGGGACACCAGGGGTACCAGAAACGGTCTGAGATTGAGGGCCAGAGGGAGTCTCAACGGGAACACCAGGTGTGGTGCTGCAGTCGTAGGAAGTCACAGTGGTCCAGACAGTGGTCTTGGGCTTGGAAGAGCCAGGAGCCGAGGAGACGGGAATAACGACCTGGGAGCTGCTGCTAGAAACAGAGGCAGACTCGCTGGGGGCAGGAGCCGAGCCACTGGGGACAGGGGCCTCGCCGCTAGGCGAAGAACCAGCGGGGGTTGAAGCAGAGCCAACCGGAACCGAGCTGGTAGGTCTGGGAGCAGGCGAAGAGGGAGAGGCCGAAGAGCTGGGGCCAGAGCCAGAGCCAGAGCCGGATCCCGAGCAGGAGTCAGCAGCGAGGGTGACGTCCTGGCACTGGGTGACAGCGTCACTCTCCTCAGTGTAGACATTCAGGCCGTCGTTCTGACCAGTCTCACAAGCGACGAACTTGGTGTTGCCCTTGTATTCGAGCTGACCCTCAGAGTTGATGGAGAAGCCGGGAGTAGGGGTGGCACCCTCGTCACATTGGAACTGAGTGGTAGGAGCTGGATTAAGTCAGTAAAAGCCCATGATGGGACAGAAATGGAGAATACTCACGAGTCAGGATGCAGCCACGGCCGTTACCATCAGTGATGGCACCGTTGGAGTCGATGCAGTACTGAGCAGGGCTCAGGCTGTCATCACCAATACGGTTCTGACCGTCAGAAAGCTGGCCAAGAGTACCAGAAGCACCGCCAGAAGCGTTCAGGCTGAAGCAGCAGCTGTTGCTCCTGCCAACGAGGGCATTGGCACCGGCAGCAAAAGCCGCGACGGTAACGAAGTTCTTCATGGTCGGTAAGCGAATGAAATCAACACGTCCAGAGAGCGAATGAACTCTAGTAGAAGTGATGAACGAGAGATCAGTGTTGATTTGTTGTATTTAAAGGTTTGTATGAAGACAAAGAGTAAAATGTGAAAAAGAGGAGAGTGCAAGTATATTTATAATGCCGTGTGGATACAATCATGGACGTCATCCTGGGGCTACGGATACAAGCATAAAAAAAAAATAGAAACCACCGACAACATAAGACACATACTTTCCAGGCACTCAATAGTGTTCATGTTGGGTATAAGTCGACCATGGGAAGGAACAGTGGGTCAATTCCCCAGTCCACTGTCCTTTTCCTTTTATTCTTCGTCTACCGTGCATCTGGACTTTTGAACGCTGTGCTTGAACAAGTCAGAAGGCCTGTCAAATCCTCTTTCGGGTCTGGATGCCGTCGGAGGTGCGCGTTACTAGAATAGGAAAAAAACCATGAGGACGACGTCATACCAAACAATCCACTTCGGCTCTCTATATAGTAACAGTTGGGTCCATCGTGGAGTCAGTCCCACCACTGCAGGGTCGAGACAATTGCAATTGGCTAAGGGTCGACTGAGAAAAGCAATAAATAATGCATTTTGTGGACCGGAGAAAAGCGAACATAACAAGACATGGCTTTGCAAGTGGATTCTGGCAGGCCGATGGATCGTAAGCAGACGATCATTGGGTGCCCAGAGAGCAAGCCCTGTGGCAAGGTTATCTCCCATGGAACCGACACAAATTGTACAGGCATTGTTCGTTCGTTGTCTTTGAGAATAGGAAGCTGCCCATGGAACCGGCGTTGCTATCCATAGGTTTCAAGGTACAGTACTTCGTGGAATCGGCTAGACGGAGGCCGTATGTGTGCATGTCTTGTTTTCTGCAACAGACACCGGAAGACATTCGGTATTCGTACTCGTACGCCGTGGACCGTAGCAAGACGGGAAATCGGTAGAGATCGGTAAATGGATTACACATCGTGGTGGCCTAACTACTCTGTACAGTAACTATTTTGAGGGTTCTTATTTAGCATCACCCGGTTAATTGAGTATGAAGAAAAATTAACAAAAGAAGTACCTCGTCATCAGACCATCAGCCCGTTCACCTTCAATCATGATGAGCTCAGTCAAATAAGCCTTGGGCAAGGAATCAAATCCCTTCCAATCCGTAGATAGTACCACACGATCCTTCCTCCGCATCGACGATTTCATCCGCGGAGGAATTCATGGTGCCGTACATCCAGCCACTAGGCAATCGGAATTCCAACAACAACTGAGACCCTTTTCATCATCGTCATCATCATGACTTTTCGGAATAATGTCGAGGCTGTGTGTGCCAAGAAGGAGTAACAGAAAGGGCAATTCGGTGGCAAAGAATTCGGGCCAAGGAGAATGAACAGACGAAGAGAGAAACAAATGAGATGAAGCAGAGAACGTCCGACGTGGATCACTGACGCAGGTCATGCGGGTTGCATAACTAGCATAAATCTTAGTCATTTACTATGCATACAGCCACGTCACAAAACACAAAGATTCCGCGTACAAAAAAAAAAAAAAAAGCACAAGTACTTTGCATTCAGTGCAGTGGCCGTAGAAATTCCTCGTACTCCTGCTGCATATAATTGCTTGTTTTTGTCTCCCGTCTGTATAGAGTTGAGGGCTTTTTCGGCCGCATAATACTACGAAGTACGGGAGCACGGAGTACGATTCGTATGGTCGTACGTACCCATGGCCCTCTGTTTATGATCGATCCGATCTCGATCGAGTCTTTTTCTCGCTTTCCTTGGGTAGCTCTGGTGCTCGGTCCGATTCCTCGTTTACTGAAGGACTGGAACATGGGCACACCCAAAGTCCGGCTCGCGTGTCCGGGACAGGAACCGGGCAATGATATTGGCCATTTTTCTATTGTTGATTTCTGCTTAATCAATAACAGCCTCCACAGTCAGCTATTATAACCCACACCCTCTGTTTTGAACCAGGAAACCATCCAGGCACAGGGTGAACAGATATAGAAAATGCAGGCACAGCGTTTCCACTCGAGTATATTCCGGTGCCAGTTGAACGCTGGTTCAGTCACCTTGGGTAGCTCTGTTTAAACTTGGAATTCTGTGCTCCGTACCAGGAACCATTTGTCCGTGTACAGTCACGATGACATATTGTACAAACGGTAAAGCATAGGGCGAGAGGCATAATTCTATGAATTTAGAGCACACTTGAAAGCCACTGCATAAATTCTCCTATGTAATTACGCATTCTGAGATGTCTAGCACAGCTCAATACATTGGATACTACGAAGTACTTACAAAAGTTCAGGTTCATAGAGTTGATCACGGCGGTTACATATCCGCATGTTTAAACGCCTATCTATGGGGCGAGTTATGAGAACTCTACGGATTGCTGATGAAAGTAAATTGACAAGGCACGCTAATGTGCCAATCAAATACCTACTCCGGAGTAGTATGCACTTTTGAAATATCCTAATCGCGCTGACAACTACCTGAACCTACCTTAAACCAACTTTCTATTCATCACTCCGTAGCTTCGTGCAATTCGACAAGCAACACATCAAGAGGAATTATGCTCGTAGCATGCTTCATCAGAGCTCAAATCCAAACCATAGAACAGCCTCGACCGGCCTCGACAATGGAAACTTGCTCTCCATCTAAACATTCGGTGAACTCGGCTACGATTTTCCATCGTCAACGAATTAGTCTTTTGGCCATTTCATCTGCACCAACCGTCATATGATGTCCATTGAAGGTCAGGCGAGTTTTGACCTAACCTAGAACATTCTATGCCTTTTTCAGTAGCTTGAAGATCTTCAAAAAAAATATACAAAACATACGTGTACAAGTAATGTGCATACGGATATATCTTTCATCCGACAGCCTGTCGATTTTCGGTGGAAGCCGCAAGGCCCAATGCGCCAATCCTGCACATTCCTACAGAATACCCGGGGCTTGATTTTGCCACTGGATATATAGTGCAGAGCGTAGAGATAACCGTACATGAGATGAATCAGGTACTCAAGAGTCCTGCCCGATGGGACGGGGCGTGATCGGGGAATTGGTTGAATGCCCACTGTATGTATGTCTCATTCTGTGTCAAAGATGTAGAGCACGGTGTGCTTGTACGGACTACAGAATAGAATCTAACGACCCGTACAGACAGGGTGCTGTGAAACCAGCAGGACGGGGAAGACGTTGCACGTATTCCACACCAACTTGTGTTTACTTCCATTGTTGAATTTCCATAGCGGAGTGCATTGTCTCCATGGATTCATCGTACAAATCAAATAAAATTGTAGTTGCTAGTTGCTATAATACATAATACATTGACCATAACTCTCTTTACAGCTTTCCTCCAGTAAGCTCCTCGCCAAGCTTCTTGACTCGGTCCTGAATGGTATCCCACCGGGCAACCTCGTTCCTCCGGGAATCGTTGACAATAGACTGCACAGAGGTTGGTGAGCCCTTGTTCCAAATGTTCTCTCCCTGGAAGGTGTCGTTGGTGAACTCTGGGTTGTACCCATCCGGGAACACCCGCTCAATCTCCGCAGCCAGCTGCTCCTCTGTCGTGATGAATTTTCGCGCGTTCATGTACAGTGTCTGAAGCGCATCCTCTCGTTCAATTCTTTTCTGCGCGTTCAAAGTCTCCACCCGTGCTCGAGATCCCGCAAGACGCACTTCCCGATCTGGGTCCGGCAGCACCGCTGTCCGGCTAGGTTGCATACCCTGCACCACGGATGGACGAGTCAAACTCTCATCCAGTCGTTCCGGCTGTTGGAAGATTTCTTCTCGTCGTCTCTGCTTCTCCAGACTGCGCTCCATCATGCTGTTGTCGGTCCGTCTCTTACGCCTATGTAGTTCCTGGAGACCTTCCCGGAGGTTCTTTCTTCTCAAGTCGGCCATGCGCCGCTTCGATTCGATATACTCCGCATGAGGGTCTTTCGGGTCGATTGGGGTCTGGTGGGTGGGCAAAGGTGTTGCATCCAACATGTATTCCTTGGATGGCTTGTCTGTTCGGCGAGCGGGGAAGATTTCTCGAGGCACCGGAAGCGTACCCTTCACACGGGGTTTCGAAGGCAATTCAGGCTGGATAGTCCGCGGGACGTCAATGAAATTGGGAGACTCGGGCCCGACTCGCATGGAAGCGGACGAGGCAAAGCCACGGACTTGCGCACCGGCAGTCCGGCAGTTGCGGAGGAAGGACATGGTGTGCAAGATGAAGCTGAGCGTAGACACGACCAGTAGAAAGAAAATTCAATAATCAATGACCCCGCCCTCGCAATAAGGACGATGAGAATGCGGGCTCTTGCTGTCCACCGTCGGAAAAGCTCGAAGCGATTTTCTTGATGGTCCGTGCATCACCGCCCGCATGGCAGAAAAAAAAAATTTAGTTTTCCCTAAAACCTCACGGCAATTTCTCTCTTTCTTCCCTCTCTTTCGCTTTTCGCCAATTCTTTCTGGCCATTTGCCTTTTAATAATTATTTTGATAGACAGTGTTTTCTTGTCAGTGACAAGAGATAAACACAGTCACCATGGGTACAGGAAAGAAAGAAGCCACTCGTAAAGAGCGGCAGGGGAAGGTCGGAGATGGCATGGGAAATGTCAAGACCAAAGGTGAAAACTTCTACAGGTATGTTTTACCATTTTTATATGTGTATTATAGGAAGCTCTGACTGACTGCTGCACAATACAGAGATGCGAAGAAGGTGCGGACATTGAACATGTTCAACGATGGAAAGGCGAGGCATGACAAGTACGGAAATGTCACCCAAGCCGCTTCATATCAATCGAAAGATGCTCCCACGGCACGGATCGAGCCAAACCGTAAATGGTTCGGGAACACCAGAGTCATCTCGCAGGAGGCTTTGTCCTCCTTTCGTGAAGCGGTTGCGGAGCGTGCTTCCGATCCATACCAAGTTCTGCTGAAAACCAACAAGCTTCCCATGAGTCTGATCCGGGACACCCAAGGTGTCAATGGATTGAAGCAGCACGAGGCCAAGATGGCCATAGAGAGTGCGCCCTTCAATGACACTTTTGGTCCGAAGGCTCAGCGGAAGCGTGTTAAGTTGGGTGTGTCGTCTCTCGAAGACCTCGCTGATGAGACTGCAAAGGTGCAGGATGCCTACATCGAGAAGCAAGATCAATCGACGCACGAAGATGGCAGTGCTGCTGTCTCTGGTGATGTCCCTGTGATTGAAGACGATGGAACTGCGAACACAGCACCAACTGCCCGGGAGTCTGTCTTCTCCAAGGGACAGAGTAAGCGTATTTGGAACGAACTCTACAAGGTCATTGATTCCTCGGATGTTGTTCTTCATGTGCTTGATGCTCGTGATCCTGAAGGCACCCGTTGTAGAAGCATCGAGAAGTACATTCGCGAGGAAGCTCCCCACAAGCATTTGATCTTTGTGCTCAACAAATGTGACCTAGTACCTACAGGTGTTGCTGTAAGTATTGCTACCCGCTTATTTTCTTTCTTTCTTTCTTTTTTTCTTTTTTGTTTTTACGTTCTCGCGTTATGCCTTTCTCTATTGGCTCGTTGAGCCATGCCACCGCTAAGTCAGGACTTCTTCCAGCGACTATTTGTCGCGCTTTCGCACAATGGAGGCTTGTCTGTTACAGCTTTGGCAGATTGACACTGGTCCGCGCCGAACCTCTTTCTGAGGCTAGGCTGATTTGGCTTTCGTTTTGAAAGCTGGTCGTTAAGGACCAGGTAGTGCTTTGTTTTTGAGTTGAGGTCTGCTTCTGCCTTTGGCGGTTTACCGTAGCAGACCTCTTAGTAACATCTCACACATCCTTATCGTTCTTTTTTTTTTTTTTTTTTTTTTTTTTTCGTTTCTTTCTTTTCACACATTGCTTTTGACCATGCTTCTTGACATTTGCTGGTGGCTCAGTCGCTAACTTGATGCACCAGGCTGCTTGGGTACGACATCTCTCGAAAGATCATCCTACGCTTGCGTTCCATGCCTCGATCAACAACTCCTTCGGTAAAGGATCTTTGATCCAACTTCTCCGACAATTCTCATCTTTGCACTCCGATCGCAAGCAAGTTTCTGTAGGATTTATTGGATATCCGAACAGCGGAAAGTCTTCCATTATCAACACTTTACGGAAGAAGAAGGTGTGCACCGTTGCTCCTATCCCTGGTGAAACCAAGGTTTGGCAGTATATCACCTTGATGAGAAGGATTTACCTCATCGATTGCCCTGGTGTGGTCCCGCCCAACCAGAATGACACTGAAACGGATATTTTGCTTCGTGGTGTCGTTCGTGTGGAAAACGTCGAGAATCCGGAACAATACATCCCAGCCGTTCTCAAGAAGGTTCAGCCCAGGCATCTGGAGCGTACTTACGGTGTGAAGAACATTGAGGATCCAATCGAATTCTTGAGTGTACTTGCCCGTAAGGGAGGCAGGCTTCTCAAGGGAGGCGAACCTGACCTTGACGGTGTCGCCAAGATGGTCATTAATGACTTCCTCCGCGGAAAGATCCCTTGGTTCACTCCACCGCCGCATGGCTCTGGCCAAGAAAACGATGGCATTGACGGTCGCCAAGGCAAGCTCGGAGAGATGGGTCGGAAGCGAAAGCTTGATGAAGCCGGCGCTGAATCTGCCGATACCCCTGAGAAGCCTTCTAAAGAGCCCAAGTCTGCGGAGGGTGAGGATGATTTTGAAGGTTTCAGTGATGACGACTCCAACGACTCCATCGCAAACCTCGAAATTAGTGACGAAGAAAGCGGAGAGGAGAACGACTGAGGTGTTTTCACTCTTTTTCTTCCACTTTTGGAAATCGAAAACTATCTCGCCCGTCTCGTAGGGCCGACTTCCTGTCCCGTGATAGGGTTACTTACGCCGCTCGTCAGAGCGTATTCCATCGAACAAGCTTCGTTCTACAATCTATAACAGAATTGAGAGCTGCTTCGATATTAGCGCCGAAACGAATCAATTCGGCCTCCGACGTACCAATTGCCATTATGAATTGGCCGGACACTGGTCGACCATAGACCGACACTTTGCCTACAGCAGTCTGAACAGTGACTCTGTCTGTGCAAGATACTTTTAACATCCATATTAGATACCCACAATCCAGAATATTAAAGAAGATTCGTCTCTGATCTGTATGAGTTGTACTCTGCATTTTTCCGTCTTTGCCACATTCCATGCTCTGTAGTTGCCGCATTGGCGGGGTATCATTGGCCGTAGCTCACGTGGGGCGTATCCCAGCCTCTCGACATATCCACAGCCTCTCAAGACGTGCTCGAAAACGCCTTGTCGACAGTTGCTTTTAACAAGTCAATCCTATAATAATTGCCTATGCGGCGCAATGTCTCTGAGAGATGCGCATATCTAGCCAAAAATGGCGGAAGACGGCATGTCTATCGTTCCTTACGGGTCCAATCTTGACGTTGTGCTGTATGTCCTTCCACTTACAAACAAGCTTGTTTTCGTCTGATCTCTAACAATGGCTTCTCAACAGCCGGCACAATGATTCCGTCGTATGCCTCGACCGCGATTCCCAGGAGCTGGTACTCCGAAACGCAGCCCACGGTAGTGGCGGCCTGGAGCTAGCCGACCCCGACTGTCCCTATTGTCACCGACCCATGCGAGAAGACCAGCCAGGCCAAAGCAATCACCGCACGAGCCCAGGCGGCCAGCCGGAATTCGTCAATCCGGATTACTTCCGCATGCTCCATAACAGTTTACCCAATTCCGTCAATTCTTCGGGTTCCTCCCCACCTCGTCGACGTCTCTACCAACCGGCGCTTCCAGGCGTACCGACCGATCCGAATTACTCAGGAAAGACGTCGCAGTCGCAAGGGATCTCGTCGGGAGCATTCACGCAGGGATATTTTAAGAAGTTCTTCGTTGAAGAGTCTATACTGGGAAGAGGAGGGAAGGGTGTGGTGTTATTGGTGAAACATATGTTGGATGGTGTGTCGCTGGGATACTATGCGTGCAAACGGGTGCCCGTGGGAGATGACCACAAATGGCTTGAGAAGGTATTGGGTGAGGTGCAGCTGTTGCAGCATCTGTCACATCAGAACCTCGTGTCGTACCGGCATGTTTGGCTTGAAGATGCCAAAATGAGTACGTTTGGGCCCAGTGTACCGTGTGCGTTCATCTTGCAACAGTATTGCGATGGTGGAGACCTGCATAACTACATCTGTGGCTCCGTACAGACTTCTTCCACAACTCAGCAATTGAAGGAACGGATTAGGAGGAAAAGCAAGGGTGAACATGATGGCTCTGCAGGTCTTGTGGGGCCTCGAAAACTCCAATTTGATGAAATCTATTCCTTCTTTAAAGATATCACATCTGGAATCCGCTTCCTTCATGTGAACGGCTACATTCATCGTGACCTGAAGCCAAATAACTGCCTGCTCACTCAGACGACCGACGGATTACGGGTTCTGGTGAGCGATTTCGGCGAGGTGCAATCTCAGGATGCAATACGCAGGTCGACCGGGACGACAGGAACTATCTCGTATTGTGCACCTGAGGTCTTGCGACGTGAGTATCCGGATGGCCCGTTTGGGAACTTTACGTTCAAATCCGATATCTTCTCTCTGGGCATGATCCTTTACTTTTTGTGTTTTGCGGAGTTACCCTATACTAATGCGGATATCATCAACGAGGAACTGGAAGATCTCGACCAACTTCGCGAGGAAATAAGTGGATGGGCTGGGTTCGGAAGCGCGCAAAGGATGAGACCTGATCTACCGGACAGACTTTATACCTTCCTCGAGCGTTTGCTGTCTGTGGATCCCAACCGAAGACCTACTGCGGATGAAGTTTTGAGTGGCATTCAAGCCGGCGATAACTTTCGGTATAGAAGAGGCACCCCAGCAGGCCCGGATACTCCTTCGAATTCTCGAGTCCGACCTGTCGACAGTTCGAACGACATCCCATATCCACGCTCACCTCGCTCCCATAAGAAATCTCTCTCTCGGAGCAATCCACTCTCACTACGTCCGAGTACTCCTTATGACCCTCATGAATTTGATTCTAGCCCGGTACTTATGGCTGAGAACGTCAGGCCTGCAAGAAGGATCGAACTTAGTCCTGAACGAAACTTGATCGTTCGCCCAAGATACCAAAGTCCTACACCATCCGCATCACCAACCCGGAAAAGACATGACTCCCATAATCAAGAAGCTCCAGCGAACATAGAACCAGTCTCAAGCATGGAGCCAGTCCACCAAACACCACAGCTCCTCCCTCCTCCTAACCGGTCTGTTCTCTCTCCGCTAGTCGAGCGCCTCGGCCTCCGGGTTGACCGGCAGCTCCCATTACCGTTCCTTCAGCTAGCATTCTTTCTCCTAAAGTTGGTATCGGCCTTTCAACCTTGCATGCCCCTGGCTGTCAATCCTTGGGTATTTTATCCGTTGCTTGTCTTGGCTGCCGTGGGTCTACGGGCGCGCAGTATGATGCTTCAGATGATCATCCTTGGTGTCCATCTTCTCGTTGTCGGTCTTAGTACACGAACGAGGATGTTATGTGTATGGCATCATCCAAGTGAGGGGATTTTTGGTGATTGATCTCCCCTTCTATTTCCTCCTTTCTCTATGGGGTCGCTGTACATGACATACGTAGCTGTGAAAGGCATGGGAAGGTTGTATTTTATGCGCAAATTGCTTCTTCGAGGCTATAGTTATCGGCGTTTCATCGTGTTTTTGCATCCGCTTATGTGCGACGAGTATGACCATACGGGAAATGATGTACACTTATCAAATTCAATGATATGTTTTACCATTCAGCGCATATGTTTAGGCGAAAGTTGTGTACCTACATAAAGAAATATTGCAATCACCCAGCGAACTGCTATTGCAATTACCAGGAGCAATTCAACGTAGACCGTTCTCCTACTCCCAAGATCAGGCATGAAGGCCATACGTCCGTTGACGCATCAACTCCTTTTCTGCTTGTTCTTCCCTGCATATTATGCATCATGCATCATACATCATACATTATGCGCGAGCCTGAATCTGATGTAAAATGCTATGACTGCGGTGAATGCGACCTGCAAGCATGTGCCTGTCAGAACAGCTATTTCTAACACGTTGATGTCAGAGACATGAGGTTAGCCTGGAGGACCTTCGTTGGGAGATTCTGTACTATCTTAACGGCTCACAGCAAGACTGGAGGTAGAGAATCTCGACGAGGTTGGTACAGTACATAGTGCAGTAGCAAGTCCACCAGCTCATAGCCCAGGGGACACGGATCCTGACCCGCGACAAAGATAAAATGGTCGCATCTACAGGTGGCCAAGTACAATGGACACAAGGAGGATATTATCAGACAGACCAGACCAACCGAGGGACAAATCGCTGCTATCGAAGACGGAGAAGAAAAGAAATGGTGGGAATTGACGGTGGTAAGTCAATCCAAGCCAGCTGGCAGATATGGTAGGGTATACTGCGACGTTTGTCTCGTTGTGAGTTGCACTAACTTTCTCCAGTACTCGCCACAGGCAGTATTTATTGATACATGCACCTGTCAAATCAGGATAGCATGGGGACTTATTGTATATGCGATGAATGCGAAAGCTTTTGTATCTCCAATGTTCTCAATCCAAGGATATGGTACATCCACAGACGTTTTCCAAACACAGATGACGCATATAGGCCAATCAACATCAACATTGATGAAGAGACTGAGGGCTCAGCCGATATCAAGTCTCAATTGAGTGTTGAGAATGCATCTGCTGACAGTCAATCTGATAATGATATGAAAGACGCTGATGCTATCGGCGCCAAATCTGATTGTCACAGTGCTAGGAGTGATCAAATTTCAACTTTAGAATGATGGCCAATTTACACGCACACACTCAATGGGTAGTATCTTCTTATCCCTATTCCCATGCAGTGGCCTTATATGGCATACGGCAGTCGATTCCTGGCATTAATCCTAGGCTAGCTCCCTACTGCAAAATGTAAATTCGGATTAATGAGTATGTAAGCATATGTCTGATTGTATTTAAAATGGAACGCTTGCTCTTGCAGCTATACGGAAAGCTTTAGATGGATCCATCTTTTGGTCTGCCATTGTACCTTACCAATGTATTGAACCGGATTGATGACAGATTCTAATTTGAATACAGGAGTGTACCTTGAAATAGAACATAAAAATTTCTGGCCAGCCTATCAACAGTCCCACCTTGAACGCGATTGCGTTCGACTACTCCCCACGGGATATGTAACTATTGTGATTTCTTCTTCCCTATATTCCCCACCTTCCTCAGCCCAAAAGCCCCGATGATCAGACTGAGGATGTTCATCGCAAAAAGAAGCCAGAAGGCTGCTCGGTAGCCGACCATCAACCCTTCCGGTCTGTTCCTCTCTTCAGGACTCGCCTTGTTATCGCTGACAACGTTGGCAATCAGCTCCACAAAAGTAAGGCCAAAGCTCTTCCCGATCTGCGAGACTGTGTTGAATACACCCGCTGCTAGACCGTGCGTTTCAGGAGGAAACACCCCTGCAATCATGATATTGGAGACAGTGAACAAGGAGTCTGCAGCAATGGAGTTGAGACTAATAGCCACGAATGCACATCGCCAATAGGTCCAGTTCGGGTCCACGAGAGCCATTATCAGCGGGGAGATGCAGGAGATGATAGTGGTGATATTCATAATACCATCCGCGCGGACGCAATGAAGAATCAGCCCGGTAACGAGAGCGCTTAGGAGACCGGTGACTGGAGTGGGAATAAAGCGAATAGCTGTCTGGATTACAGAGAGCTCCTGAACATTCTGGAAAAAGAAGTTGATGATTTGCTCGAATCCGTTGAATGCACCCCAAATAATGAAGACATTGGCACAAATTGAACTAAAGGCGACATTCTTCCATAACGAGTTACGGATTAGAGTCGGCTTGTCTCGCCGCTCCTGGAATTCTTGCCAGAGGACAAAGCAGATCAGCAATACCCCGGAGACAGCAAAATATGCTATGGTGGACGCCTGGCGGATGCTGTTTGCGTCTCCAGAAATAACCCTATATCTTGTCAGCATGATTGCCCAAGATTTGGTCACTAAGGAGGCGACATACGCCAGCGCTAATGACAGGAGCGCCAAAGCCGTGCTTATGATGATCGCGCCGAACCAGTCAATGCCAAAAATGAGAGAGTGCCAGTTGATTCCGCCTTGCTTTGTGTGTGGTAACTGCCACCAAGACAACAAGAAAGCGGCTGTATTAGCAATCGCAGCAGTATGGAAGCCCCAGCGCCAGCCGATAGTATCAGTGAGAACACCTCCAACTAAAATCCCGACACCAAATCCAATAGGCTGCCCACCACCCATGAAAGAGAAGGCGAGGTTGCGGAGCTTTCCTGGCGAAAAGTTCTCAGAAATAATACTCGTGGCGGATGGCAAGCACATGGCGGTAGCTAAACCGGAAATGACACGGAAAACAATCAATTGAGAACCATTTTGTGCAAGACCGCATGCCATGCAGAATATACTCTGAAAGAAGCAGCCGAGTAGGAAAATCAGCCTACTACCCACGGCGTCTGACACCGCACCGAAGATGAGCAGTGTACAGCCGGTGGACAAGGCATACATGGAAACAGGCCTGGGTGTTTTGTCAGCTCCCAAACCCCGATTTTGCTAACAGTAGTAAAACAGTATCGGGAACATAATACCATAATTCCATTCCCGGGTCTAGATTCAGGTCTCTGGCTACTTGGGGGACGGAGATCGTGACAAGGCCACCCAGGTAGCAGCTGATGAACGTTATGCAGGAGATGCAGAAGATTACCAACGGAGCGTGCTTGGGCTTTTTCTCCAACTCCTCACCGTCACTACCAGAGAGGCACTCTGGCTTTTCTCTGACATGTTTTTCGTCATCACAGATGGCACCGTTGACGACATGGTCTCGTGGGAAGCCATTGGCTGTCTCCAACGATATCCGATCTTGCTGCATCTCAGAAGGTAGATACCAGGGTCGGGTCAAGAAGTCAAGGGTAGTAGTTGTATTTACTTGCTCTGAGGGATCCAGGAAGGCTAATCAGTCATCGATGATGAATCATTGAGTCAGTGAGACTGAGGGCCCCCTTTGTCCCGTATTTGGCCTATTGGGGCTGTGGCCGCTTTTCCTTTTCCTTTGTTCTATTCGGTTCTGACTCAGACTGGCTGAATCCGGCCTTACATTCCTCTCGGAGCGGTCCATTCTTTGTTTTTGTAATCGAGATTGCGATAACGCTATTTATAATCAAATATTGTTACCGTAACTACTAGTGCTTGTTGGGTTCTCGTGTTATCCTGTCTTCGGCCAATAGAAATGAAACCCTGCTGCAGGCCCTTTAGGGTATAATGGCTGATTATTTCTAGCGCTTACCCCTGCCGACAACAATCAAACTATTCGGTACGTTCTACAGAGTATCCCGGCCTCATCTGTACTTTATGGTTTATAATACCATGAGACAAACAGCGGTGTGCATGCATCAAGCATGCAGGTGACCAGTCGAACCCACCACCACGCTTGAGTATTAGAAGGGTTTTGGATCCGTTGATCTAGATCGACGCATATACAGACAATGTTGGCAATGCGGTTAATCTCTACGCAAGAGGTCGCCCGGCATAATACCCCCGGCGACTGTTGGGTTGTCATCGACGACCAGATCTGGGATGTCACCTCTTTTTTCCCTCATCACCCCGGTGGCCCTGAGGGTAAGTCCCATTGGAATTTACCACCTACTACGACATGATGCTCATATGCTACTTCATCAGTGCTTGTGCAATACGCCGGTCAAGATGCGACCACGGCTTACAACGAAGTGCACAGCCCGGGTGTAATCGTCAAATCGCTTTCCCCAGCCTACTTGATCGGCAAGCTCGACCCATCGTCAAGAGACGACGACTGGAAAGATAATAAGTCAACACAACTAAGCCAGCCTCAGGCAAATAAGCCACCACTCAACGCCATCCTCAGCAGTCATGACTTCGAGGATGCCGCGCGGAGCACACTGTCGAAAAAGGCGTGGGCTTATTATTCTAGCGCTGCAACAGATACAATTTCTCATCGAGCCAACCAATCCTTCTTCAATCGCATTTGGTTTCGACCGCGGCTCCTGCGGAATGTTTCTACCGTGAGCACGAGGCGCACTGTGCTGGGAACGTCATGCGAACTACCCGTCATCGTGGCCCCGGTTGCATTGGCCCGTCTGGCGAATTCGATCGGAGAGAAGGGGATTGCGGCGGCAGTCGCAAAGAAAGGAATTCGATATTGTGTACGGAGGACTCGCACACCCCGACATCCTCATCTATTCTCCAAGGACATATTTAACAATCAACTAGATTCCAATCACGGCCTCCTTCCCCGCAGAGGAGATCATTGCCTCGGTCCCCAACTACGAATACTTCTTCCAGCTGTACGTCAATAAGGATCGGTCTGCATCTGAGGATATTCTCCACCGGATCTGGGGTCTGGGTATCCGCACGCTCTTTGTGACCATCGACACCCCAGTTCCCGGGAAGCGCGAGGCCGACGAGAGGGTTGCCGCCGAGGGAGTGATATCCATGCCTATGACGGGCACAAAGTCCAGCCAGGATGCCAAGGGCGGTGGGATCACCCGGACCACGGGATCTTTCCTTGATGACACGCTCAGTTGGAACGACCTTGTCTGGTTGCGCACGCATTGGAAAGGAAAGCTGGTGTTGAAGGGTGTCCAATCGGTCGAGGACGCGCTGATGGCCGCAGAGACGAAAGTAGATGGGATTGTCCTGAGGTGAGCACTTAATATATATTTTTTCTTCAACGTATCATTAACCGGATCTAATCCATTAGCAACCATGGTGGACGGAACCTGGACACCTCCCCTCCAGCATTACTTAATCTCCTCGAACTGCAACACCACGCTCCACACGTTCTGCAGCAGACCGAGGTCCTCATAGATGGCGGGATCCGACGGGGCACGGATATATTGAAAGCCATTTGTCTGGGAGCCAGGGCCGTGCTTATAGGGAGACCGGCAATGTACTCGCTGGCCTACGGACAAGAGGGAGTGGAATACTGGATCGATAGTGAGCTTTGCCTACATCTGGAATCGTTGAGAAGCTAACAGACGTGCAATTAGACATTGCCTCAGAATTACAGGTTGCAATGAAGCTTGTTGGGATTACGGATCTGTCGCAGGCTCGTCAAGGTCTCGTCAATACGCAGGATATCGATCATTTCGTCGTGCGGACATTGGATGAGATTTATGAGAGGCCGCGTGCGAAAATTTAATTATATCCTGTCACGAAGCTTATTGAGGACAGTGACTACCCGGGCCAGCAGAGTCAATAGATTCCAGAGCCATCCTTCTCTAGCAAAGCAGGCGTATTTAACAAGCGGTGAAGAGTCGTGACTGAATGTAGAATGCTGTATATGTACGGTGTATGGTGCATTGTATGTTGGCTTATATTTCTAATAATTCACCAAGGATGTTCCCCCAGAAAGCGTATTAGAGTTACGCGATAGTCTTAAGGCCGTAATGCCCACATTCATCTTTGATAGTTCTTAGAATGATGCGTCGAGGATTGTGGCCTCGAAGGTGCCCACCTACATACGAGTAGATAACAGATAGTTTGATATCTCCTTTGCCTAACATTGTAGTTTACAAGTTGCCTCGAAGAGCCTGCTCGCGCTCAAATGCCTCGAACAAACTCTTGAAGTTGCCCGCTCCAAAACCATCAAAGTTCTCGCGCTGGATGATCTCAAGGAATACAGTCGGCCGGTCCACAACATGCTTTGTGAATATTTGTAGCAAGTAACCGCCTTCGTCGAAATCGATAAGGATGTTGTATTTTTGCAGTGTGTCGATATCCTCGGCCACCTTGACGCCCAGTTGTGCCAGCCTCTTCCGTACATCGACATAATAGCTGTCCGGCACCGAGAGGAAGCTTACACCCCTCTTTGACAGGCTGTCAACCGCTTCGATGATGTTGTTAGTCCGGAAGGCGATGTGTTGGCATCCGGCGCCGTTGTAGTAGTCGACGAATCTGTTTCATACGCTTAACCCTTAGGAATCGACGGGAGGTTCGGGAGAAGCTTACTCTTCAATCTGGGACTTTTTCTTCCCCACCGCGGGCTCGTTCATGGGAATCTTAATCACCTCGTTTGGTGAGGCAATTACCACAGACCGCATGGCCGAGTAATCGGAGCACATATCCTTGTCATCCACACTCCAATAGCGGTGGAAGTTCAGCGCTTTCTCATAGTACTCGACAGCACCATCGAGCCCATCCCATGGCTGATTCCCAACACAATGGTCAATCTCAACGACATCAACGCTTGGAAAGCGTTCCTGCAAGCCATTGGCACCAGCAGGCACAGTCTTGAACCCAGGCAGAAAAGCCCCCGTATACTCAGAGCGGTTGATCAGTGTATGGATCGTATCCCCAAAGGTCCGAATCGCCGCGCACAAAACATCCCCATCCTTCTCATCATCACCACTCCGCAGAACATGCGGAGCCTGCACCGACTCAGCTCCGTTCTGAACCGCATGCTCCCACACGCCCCAAACATCATCCACCTGGAACGCAATGTCCTTGACACCGTCCCCGTGCTTGGTGAGGTGCGCGTGAACCTCCGCGCAGAGTGTGCGGTCCTCGGCTGTCGCGCGCGTGTCCCATGTACTACCGGGGGAGTTGAGCGGCGCCGTGAACATGAACCGTGCGGCTCCGTTGCCTATCACGTACGAGGTGGTCAGGTACGAGCCTGTCTCTGGACCGCTGTACGCGAGGACTTCGAAGCCGAAGTGGTTCACGAAGTATGAGACGCTTTGGCGCGCGTTGCCGACGTACCACCCGATGTAGTCGAAGCCGATGTAGTTGGGGTTTATGCTGCGGATGACCGCGCGGTTGGGTGGGATTTGGCCGGCATCGCCCATTTTGTGTTATTTTATGACTGAGATGAGAAAGTACTGATGAGTTTGCAGAAAGGAGACTCTTGGAGGTGGAAATAGATTGAGGTGGTAGATTGGACGGTCGATAGGGTACTCGCTCTGCCGCTTTTATAGACAACAGGTACGAGGAGATATCAGGCAGCCTTAGAAATGAGTGGCTGGGTCAAAGGACGAATTAGGGTACGGTATACCAACATCAGATGGTGTGTTCCACTTCGTCCCCTCCACATATTTGTCGGAAAAGACAAGACAAATATTGGTGTCCGGGATCCTGTCCGGGATCCTGCTCCGGTGGCAAGCTGACTCACAGAGCATGGCCCTGAGGCTTTCGTACGCGTGGGCCTGGCATAAGACAACGCTAGACGTGAATGTTGGGGCTCTGCAGTTAGGGGTGCTATGTCGGAGGCACCGAAAGTACTGAATATACCAGAACGATCGATAATAATACGGTATACTTGGCTATCGGCCCTTCCAGCCAGCCAGATGGATACAGGGTAAATTACAACTTGAATTTTTGTAATAACGAAGTGCTTTTTTCTAGCCAACAAATCCGATCTCGCTGGATCGGGGTCGGTGAAAGCCGAGAGCAAGGGCTATCTCTATACAGGCATAATCTAGAAGGGGCTCTTGTTCGATGCTTCAAACCATTCGTGAGCAATGGCTCAGGCGATCATCCACATATCTCCCCAAGGCGTGGGCCACGGGACTTCCCCTTATGGTAGTGTTGATGAGATCGTGTCAGCATCAGCATTGAAAGTGAAATAAACAAAAACTGTGCAGAAGGATAATGTGACCTGTATGATTCTATACGAGGAATGCTAAAAAAAAAAAAAGACATAAGTTTCACCTGTGTATTATTCTAATATCAATGTGTACAGTTATTAAGTCGAAATTGTATGTTTATTACTGTCAGTCTTGAAGCAGATCCCAATGAAGTATGCAAATACCTATAAAATACAAGCCTTGTTGTGTTATCCTAATTTTGAGATCTGTAAAGTAGCCTTCTTTAAGTGCTATTTCAGCATGCAGAAAGTTAGGCGCCCTTACCTTTTATTTGTTCTTCTAGTCCTTGTTATGGTCAAAATAAACATTGCCACTCTCTCATGCTACTTCTGATAATCTGAACAACATCAATCATTCAATGAAAAAAGAGAATAAATAAGATAAGACGATAGTTATATATCTACGAAAGAACACAATACTTCACCTGAGGAGACCCTGAGAGCCAATAAAAACACTTCCAGCGGCGGTACAATGACTCTCAAAGATGCTCAAGATTGGTCAGGTAAGATACACTTAGGTTGCAATAGATCTTACTCTGTCCGTTGCACCAGGCTAACTCTATTCTGAGAACAACAGGTTTATTCAGCCCAGAAAGCGCATCGCGTAAGGTAGAATATCCCTGAACCAACGCCAGGAACAACCCTCTGACTACATGGCAGAAATCCGTAATGCAAGCAATGCACGGTATCCTCGCTCAGCCAGGTCAGCCCTCGGATCCGAATGATAAAAAGGGAAGACCATCTGGGACTGACGATATAGGAATGCGATCCCTGGGTCCCGGAGCGCCCTCCACCGAGTACTTCCCGTTCTACGCTATGAGCTTGGAAGTGGGCTCGACGAACGCCTTCGCGACTGTGGGTAAGGAAACCCCTGCCTCAACGACAGCAATCCACGCAGGGAAACATGACAGTTCGTCGGGACTCAGTACCTACGACCTTGCCATTGCGCTGCAATACGGCCAGGGGACTGGTTCGGCACAATTGGTAAAGTTCATGAGTGATCATGTCAAGGTATGTACTTATCGAGAAGAAACCTCGTCACTCACAACACAATCTAACCCCTGCAAGATGGTCCACAGCCCTCCCTACAGGAACTGGAAATGTATTCTTAGCGCAGGTACCACTTCAGCCTTTGAAATCATTCTCAGAATGCTAGCAAAACCCGATGACTACCTATTGGTCGAGAAGTACACATACACAACTGTTTTTGAGACAGGTCTTCCTCTCGGAGTCAAGTTCGCCCAAGTACGCACGGACAAAGATGGTCTCATGCCCAATGATCTGGACGATATCCTCACAAACTGGGACGAAACCGTCCGTGGAAGCAAGAAGCCCTCTCTTCTTTACACCATCCCGACAGGCCAGAACCCTAGTGGAATAACCCAGCCACTTTCTCGAAGACAGGAGATCTACCGCATTGCTCAAAAGCACAACCTATTCATCGTGGAAGATGACCCTTATTATTTTATCCAGCTGGGGTTGTACAAGACGACTAGTCAGGTCACAGAGCCTCCCACATCAGTAGAAGATTACGTCAAGACACTGGTCCCTAGCTACCTCAGCATCGACACCGACGGCCGCGTACTACGCATGGACTCATTTTCAAAGATCATCGCACCAGGTGCTCGCATGGGCTGGGTGACGGCGAGTGAGCAGGTCATTGAGCGAATGGTGCGCGGACATGAGGTATCAGTGCAGAACCCTAGTGGGTTCTCGCAGATTGCGGTATTCAAGCTGCTGCATGATAGCTGGGGCCATTTGGGATTCGTTCAGTGGTTGGCGCATCTACGAGGGGAGTATACCAAGAGGCGGGATGTGCTTTTTGAGGCTTGTGAGCTGTTCTTGCCGAGGGAGATTTGCAGATGGGTTCCGTCTACGGCAGGGTTTTTTGTAAGTTTCATCACGGTCTGTTAAAAATGGGGCTTTTCTAATCAGATCCGGTATTAGGCGTGGATATCCGTTGATTGGACAAAGCATCATAAGGTTGGGTTGATGTCTTCGCTGCAGGTCGAAAAGGAGATACACAGTGCGGCGATTGACGCTGGCACACTTGTTGTTCCCGGGAGCTGGTTCCTTCCTGACGAGGGAAAGAGTGGGATGGACGAGGTGTTCTTTCGGATGACATATGCTGCTGCTTCTACAGACGATATAAGGGAGGCAATTAGGAGGTTTGGGGCTGCTTTACGGAGGGTGTTTCATTTGCAAAGCCAGGGTAAGCTCGGACAGGCTGATTCGGGTCATCAGTTACAGAAACTCTAACACAAAATAGATTCTTGTAGCGCCGTAAAGTCTGTTAGCAATTAGATTGGTTTATTCCCATATAGCAATTGATGAGGAGGATATGCTTTCAATGGATGTTACTTGTTGAAAGCTTGCAGAGCCCCGAGTTTCCTTCATTCAACCTGCCATGGCCATTTTCTCGTGTTTCCTCCTGCTTCCGGAGGAGGAATAGCCAAATGGCCACGTATAAGATATCCAAGATCCAGAGGACTATCAAAAAACCAAAAACCTCACTATTATCATCCTAGGACAGAATTCCGCATTTTGCAAAGACCTTCGCTTGAATACATATATTACTTGTAGTCAACTTGAAATCTACACTGACAAAAAAACACCCTATAGGAGTATGTTCCAAACCCTCCAATTTCCCAACATCACACGGTGCTGATCAAGCTCAGATCGACAAAATCAGATCACCCGAACCTCCTTCTTGATATGCCCGTCTGCTGTCGCCAGAACTTTAGTGATGCTCCCGTTCTTTCGATCCAGCGTCTCACACTCAGGGCGAAGTCGAAACCTCTGCATATCAAGTGGCACCGGAGGCCCCAGCCACGTCGTCATTAGCAGATGATCGCGCAGCTCATCGTCCGTGTTCGGGTGCACCAGGGCACTCAGCGGCCCGCGGTGCACGATAAGCCAGCTCACAAAGGCCCCGAATTGATGTGGAGTGAAAAGCGCCACTTCGAACATCCCGGGGGCATGGGGGCCATTGGGCGCTGTGTGGATGGGGTAGACTCGGAGTTCGGGGACTATTTTACATTGTCAGCTTTTGTTAACTCTCTCGTCGTAATGAGTGTTCAATGCGTACATTCTAGGCGGATGCGCATCCAGAGATCCCTGGCGTAGCGTGTTTGGTAGTCATCATCCTGTTTTCTAGTTAAGATTATCTTCCCTCGGGCTTATTGGGAAATGGGTTGGGTTTAATTACTGTGTTGAAGTAGACATGGACATCGAAACCAGGCAATTGCGTGTCTTGTCTCCCGCCATTGGATATGGGTGTCGTGAAGTTCTCGTAGGCTTCGCTTAGGGTTCCCTTCTCGGGATTGTCGAAACTTTTCCCATCGATTGATTTGGTCCTGTATATTTTCCCGTGTCAGTAATATTGTTCCGTTTGAAAGATGCGTGAATCAGTGGAAGCGTACTCCGGCAGAGGCGCGTGGTGTTCCCAGCCCTTGAGAGGCGAGTCGAACTTGTACTGCGCTAGGTCGAGATTGTAGGGAGAGGCGCTACACATTGTTCGCTCAGATGATTTCATTTCGCGGAACAGATATATTCACAAGACTGAGATGAAAAATGTAAAGTAGGAATTGTAGTAGCTGTATGATGTGGCTTGCAGTTAGTTGAGGCTAATGTATATGCCTGTGTATATGTTAAATACTAACATATTCATTGATTGATATCTCAATTCGATTAAATATTTTTTTCAATTTCTAAGTAATTTGCAATACATTCATAAGTTACACATGTAATAATTCTGTCTTTATAGATACATAGTTCAGTGGGATCTTCGCTTTCATTGCAAAGTACTAGTGCTTACTCTGTACAAATGCTATGTGATGTAGATCGGGTACGAGGCCGAGATCTTTCTGCTGTCTGTGCTCATGTTTGATGCACCATACTGCAGGTGCAAAGGAGGCAATTTCAGGATCACAAATACATTGCAGCATACCGGCCAACTTGCATGGGGATACGCCTTCTACTCACTGTCTCGTTGTTTCTTTTTTCTTTCCCCAGCTCAATGCCAAGCATCAAATTCATATGCATTACATGAAAGCTGAGCACCACTTGATAGCCATTGCCAAAAAAAAAAACCGGTGAAGGGACTCAGCTGGCGTCATCCAAAGATGCATGCATAGCTTACTGGTGCATGCATAGCTTACCAGTACAGATGTAACTTACTAGTACAGGCACAGCTTACTGGTACATGCGTAGCTTACTGGTAATTACGTCTCAGGTTCATTTCCGTCATCGACCGAAGCGAGGTGGTCGACCAGGAACATACATTGGTTACAAGCCCGTGAGGGCCGCGTCTGCACGATCATAAGTAATTTATTGGAAATCCAACTATTGCATGGAGGAATCGTTTGACTAAAAAAAGAGGGAAAGGAAGAGGGCGAGATATGATACGTGATGCAAGCCCTGTCAACCGTGTGTATATGGCTAGTGTTAAATCTACAGGAGGCAGTAACCTGGTACAGCTCGCGGTGTGTACTTAGTACAAGTGTTTCTTCCATGAGCTCAATAAAGCTAATAAAAGACAAAAACACTGCAAAATATAGCGGCGCTAAATATCTCATCATTGACTCTCGCCTCTCACTCTCACCATCATACATACACTTGGAGCAATATTGAGAATCAGAATGCCAGAAAATTACGACATCGTGATCGTCGGTGCCGGTCCCGTCGGACTTATGCTCTCAGCCTGCCTATCCCGGCTAGGAAGCTACAAGATCAAACATATCGACAACCGTGCCGAGCCCACGTCAATAGGCCGCGCAGATGGCATTCAAGCGCGTACATTGGATGTGCTACAAAGTATGGAACTGAAGCGGCCCATCTGGGCCTTCAATCCAGGCCTCATATACGAGGTGGCCTTCTGGGGCGCAACACCGGATGGAAAGGGCATTCAGCGCACAGGTACCTCTAAGAGTTATCCTGATCACGTCGACACAAGGTACCCGTTCACAACTATCCTACATCAGGGTCGCATTGAGGGAATCTTTCTGGATGATCTTCGTTCGCGTGGGGTTGAGGTACAGCGGCCATGGACGATTAAGGCTTATCAGTATCATGGACAGGACTCTGCGTACCCTGTTGACGTGGATCTCGTGAGATTGGATAGCTTTGAGATGGAGAAAGTCAGGACTAAATATCTGTTCGGCGCTGATGGGGCTCGGAGTGCAGTGCGGGAGCTTTTGAAGATCCCCATGATCTATAAGGATCCGACGGTGCACGTGTGGAGTGTTATAGATGGTGTTGTCAAGACAGACTTTCCGGATATGCAGGTACTACCGTCATCTTTATTATATTTCCCTTTACGTCTGTTGCAGTTCTAAATGAGAGTCAGATCAAGTGCACAATTCGCTCTCCTCGCGGCTCCTCTATGGTCATTCCCCAAGGGAACAACCGCGTGAGGGTCTACGTACAGATCACGCCCCAAGAAGGTAAAAGCAATTCGGCGTCTGCATCACAGGCAAGCATTCAGAGCATGGCAAACGAGATCCTGAGCCCTTACCACGTGGAATGGGAAATAGTCGACTGGCACTCGTCGTACCACATCGGACAGGGCATCTCGCAACGATACTCCTATGAAAACCGTATCTTCATTGGAGGAGACGCCTGCCACACCCATAGCGTATGTTTACTTCAAAACATCAATCAACGGAAAGAAATCAATAACGGAAGAAAATGAAGCTGACATAACCCAGCCAAAAGCCGGCCAAGGCATGAACTACGGCCTGTTAGACGCACACAACCTCGCCTGGAAACTGCACCTTGTAGAGTCAGGGCTCATGAAGCCCGAGTTACTGAGCACATACGAGCAAGAACGACGACAAGCCGCAGAGCGATTGATCGAGTTCGATGCCACTTACGCGGGTCTCTTTAGCTCCCATGACCCCTCCAATCAGGCAAATGACGAATTCGTGCGCATCTTCAAACAAAACTCACTTTTGCTTAGCGGATATGGTGTTGAGTACCCCACCAACGCACTTACAGTAACCAGCTCTAACGATTTATTCTTGTCTTCGCTGCACGGCCTCCGACCTGGTCGCAACTTGCCCCCGGCAAACGTCACAAGGGTCATTGATGCTTGCGAGGTGCCTCTAGAGCGTGATATCCCCTTCAACGGCAGTTTCAGGGTGTATATTTTTGCAGGAGACCAGCAGCCAACAGGAAAGGCTCTTATGGACCTGGCTGGGCAACTCACGCGGGGAGACTCGGCTCTTTCTCGGTTCCTGGGTTGCCAGCCCAATTTGTCCTATGACAAAAGACATAACCCTCACTCAGAACTATTTACGTTCTCAATTGTGTTTAATTCCAAGCGGGCCGGGATTGAACTTGCCAGCCTGCCAGAACTATTTGTGCCTTATCGGTACCATGTGTACTCTGATGAATCTCGCAGCAGGAAATCCCATACTGAGGGGCATGGAATGGCGCACGCAAAGATGGGATTTGATTCGCGAGAAGGGGGCGCGATTGTCGTCCGTCCGGATGGGTATGTTGGGTGTATTGTAAAGTTGGTGGAGGGCAAAAAGGTCGCAGAGGCGCTCGATCAATATTTCTCTGGATTTGTGTCAAGAATTCCCATCATAGAGCCGATTCAGAGTATGTTGTAGACAGCGACTAGATTTGGTTAGACTTAGTTTATCATGTCCTAAATGTACAGTCTTTTGAAATGGAAATTTCGAATTGCTGTTATCTTGGCTACTATGACTCGAGTTCCTTGACTGAGACCTTCAGGAACTAACCACAGCCACAAAATAGAGTGTATGTTTCGTTTTGTTTATATATTACAATTATTTACATTTTTAAGCTCCACAATACTGGCGTCCTCGAGATCTCAGAGTTGTTCATACTAGGAGAATGCAGAATTATATCGAAAATTTTGATGACCCTTCCAGGCGGAGAGAAAGAGCAACACACGTAGATGGAGGGCATCGTGAGTTAAGTCAGAGTCAGCTTTGGCTGCGTAATTGTGACTGCCCGATTAATCACGACTAAGCTTGGCTCGGAGCTTCCCTCCAAAGACATAGAAAATATATGGAATCAAAACCATCCCCACGCCAATAAAGGCAAGCAGCCAAGAAGCCCATTGTAGTCCCAATCTGTGATACATCTGAGTGGTGAACAAAGGGAAGGCAGCACCACCCCCTGATCGCAAGAAAACTTTAGCTGCCAAAGCCGACGCTGTGTATTTATGGTATGCGTCAATAATGTAGTTGTTGACGGCATAGTAGCACAGGACCATTCCGAAGCCGAATGCGATCCCAGAAGATGACGGTCCCACCCAGATGATATGCTTGAAGGAAGTGGCACCGAGGAGGAAAAAGGCGATCGGAATGAAAGGGGCCCCTAGGAGTGCAGCAACGAGTCGGTCTTCGGGTGTAGGATCTCGCGAATTGCAGACTTTTTTGAACTGCTTCTCAATCAAAGGGGTGACCAGCAAGGCAAAGCCAGCGCCGATCAAGATTGGGATGAACATTAGACCGATTTGACCGTCGTTGTAATTATACAGGTCCCCGAATATGACCGGATAAGCGAAGAAGAAGGCGTATAGCATGGAGTAAATGAGTACAATATACATGCACATGAGGTCGAGAACCGGCTCGGTCATGATCATAGTAATCGGCCGGATCAAACTCGTTTGAGCAATCTCACGCAGTGTAAGTCGATATTTTTCCTGCTCAGTGATAATGTTGGGATTTCCTGTCTCCTTCCGAAGCTTCGCAGCGCGTCGCTTGAGGATCACTGGGATGTAGGTCTCAGGAATTGAGCCCATGAGGATCAACATGGCGCCGGAAAAAGCCATGTTTACCCAGAAGAAAAGGTCAAGACGCTGGGAGCCGACGTTGATCCAACCAGTGACTATAGGCCCTAAAACAGGGCCACAGTAGGGAGCTGCTGCAAAATAGGCAATGGCCATACCACGATCCTCAATGTCCCAGATATCAGCGATAGTACCACCCGCCAGCGAAAGACCTGAGCTAGAGAAGACACCGCACAGAAAGCGAGAGACCAGTAGACCCCCAATATTTGGTGACAGAGCACAGGGTATATTGAAGATGGTGTAAAGGCCCAACGAAATTATGTAGACCCATTGTCGACCGATGATTTCTGATAAGGGTGACCAGAGTAGCGGCCCGACTGCAAAACCGCAAACCATGATAGAGCAGGTGAGAATAGCAACTTCGAGGGAAACACCATATTTATCTTCAATCAGACCCAGACCACCAGTGACAATGGACGAACCGAAGGCGACACAGACCACGACAGCTGATGCAACCATAGTGATATACCATCGGAACAACCGAGACCAATTATGCGGATGGTCAGGGTCATCTATCTTGAAGGTCACAAAATTGGCTGACTCGCTAGGGACTCCTTCTTCCAGTTCACGTTGACTTGGACATCGTCTCCGCGAGGTTCGGGTTTGGATTTGCTCCAATGCTCGTTCGGGAATGAGCCCAGTCTCAGTCTTGAGAGCATATTCTTCGGGGAAAACGGGATCTGTTTGGCGTCCATAGTCCGTATAGTTGCCTTCAGTTTTTTTGGGAGTCCTGGGAAGTGATTCTCGTGCCGTCTTCCCAGAATCCTGGCTGCGTGGTACCTCAGGGTTATCTTGAGGCTTTTCGGATGTTGATTCGCGCATCTTGAGGGCTAAGTGACTGCGTTAAAGAATCACGTACGGTTTTGAGAAATTGACAGCCAAAGTGAAAAGAAACGAGGTAAGAAGAATTCAACAGAGAAAGAAAAATGGGTTAGTTCTCCCTCCTCTTCTTTCTTATAGTATGCTTGGTGTGATATATTGATTGCCGACAAATTCCCGAGGACGACCGAGAAAAGCCCCCGAGTTGCAATCGTCATGACCTCGTCGAAGAAGCCGTATTTCCCTCATTCTATAATTCGAATAGGGGGCCAGGAAGCAAGCCAATGTATTGCATCGACCTTGTAGCTTTGATACAGGGTATACAATTGCTGGTTATGGGAATAGTTTCTCATAAGTGTGGTCTCCTGCATAATCAATGACACCGGGAAGTTGCCCTGACGGAGAGAATATTTTACAGATTTCGGGCCGATAGCAACATTCGACCATTCGGAATAGGCGATGCCGAAACACTTACACGTTCTCTTTGCAAAATGAATCAGCTATTTTCAGATTGTACGCTCCTTGTCGGGTCCGAGTTACTTCAACGGTAAAATTAAACGATAAGTCCAATATTCTACTCATACTATTAAGAAATGACGGGCTGCAGCCCCTATCAGGCATTCATAGGCCCAAAACACGATTCCGACTTTGGCCAAATGGTAGCCAATAGTTTACGGTATCTGGACTTGAAATGTTGCTGGAGCCCAGGCTCTCGAAACGCAGATCAAGAGAAGCCGGTTCAAATCGTTAAGGGCAGAAAGATATGTCTGGCTCATGGGATTGAATAATGATGTGGCTGGCCTGGATTCGATCTCGATCAGGATTGACAAAACAAGTCTTAATAGGCCAGGGCAGAGTAAGCGGAGCTAAATCTAAATAGGTAAATAGCGATGCCAAGACATCGTGTTGCTGTCAAACGGGACCAAAAATAGCGCTGTGGCTCTTAGTATTGACGCATCGCGATGCACAAGTATGCCTACCGGGCAAAAGCATTCTGTTGGTTTGATCCTCCAAAAACTTGGCGATATTATCGACTACATTAGGAAAAGTGAATAATAGTATGGCTAAACCTATCATGACCATCTGATATCAAGTAATGGGTATATATCTGCCAATCCAACCATCATTTTAATGTCTACATCGGCTCGCTCATAGAAGATGCTTCTCACAAGTCTCCTGCTTCTCACTGGAGCGCGGTCTGTCCTTGCTAAGTGCAAATGTGTATGTCACTGAATGCTCGAATGTTCAATCTACCCTAGATTCTAACTTTATTAAACAGACCCCAATCGACGATTGCTGGCCTTCATCTTCCAAATGGAATGCTCTCAACACCTCCGTTGATGGTCAGCTTATTTATAACCAGCCCATCGCCAAACCCTGTTATCCCGGCCTGGGCTACAATGCCCAGCTCTGCCAGGACATAAGCAAAGAATGGACAGAGTCTCCATTTCAAGAGCTTTCTCCCATTGGATATACCTACCCGCTTGTTAATACCTGTCCCCCGGTCAATGCCTCAGTAGCTGCGTACCCATTGTGCGACTTGGGTAACGCGCCAGTTTACACCATCAACGCGACAAAAGCGAATGATGTGGCGACTGGGGTAAGATTTGCCAAGGAGAATAATGTTCGGCTTGTAATAAAGAACACCGGTCATGACATTGTGGGCAGGTAGGTTCTTTTTCTCCTTGACATATATGGATAAGATAGTTAATGAGGTCTGACAGATCGCAAGGATACGGCAGTTTGATGATCTGGATCAAGTATATACGGGATGGACTTGATTATCAAGAACGGTACACTCCACCTGATGGATTTTGTCAGACTAATTGGACTGGGAGTGCAATAACCGTTGGTGGTGGGTATAAGTGGGAGGAAGTATATGACTTTTCAGCCAAGAATGGGCGTATCGTCGTTGGTGGTGATGATAAAGTACGCCCACGAATGATTTTTGAGTAATAGCAAGCTAATACCATTCTAGACTGTCGGATCCATTGGAGGTTACTTGCAGGGTGGCGGCCACGGCGCAGCAAGTCACACCTTCGGCCTGGCAACAGATCAGGTTCTTGAGTACAAGGTTGTGCTCGCATCAGGTGAGGTCGTTACAGCCAGCGCATGCCAGCATACAGATCTCTTCACTGCTCTCCGTGGAGGCGGTGGTGGAACCTTTGGCGTTGTGGTATCGGCTACGATCAAAGCACATCATACACATCCGGTCCTCTCACACACTCTCCAAGTTGTTCCACGAAATGGCAGCTTAACTCAGTTGTTAAATGTTACAGCAGAAATTATGTCGAGATATCCCATTCTTTCGGATGAAGGGTTTGCAGGGTATGCAATTCTATTGCGTGCCAACGGAAAAGTACTATACGAGCATACTTTCATGAAGATGATCGAGAGCAATTCCTCTACCACCATCGGACGCGCAAAACAAATCATTAACCGGCAAGTTGTCAATAATTTGCTTCGACTAAACATGACCATGTTCTACGTCAAATCAAGATTTCAGCACTTCCCCTCGTTTCAAGAATACTTTCTAGGCAGCGGAGATCACCAAGCACAAGCCGCAAGCACACCTATTATGGCATCGCGCTTCTTCGATAAGAAATCACTTCTCTTCCAACAGAAGAACCTGTCGGACATGCTCCGGACCCTCTTCTCTCAGGAAGGCCCCGGAGTACATGCCACATCATCTGTTCTTGAGCTGTGTCTCGTTGGCGGTGGCCAGGTCCTAGAACACGTGCCTCATACCTCCGTCCACCCAGCGTGGCGGAGAACCTATCTTCTCGCGGAGCAAGTCGACTTCTGGCCTGAGAATGCCGGTTCCCAGGGAATCCAACAGGTCAAAAACGAGGCCACTTTCAAGAAATTGAATGCGATGAAGGCGTTGACTCCTGGCATGGGAACCTACCTAAATGAGGCTGATGGATATGATCCGGAGTGGAAGGAGGACTGGTTCGGTAGCAGGTATGGCTGGCTTAAGTCAGTGAAGCAGAAGTATGACCCAGAAGAAGTGTTCTGGTGCTGGCGGTGCGTTGGAAGTGAGAGCTGGGAAGAGGTGAAGGGTGGAACAATATACGGGCCGTTGTGCAAGAAGAACTAGTCCCGTTAGACTTAGTTGATTTGACATTCATTCTATGCCTTGTCTTATCCTGATTTCTGTCGTTCGCGTATTTTCATTGTAATTAATGATAATGATTTTATTTCACGATGCATGACGTACTAATGTAAACACGGGAAATCAGGGTTAGAATTTATTAGATCTGCGCTTTATCTATTGAATCTTATACCTGCAGTGCTTTTTCAGTTGCAGCTGTTCACAGGACAACGCTACTTGAAAAGCGTGTTGTCGGCGATTAGCTTCGCAATTACTATTACTATTACTATTTTCTTTTATATATATAATCCTAAGTTCCCGTAAAGCTTCAATCATCTAGTGCGAGATATGCTGAGAATTTGGTAGATGTGTGTTACGAAACCTCAGCTTATCAAGAATCTACTCCAACTAATAAGAGGAAGTAGAAACCGCCAGTCCCTGATAGCTTTGCATATTAATCAGTACAAGGAATGATCAAGGCTGAGGCAATGGGGAAGATTGATAGATCATTCGAACACAAACTGAGCAGCTCTCAGTGCCCGGCGAGTCCTGAAGTATAAGATGGCGCTTAACTGTATTAGGAAGTAATTCTGCCAAGACCCTAAGCTCGGCAACACACTTTCTACTGGGATTAGGCTATGCTGCCAACCATGGTTTAAGAAGATAGTCTCCACGTCCGCATCCACGTCAGATCAAGAGGCTGTAACTTCTTATTTTCTAAAAAGGATCAATACGATGCTTTATTGCCTCACTTCTGACGACCTGTATGTATTGTGTAATGTGGCGAGGGCTACCCTCGAAGGACATAAAATACATCGTTCACCCTCACTTTAGATGCTCTTCATTCAGTTTCAACCTGACCTTCAAACAGCCTTCACTCTAATTCATTTTCCTTCTCTCATCTTTGACCGTATTCCGATCTAATTCCCAACATGTCAAATTACGGTGGTGAATACAATGGCCAGCATGCCCAGGGTTCCTATCCACCTCCTCGAGCCCACTCTCAAGACCCATACCTCTACGGCCCTACATACGGACCAGGAGTACCTAAGGCTCAAGACCATCAAGCGTTACCATACCACTTCCACCAGAGCCAGGGTTATGGCGAGAATTACTCCTACTACAATGACGCCCCACCCCCGGGTGCAGAGGGCGCTGCTCCTGGTGCCGAGGCACCAGATGGTGAGAAGGGTCTCGGATCAACCGTTGCAGGCAGTGCGGCTGGGGGATATGCAGCCCATAAAATGGGTGGTGGAAAGCTGGCTACCACAGGAGGTGCAGTCCTTGGGGCTGTAGGTATGAACATGGTTAGCCACAAGCTGTAAGCTTTGTTGTCCATTGTGTGATATCGAGAAGAAGGCTAAAACTGTACAAGGAAACAGAACAACAGCCAGCAACCTGCCCAGACTGTTACAGCCATCCCCGTCGCGGCAGCCCCCGTTTTCGGCGCTACTACCGTTTTGACGAACGACGGTCTCGGTGGACGCCTGGGTCTGGGATCGGATTTGGGTGTAGGTGGCGGTCTTGGTCTCGGTCGATCTCGTCGGAGGATTGCCCGTAGGCGACTTGACTTTTAATAAAATGCTATTCTACCTTTAGATAATTGAATTGAGTAATGCGTGGTCGTGCAATCATAGAGAAGGCTGCATAAGTAATTATTTATTTTTCGTGATTTGTCGGTGTTTGCGCGGGAATTTTCTATTCCCTTCCTTGATGGACTTCTTAGTTTAGTGATCTGATTCCGTTCCTGATTATGCTCATAATCTTAGTGATTTACATTATCTGGCCCGCAATCCTCGAGGCCAATTTGGCGTGACATCACTGTGCATAGTTATACGAGGCTTAGCCCCCACGCGAGCCGCCAGTGCTATATTCCCCTCTCCTACATTGAGTAGTCTGCATTTTTCCAACAAACCAATTTTTTCTTGCATTAGACGCAGAGTCGCGTCGCTGCTAGATGGAGCCGGATCGGAAGCGCCACTGCTGGGAATGCCTCCGACGCAGCTTAGTCTGTGACTTTACGCATCCTGCATGTGAACGGTGCATTGCTTCCGGAATTGCCTGTCCTGGGTACAAAGAGACACAACCTCTAAGGCTGAAGTGGCTCCAGCCTGGGAAGGTCGAGTCTCGAAAAGCGAGGCGCACAAGGAAACTCGATGAAAAGGCTATAACAACGACAGAGAAAACAACAATAAGTTTTGCGAAACCCCATTACGAATTAAAAACGGACGTTCATACGCTCTTCCAAGCCTCGGAATACTGTAAGTAGAAGGCTACAAGAATATTGCCATGGACATACTAACAAGCCAATGCTTCATGACAGTCAATGCCCGCATATTTCCCGGTATACTCCCTATCTTGGAGCTTGGCTCAAATTGTGGGGTCTACCAGATCTCGCCTCGAATGTTTCAGAATGGAATGACACGACCCGATTATGTCCGACTTGGTCTAGTCTGTGCATCCATAAGCCATCGGATGAATCAGACAAGAGACGAACCTCAGTCAAAATCGCTGGCCATGACCTTTTTTCACTACCGTGGCCTTATCATTCGGTCTCTCAACGATGATATTGGCATAGATCATAAGCGAATGAGCAATCTTGTTGTTGCAGGAATTTTAACGCTTATAATCGTTGATGTATGTTGATTCTACTGAAAGGAAAGAGCGGTTGTGCTAAAAGATGCTTTAATATACAAGTCCCAGCAAGGTGCATCCTCGTTCTGGCGATACCACCTCCAGGGAGCCTGGAAGATAATTGCTCTGCGCGGTGGCATGTGTTCATTTGCTAAATCGACCGGCGCAATACCTTTGCTTCTTCTTTTAGCACGGTGGGTCACCATGAACACAGCCAGAAAGAAGCGCAGAGGCTGATGATTAGATAGAATCGCGGTGATGGGGAATACATCATCTCCTGCATCAGACCTAGCTTTGACCCCTGTGCATCTTGAGGAACTTGGTTTTGTGATCGAACAATATGGCAATAGGCTTTTCGCCTTTCAGGGACTCCCAACCCCTCTTTTCTCCGAGATCATTAAAATCAATTACGTCCGCATGCGCGCCGCGAAATCTATGTCCGTGGTGACAGATGACCTCATCTATGAGGCATACGAAATCCTGCATCGTATTGAGAGTTTTTCCCCAGAGCAATGGACTGAGTCCAAGCCATCATCAAAAAGTGAAGAGTGGCTGCTTCTAGGAAAGGTGCATCGGGCCGCTGTAGCTCTGTTCTGCATCCACTCACTGCAGAGCGTATCGGTGCTATCTCATATTCCGCTTCATAGAGAGATCTGTGGTGCGCACGGCTGGAATTTATACATTTTACTTAAGCAAGCAGTGTCATCACCATCGACAAAGCGATTCATGCTTTGGCCGCTGGTCGTCCTCGGTGTGGAGGCTGTGAACGGGGCTGTAGCCCTGCGTTCTTTCGTCCAATGGCAACTGCCAGAGCTGTGCAGAGACACTGGCATGCTTGCACCATTGATAGCGAGAGATATTCTCGAGAAGTTCTGGAACTCGGGAGAGACGGATTGGGATTCTTGCTTTGATAGACCATATGCGTTCATGATGGAGCCTGCTGTGGAGGTTAGTAAACTGTCATAGCGATGATTGGAGGTTGATATGGTCCTGCTTTATTCTTTTTTATGTATTTAAATATGTTGCGTGGACTTTCAGAGAAGCCAAGGTGGTACTAAAACGCTGTCAGCCCTAATCTCTGAGGGTTTTTGGTAAATTTACTCCTGTTTGATATTTCTAACCACCCACTTTTATTTTAAACTTAGTGCTTCCTTCTAGAGCATGGCATCACTGACGCGTGATGTGGTGGTTCGGAAACCCCATCAGCTTTGCCATCACTGAATTGCGTTAAATATTAGCTTGTAAATTAACCTTTACTCCATATAAAAAGATTATTTTCTTACCCAGTCATGATAATACGGCTGCCAACTATGAGAATCCTAATGTCATTGGGCTGTATCAAAAGTACGGAATAGGCGGACTCGAGTCAAGCTGGGGCTGTGCGAGTTGGTTTAACATACTCTTGTCATATTTACTCACCGTGTCTTATCATATTTGTCTTCCATATCTAGTAAGATGTTCAATCCTTTCGGTGACTTTTGACATATATAGTGTCTTGTCTTTGGCTTCCAGTTTGAGCTTGTAAATAACAATTCCAAAATTGCAAGATTCATCTTTTTCAAGTCCAAAGACCTCGGAAGGTTCAATATACCTGGTAAGCACCAACCCCTGATTTCAGTCTTTAAATGGGAGAGTAACTTAGTGAAGTAGTCCACGCTGCTCAGAATCCCACATTGCATCTACCGCCGGACTGAACAACCCTTCCTCTGGAAACCAAGTCATTACTCTGACGAAGCATCATGTGTCTCTCTCTTGGATTGTTCTTCAGCCATAAGAGGAAGAGTCAGAGGCCAGATGCTGGAAATAATCTAAGACCTCGCTCATCTCAGCCTCATCCGAAACACCACTCGACCCCGTCTTCCTACCCAAATTCAGCTACACAGCCTTCACGATAGAAGCACGGACATATTGACAAATACCCCTCTAGTTGCTTGGGCAGTCTTTGTGTCGTTCTATGAAGAATCGGTCTCTCATACTGCTGTTGCTGTGTCTTTGCTGTCTATGTCGGAAAGCGGATGTTTCTTGTCTTTCTTTAAGCTCTGTATGCACCTGAGAAGTTTCTATCGCCTTGCGCTATCAATAATCTGGTTTTCTATATGTCATTTTATGACGGCCCATAAGAGTTTTCTATAATCATTTTGATTTGTCCAAATTATGCCCCGCGGCTCATCATCACTATGTGAGGGTTTAGCCTCTTGGCGACGTTATTTTCCTCTTTAGGCAAAGCGCAAGCAAAGTGTTCAGGCCATGCACGGTGGCATAAGACGAAAAGGCTTAGCCCCATAAGTGTCTTGGCAACTGTATTTACTTGACCAGGAAAAGCTACCTATGGACCATACGAAGCTCATGACTATTTTTGGTACCATCCGGGGCCCAACCGTGGCGGGCTTATACAACGCATTGGTCCCATGTGTACACATATATGGCCCGAGTATCGACCAGCTATCGCGAGTCAGCAATCCATCATAATTCACATACTACATTCCTTGCTGCAATCCAAAGTCGTCCGAAATGCCTCTCCTCGTAAAAGTCCTTAGAACGGGCCTTGGGTTGACATCGGAAGCCATCCATGCCGCCCGCGATCGGCCGTCATCATCCAACCAGCCATCTTCCACGTCGCCAGCCCCCTGTACAACAAATGCTTCCGATACTGCAGAAAATGCTGGCCAGGCTACCGTTGAAGGCCTCGCGCAGACCGAGCATTTTATCGGTCGTAACGTTGGTGACCAGCGGAGCAATGCGCACCAATCCGCGAGAGACCCCCTAGACTATCTGGAAGGCTACGACCAGGATGAGGCTATCTGGCAGCTCGACGATGTGGTCGAATCTGTAAGACCACGGACGCAAACGCACGGTGAGACGATAGCGGCTGCGATGGCCGAGGAGACTCCGGATACACCAGCTCCCGAACCAGACGAAGCAGAGGAGAAGAAGATAAAGCAGAGGGAAGCGTTGGCTCGCGAGCTTGTCGCCATGGCGGGACCAGTTCCTGATTTAGCACAGCGTCTTCCTTGTCCCGTCATCGTTCCTCAACGCCGGCCTAGAAATAAGGACCGCGGATTTGTGCGTGCGTACGCACCTGTATTGGACGATTGTGGTATCAGCCAGGATGTGTTTCTGCAGTTTTTGGAATACTTGGATGCAGTGAATCATGTTGGTTTGCCCGCTTTCCGATGGCTAATCATATTGACTCTGACTAAATGTAGGCCTCTGCGTGGATCGATGTAATTTTCATCGCCGCCCAAATCGCAGGTTCTATTCCATCCCCCGCGGCCATGATTGTTGGTACAATAGTTGCGATAGTTGCCGGAGCGGCTCGCGAATTACAAAAGCGTACTCGTGCGAATACGTTTCTCGAGATGGCCAATCGTGATTTGTTCATGCCGCGTGGCCTGTTTGCCGTAGTGATGGCGTTCAAGCCCGACATTCCCAGTTCACAACAAGGACTATTGGGTAACGTGGCTGGCTCCGTCAAGAAGACTCTCTCCAAGAAGGAGAAACTCGATATCAACCAGACAGTTGAGAAGTGGAGCAATGCTGATCCAAACAAGTCAAAGTTCAAAAAGGGTTTGGATAATATTAGGATCCAGAGTGGTGAGACAAACTCGGAGCTGGAACTGCCAGAGACTGCAAGCCTGATCTATCCCGATCTAGATCAGATCGCAGCGCAAGCTTCGCAAGATGAGGGAGTCATGAACAAATTCAAAGGGGCTGGAAATTGGGTCAATGACTATATGGATAGAAGAGCAGTGGTTTTCTATGTGTGTCAAATTCATATCCCCCATCATGACACTGCTTGCTTACAAAGACCAAGGAAGCGAAACATCCAGGAACCCCTTTAGTTCTGCCCGCTGAGCAACGTAAACCTATGAAATCACGATTCAATGACCCCAACCACCCAGCAAACAGCGGATCAATAATCTCTTTAGTTACCGGCGGCCATGTCCCTGTTCCAGGGTTAAATAAATTACATGGAAAGAGGAATGAAGCATTGGGCATTAACCGCCTTCTCAGACGGCCTGAAGATTCCTCACGAGACGGTCGACTGGTCTCTGGCACAGGAAGGCAGTTTGTTAAGAAAAAGTTGCAGAAAGATGTGCTATATCTTATGATAGTCAATCTACCTACGGAGGAGGAGAAGAAGGAGGCCAGAGAGCTGGATGCTCGGCTTGGAGACATGATGGAACTGTCGGAGGCCGGTGTTCTTTAATACGGTGCTATAATTGACTGGGCTTGGGATGTTAGCTTTGGATAGATTATCTGACAGGCTGCACAACACAACACATTCTATTAATTAAGAGAAGTTTCCTAGCTTGCCAAAACACCTGACGGCCCTGGCACAAATTCGCTAACTGGCCACCGCGACCATATCAAAGTATTAAATCCGAAACTGAATAGTCTGAATTTACCGATCAAATACCTTCCCTGGGTTCCTGTTAAAAACATCTATGTCAGTATTTATCATGCATAAGGACACGAAGAAAAGTCATGAATTGCAATCATACATAATCCAGTGGGGGTCAAAGGCTCCCTTGAAATTTTCTATACGTTATTCCCAGAATTAGCAAGTTCTTCAAGACACTGAAAGTTCACCCAAAAGAGTTTCTCGATTTTATGCAGGCTCTGGAAAAAAAGCATACCATGAATAATATAGTCCGGTCGCCTAATTCCTGTCGGAGTGCTTCCTTTTTACCAAACCCAATGCCGTGCTCACCTGTACAAGTGCCTTCCATTTCTATGGCACGCTTAACCATGCTATTTACAGCTATTTTGACCTTTCCAAACTCCTCTTGATTCGTATTGTCGTATGTGATGTTCTCATGGAAGTTACCATCACCCAGGTGGCCTTTTACACAGGCGTTTAGACCCAGAGATGCTGCTTTTTCTTTACTTGCCACAATAACGTCGGCTAGGCAGCTTAGTGGGACTGCGACATCAGTGTTCCCTGATGGTTAATAGGCTTCAGCAGGGCAATTCGACAATTTTCAATAGATATAGGGATGTTCAACGTACACAATTCTTCGCCCTCTTTGCGAAGCGCGAGAAGCGAGTATAGGGACTCCTTCCGCGCCGACCACAAAAGCTCCTGCTCGCGCTCATCGCGGGCAAATTCAAAGCCGTTCGAGCCATAAGCACCAGTAACACGTTTGACCTTTTCAATAGTCTCATTCAACATACCCTTGAACCCAGAAAACTTCATAAAAAGAGTCGGCTTTTCTTTCCATACACGTGGGCGAGTCACACCCCCATCGTTCAAGATGCGTATCTGAGCTTCATCCATAAGCTCGAGGGCTGCAACGGGGATCCCTTTCTGGATAACCTTGGTGGCTGCTAGGACGGCATCGTGTTTTGTTTCGAAAGGGACAACAGCGACAGATTAGCGTTCTGGAAGAACCGCCAGCTTCAGTGTGGCTTCGATCACAATTCCAAGCGTACCCTCAGAGCCTACGAAGAGCCAGTTGAGGTTGTATCCGGCGCTACACTTGCGAGGTCGTTGACGAGTCTTTATAACACTGCCATCAGCTAGGGCCACGGTTAGATTGATGACCCAGTCGCGCATTGTACCGTAGTGCACTGCGTTGGTGCCCGAGCAATTTGTGCTGATCATTCCCCCGATCTTTGCGCTGGGAGCTTTTTAGGATAGGTTAGGGTTAATAAAAAAGCAGAGCCATCGCAATAAAATCACACCTTGTACTAACCGGGATCCATGGGAAAGAACAAGTCTCTGCCCGTTTGTTTCAACTTTCGATTCAAATCTACCCATTGGACACTGGGTTGCACCACTACATCCATATCATTCTCATTAATCTTGATGATCTGGTCCATGTAGACAAAATCTATGCTCACGCCACCGAAAGGTGCATCAGTATGGCCCTCCAGGCTGCTGCCACCACTGTACGGAATTATGGGGACTTTCCATCTGTGGCAGATGCGGGCGATTGTGCTGACCTGCTCCGTATTCCGCGGGTATGCGACGGCGATGGGCAAGGTATCGAGTTTGACAGATGACCATTCTGAGAACCCGTGCACCTTGAGGTCTTCATCATCAGTTGAGATAATGTCTTCGGTATCATGGAGTGCGTGTTCTATTTCGGCTATGGCCTGTTGAATGGGATATTGTCAGGATTTTGCGCATGTGGTATGGACAAGTGGCCAGGTTGAATTGACCTTTTTCATGTCTTCCAACGTCGCGTATTTGACCGTGGGTATTCGCTCAGAATCCAGAATAGCAACGATACTCTCTGGTGTTCTCGCATTACCGCTCGGTATTCTCGATATACCATAGCCAGCCAGGCCAGCGACTGTAGCAACCACCAGACTCAAAGTGCGCCTGTCAATACCTGTCACTGAAGTGAGTGACCTTGAAATCTCATGTGCTCTCCTTGGGTTGGTACAGTTGTAGAAACGACGCCACATCGGACCGCGGGAAACCGATGTCCAGCGTGGCCGAGTAGCAACCCCTCTGAGGTTACCCAACCGACGAATCTTGTCTGCCATTTGTCTCAGGAAATTCTTTTATGGGTGCTCGGATGGTTATGTCAAAGGCTTGAGACGTGTCTTATGAGATCCTAAGGGGGGGGGTTGAAAGTACAAAGGAGCTAGGGAAAGGTGGGTCTCTGCTCGGTTGAGACACCTCGACTGAGGGCAAGTGTCAGCGAGGAGATATCTACCCATTGTTCCTCTAAGGTGTTGATTTCTTTCTTTCTTTTTTTTTTTTTTTTTTTTTTTTTTTTTTTTTTTGACGTGATAAGGAGGGTCGTGACTCAGTGGACTAGAGGCCCGTTACGATGAGGCTCGGATTGAAAGACTACCTGGTCAGATAACATTAACTACATCAGCGATAATTGTAGATCTCATGTTAACATGAGACAGTCGCCTCTTTTTTCCACAACGCTTCGCCAACCAGTATCCACCTGCCGGTTCATTGTCGGCCCTTGTTTCCAGACCTCGTGCACGACTTGTATGCCAGTCCTCACAGCTTCAACCCCATATACTTCCACTCTCCCATACCACTGTCGAAAGCGTTCTTGGAGTCTAGGCTCAAAGGCTTCCGTGGCACCCATGAATGCTGGCCAGAAGAGCGGAGCAGCAAGGATTTTGGTCTCTGCCTTGAGCTGCTCGATGGCTTCGATGCTGTCCAGAACTGCCTGGACATATTGTCGAAGGTAGCGATGGCTTATTAACATTACACTCTGAGAAAAATATATGATAAGGGCATTGAGAAAGGCTCGTGTCTGGTGGTAGATGATGGTGGCACTGACGCTGTCCTTAGATTCTTCGTAACGCCGGAAACGTTCGTCAAGTGGCCAATCCATGATCTTTTGTTCAAGCTCGTCACACAATTGACTCAAGGATGCGGGAATGGACGAGCTCTCAGCATTCGTGCGACAGCTATTCACATCATCTATGACTTCGATCGATTCCTTCAAGAGAAGCAGAAGACTCTGGGGTATACCGTAAATGCATTCGTAGGCAGAAACCTCCGATCCTGGGCCCTGGCTCACCATAACACCAGCTTCCATGGGCATTATGGATGAGGGTGTCTCGTCGTCTTGAATAAAGAGGTGCTGCATGGGGGATGCTGGCCGGGGACCGAACGTTCTTTGTGAGCCCAACGATGGCGAAAACCGAGAGGCCCCGCTTCTGGGTCTCCTTCTAGATGTGCTTTCATATATCACGCGCAAATAAAGATATATGCGATGGAGGGACTGAGCTTTTCGAGAAAAACTGGATTTTCGAGCATTCATATAGCTGATAAGCTTCTCGGCACCGTCCAGATGAACGCCGCACGTACTGGTGTCCCCTGACATAACCTGAAAGGAGAAGATTAGCAAGGGCTGAAATATCACCTTCGCAGGATGGGAGCAAATGACTTGCATTAATTGTGACCATAGAAAGCATCGTGGCAAGAAACTCCTTATACTTGATTTTTTCATCAGCATAGAGGTCGGTCTCCACTGCGCACTTAAGGAGTCCGATGGCGTCGCAGCGATATCGCGAGGCGATCGTGCCCCAATTTGCAGCCTCGTCATTACGCTTGTGATCTCGACCCTCGTTAGAGAGGTAAAAAGCACTGATGGAAAGTAGAGAGTTCCGTAGCGCATCGCGAATCCGCGTCGTAGGTCCCCCAAAACTCAGCTCTCCACTACATTGCAGGACTCGGGGCAGGTGGATTGTTTTCCAAGGGCTCTTCGCATTGTCAATTACACAAAACAAATTCACCACCCGTTCTTTGTAGTGCCACATCAAGAACCGTTCCTGGAAGGGGACTATCATGTTGTCCGGTGATTTGGTTATAGTCGCAAAGTCCAGCCTCTTGTTCATTGGATCACTGTCGTGGGGGAATACTCCCTCAGAGTCGAGAGATTGGCCATGTACAGCGTTGCCGAAACTGCTTGGCAGACTGGAAATGATCTCCGGAAGTACCGAGATGGCCGACGCAGTCGAATCTGGTTGAGGTGGAAAGTTTAAGGGCAATTGTTGCCCATGATGGTCACTCAGTTTGCATGCGGCCTCTAGTTCAAAGAAAGCATTTGAAGGCTCGGAACCTAGAAAGACCGACTCGGAATCGATAATAAAGTCAGACCCGCAATCCGATTGGCAGGCTTGGGCCGTGGAAGGACGTATGACATCGAGTTCATCAACGCGGGCCGGAGAGGAGCCCTCTTCAAGGCTAAAAACCCCGAAATTCTCGATATTGGCGCTGAGACCTTGACTGCGCGAGTTTGCCAGAAACTCCAGCGAATCGAGGTAACGCAAGATACTATCAATTTGATGCCAATCCAAAACCGACTCAAGAGGCTCTAATGTTGACGCGTCAATGAAATGCGCCGGAGATCGAATTACAATGCAGGAGAGGACAGTGGAAAATTTGACTACGCATTACTCACCAGTAGGCATGAGACGTCTGAGAGATTTACTCATTGAAGACCCAGACGGGTCTTCGGAGTGGAGTGCTCGCTTGCCTGTAACTGGAGCGAGCCACTGCAGACGGGCAGTGTATCCTTCGCAGACGAGACCCTTTTCATGGCACTGGCGGCAGCAAGGCTTAGCCTCGTCGCACTTTATTTTTCGAGTGCGGCAAGTCCAGCATCCAGTGAACGTTTTCGTACGTTTCCGAGGCCGAGTTGGGGGGAACATCTGATCGGAGCCACTTCCCGCCTGTGCATACGATGGTGATGAGATAGGGAAATGATGAAACCGCCTCTAGAAAAATGCCAGGCTGTATGAAGGGGGACCAAACCCAGCGGAAAGTGACAACGTGAATGTAGAACTAATAAAATATGCGGAGGAATTTCACACCGCGGGGAAGGTAAACTGTCAGTTCCGTGGCAGTCCAGCAGTCATAGCCGAGTGATGCAGCCAAACACAACCGTTCTCATATGGAGTAGAGCGGCCCGAAAATAATTTGCATTGATGGCTACTGCCTTTTCTTTGACCCCAGACTATCAACGACGCAGTCTGGGGTAGTCGTGGGCGCCGGGAAGCGGGAATCTCACGGCGTCGGCGTGGCTTTCCTCTACAACGCATCGAGAGCAAGTCTTTACCAGCACCGACACCCAGCATAGCGCCCCGTCAGCCAAGGATGGCCTCAGCCAGTTTGATATCACGTTGCATGACTTACGATGGATGCACTTTTATAAACTCGAGTCCATGTTGATTTCCTCGACACGAATTTTGTCCCAGTTATAATCAAGCCAGACCACGGAGATATCGTTAATTAAACTTGCTTCTCTCTCGCAAACTCTGCTTTTTAGAAAGGAAATCCAATATGATCACCACCACCAACACCATTCAGCCGGTTGAGGAGTCTGGTCACTCCATCTCACCCATCGCCGAACTCCCCAAGCAGACCACTGGCGCTCACGCTGCACTCGCAACCGGTGGCTACGGGTTCCCCGGCATTCCTAATATTGAAGACCCCTATAAGAAGCGCCAATGGCAGCTAGAGCATATGGCCGGTGCGTTCCGGGTCTTTGCGCGCAGGGGCTTCACAGAGGGCACCAGTGGACACATCAGCGTGCGCGATCCCGTAGAATCCTCGACCTTTTGGATCAACCCGTAAGATCTGGCCTTCTCTGCAACATTTTCACGAAAAATCTGACCACTAACAAATTGCTCCAGCATGGGAAAGCACTTCGGCATGCTTAAGGCCAGTGACATGGTGCAGATCGATGAGAATGGCCAGGTGATCGGCGGCAACAAAACCGCTACCAATGCCGCCGGTTTTATGATTCACAGCGCTATCCACCGGGCACGACCGGATATTCACGCTGCGTGCCATACTCATTCCCCTGCCGGGAAGGCTTGGTCTACGTTCGGGCGACCCCTCGACATCATTAACCAAGATACCTGTAACTTCTGGGGCTCCCAGGCCGTATACAAGGCCTTTGGCGGCGTAGTACTGGGCGCCGAGGAGGGCAAGCACATTGCTAAAGCCCTAGGAGAGAAGGGCCGGGTCATGGTGCTCCAAAACCATGGACTCTTGACTACAGGTAGCACTGTCGACGAGGCCGCTTACTTATTCAGTCTGATGGAGCGCTCCTGCGAGGTTCAGATCATGGTGGAGAGCACCGGTCTCCCCAAGAACATGGTCGAAGAGCAGGTAGCCAAATCCACCGCCAAGGTAAACGCTGATCCGGTAAGTTGCGAGCTTCAAAAATCAAAAGAGAGTTCCATCATAATTTTTTAGGAAGGATGCTAAACATCTTCATGTAGGAAACTCTCTACACGGAATTCCAGCCGGACTTTGAATATGAAATCTGGAAGTCGAACAATGAACTTTGCAAGGGCGATTAAACTGGTATAACACTAAATATATTTCTTTCACGGGGCCAGGGCTCGTTGGTTGTATTGTTTAATCATTTGGTAATCGAACCCTGGACTCTTTCAGGCATTATTCCTCGAGAATCCTCAAAGCGTGGGCATTCTTTATTCTACAAGATCCGCTATAACTATCTACTATTATTAAATAGATATGATAGTCAGTGCCTGTTATGGTTGGAGTAACCATCCTTCCAATATGATATTCTCTTGTGGATTGTTACAGATAGTCCGAAAAAATTCAATGTCACGAACCGATGGTTCCAAATGAGCTCTCAGTTCCTGTTCCGTCAAGCAATTTTAACTAGTCACGTCCCTGTAAATTGCAAATCAAACTTCTAAATGCATGCAATTTACCGTACTCTTTGCCTTCTTGAACCCGCGTTCCCATTGATCGATAAGTTCTAATTAAGGCACTTCAGCCGAACGAAGAACTAAGGATAGGTGATACCAATTGCATTGCATGATGCTATAAGCTATGGATTTGAGCGCCAAGTCTATGGCAAGGCAACTTTAGATCTCACGCAACCATAGTCGAGCTGATCCATCGATACGGATTTTCAACAGTGAATCTAGATTCCCACAGGCTCTTTCTCTCCTTGACTTTAAGCTGCAATCTCTTGAACACACCGTACACAGTGCGAAGTATGGGCATAGGGACACCTTTGAATTCTCCATGATGCAGTAACTAACCCACAATATCCTCCATCTCAATCTCTTGGAACATGGATGGTTTGGATTCAGTATAAATAGGTTTACCACAAAACACAGCCTCGAGGAGGTCATCAGGGAAATCAGTTATCCCGTCGGCACGTGCGCAAGATCATGGCGACTAAGCTGTACGATGCGTTGTAGAGGAGCTTGCGTCAGCGAGTGCGACGGACACTGGTATCTAAGCTTACCTCGAGGTCGCCGTGAGAGTTGTATATGTTGATATAGCCCCCGGCTGCTTTTCGGCGAGTCGAGCTGGAGCTCCGGGGCTGTCAAAAGGGATGATTATCTGGACGTCCGGATGATCGTGCAAGATATCACCGTGCGATCTCTCTGTGGCGCCGATGAAGATGCTAGCGGTAGGGTTCTTAATGGCAGACAAAGCTTTCTAAACATTACAAAATACTTCTATGATGCAGCCTCCGGGCCACCTAAGCCTAGGTATTATGATAGTATGCTTTAGTTATCATTGAGCACGAAAGCCGTGGCCAATCATAGTGAGGCTTTTGCACGGTTATCCACTTTTCTAGGGTAGGAATCTGACTGCGGAGGCACACGATTGGCTCCGCGCGCAATTCAATCGCTCTCGATCTATTGGATGTCAGAAGTTGGCGGAACCAATGTGCATTGGGCTTGGGAATCTACTTTAAACGATATCTACTATGTCCGGTAACTGCTACGGTAGAATGGAGGGGGGAATCTCAGCGGTGTGCTCCATGTCTTGCCACCAACACGATCCCGCGCTTCGAGGACAATACAAGATAGAACCACACGTAGAACATCATGAGCGGCTGAAAGACCAGCAAGGCCAGCACCGATGACTATGACGTCTCTGGTTTCGTTCACTGAGGGGAGAGAAGGAGGAAGAGAAGGCTCTGTTAAGGCGACAACGGCATCGATCTCGAATAGCCATAATGGGACAGCAAGTTCGGTAACTGGAACCAGGGTAATCGCTGGCCAGTATCCGTTGAGGAAGCGCTATATATGGCGAGTATACTTGCGATTGGCCACGTCGTGGCCGACAATGAAAAGGTTGAGCTTGAGAATATGCTCAGTGGAAGATCCAGCAGCGATAATTATCTTTCGTAGATTCAACAGAGCCAGGTGAATCTGCGACTCGTAGTCGTCCGGTACAACACCGCTCTTTGTGCCCCCTGGCTGACCAGCAACATGGATTAGCTTGCTAGTGGGTGAAACTGCTGCGGGTGCATAGTAGCCACTGATGGTGTTGGCAAGACCCACCGTCTCTATGATCTTCGGCATATTAAAAAGAGGGCCGTTTGTTGGAAAGGTACCGGTGGAAAAGGATAAATGCATTAAAAATCAGTAGCTGATGGGTTCTATGTAGTGAAAAAAGGAATGAGTCGACGATGAGTACATGAATGAGGTGTAATTATATATATAAAGTATAATATGACCTTACCGATGTATGTCCAACGTTATCCCGTAGATGAATTCCATGAATCAAAGCACTGGAGCGCCAGGGATGGTGCAAAAACAAAGTGATGCTTGGGGGAGACTTTCTCCGTCGCTTTCCCCAAGCTGTCACATACCGTTTCCGAAAATCGATGGACCTTGGACTGAATACCGAGCGGGTCGAGCATCGCTAGATATGGCCATGGTTCAAGAGCTATTATATAAAATCGGCATTGTACAAATAATGGGAGGCTTGGATTTCATATTTATTGTAAACCTCACACTGTCCGTTAGAATTTATTCAGATTAAACAATGGCTGCTACGAACATCCGCTTAAAGGAACCCTCCTTGCTGGTCGGCCAAAATTACATCGCCGGCGAATGAATTCATGCTGCATCTGGTAAGCGATTCAATGTCACAGGTGAGTAGACAGTTATCAATGGCTTCTGTATTTCTATGGTTGTCTTGAGCATCCATTGCTGACTGTTCTGTTCTTGATTTCAGACCCGGCAAACGGAGACATTATCGGATCTTGTCCTGCATCTGACTCCAAGGACACACAAAAGGCCATTGATACTGCGGCCGCTGCACTTCCTGCATGGCGTTTCCGCACTGGTCGTAACCGTGGTCGGCTTCTGCGTCGATGGTATGAGTTGATCATGGAGAACCAACAGGATCTGGCCACGCTCATCACTTTGGAAAACGGCAAGGCCAAAGCAGATGCCGCTGGTGAGATTCTCTTTGCCACCAGCTTCCTTGAATGGTTCTCGGAAGAGGCTGCACGGGTCTATGGCGATGGCGATGCCATTCCACATAGCCAGCCTAATTTCAGGGTTTCCGTTTTGAAAGAGTCCGTCGACGTATGCGGCCTCATCACACCGTCAGTAACCTTCATCCTCGCTTACTAGATTTCAAACTATTATAAATGGCTGACGTTATTTTACACTACAGATGGAACTTTCCTGCTGCCATGATCACTAGGAAACTTGGTCCCGCATTAGCGGCTGGTTGTACAGTAGTCGTCAAGACCGCAGGTGAAACATCTTTTACTGCTAATGCCTTGATCAAACTCAGTGAGCGGCCAGGAATACCTGCCGGTGTTATTAATAGCGTAAATGCGCTGGAGAACACTGCCGATATCGGACAGGCGTTGTGCTCGTCTGAAACTGTTCGCAAATTCTCCTTCACTGGTTTCACTCGAATCGGGAAGCTTCTCATGCAACAATCGAGCAACTCATTCAAGAAACTGGGCCTGGAGCTTGGTGGTAATGCTCCATTCATTGTATTCCAGGATGCCGATCTCGATCTGGCCGTGGACGCCGCAATTGCAAGCAAGTTCAAGTCTTCGGGACAGACATGCGTGTGCTCCAACCGGATCTATGTTCAGAAAGGCATTTATACAGAGTTTATTCAACGACTCAAGAATGCGGTTATCCAGTTTCGTGTTGGAAATGGCTTCGATGAGAAAACGATTCATGGTCTTTTGATTCATTCTGCGGCAGTGGAAAGGGTTGCTGGTCTTGTCGATGACGCTGTCAAGTGGCGCGCGAAGGTGGAAATTGGCGGGAAGAGAAGGGCTGAGCTGGGTAAGTCCTCTCCCTGGAGGATAGGTCAAGGGCCAAAAAGGATAATTTCAGCTGATGAAGCATCTCTTGCTATAAAGGAGCGAACTTTTTTGGACCCACCATCATCACTGGTGTCATTCCAGCTATGCGGTTGGTGAATGAGGAGATTTTCAATCCAGTGGCGCCGATCTTCTGCTTTGAGACGGAAGATGAGGTTGTCGCAAGTTCCAACGCGTGTGATGTAGGGTTGGCAGCGTATATCTTCACCCAAGATGTTACCCGACTCAACCGCGTTTCAGAACTTCTGCAGTTTGGCATGATGGCTATCAATACAGGTGTTATATCTGATGCTGCTAGTCCGTAAGTTTTTTCCCACGGCATTCGTCATTCTGTCACTCCCCAATGAGCACCGGATTTTCCTTTGCTGACACATATTAGCGATTCGATAGGTTTAGCGGTATCAAGCACTCTGGAATGGGTCGTGAAGGAAGCAAATACGGGATTGATGACTACCTTCAGACAAAGACAGTTGTCATTGGAAATGTGAGAATAGTCCACAAGTCTTCCTTATAGATGCCTCTGCAGATAGTTCTTTCTAAGAAGAAAACGAATGACTTTTGTTATACTGTATAATGCATTTATGACTATAATAATCGATGAACATTATATTCCCAAAGGAAAATCATAACATTGAGGCACTAGTTGATAGGCCTGGAAAATCCATACTCAGCTGGTCAAGATTACCACGGCCAATATGCAACTTAGACAAATGGGAAAGAGGAGATTATCGCACTTTCAATAACTACTCGTAGAGCCAGGATTCTGCCAGAGGCTGAAATATTTACACAAAGCGCATTTGCGGAAAGAAGAACAGCAGTGAGATGGACCGATGGCGTCAATTGAACTTACTCTGCATAAAGACACGGCTGAACATTCTGGGGCCTAAGCCCAATATATTTGAACCAACAATTGGCTACGCTGTGGATTTCCCAATTGATGGCCCCATAATGAGATCAAGCTGATAAGCCCGGTGTCCGGAAAGCCCAGTAATGATCCGCTACCGGTACCATATGAAGCCGATTATAACCAAACTACATAAATATTCAATGAGCTATTGGTCAGTGTAATAGAGCCATCATGATAGGGTTAGTGGCCCAGTAAAGGCTCGGCTTTTCCTGGGCTCAAACCAAAGCCTTCGTTTTCTGCTCTCAACTATCTTCATTGATCAACGTCACTGTTATTTTGATTAATAATCTATTGGTATCTAATGTTGTCGCCACAACATAGACCATGCTTTGATTCTGGCAAAGAGATGAGCTCCATCCAAATTTTCAGTCTTCAGGTCCGAATTGATCTGGAAGAAAGAGTGGTCTGCGAATAGGGGTTTCAGAACGTAGGGGAGTTTGTTCATATCTAAGGTCCTCTTCATGCTTTAATAGCTTTAAGATGATCAGATATATCTAGACAGTTGCAACCTTCAAAAGTCAGGGCAAAAGGTCGTATTCAATCGCGCTAGGATTCCATACAATGCTGCCCACGGGATGCAAGCATGTAATGAGAAATCATTTGTATTTTCACACCATTTATGGCTAACACGGATTAATCATGATGGGTCTTTTGCTAGAATTTTATTGGCCTACATATATAAAGAGTAGAAAGTACATGTAGATGCGATGATCATTGCTATGCTCTGGCTTATCGATACGTGTAAGGTGTCCTTGTGACCAAGCAAACCTCAAACATTCCTTATTAATTAAATTGTAATTGTACTATTCCTGGCCTGCGAATACCATTTTCTATCATGATTCAAAGTGAGGAAAATGATAAGCTGAGCCAATCTCCGCGGTATGGAGTATGAGGAAGGCTTCCCCGAACGTGTGGAGTGAGGTCCACAAGATCCGGAACGCGGCCCAATATCCAATTAGGGTTGATTCTATTACGACGTTGTCAATTGGTAGTATAAATCCTTATCTGGGACTTGTTCCCAGTGAGAAATATCTGGGGTAACATGGCTGTAGGCTCCTGGACATCACTGGCTTTGTCCAATAGCTTGGAGGCGTTCATATAGTTCTTGTTCCATGTGTCGTTCTATCTGAACGTCATATGCATAAGGTCATTAAGTAACACTGGTCAAGAGTTATCTTGTAAAAGATCACAAAAAAAATTACTCTTGATGATAAGCAGTTCTGATGTCAATTTGTCATGGGATTTGGAATGAGGCAACTCATACCTTAGACTTCTGTTAACCCCGCATCTTGACGAAGGACTACGATGATAGCTGTTATTCTTAGTCCGTAGTTACTGAACATGGGACCCACTCCAGTGTATGTCTCGTATCCCTCTTCCCTTATCAACTTGGGCAGCCCTGGAAGCTTGGAGTGTGGGCTTGTAATAGTCTTCTTTGCCATCAGCTCTTATACACTCACTATGCAATTGATCAACGGCATCGCCCCCGACCACAGCACGAAGACGGGGATGGATACTACCCAAGAGAAGGTCCATGTGAACCCCGGGTCAAACGGTGACAAGATAGACGAGATCTCCGACACGGAGCAGGGAACCTACGAGCAAGGGATACAAAAATTCCACAGACTAGGGTGGAAGCGCCTCACCATCCTACTGTTTGTCGAAGCCATTGCTTTGGGTAGTCTTTCGATCCCCGCTGCTTTTGCAACTCTGGGCATGGTTGCCGGCGTGATCTGCTGTGTTGGGATCGGACTCATTGCCATGTACACCAGCTACATCGTTGGACAGGTGAAAGTCGCATACCCCGATGTCACACACTACGCAGATGCAGGGAGACTGATTATGGGCTATTTTGGCTATGAATTGATCAACCTTATGCTTATATTGCAACTACTGTTCTTGGTGGGCTCGCATTGCCTCACGGGCACCATTGCTCTAGTCACAATCACTGGAAGCGATATTTGTTCTAGTATCTTTGCTGTTGTTTCTATGGTAATCCTTATCCTTCTTGCGATCCCGCCAAGCTTTGCAGAAATTGCCATCCTAGGCTATGTTGACTTTATCTCGATCATCGCCGCAATCGGCATCACTATCATCGGCACAGGTGTTCAAGCGACCCAGTCTCCCGGGCTGTCTCATGTCGGTTGGTCTGCTTGGCCCAGTCCAAATGCCACATTCTATGACGCCTTTATTGCCATCGCCAATCTCACCTTCGCCTACAGCTTCGCCATGTGTCAGTTCTCTTTTATGGACGAGATGCACACCCCAAAGGACTACATCAAGTCCGTCCTAGTTTTGAGTATCCTTGAGATCATAATTTATACGGTCACAGGTGCAACAATCTACGCATTTGTCGGCCAGGATGTTAGAAGCCCAGCCCTACTCTCTGCAGGGCATGTCTTGAGCCGAGTAACGTTCGGCGTCGCACTACCCGTCATCTTCATCAGCGGATCAATCTGCACAACTGTCCTCGGACGCCTTATTCACGGCCGTGTCTTTCGAAATTCGAACATCCGGTTCGTGAGCACCAAAGTGGGATGGATTACATGGATCTCACTCGTAATTTTCATTACTATTCTTGCTTTCGTCATTGCCGAAGTGATTCCTTTCTTCGACAACCTCATTTCCATCTCTTCATCTCTGTTTATCACCGGATTCGCTTTCTACTTCCCTGCCATTATGTGGTTCAAGCTTCTTCGCGAGGGAGAATGGACGAGTATGAAGAATTTAGCCATGGCTCTGGTCAACTGTTGTGTGTTTCTGATTGGGATCACGGTGCTGGTGTTGGGCACGTATTCCAGCGTGTATGATATTGTGAGTATTAAACCCTCTGGACTAGAATGTTGGCTCGGCTGCTTTTGAGGACTATTTCTGACGTTGGCTCTACAGATCGAAAAATACCGAGAGGGCCAGGTGGGCGGCACCTTTTCGTGCGGTACTCTGTCTTGAACTACTTTCCTTTATATCCGCCATTCTTTGTTTTTGGCCCTGTGGGCTTCCATTTGGCGTTACGGAATTGTAGTAACTGGGTCCTTGCCCTGGTATAGCGAGCTATATAGATAGGCTAATTAGATGGTGTACGAATGCTACTGCTACTACTATTACCACGTTACGATCAAAATAGAGAGGAAAAGAGAGGGTGTAATGAGTAGAGAAGACTGTCCTGTGATTATAGGTCTTATCCAATACCATGCTGGATGATAAAGCAAGCTGCAATTAATAATATAATAATAAAATTGTGATCATTGAAGTTGAAAGTGATCCCGGCTAGGGCTGGAGTTCGAGATCACTTGCCAAATCTATCTCAATATCCCCTGTACTGATTACCAATTGATTGGGGTTTCTTTCTAATCGATGATACTTATTCCATTCCAGATAAATTTATGCATCATAACAGGGGCAGACTTCAATTGCATATGACAAAGGGAAGAATCTGGTGATATCTGGAATATCAATGGATTTGACAAATAAACGCGCATTGTTAGCGATAGGCCCCGACTGAATATCATGTCTTGGTCCACCAATTCCAAACGATATAAGAAAACTTTGAGTTGATCTCTCACAATCAGTCGAGCGCTGTAAGTATGCCCTGGTAAACCGTTTACATACTGCCCAAAATATATATCTGGCATGGAGTCTATCTGGATTTACCACCCAAAGCAGTCTAAATTCTTTTTGAAAATATAAAAAATACATCCCATGGAATATTTCTCTCGACTGATAATATAAAGTACAAATTATGATATTACATTGTGGTGCGTGTTCTCTAAGATGTGGTTGTCCGCGGGGCGCCGTTCTTATTCGAACCTCAACTCGACCTCAACTTCACTTCACCTGAAGACAACCATTCGCGAGTTATTTATCCTATCCTAGACAACATGGAATTAGAGACCAAGGCAGCTAACATTCTTGAGAACTCACCGTCAATTCTTTTTCCCAGGGCCAGATCCCGGGACTGGATCCCACGTGTTGGGAGAAAAGAAAGGAACAAGAATAGCGACAACAAAAAACCCGGCGCTACATTGTCCTACGCATTGACCATTCAAAGATATCATTGGAGATTCACTTTTATTCAGCGCTTAGACATAGGAAGACCGACAACAAGGGATTGGCCGACAATGCGAACTGTTAAGCGCCCGGCCGGAGCCTCCATCTATATTTGGGATCAGCGTTCTGCAGAGATCAGTTCTGCGCTAAATGAAACGGGTTTTCGCAGAATACTAGCATCGGATTTGGTAGATGGTTTTATTTTTGGGTGTTGGGGTTGAGTGAAGCGCTGTCTCTGGGGTGTGTTTGCTGGACTCCAGAATATCGCGCTTTTTCTCTCTGGTCTGTTTCCCTTTTATTCCTTTCTTTCCTTGTCACCTTTATTGTCTAACTTAGCTTCATTCTCTTTGTTTCCGCGGGCTCGGACGGCATATTATTGAAGCACTGTTCTGCCTGTCCTTTGCTGCAGTCGCTCATTCACAGTTAATAAACTCGATTCTGGGCATGCTTCCTCAATAGAGCGATCCCTATTGTCTATTCTATTCTTTTAAACCTATTGTTGCTGGCCAACAATTTTTATTCTCTTTCTGGATTTTGGATAGATTCCTCTGCCCGAGAATTTGAACTCAACCTCTGCCACCGAGAAGCCCGTCTTTACCACCTTCGATAACCACGAGACACTGGATTCATACCCATCCGTTTACAGCTACGCGCCATGGGGCGAACGATCTTTCCTCTGCTCCCGCCATATGGCGCCCAGGATCCCAACCACGGACACATCATCCCTCTAAACCCTGACGGCATCACACCATATCTCGGTCTGAAGGCTCGCCTCTCGCAAGTATGGCTGAACCGATGGACAATCCTTCTCCTTCTCATCCTGGCCCGAGTTCTCATTGCCGTCGGCGGATTAGAGACAGACATGGGCTCGGCCAAGCGTGAAGCGTTGTCAGCATGTACATCCGTGGAGTCGATGGGAAGCGCGATGGCATCAATGCCGCATTATTCATCCCGGGGAATTAATGAGGTCACGGCATCGACCGTCGAGGCTGCTGTTCGGGGACTTAAATCAACGTTAATGCTGATGGTAACTGGTGTTGAGGAGATCATTCTCTTCATCATCAACGTGATGTACCAGACCTACCTGTGCCTCATCACCATGGCCGTCCGAGGTACTGTGGACGTTGGCGTTGGCCTACTAAAAGACGCCACGGGCTTCCTAAACTCCACCGTCAAAGAAGTCGGCCACGACATCGCAAGCGCTGTCGACACATTCGAAGACGGTCTGAACAAATTCCTCGATACAGTAAACTCCGTCGCCAGCGTCTTCGGCGGCAGCGTCCCCGACCTCAATATCTCAAGCTCCATCGACAAGCTCGAAAACGCCCAACTCCCCTCCTCGATCAACGACGGCCTCGACAAGATCAACAGCTTGATCCCTACTTTCTCTGAGGTGCAAAATTTCACGGAAAACGTCCTCCGCTGGCCTTTTGAAGAAGTCAAAAAACTCATGAACGAATCTTTGGGTACTTACGAATTCAACCGCTCCGTCCTCCCCGTCCCAGCAAAAGAGAAAATGCACTTCTGCGACGGCAACGACGGTATAAACTCCTTCTTCGACGGCATCGGTGACCTAGCAACCACAGCTAAAAAGATCTTCATCGCCGTGCTCGTCATACTAGCCGTCCTTTTCTGCGTCCCAGTCGCATGGTCTGAGATCCGCCGCTGGCGCACAATGAAAGACCGCTCGCAGCTAGTCCGCAAAGAAGCTCACGACCCAATGGACGTCGTCTACATCGTCTCCCGTCCCTACACAGCAGGAGCTGGTATCAAAACAGCAAGCTGGTCCAGCAACAGCCGTCGACAGGCCCTCGTCCGCTGGGCGGTCGCATACGCAACATCCACACCAGCGCTCTTCGTCCTCTGCCTAGGCATCGCAGGTCTCTTTTCTTGTCTCTGCCAATTCTTGCTCCTTCGCGCTGTGCAAAAGACTGTCCCCGAGTTGACCTCTGAAGTCGGCGACTTCGCAGATACAGTCGTCGACTCGCTCCAAAACACCTCAGCGTCATGGGCCAATGATGCCAACGGCGCAATTTCAAACGTTAACTCAGATATCAACAGTGATGTTTTCGGCTGGGTGAATACCAGCACAACAGCCGTAAACGACACCTTAAACACCTTCGTCGACAAAACTACGGGAGTCCTAAACGATACCTTCGGCGATACCATTCTCTACGAACCAATAATGGATGTCTATGACTGTCTCATAGGCCTGAAAGTCGCAGGCATCCAAAAGGGTCTTACATGGGTTCATGACCACGCACATATCGACTTTCCGCTCCTCCCCAATGATACGCTCTCACGCGGTGCACAGGAAAGCATCGACTCGGGAGGCCCCGGGGATAGTTTCCTCACGGACGCAGGCGACGAGACAGCCGATAAAATCACCTCGGTCGTTGCGCGGGTGGTTAAAAAGATCGAAGAGGGCATAAAAACGGAAGCGATCATCTCTACTGTCATCGTGTTGATTTGGGTGCTTGTTGCGTTGATGGGTATCTTACGCGCGGCGTTTTTGTTCTTCATGCGCGATAAGAACCGTGGTGAGGGAGGTGGATTGCCGTCATTGAGTCCGGGTCCGAATTCGAATCCGAATGCGGGGATGGGACCGGGGCCGGATGGATTCTTTGATGTGCCGTTGACTGCGATGCCGAATTTAAATGTGAATGGGGGTGCAAATGGTGCTGGGCCTGGGAGTAGGGAGGTTGATCCAGTTGGTAGGGATTATGGTGCGGGTCAGCCGGCACCGAGGTATGAGGCTAGTGTGGGTGCGAAGGGGGCATCTGCTGGTGTTGCGGTTGTAGATGAGGATGTGTATCCTGATGAGAAATTGGATAAGTCGTATGGATTGCGGTGATGGGGATTGAGCGAATGGGGGTTATGTGGAGCGTTGATCGCTTCTGTTGTATCTTTTTCACTAGTGGGACTGAGTCTCATTCTCTTCGATTCACATTGCATTATCAGCGAAGCTGCGCTAATTGTTTTTGTACTCGGAAATACTCTTTACATATGGTTTAATGTTGTGGTTCGCAAAATGAATATGTTGATTTAAATGCTAGTCATAACTCGTCAGGGAAAAACATAAAAGATACAACCCAATGCAAAACTGATAAAAATAAATACTAAATCTCAACAAAAAAACTCTTCTCCCCCTCCTCCGGCACAACCCTAACTCTCTCAATAATCGGATCCGCACAACTAACCCTAATTCTCTCCGGCGTAGCTGGACTTCTCAACCTCAGTACCTCACTCACCCCCCACTCTTTCCTCGCCGCCTTAAGCGCATCCCTAATCGCAAAGAAAACCGCACTCCCCATAAAAAGCGGCGGCTCCCCAACACCCCGCGAGCGCTGGATCGTTCGCAGATTTTCCCACTCCACGTCCTTGAGCAGACTCACATTGAAGACCTGCGGGATATCGCGGAAACCTGGAATTTTGTAGTTCCCAGGGCCCTTGGTGGCAATTTGGCCGGTTGCTCGGTGCCAGAGGCTTTCTTCTGTTGTGAAGAGGCCTTGGCCTTGGATGAAGGCGCCTTCGATTTGGCCGTAGTCGACGGCGGGATTGATGGATTGGCCGACATCCATTTTGATGTCTGCGCGGAGGACTGTCCAGTCGCCTGTTAGGGTGTCAATCTGGACTTCTGCGGCTGTAACGCCTTGCGTGAAGTAGAAGAACATCTGGCCCGTGTTCTCGCCCCAGACATAACCGATGTCTGGGGTGCGGTAGTAGCCTTGTGCGGAGAGGTTGATGCGGTCGAAATAGGCGGCGTTGGCAAGGTCTTTTAGGCTGGCGTTGGGCATTTTCTTGCGGTAGGGTTGGAGGCGTTCGTTGAGTTGTTCGCAGGCATTGAAGACGGCGTAGCCGTTTAGGTCGGAACTGGCAGACGCCGCTGTGGGGGATGTGTTGGCGACTGTATTTGTTGCTGTTTCAGAGATAAAGACGTCGGATTGCGGGATTTGGAGTGCTTCTGCTGCTATCATTGTCATTTTTGTGTGGAGGCCTTGGCCCATTTCGACACCGCCGTGGGCAACAAGGACGCTCCCATCGCGGTAAATGTGTACCAATGCTCCTGCCTGGTTTAAGAATGTAGCAGTAAATGAAATGCCAAATTTGGTTGGGATGATAGCCATGCCGCGCTTAGACCATTTATGGTTTTTATTGTATTCTTCCACAGCTTTCCGGCGTTCTTTGTAGGAGCTTTCTTCCAGGACTTGCTTGTACATAAGCGGAACATGCCAATCTTTCAGCTCCTGGTTGAAATGAGTCTTGTCGCCAGGTCGATACATGTTCCTTTCCCGCAACTGTTCCACGGGAATGTTGAGATGATCTGCGACCTCTTCCATAATACATTCGGCAAAGAACAAGCCTTGGGGACCTCCGAATCCTCGGAAAGCAGTATTGGACACGGTGTTAGTCTTGCAGATGCGACCTCGGACATTGACATTCGGAAAGTTGTAAACATTGTCAATATGCGACAGGCTCCTGTCCACAACAGCAGCGGAGAGATCTTGCGTATTTCCACCGTTGGCAAAGACATCCGCGTCAAGTGCAAGAAGCTTTCCTTCTTTAGTCACTCCAACTTTCCATTGACAGAGAAATGGATGCCGCTGGCCCGAGACGGCAATGTCTTCATCGCGATTGAGCATGCATCGGACTGGTCGTCTGGCCTTTGCAGCTGCTGTGGCGCATATACCAGCAAGCAGGACGGATCGCGATTCTTTGCCGCCGAATCCACCGCCTAGTCGCTTGACTCTAGAAACAATTTTATTTTCAGCAACGCCGGTGACCTGAGCAACGTATGCTTGGCTATGAGATTGTTAGCTTGTTTCAACTCTAAGAGCTGGGCGTAAAGCTTACGTTTCTGTAGGGTTTTGAGTACTACTCCAAACCTCCATTTCACCATCCTCGAGCTTCGGAATGGCTACACAAGCCTGTGTTTCCAGATAAAAGTGCTCCTGGCCACCAATCCTCGACACTCCTGTAAAGACAAGGTCCCCTTGCTTGAAAGCGGAATCGGTATCGCCTGTTTTAATGGAATGGTCATGGCCGAAGAATGATTTTGCTTCAATTGCCTCCTCAATAGTCAGGACTGCCGGCAAATCCTCGTATTCGACTTTGATAACCCTGGAGGCGTCTTCAGCAGCCTTTGCTGAGCTTGCAAGGATCATTCCGATAGGCTGGCCTGCGGTAGTAACCTTGTCCACTGCAAAGAATTGTTCATCGGAGACTGGAGCACCCCACCAATTGGCCTCTGGATTGGGAAGGTCCTTGTGGGTGACAAAATCGTGAACTCCTGGCATCTCTAGAGCTGCTGTTGCGTCGACATTAAGGATCTTAGCGTGAGCTTTAGCTGAAATGACAAGACAGCCGTATAGTTCGTTCTGCTGTGCGGGGATGTCGTCGGTATATTGAGCCTCACCAGTAGCTTGTTTCATCGCCGAGACATGAGGTGTAGATTTTCCAAGAGTGTTTTGTTCATAAGCAACTGATGACTCCTGGTCCTTCTTCCCAGAAGAAATAGCTCTCTCAATCTCAGCGACCACGTCCTCATCAACATCGGCGACACCGACATTGAGCTCGCGGAGGACTTCATGGTAGAATCGGTAAAAGAAACCCAAAGCCAGAGACTTGCGATATGTAGCCATACCACCGGGTACGCCAAACTTCAGATCAAAGTCCTTCTCTAAAGCACCCATAGCACCTTCCAAAGTGGCAGGGTCCGTAAACCTTTTCTCTTTTAGGAAGGCTTCCGCATTCTTCGCGGAAACAGTCATCGGGGCTAGGCCCCCAAAAACCAAGTTCACGCCTGTGACATCGTTTGTAGGCGAGAGCAATACACGTAGAGCGGCATTGACAATGGCAATGTCATCATCCTTTCTCTTTGACTGCTTGTAAGCACGAATGTGTTCACCCTTCTGCGAAATCGGGATACGCAGACTTGCGATGACAGCGTCTGCGGGAAGTGCTGTCGTTCTATAGCCCTTGAAAAACTTGCCCATGGGTATCTCTGTCTCCTTATCCAATGACTTGGCAGTCAAGAGCGTGCCCGTTGCCACGAACACTGGATTTAGATCTGAGATGGGCGACGCAGTAGCCAAGTTTCCAGCCGGTGAAGCGACATTCCGAATCTGTCTCCCAGCAAAGTAACGGAGCTGCTTCTTGATGGCGCTGAAAGGCTGGCCCCGCACAGGGCCATATCTTTCCAGGGCTTCTTCACAGATATCCTCAAGGTCGGTCAGAGACACGTTGGCGCCGATCTCTAAGTGGTCGTCTTTAAAGGAGTACTGGCGCAATTCGATAATATCACCAACGTATACGGAGGGGTTATACCGCAAAGCCTTGAACTTGGTTTCGATTTGTGTCTCTGTGCTTCCACCAACGAGCTTCGCTGCAGGGTGAACACTCTTGATTTCCAGGAGTTGTTCCAAAGTTGCAGGTCTATACCACTTCTTTCGTTTGTTGCCCAATACCAGTGGTTTGAATTCATGTTTCCGTAGAGCTGAGGGGAATATTAATTCAGTATCTGGGCTGTAAGGGATGAAATCTGGTGGTGTGAATTGCACCAAACTGCCGTTTTCACCGTCAGCTTCGGGGCGCTCTTTGCAGCATGAGCCGTTCTGTTTCTCCATACAACAACCACCGCCGCCATTTGCAGTGGTTTTCCCACAAGTTTTTGACGTATTGAAGCTCTGTGCTGCGTCCAGGATAGGCCGGTATCCGGTGCATCGGCAAAGGTTTCCATCAAAGGCTTCTTCAACGGCGAGTTCTGACGGCTTCGAGTTGTTGCGCAGAAGGGCATATAGACTCTATATATGTGTGAGCAGACCGCTCGTGATATCACACACTACAAGTGGAAACGCACCATGACAATCCCCGGCGTACAAAACCCACACTGACTCCCATTTCCCACGGCAATTCGCTGCTGCACAGCGTGAGGGTTCTTGACACTTCCAATCCCCTCAATTGTTATAACATGTTTCCCATCAACACTCACCAAAGGCGCAAGACAAGCGTTGACGGAAGCATGGTAGATCTTCTTGGTCGTTGGGTTGAAATGCGAGACCACCTGTTTCGATCTTCAACCAGGTGCTCCTTTCTTTTAGGGACAATGTAGATGGACATACCACAGTGCATGCCCCACAGCCTCCCTCCGCACATCCTAACTTGGTGCCTTTCAGCCCAATGCCTCTCAGATATTCGAGTAGTGTAACTTCGGGATCGATCGAGTCCAGCGTAACTTTCGTGCCGTTTAGGTAGAATCGGAGGGTGTCGTCCCATTCTTCGGTGAGATGAGTAAGGGTCGTGGCTTTACTGGGGACCAAAGTCTCTGTGATTCCAGGAGCCATGATGATAGAAGTGTTGTTCAGCGTTGATGCTGATAGTATTTTAAGTAATCAAATGAAGCTGCTAGCTAAAAGTAACAGCGCTATCTTTCCGACCATGGGCCTCTTTGGATGATAGAATATAGTAGCAAAAAGTGAAAAGAAGTTGACAGCAAACATCAGCAAGGATGTAACATGTTGTCCACATCACGCGAGGGGAGCTTATATATACAGGCATTGATAAGGCCTTTATCGCCTCCTTCCCCGCAAAGCTCACGGGGATCGCCACTATCCGACAGCCAACAATGGTCCGCCGATATAAGCACCAGGTTTATGTATGTATTGTATATTCCCAGATCAAATAACGCCGGCCCATATGCAAATAGCAAGACTACACAGAAATAACAGAATAAACCCCAGATAATGTGGTAAATGCATAAATACGCCATAGCAACGGGAGGATGCAATATCTACTCTTTCAACCTAGCTCCTACAAAGTCCTTTTCTTCATCCTCCCACCGCCTGCGTTCAACAACGCTTCGGGCCCTGTATACCTGGTTAGCAAGAGTCTTTGTTTAAAATGCAATAGGGTACGAACCGGTATGCCCGCACAAACCGCCACACCTCAGTGTCCGCCAGATTCCATGCTTCAGCCATGTCTTTGATATGCACTCGGTTGTTCTTCTTATCCTTGATTGCATCACGGGCCTTCTGGAGAAGATCATATTCACGCTCAATTCCTTGTTCACTGGGGTTCGCATGCTGCATGGATTCCTTGGCTTTGCCTTCGTTCTTCTGATCAACATTCCCATCGCGGGGAATCTTGAATCCGAGTTGCCATTCGAATTCATCCAAAAGTGCGGACGGAAGAGCCTGGCCAGCCTCCGCTGGCAGAGATTCGACCGTCATCCAGAGCGAGGAGCCGATCGCGGAATCACCTGCGACGGCTTCTTTCAAGATCACTGCTCTTGAAGAGCCTCCAAGCTCACTGTCCGCAACGGTACTGGTAACTTCCTTCAGCCACGCGTCACGTTCGGTCTCGCGGCGAATATACCGGCTCGTGACCTCTTCTGTGTTGTTCTGCAGACTGACAAGAGTATACGGATGAGGAAGAGTGCCGATCGTGAATAGCTGGGATGTGTTCTTGTACATAGAAGGCTGTGTAATAACCAGCGACTTGTCTGGACTGCACGGGTGGCACTTTTGATTGCTCGGGGGGCATGAAGACGGCATCGGAGAGGTAGAACATTGGGCCAGGGCTTTCGCCAGTCGCAAAGAGGGTTCGACGAGGGCTGTCGTATATTTAGGGAACGGCTTCAGAACAGCGATTCCTGCCGGAAAGGCGTTTTGAAACGTGTTGTGCAGGTGGGAGTTAATCAGTTCGACAAGCGCCAGTCGTCCAGCGGCGGGCGACCTGACAATTTTCTCTGCAATTTCTGGGTAATGGTTCGTAATCGAAGTGGAGCTGTAGTAGGCCAAGGCAGTCGGTTGTTCGACCCTAAACAATTCCGGGGAAATTATTTCCAGCATCGACTTCGCCTGGGTATTCTCCTTCTGGATCGCATTATGAATGGCATCATTGATGCGCACCTTGTCGCCTGCAAACAGAGCACTTCCGATATGGTCGAAGCGCGATATTTGAGCAGGATCAACACCCCGGCGCAGATATGACAACAGCGCGTCATCGACCCGAGCCATTGGGAAGCAGTGAACATCCGCGAGCAAGCCAGTGCCCATGTTACCCCACGCCAACCACCTGAACATGTCCGCTTCGAGGTCCGGGTTGAGATTCATTCGCTGAACGGCTTCGTACATCGGGTTGTTCATGGCCTCGCCGCGGCCCAGGATAATCGGACGAAAGCCTTGAGCATACCAAGCCCTGCGCCATGCGAGCAGCAGCTGACCGTCTGCATTCTCCTCCTCCTTGCTATGTTTTTCGCTGCTCGCATCATAATATGTGTAGATGAATGGCCGGTCCGCTAGGGGAGGAAGGACGGAACGACCCTCGTCAAGGGTGATGGAGGACGAGAATGGGTTGATCCATTCCCAATGGCTGTACCACTTCGACTCGCCGCTAGTGCTGTTCTTTTGCTCTGGAGGTTCATGCGCAGCTGGCCTAAACATGGGTAAATGAAAATTGCTCAGTTTCGGGACATATTTGGCAGGACCGGTCACTTCTTCCTCGCCCGTCAAAGGGTCGGAAGTCGGACTAGGTGAAGAGGAAAAGATGACCAAGAGAAGGGCAACAAAGACGACAATAGAAATGAGCGCCGTGCTCCGATGAGGAATCATTTTTCCCCGACACGCGCTGCACGAAATAACGATGATTTGTCTTGGATGAAGAAAAAGGAGTGAAAGAAGTGAATCGAGATCGCGGTTAAGGGTGGACTGTTTGTCCCCTGATCATCCGAGTGTTCACAGGGGAGATTCGATAGAAATAAACGTTTATCAGATTATAATGAATGAATGTACAAGTAAGGTCAAGTAAAGAATGAAAATACATCACATTGAAATATCCAGACAGGGTTTGCTTGTTGGATGTATGAGCATCGTATTCGTATGGGAATCCCGTGATTGCTGCCATATTTATGAGGCCGTGAGTACTTCCTGCCTCAGGTTAACTAACTACTACCCCTCGTCAAAATAGCGTGACTGGCCGGAGTAAGGATGATCCGCGATAATGGCCCCTCTTGACTCATTTTGGATAGCCTCAATTCTTGCGCCAGAGTTCAACGAAGCATGTCACATGATGGGTGTAGAATCAACTTCCTTGCAAGAGCGCCTTGAGCGATGGGCTCAACGGCTACAAAGTCTCACCGTTTCTCCTCTTACCAGGGACTATCCCGATAACCAGCAGCCCGAGCAGGCCATTCCAGTCATTGAGGCCTTCGAATCCTACAAACTCCCTCAGGATGCGCAATTGGCTTTGCAGAAGATCTCTGGGTCTTCCTCATCTGGGTTCACTGCATTCCTGACCGCATATGTTGTGCTTGTTGCTCGTTTGACTGGTGACGAAGATATTGCCATCGGAACCAACTCGAGTGAAGACGGTCGTCCATTCGTCCTTCGAGTCTCAATTGATTCTTCGGATACTTTCCTCGGGCTCTACAACAAGGTGGAAAAGGTGTGTATACACATGTAGACTTATCTGGAGTGCCCGACTAACCCATTGCTCGCTTAGGCTTACACCGAAGGCGCTGCCGCCATCGTACCCTTAGGCAACCTCCGCAACTACGTCCAAGAGAAGTCCAACTCTGAACGACCGCCAATTTTCTTCCGCTTTGCTGCCTACGAAGCCCCTGCGACCTCCCAAGACCACCCGGCGAATACTTTTGAGACGACCGACTTGGTGCTCAACCTTGCTCCGGGCAATGCCTCCGGGGAGACGGAACTGGGCGCATACTACAACCAACGTCTGGTCTCGAGTGCTAGGGTTGCTACAATTCTCAGACAGCTTTCACAGCTTGTTGCCAACGCTACTGCTGACCCCGAACAAGCCATTGGTCGCATTGATTTCATGACCCAAGAGCAACGCGCGCTTCTTCCGGATCCTACCGCAAATCTAAATTGGTCTAAATTCCGTGGAGCCATCCATGACATCTTCGCCGAGAATGCTGAGAAGCATCCGGAGAGACCATGTGTGGTCGAGACCAAATCCGACAGCTCCCCTCACCGCGAGTTCACCTACCGGCAAATCAATGAGGCATCGAACATCCTGGCGCATCACCTCGTGCAGTCGGGTATCCAACGGGGAGAGGTTGTCATGGCCTATGCGTACCGTGGGGTCGATCTCGTGGTGGCCGTGATGGGTATCCTCAAGGCCGGTGCGACTTTCTCCGTCATCGACCCTGCTTATCCGCCCGAGAGACAGAACATCTATCTTGATGTCGCTCGGCCTCGGGCACTTGTCGTTATTGAGAAGGCTACCCGGGACGCTGGTGAGCTGTCAGAGACGGTTCGCACATTCATCCGCGAAAACCTGGAACTTCGGACGGAAGTGCCTGCACTGTCTCTCCGCGATGATGGTTCGCTCCTGGGAGGTTCGGTAGGTGGCAAAGACGTCTTCGCTGACCAGGTGTCTTTGAAATCCAAGCCTGTCGGCGTCGTTGTGGGGCCAGACTCTATTCCTACTCTTTCGTTCACCTCCGGCTCTGAGGGAAGACCCAAGGGTGTCCGGGGTCGTCACTTCTCCTTGGCCTATTACTTCCCATGGATGGCCGAAAACTTTAACCTTTCAAACAATGACAAGTTCACCATGCTCAGTGGTATTGCGCACGACCCTATCCAGAGAGATATCTTCACGCCTTTGTTCTTGGGGGCTCAATTACTTGTGCCGGCGCGTGAGGACATTCAGAATGAGAGACTCGCTGAATGGATGCGAGACTACGGAGCCACTGTCACTCACCTAACTCCCGCCATGGGTCAGATTTTGGTCGGCGGTGCTTCCGCACAGTTCCCTGCTCTCCACCACGCTTTCTTTGTCGGGGATATTTTGATTAAGAGAGATTGCCGGTCGCTGCAGGCATTGGCACCTAATGTTAACATTCTTAACATGTACGGGACCACTGAAACCCAGCGTGCTGTCAGCTACTACGAGATCCCCAGTTTCTCGAAGCAAGAGGGCTTCCTGGACGCGATGAAAGATGTTATTCCGGCTGGTCGTGGTATGCTTGATGTGCAGATGCTGGTTGTCAACCGCTTTGAACCTAGCCGTCTTTGTGCAATTGGCGAGGTTGGTGAAATCTACGTCCGCGCGGCGGGTCTGGCCGAAGGATACTTAGGCTCTCCCGAACTGAACGAGAAGAAGTTCATCAAGAACTGGTTCGTGGATCCTCAGGTGTGGGCCGAGAAAGAGAAGACCGAGGGCCAAGGCGCGAACGAGCCGTGGAGAGAGTTCTACGTTGGCGCGAGAGACCGTTTGTACCGCAGTGGAGACCTTGGCAGATACACTCCCACAGGAGATGTTGAATGTTCCGGTCGTGCTGATGACCAGGTGAAGATCCGTGGTTTCCGTATTGAACTTGGAGAGATCAACACGCACCTTTCGCGCCACCCATTGGTGAGAGAGAATGTCACCTTAGTGCGGAGAGACAAGTTCGAGGAGCCTACATTGGTCAGCTACTTCGTGCCTGAGATGAACAAGTGGGCGTCCTGGTTGGAGAGTAAGGGTCTCAATGATGATGAGTCCGCCGAAGGAATGGTGGGCATGCTGAGACGCTTCCGTCCCCTTCGTGACGATGCTCGGGAGCACCTGCGCAGCAAACTCCCTGCGTACGCCGTCCCGGCCGTCTTCATTCCTCTGCGACGTATGCCGCTGAACCCCAACGGGAAGGTCGACAAGCCTGCCCTGCCCTTCCCTGACACTGCAGAGCTTAGCGCTGCGGCCCCGCGTCGCAGGTCGTCTGTATTGCAAGCCCTTTCTGAGACTGAACAGGCACTTGCTCAGATCTGGGCCTCGCGGATCCCCAACGTCAGCGCTAAAATGATTGGACCTGACGACTCGTTCTTCGACTTGGGAGGCCACAGTATCCTGGCTCAGCAGATGTTCTTTGATCTCCGCCGCAAGTGGCGCGGAATCAACTTCAACATGAGCGCGATCTTCCGTAGCCCCACACTCCGGGGGTTTGCTGCTGAGATCGACCGTCTCGTAAATTTTGAACAGTTCGCCAGCAACGATGACAAAGACGCCGCAGGTGCGGCCTCTGGAGCCTCCAACGAGCCCGACGATGTGTACTCGAAGGATGCCAAAGCCCTGGTCGACTCTCTGCCCGCTTCGTTCCCTGAACGTACCGAGTCCATTCTCGCCAGCGAACCGACCATCTTCCTTACTGGTGCCACCGGTTTCCTGGGTGCGCACATCCTCCGCGACCTTCTCACCCGCAAGTCCCCTGAGGCTCGTGTTGTGACTCTTGTCCGCAGCAAGTCCGAGGACCAAGCCCTGGAACGTATCCGCTCCACCTGCCGCGCCTACGGCTTCTGGGACGACGCCTGGACCAGCAGACTACAGTGCGTCTGCGGTGATCTTGGCAAACCGCAGTTCGGCCTTTCTGAGTCGCTGTGGGAAGACCTCACCAACCGTCTGGATGCCGTAATTCACAACGGAGCGCTCGTTCACTGGGTATATCCTTATTCGACTCTCAAGCCGGCTAACGTCCTGGGAACGATCGATGCGTTGAAGCTCTGCGGTAGCGGAAAGGCCAAGCAGTTCTCCTTCGTCAGTTCGACCAGTACCCTGGACACGGAACATTACGTGCAGGAGTCTGAGAATGCCCTGGCTGCTGGCAAGGCCGGTATCAGCGAGGAAGATGATCTCGAAGGTAGCGCCGTCGGTCTTGGAACCGGCTACGGTCAGAGCAAGTGGGCTGGCGAATACCTTGTCCGCGAGGCTGGTCGTAGAGGACTGAAGGGAACCATCGTCCGTCCCGGTTATGTCCTGGGTGATTCTACCACTGGAAGTAAGTACCTAACCATCCCCCCCAAAAACCACGTACTAACAAAACAGCCACCAACACCGACGACTTCCTCATCCGCATGCTCAAGGGCTGCATCCAGCTCAATGCCCGCCCTAACATCAACAACACCGTCAACATGGTCCCCGTCGACCATGTCGCCCGCGTCGTTATCGCCTCGGCCTTCCAACCTCCACGCACGCCTATCAGCGTCGCCCAAGTCACCGGACACCCGCGTCTGCGGTTCAACCAGTTCCTTGGCGCGCTGCAGCTGTATGGGTACAACGTGCCGCAGGTGGATTACGTGCCGTGGTCTTTGGCTCTGGAGGGATATGTGAATGATGGACAGCATGATGATCCAGGATCGCAGCATGCACTGTAAGTCCCCTTCCTTCCTCTCCTCTCTTCCGTATCGATCTAAATCTTATACTAATGGTGGGTAGGATGCCACTCTACCACTTCGTAACCTCCGACCTCCCCTCCAACACCAAAGCCCCCGAACTCGACGACGCCAACGCGGCAGCCGCCCTCCGCGCCGACGCAGCCTGGTCCGGCATCGACGCCTCTGCAGGTGCAGGGGTGACCGAGGAATTGGTCGGTTTGTACGCGTCGTATCTGACAAAGGTCGGGTTCTTGCCGGAGCCTACTACTGTCACTGCTGAGACGAGGCCATTGCCCGAGGCGAAGCTTAGTGAGGATCAGAAGAATGCATTGGTGAATGTCGGTGGTCGTGGGGGCGCTTCGTAGGGAGTACAGTATAGTACGAGGGAGTGATATTAGCGCTCTTCGTGGTTATTGGATATCGTGGTCTATGTGTTATAGATATGAAAAAAGTGTGAATGTCGATATGTATGCTATGTCAAAAGTGAATTGAATCTAAGTGTTTTCTATGTATTTTCTATGATAATACCCATGCAGCACCGTACTACGCCTTGCAGTAATACTCACCGATCAGGCCATACTCAGGTGATCAAAAGCATCTCAACACCTCAACGGTTGAGGCGTTCGGGGGTAACTCGGCATTCGGCACTCCGTGGGATTTTACCGCAAACAACTTGCCAAGGATAACCGCTCCAGTTCACCGGCCGGTCAAAGCATCTCATCCCCTTTTGACTTCTCCTTATATCCATACCCAGCCTTATAAGAGAATCAAAAGACGAAAACATATCATCTTGTGTATAGCGACCTTGTGTATAGCGACAACATCGTCAACCCGACTCAACTCAACTCAACCATGCCAGGTACGTTGACCGACTGGAGTTCAGCTGGTCTTGGCGTCTTCCAGTGTTGCGTTCCGAGTCGTTTTTCTCCATATTCCATGACCCCATAATTCTTCAAGTTCCTGTACCGGTTGATTCTTTTGTTTCTGGTGTTGTTGTTGTCGGGTCTTTGTTGCGGTTCATTTTGGACTTGTCGCGGGCGCACAGTGTCCTTGGAAACTTTTTTTTTTCCTCTTCCCCTCCCCTCCATTATCTGTTTCTGAATCCACCACAAAAAGCATTCTTTACTTTCCTCCCTCTTCATCCACCACAATGAGTATCGCAAGGCTGTTTCCGCGATCGAGCTTTTTTCGCTTCTTGACTGGAATGCGAGAGGTTCAAACTCGCCGGCCAGTGACTCATACCCCAGCACCTCCCTCGATTCATCGCACATTTTCCACGACACCAGCATCGCTCTGCTCAGCAGATGCTAACCAAAACCCAGACCGATACTTCGCCGCCCTAACCCAGAACAAAGAATGGGCCGCCAAAACCGCCCGTGAGGAGCCCGACCTCCTCGCCAGCCTCGCGGTCGGCCAGCGCCCCGAGATCCTCTGGATCGGCTGCTCCGACTCTCGCTGCCCCGAGACCACCATCCTGGGCCTGAAGCCCGGCGATGTCTTTGTCCACCGTAACATCGCCAACATCCTGCACGCGGCGGACCTGAGCTCGTCCGCGGTCATCGAGTACGCCGTCCGTCACCTGCGCGTCAAGCACATCGTCCTGAGCGGCCACACCAGCTGCGGAGGTGTTGCTGCGGCACTGGGCAACAAGCAGCTCGGTATCCTCGACCCGTGGTTGGTGCCGCTGCGCCAGATTCGTGAGCAGAACTTGGACACACTCCAGTCGCTGTCTGCCGACGAGGCCAACACCCTGATGGGGGAGCTGAATGTGCGCGAGGGAGTCAAGACGCTCAAGCAGAAGAGCGTTGTCTTGGAAGCGATTGAGGAGCGGGGATTGACCATTCACGGAGTCATGTATGAGGTTGGCAGTGGAGTGCTTCGGGAGTTGGACACGAACGACACGCAGGAGCAGCTCAAAGCACGGTTGGTCTCGTACAAGACGGAGGCATAGGCTGTCATCGGGGTGTTCTGGTAATCTGTCATTTAAGCGTTAGTTTGCATTTTTAAAGCATCTCCAGCTGTGGATTCCCTGGAGTTAGCAAGCCATTTTGGTAAATATCACGAATATATCGCCGTTGTATATTTCATTGTGTCACAACACTTAAGGAGAGCAGAAGTAGAGAAAAGAAGAAGAGAAAAGAGGAAGGCATTTGTATTAGTGTATTAGGCCAAGTGCTGGTTTCAAAGCACCCTCTTGGTGCCTGCCGCTTTGGGTATGGTCCCGGCCGAAGCGGGTTTGAGTCGGACCACCTACTGCCTTGGGAGTTAGGCAGGAATAACACCTCAGGCAGTCATATGCAGTCAGCTCATCATCTCTTCTCGTCCATCATTGTCGTCTCTTCACAACCTCACGTATCATCCCCATTGCCTCTTCATACGGCAATATCGTTGCATCAGGTTGAGCGGCCGCCTCATGTGCCCGAGTGGCTCAGGCCCCAACATAGGCTAGAGACGCGGACTAGGTAATCCTCAGTCCTGTCTGAGAATCCTGATCCTCAAGGACTCTTGCTTGCGATAAATAAAGACTATGTCCTAAAGGTCCTTAATCTATACGGTCCTCACCACCACCACCATCACAACCAAGTCCGCCAATTGCCCAATCCCTCGCCCGCATCAAGCGGTCAATTCAACTCAGATCGGGCACTCTAAATGATGCCGAAGACCAAGCCGGTGTTTTGGCCCGAAGCCGGAGGGACTGGAGAAGGATATTCGGCTAGGAATCGGTTGCTGGAGTTTGTCGCTTCAGAATCTCGGCAGATAACAACGTCATTCCGAGCGATTAATAATGAGGGGCTGTTGCATTTATAGCTCTGCAGCTGTTCTCCCATTGCATTGAGTCGACCACTGTATTCTATATCATTGAATTGTGAGTTGATTCACGTATTGCTGGTATATATCAATTACTGACTCCTACAGAAGCGTCACGAATCATGGCTAACGAAATGGAATTCACCCGGTATGATGGCCACTCACGACGATGACAGAGATACTGGACTAGGCTAATTTTCAGGCTTGGAAACTCGGGTCTCAAGATCTCCAAGGTCATCCTTGGTGCCATGTCCTACGGTACCAGGGACTGGCAGGACTGGGTCCTCAACGAGGATGAAGCTCTTCCTCTGATTGAGCACGCCTACAAGCGTGGCATCAACACCTGGGATACTGTACGTTTGCCATACACCGCCCACGGTATCAAAACTAACGATCAGGCCGACGTCTACTCCCACGGCCAATCCGAAGAAATCCTCGGCAAAGCCCTCAAGAAATACAACATCCCCCGCAACCGCGTTGTCCTCCTCACCAAATGCTTCTTCGGTGTCGACGACGAAGGCAAGATGCCCCCGATCTCCGCCTCGGGAGTCAACGACGGCGAATTCGTGAACCGCGTCGGTCTCTCCCGCAAGCACATTTTTGACGCCGTCGACGCCAGCGTCGAGCGCTTGGGTACCTACATCGACGTTCTCCAGATCCACCGTCTGGACCGCAACACCCCCCGCGAGGAAATCATGAAGGCCCTCAACGATGTCGTCGACAGCGGCAAGGTCCGCTACATCGGCGCCAGCACAATGGCTGCCTGGGAATTCCAAACCCTCCAGAACATCGCCGAGCGTAACGGCTGGCACAAGTTCATCTCCATGCAAAACTACCACAACCTCATCGCCCGCGAAGAGGAGCGTGAAATGATCCCCTACTGCGTCGACACCGGCGTCGGCGTCATCCCCTGGTCCCCTATGGCCCGTGGAGTCCTCGCTCGTCCCTGGGGCTCGCGCTCGACTACCCGTGAGGCAACCGACGGTGCGCTCAAGATGCTTGTCCGCAGCCGCGAAACCGAGACCGACAAGGCGATCGTCGACCGTGTCGAGGAGATCGCTAAGAAGAAGGGTGTCAGCATGGCGCAGGTGGCTATCGCTTGGTCGTTGCAGAACCCCAACGAGAACCCTATTCTGGGATTGAACAGCAAGGAGCGCATTGATGAGGCTGTTGGCGCTATCAAGGTCAAGTTGACTCCTGAGGAGGTCAAGTACTTGGAGGAGCCTTATCTTCCTAAGGGTCTTTCCGCGCTTGAGCGGTAATGTACACATGATGCGTTTTTACGTGACGATACTATATACTCGTGGATAGTGGCCGTATTTCACATAGCAAACATTATCCCTGTCAAGCGCTGCATTATCCAATCAGATGCCGCATATATATTTAGCAAGTGCTAGCCTTGCTGGCAAATGTATCCCCTCGTCAACATATCACGTCACCCCATCACAATGGACGAACCACCACCATAGGTAACCCAACAATCTAGCCATTCTAGGCACTGCACGATTAACAATAACAATACACAACCATCGAAGATGTCCCTACCAACCCGACACCACAATCACCTCCAAATAAACCCATCACATACCCACCAGACATGGACGACAAGCTAGACGTGATCAGAGGATAGATGTTTAAACAGTGGATACTGAGCGGGAGTCTTGGCAGTTTGTGCTTGATGGACGTGCATCAGAGTTCATCGACGAGCTTCATTCAAGTAATAATCTGGCGATTGAGGAAGGCGATACATGGGATGATGCTAAGCATTAGGCGTTTCTCTGGGATTACATGCAGAGCCTATACGAGATGGATGTTGAGGTCTATGATACCCTGAAAGACATACAGGAAGTGTATTCCTCGTCTATTCGCACGCGTTACTGCGCCTGGGCCTGACCTCGAGTCTCGAGATACATCTGCTACTAAATACACTGGCATCCTTGAGGTTTTCTTCTACAGTACATCGCCGGCTTCCCCCCAGCCACCATCGCCAATCACTTCCCCCGCGAAACATGGCAGTCTCTCTGCGACAACGCAATCTGAATCATCCACCAAATCAGCGCCCACGGCATCTTAAACGCCGACGTGAACACGCAGAGTTTCACCGTCCATAAACACTCAGGGCCAGGATCAGGAGAGTATACTTATGAAGTACTCGTGATCGACTTCGAACTTGTGGGTTCCGCCGGGAATGTGGTGGTGAAAAACACCGACAAGAATGGAAAGCGATATAGGATGGAGAGGGTGCTGTGGGGTTTGTTTATCGGTGGCCTGGAGTTTATAGGACACTAGATGAGGATGTCGAAATGGACGCTTGAACGGAGCGGATGCTACGAGACCAGAATCTCTGGATTCAATGATTTTGTCTTAATATTATACCGAAGACGGAGAAATCTCTATTTCCCCGTACCCGAACCAGAAAACTGGACAAGAATCCATGATTCTACGTAGGGCCATATGTTGCCGGCAACATTCCTCGCAGAGCCAATTTTGAATTAGACCACACATGTAGAAAAAGGCGTCGCGAATTCACCGAGCAAGTCTATCGCGCAAATTGCGGTCATGCCGCCTCACTCCTCTTCTCCTGAACGTGAACCTCGGTCAACAGCCCAGGCCCCAGATCTACTTCCCGCAATTCGCCCAGTGTGATTGCGCTTATTGCTCTTAGACTGGTTCTATAAGTATATATTCGATATCATTTTCCATTGGGGTAAGCATACGTCGTAGTCTCAACGAGCGGTTGTTCATCATCCGCACTTAGAGGCTCCACTGCCTGAGCACCCTTTGAAATAAACCTGAGATTCACTCTGTTCATTATTAGACGCTGTAATATGGCAAATAGTGGTAGATGGAGGTAAATACATATGAAGAAGAACCTTAGAATACGTATCATAGGCTTTTTTATTCTCGTAGCGGACTGAGAGTTTCTAAGAATAAAATATACTAGTTAGTCCATTTCAGGCTCGGGGGTTGAACGGTAACAAACGTAGTCAGCCATTGCGAAGGATAATGTCTCAGCTGAAAGGATGGAGATCTCGGCGCTTATATATGTCAGATCTGATACCCGAGCTAAGGGGGTAAGATTAAATGAAATGGATTATGCAGCGCTAATGCATGGTCCTCAGGGTTTGGCGCGGCTAGATTGATTGGATCTTGCATTATTTTGTTCGCTGGCAAATATGGCTTATTAGATGTTAGATGGCTCTAAATGGTGAGATTAAGTGTAATGATAGGGATGGCTGATATGAAGAATGCCAATATACGGGTTTACTTTCCTTAAGGTCTCTAGAAGGGCTTTCATTCGTTAGAATAATACGTTATTCCTTCTACCCAAGTCCGAGCTAGGCGATAGGGTCCTCGTAAAACCACTAAAAATCTTTCAAAACTCGATTTTCAGTCAAAATACCATCTCCAGTTTTACAATCTGTGATTCATTCACCGACATATCGTCTCCTATAGGGGGTGCTAGGGTGCGCACTATGGACTTAAGCGCTTTAATAGCACACGAAGAGTTTCTAGAGGGTCGTCGATTGTTAGAATTTCTGTCTTGGGGAGAAGTTGGGCAATAGAATGAAAGGAGGTAGGGGAACATAGTACGACATTTTGGAATAGCGGATAATGCTTTCTCAACTGGCGGAACAGAGATTGTTGCCTGCTTATGTACCCCGAGATCCATTACTTTAGCTGAGGGATGGCCATAGCCACGTACCACAGGAATCTATGCGTGTTTGAAGTTCTATAAACGTTAGACAGTGCTCAGTTGTAGTGCCCCAGCTATATCATCAGTGAAAGACAATGGGATCCGTTCTGATGTAGTATGAGGGCAGATGTTGAAGAGCGTGGTGCCCTGCGTGGCTGCTTTTCATTATAACAAGTATCAGTCAATAATACATTAAATAAAAATACTAATCACCAGCTATATATGTATATTGATCAAAACAGACCCTCGTAGTAAAGAGCGAGCCAGCTGGGTGAACATGATTAACACAACACCGCCGACACCGTTGCAGAGATCGGCTTATCACCATCGAGCCCACCATAGCTCAGAAATCATACATAATATAAAGAGCACTAGGGCTTTTTATAGCTGCATCTTGTGACAAAATAGCCCCAATGAATGAGCTCGGAGGCCGCCATATGGTATGTATAATACAGGCTATGCGGCACTGTCCATGAATCCCAAGTCCAGAGAGCCACAACCAAAGTGGTTGACGCTGAGAAACGCCAACGTACATTGAAGCCCGGCCTCCGCAATATAGTAATACCTGGTTAATGTTTTGATATTAGAATCGGGTCGGCAGCAAACTCTGGCCTCTGGAATTCGAAGCAACAGTCGATACATTTGTCTTTCTTCGGAAAATCTGCGCGCTGAAGAATATTGACGCCAGCCCTTCGATAGCCCGAACGTAATAGTAGTAATTTCACGTATCCATTGCATATACCTGGCGAAGTAACAATTCGTACAGTCTTTCTCCTGTGGTCAAATTATGTTTTTTCCTCGTGATCTACTCCGATTTAATCGAGCCAAAAGGTGTAATATCTTGGGATTCGGTGGCTTGCTTTGTTGTATAGCCTTGCAAGAACCGAAAGGGACGACATAAGGAGACTCTGATCCAAATGCCGAATCATCGATCGACTTATTAAGAAGGAACCCATACCATTTTTCTGCATGGGGTGGCAAGCGTTGGAAAATTTCGAATGCTTGGACTCGAAGAGCAAGCCATAAGGATAACCGCATACAGTGCAAACTGCAAGTGTCGCCGAAATATATTCCTCCCCACAGGGAGAATCCGCTAGCGCGCATTACCAGATGTGGAAGGATCGGATCCTCGAGTGGTCAGAGATAACACCCCGCAAGAAGGATCGAGACAGCGAATCAGGAATGCAGTACATAGTAACGTCCCTCATATCGAGATAAAGCATACTATCTGTCATCCGGAGGCAAAGAGAGCATTAGCCGACTATTGTGCGGGGATATACCATTTCTCTCCGGTGTTCTTTGCTTCTCATACAAGTGAGCACCTCCCACTTCTATCATGTCTGTCATACAAGCCAACAGAGGGATGTCATCCTTTCAACCGTTCCAGTGCCTTGTTTGTCAAAGTCGCTTTACCCGACACGAGAACCTCAAGCGACATGCCGCGCTTCATAATCGCTCTCAGACAGAAGCCTCGCTTCCTTGTGACCTTTGCCACGCTACTTTCTCTCGCCTCGATCTACGCCGTCGTCATATGAAGAGAAAACATCCAGAGCACGAGCAGAGAAGGACCATACAAAGATCATATCGCGAGAGAAGTGGTGGATGGAGATCTCAAGACAACGTAGATTCTGCATCGCCCATAGAAGGCGAGCTAGAGATGGATAGAGAGGTTTGGCAGGCTGCATTACGGTATGTGCAGCAGCAGACCAGCCATGACAATGCCGACAGCACCGATCTTGCAGTTAACGCTCCTGTAAGCGTCGGAGATAGCACTTACTCGAACACAGACCCACTACCGCAGCAGCCGTCCGTGAACGAGTTGGGTGATCTTGACCAGATTGTGCAAAATGCAACGGACCTGGAGCAAAGCCTGTTGGTGGGAATGTCCCCTCTTAACCATGCCCAGCACCTTGTTACCCAACTTCAACAGACTATTCCACAGTCTGCCCCGTTTAATACAAATCTGGCGGGATTCAACTTCAACCAAGGTCTCCCGGATAGTTTGTTGTTTATGGACTCACCGCGACTCCAGGACGATTGGTTCCCGTCCCCCCTGCAGCTCACACGAGGCTGCGAGCTCTTCTTTGCTCATGTTTCGCCATTTGTCCCTTTCCTTCACCAACCAACGTTCAATGCCGCTCAAATCCCTCCTCTCTTGGCTCTGGGCATGCTCTGTCTTGGTTATCAATATGGCGATGATCCGGAATGCGGTGACCAGGCAAGCTCGGGCGTCGGACTGTCTACACGCTGCTTCCATAGAGCCCGTTCTTTGATTTCATTTTCACCCGATGAGGGAACAGCGGATGGTCTGACAAACAATGTCTTGGTAGTTCAATCGCACTTGCTACTCCAAATATGCGCCATGATGTACCTCTGCGGTAACGATTCAGCATACGGCCTCAAGATACATTCGAACATGATATCCCTTGTCCGGACCGGAGGGCTAATGGCACCAGCAACAACCGCATCCACCATGACTGAAGACCTGGAGTCCTTATGGCGAGAATTTATCAAAGCCGAATCACATAAGCGAACAGCCTTCGCCGTCCACCAGATCGATGCGCTGTGGTACCAATTCTTATCTATTCCTCGCTCGATCTCCCATTTAGAAATCAAACACGAACTGCCCAGTCCAGAAGACTACTGGACATCATCTTCCTCAGTCGAATGGGCATATAGGCAACTGGTTTCTCGACATTCAGGCCCCTCGGTACAATACACCGATGCCGTTCGACGCTTTCTCTCACCCGATGCGGATCTCACCTCCATTCCACCATTTGATCCGTACGGAGCTATCAATATTACACAATTCCTCGTCTCCAGTGCCCGTGAAATATCTGGCTGGTCTGCCATGACGGGCATGCTCAGCATGGATAGGTTCAGTGCACTTAGGTCATCACTCGTCGCACTCAGCCGCTTCATCCGCCCAGAACAACAGCAACCGGTGCCAGTGACAAAAGCAGCAACACACGCCGCAGCTGTGTCCCGCGCGGCAGAAGCAACATGGGAGACCGCTATGATAGAGCTACACATGTGGTCCCCATCGCACACCGGCGGCATCGTGGAAGCAAGCATAGATGCCGTTTTAAGTCAGTTAACAACCTATCTGGGCCCATCATGCGGAATCCTCGAGTCAAACACTGCCAAAGCTATCCAGCCTCACGTCAACTGGTTTCTGCGCTATCTCGACATGACACTCACACCAAACTCGGAAGCGCCGTGGATTGCATTCTACGCGTACAAGGCGTTCTTGATTGCGTGGCAGCTTATGCACGGGAGGGTGGCTGGTGCGATGCATGTCGTTGGTGTGCAGGATGGAGATGTGGAGGGGGCGTTGGGGTGGGCGAGAAAGGTGTTTGAGCGTAGAAGGAGGTGGCAGCTTGGAAGGCTTATTCTTGCAGGTTTGGATGAGTTAGGGAAATAAGTGCCCTGATTTATATTTGACTTTGTAACTACTTTGACTTGAGCGTACCCCTATGAGTATTATAATAAACATGATTATTCCTAAAATCGAAGTTAGTACATCTCATAGCGCCAATTAAGCTGCACCATCTCCTCCGTAACACCCCCCTTAACGACCTTTGCAATCAACTCAGGATCACCCGAATCCAGCCGCTTATTTTCCCGCAGCACAAGCCACCGGTAAAAAGTCATAGTACAAGCCAGCAAAACCGCACACCCCATCAGTGTCCCAAAAGCTGCAAAGAAGTGTGGCGGCGCATAATACAAATAGGACGCCCAGATATTCGACGTCCCACCAATAGCATTGACTAATGCCGAAGCTGCCGCGCGTTTTGAGATTGGCCGCGCAAGATGCAGATTAATTGTTTTGAATAGGAGGAGTTGTGGGCCGACAGACGCAGTGGGCAGGATCATCATTGAGAAGTAGCGCGCGCCCACGTTGTCCGTTGCCATTGGGATGATGTACATGATGATTGCGACGGCCGCACATATGAGGATGATTGGGTAGACGGTGTTCTTGCGGTCCGAGTAGTACATGATGCAGTAGTAGATCGCGCCGGCTAGGATATATGGCGGTGCAGTGAGAAGCAAACTGATCATGTTGGAGAAGTTGAGGGATTCAACGAGCGTGGGGAAGTAATTGGCAATAGAGCCCTGTGTCTGCGAGAGCATATTCGCGAAGATGAGGAGTAGCAGCTTAGGATCGGATAGGGCGCTTGAGAAACCGCGCAGGGCGCTCTCATTCCCATTGTTCTCTGCCTCGCTGCTGCCCTCTGCGGCACCGGCTTCGGCCTCGATGCGCCAGACGGCAAGGCCGCGCTCTACCGGTGACAAAATGCGACTGTTGTGCGGGAACTCGGGCATGATGCACGCACAGATCATTCCAATTCCTACTGTCGCACTGCCCTCGATGATGAACAGCCACTGCCAGCCGGCGATGCCATGAGCGCCGTCAAGCTTGAGAACGGCGGCCGCGAAGAGCCCGCCAAAAGCATTGCCTACCTGCTGCGCGATATATAGTGCCGCGATGCGCTTCCCCAGCTCCGTCTTAGTGTACCATGCTGAGAGAAAGTAAATGGCGCCGGGAAAGAAGACTGCCTCTGCGGCGCCCAGGATGGCCCGTACGGCGAGCAGTTGGCCGTAACTCTTGACTGCTGCCGTCGCGGCCGAGATGCTGCCCCAGATCGCCACGGCACAACATATATACATACCCGGACGGGAAATTTTGGTAATGATAAGATTGCTCGGGATTTGGAAGGGCAGGTATCCCACGAAAAGGATCGAAATGGCAGTCGCAAATTGTTGGGTGGACATGTTGAGATCCGCCATGATGCCTTGGAGCTTTGCTGCTGCTAGGTTCTGGCGGTCGATGTAGTTCAGGATATACAAAATGCCGATAGTTGGGAGAACAAGGAGATCAACCTTGCGGACAACCTTTTGGTTGAGCTTCCGTAGCTCATCGTCGCTGAGGTCGCGGATGCTCTCTGGCATTCGTTGGTATGCCGCGCTGGTGATGTCGACTTGGCCCTCTGAGGAGGACACATTGTCGTCTATGAAAGAAAACTCCAAGGGCTTTTTGGTATCCATGGTCATAGGCTTGGAGGAGATCCGATTGAGTTCAGTGTTTGATGGGCGATAATGAGCACGGCTACATTGCGGTCATTTCGAGACTATAAGACTCTGATGTGGTCTTCTTCAAAAGCCGACCTATACGGTAAAGACTCGAAGGAGAAGCCTATCTTGATTGCTATCATGAAAATGCCGACGTGATAATATGGTGGTCATAGCCTCCGATAAACAGGCGTGACTCGTTTATTATCGCGGGTCCTTCACGATGTTAATAGATAAGCACATGGAGGAGCACTCCAGCGCGATTAGGCCAATCGGAGCCATATTTCAAGCGGATAGAGGTTTGGCATGAATCTGGGGTACATGAGCCGTAGCTCTTTGTTGGCAGGAGGAGTAAATGGGTGACATTTGAGGAGCTCCTCCCAGATGCTGCATCTCACCCCGCTTCCAGCGCGATGGGAGTTGAAGTACCTTGAAAACAAGATAGAAAAGGCAAGCAACAGCCCAATGTAGAACATAATAAATCATTTCTTGCTGCTTAAGTCGCAATTGAACTTTTTTCTGAGCCACTCCATTTCCACCTCGAAAAACCACCTTCATCATGACAATCACTCACTATCCCACCCCCCTCACAACCCAGATCGAGAACCCTCGACTGAGACTCCTTAACAAGCTCAAAGCTGGCGACTTCCCACTTTTAACATTCATGGCCATTCCCTCCGTCCGCATGGCCCAAATCGTCGCCCTGACAGGCCTCGACGGCATCATCATCGACTGCGAGCACGGCCACATCGGAGATGATGCAATGCACAATTCTGTCGCCGCCATCTCCTCCCTCGGAGTATCGCCCATAATCCGCATTCGTGGCCCCGCTCACGACATCATCAAGCGTGCGCTTGACACCGGCGCGCACGGCATCATGGTCCCGCAGATTAACAACGCCGAGGAAGCGCGGCAGATTATCGCTTCGTCTAAGTTCCCGCCACAGGGTGTGCGTGGGCAAGGATCTGCTTTTCCTGCTATTGGTCATGGGCTCACGACACCTGAGTATATGCGGTCTGCGGATGAAACGATTGTTACCATGATTCAAATCGAAACTCGTGCGGGTGTTGAGAATGTCGAGGATATTTGTGCTGTGCCGGGGGTGGATCTTGTGTTTATCGGACCTAATGACTTGGCGCAGTCCTTGTTGGGATACACTCCTGCGCGTGGAGATGAGCCTGAGTTTGTCGATGCTGTGGATAAGATCATCACTGCAGCGCGGAAGCATGGCAAGTGGGCGGGTCGTATGGTCAACAACGGGGGCATGGCAAAGGAGGCTAAAAAGAGGTATGATATGGTCGCTATTACGGGCGACACGAAGGCAATCCAGAATTGGTACATGGCCGAGTTTAATATCGCGCGGTCATGAGAAGGGAAGTGTCGTTAATTTAAAATCTCTAGATAGAATAGTATATCCATAAAATTGATGTTCAATAGATGGTTGATCTGGATCTACAAATGTAGGGCATAAGCTCAGATCACAGCAGCACAGATCCTTTTTTACAGTTCTGAGAATATACCAAGACCATTTGCGATAAAATTGGTGCTCTGAGAAGTCTACATCCAAACAAGCTTTCTGTGTTGGTGATGTCTAAAGGCACATACTGCGAGGGCACTGACATGATGAAATGATCGAAATTGGGCAATCGGCCTCTTCTTATGACCGTGTACGTTCCTACCTTAGCTGACGAAGAGACCCATGTGCCGTGATCGACTAGAGTAATGCTTGCTTCGTTAAAGCAGGAGATATAGCCTTTTATTTGCCTATATTCTATCTAATTTGCAGAATCAAGCCTGTGCAATACATTCAATCTCAATGGATGTCCCCTCACCCGGAGCAAGTGCCTGAAGACATGAGCGTGACGGCATTGGCTTTGGCAAAAAGTCAATGTACACCTCATTCATGGCCGCAAAATCCTTCATGTCTGCGAGATAGACGTTGTATTTAACCACTTGTTCCAGCGAGGATCCTGAAAGCTCGAGGACTTCCTTGAGGTTCTGCAGAACGGTTCTCTATACGAAAGACAAGGGTCAGTCGATGGCTCGTGAAAAAGGTTCTCAGACGGAAGGACACTTACTGTTGCTTGCTTGATCTCTCCCGTGGCTGTTTGACCGGCGCAGAAGACAAGACCTGGAACCTTGGTCGCAGGGGCTGTGAGGGTTAGTAAACAATGCGGAAAACATACGCCTTCTGACACTCACAGTTGTGGGGCTTAGGGGGGAACTTCTCGCTCGAGATAAGTTGCCGGGTCATTCTTGTTGGATTAATGTAGAAGGGTGTGAAATTAAGTGTTTGTTGAGAAAGCTTGGGGTTTGGGGTTTGGGGTCTAGTTTAAGCAAGTGAATGACTGTCGGGTATAGCTATTTAAATCATTCATGTGCCGCCTTGTACACTCCTCCCATGCTACCGTCTCTACTCCTGTGGATCAAAATGAGGAGTGGTGGTTCGTTCCTCGATGGAGGAGCTCCCGACTTAAGCATTAGGGATGCCAAGCCCACGTCTCAGCCCTAGGCGGGAGGAGCTCCTCCCACGCGATCCGCCCTGCGTTTTCCATTAAAAATTAGTGCGAACTAATTAATTGAGTCCTCATGATAACGAGAACTCGGCTATTCATTTCACACCAAGGTAGAGGGGCCCGAGAGCTAGGAAGGGAGGAGCTGGCGGATGAAAGGGACATTTCGGCGGAAGCGTAAAATCAGTACTCAGCATGTCAGTTATTCTAGCCAGGGTGTGATAACGCGCATACTAGTGAATAAAACGAGTAAGACAAGAGAACATGGAAATCTATCCGATCAAGGAGCTCGCCGGAGGAACGAAGCAGTCACCATTGGGAGACATCTGTAGCGCCTCCTCACACAATCCGTATAGAGACATCGCACGTTGCTATATAACCACACCTAGAAGGTGTCTCCAACAGCAATCACAACCACGTCCATCCTATACTCTCACAGGCTAAGACATGGCACCCGCAGCCCCATTCAACCCACCTTCAGCCGACCTACCTGGCAAGCCCTTCGTGCCACAATGGGTTCCTCCGCAAGCCACCAAAGAGAAGCACAATTTTGCCGAACTCAAATCTATTGATCTCTCTTTGTTGGACTCTGAGGACCCGGCCGTTGTGGATGAGCTTATCCAGAAGGTTAAGTTTGCCATTCGCCATGACGGCTTCTTGTTCCTCGAGAACTATGGGGTTTCTCTCGAGCAGGTGAGACACAAGTCGCATAATCGAAGTTGATGGTAAAATTAGCGCGCTGATTATGTTTATCATGCAGCTTCACCGTCAGTTCTCTATTGCTCAGTATCTCTACAGCAACATCAGTGATGAAGACAAGGAACGCCTTCTTTTCCACCCTGATACCGGTCTCTGGTCCGGCTACAAGCATCCTTATGGATTCAAGGTGAGGGAATTGTCACCCGACTTGTTTCCAAGATTCACTCTAATTTCCTTTTCAATATCTAGCGACACCGTGGGCCCGCCGATGGCATTGAGCAATTCAACTGGTACAAGCAAGACTGGGAAGATATCAACCGCGTGCCCGGGTGTCTGCACCCATTTATGGACGAGATCGAGGCTTTCTCTAACTACCTCACGAAATCCGTCAACCGACGACTCCTTACGCTCTTTTCTCGTGTTCTGGAGCTCCCGGACGACTATCTCTGGGACAACGTCCAATCTCAAGGGAGCCCGACCGGCGAAGGCTACTTCCGTCACGCACTCTTTCGACCCGTCCAGAAAGAAACCGAACAGGCATCGAAAGGACTGCGCATGCATGGTCACACAGACTTTGGCTTGACCACCTTGCTTTTCTCCGTTCCCATCTCTTGTCTGCAGATCTGGAGCCGCGACGAACAGTGGCACTATGTACCTTACAAGCCGGGAGCACTGGTCGTTAATATCGGTGATACTTTAGAGATTGTCTCTGGAGGACACTTCAAAGCCACTCGTCACCGCGTTTTCAAGCCACCGGTTGACCAATTGCAAGAGGAGCGTCTTTCAATCGTGTTATTTAACAGCTCTGTTGGAGATTTGCGCATGGGACCTGCACAAGGTGAGTGTATCCAAACCAGTGGCAATGTGTATGAATTCCTACTCACACTCAACAGAATCACCACTTATCCAGCGGGAGGGCTGCGTCGAAGAACAGGGCATCTATAAAGAATTCAAGAACCTCACATCCCATGGAAAGCTTGTGCCTACTAATCAGCAATGGCGCGAGATCCAAATCGCGACGGTGACGGATCCAACGGACACGGTGCGCAACCGCGTCGGGGCGGATCAGGTACTCATAGACGGCAAGCTCATGCATCAGCGAGAGTACATGGGCGTTAAAGTTGTCCTGCCTGTTTGAGGCATTGCGCAAGCGGAGACAATCATACATTCTGTACTGTGAGCAGCTCATAATAGGGACCACTATGTGAGGTTTATAGTGTTACACTTTGCATTCTTTTAATTTAAGCATCTGATTTGAAGTACAAGGGCATTTCAACTGTTGCCATTAGACTGAGGACGTCTTATTCATGTAGAGCTATATAATTCTTTGTATGCTATTCTCTATATTCCCTTAAAAGGTTGCAGTAATGGCAGCGCGATAGCTCTATACCAAATGAAATGTGTGTGTCCATTCTCTAATTGAACCCCAACGCAATTCCAGGGTACTCTGGTGCATCTATAAAAGAGCCCTTCTGCCTTTTTTTGGAATATCTATCCTGCTATTGATATCACGAAAATTTAGGGATATAGCCACATAGTGCGTTAAGCGCTAAGCCCTGCCTAGATAGCTTCGTAATCGACCAGCATCCTGCACCCCGATAGTCAATCAACAACCGACGGCAATTGAAAGATATATTGAGATAATGCAGGGAGATGAGGGCGGATTTCATCTTTCTAATCATGTTAGTTACGGTCCCACAATCTTTATATAACCCCGAATGATAAGCAGTCGACAGCATACTTCTGTCTCTTTGAATTCTAAATTTTTCAATTCCAAAGTCTCCGAGCTTATCATCAGCGGATTAACTCTGCAAGCTTGTTGTCTGAAGAGAAGCAAAAACATGTCCGTCAACGAGATCCATGGCCGACTAGCCCTAGTCACTGGCGCATCAGGAGGGTAGGTTTTACTTAGCTTTCCCCAATTATTAATAGATACCAAGCCTATAAAGCTTCCAAGAGGTAAAAGTTTCGCTAACGATGATCTGTATTATGATATAAAATCGGTGCAGCATGCGCACACCAACTCGCACAACACGGTGTCCACCTCGCGCTGACATACTCGACGAACCTAATATTAACAAAAAAACCTCGTATCAGATATACAGTCCAAGTACACTGAAATCAAGCTCCGCATCTCAATCCACCAAGTCGATGTAGGATCAGCCGACCAAATCGGGGCCATGTTCCAGCAGATCGAGACCAAGCACGGCCACCAGCCCGACATCCTGATCTCGAACGCCGAATACGGAAAACGAGTGCCCAACGTACTAGAAATGTCCCTTGATGAGTTTGATTGTTTGATTAACGTCAACCTCCGCGCATCCTTTATCCTTGTAAAAGGCGTGGTAGAGCACATGATGAGCCAGCGATGGGGGCGCATTGTGTTTGTGTCTTCTATTGCTGCATATGGAGGGGGCATTAATGGATGTCGTGAGCCTTACCTTACTTTCTTCTTATAATTTCTATCACATTCTGTGGATGATGCCTAACGAGCGCTTTGTTATAGACTACGCAGCTTCCAAGGGTGGACTCACCGGCATGATGAACCTCTCGACCCGTCTGGCAGAGTATAACATAAGCGTCAACGACGTCGCTCCTGCCATGATTGGCAGCACTGGTATGATCTCTTCTACCATGGTGATGGACGATATGGTGGCGAAGATACCACTGCGGAGACTAGGCACGCCTGAGGAGACGGCCAACGCTATCACTATGTTGGTGACAACAGGGTATATGACGGGCCAAAGCCTTTTATTGGCTGGGGGTTTGAGATAGCGAATATATCGTTTTCTGGAGGTTTAATACAATTACGAGTACATTCATTATGTGACGATCTCAGACAATATGAATTTTTTGGTAGACTATCTAGCGACATACCAACATGGATAAGAAGCTGGGCCTGCCAGCGCTGTACTATCCAGAGTGTGCAAAAGTGGTTCCTTCCCTATATCCAAACAGGTCAGAATAGTCAAACATCTCATGCCGCTGGTGAGCGCCTGCGCTTCATAACATGTGGATTCTTGCTTGATTGGTAGAACTCCAGTGGAGAGAGGCCAATCTGTAGTTTAAATTTATCTATAGCCATATGATTATTAACAGGCACCTGGGCTCCGTCATAGTCATTATAGTCCAGCGCTATGTTTGGTATGACAAAGACGGCCCATTCCTGTTCAGCTTCAGTCTTGGCTTCCTGTATAGGGCTCTCCAGGGCCTCCATATGTTCCATGAGGGGGGAATGGGACTCAGCACCAGTCCGGGCTGTGCGCAATCCCAACCCCGCCGCCCTGGAGGCGCTCATGGCCTACTATCAAGAAGGGCTCAGTCGCTGGGATCAGCTCTCAGAAGAGAATTACAGGTCTTACAATACTATGGACCCATTGAAAATATGTCAGGGGCATTATAGGGTATCTAGGAGTCTCTTCTGACTGCAGCGATCCGAGCAAAGTCACCATGCAGTGTGAGCCTCCTTCTAGCATCTGGCGCAGATTGCAATGGGATCTCATCCAATGACTTGTCTAACTACTCTGCTCAATCTATTCGTGGCCGTGACGCCAGCATTTATGTCTCCAGCTTCGGTGGTTGTCCTCCGAGGGCAGAACTCCTTGCGATTGCGAAGGCCAAAGGCAATGAGAGCCAAATGGCACAGCTGACCTCAGCCAAACTGGATGAGCGCCTGGCTGGATTCCCTCGGTTCTGGACAGAGCCAAATGTACCTGGTCAACGATTGCGCATGGACACTGCACTGGCTTCTCTTGAAGTCGCGGCACAATGTGGCTGTGAAGAGTTATTTGACATCCTGCACACTGCGGGTACTGCCTCAGGAACACCACCACCATGATAATGCTTATGTAGTTTGAAAAGAATAAGATCGAGCGGTTGTAGAAAGTTGGTTGTATGTGGTGGGAGGGTAATAAGGATAATTTGATGCTTTTCAGCGTGTTAAACGGATTAGTATGTGAGATAGGAGCCATGGGACTAAGGCCACTACCAGACCCACTCCCATGATATTTGTGCAGTGTAGATGTTCTCATTAGCAAATTGTATGAGAAAATGGCGATTCAACTGTAGTGAAAGATATATCTTCAAAAAATTATGCAAAACAGGTTCAGATTCGAGGTTCCGACCCTTGGACCCTGAATCGGACCATTTTGAGGCCTAGGGCTGACTGAAAAATGATATCTCATCCGACAATAACAACATATGCAGACCGGACCGAAACTCGGAAAAAGTTCCTGGCCATACACGCTGACCACAAAAAATGGATTCCTACTCCGTTCATCTCATTCACGCAATCTCCGCAAGAGCTGCAAGATAATGCCGAATGGAGAGAGCAAAGGAGAGGCTGTCAGATGATTACTGTGCTAAATCCAAATGTTCAGGTGAAGAAGGGCCTTCCCATCCTCAACATGAGTGCCGTAATGGGTCATTACGGAATACCGGACCCCTACGGCAATTTGAATAAATATCAAAAAATTTACTAGTTACACCTGTTTACGGGAAGTTAAACAGGTTGTCGGACATTGAGCATGAGACGATTTAGTTGAAACTGACCGCTGGTACAAGCAAGTCGTGTTGCTCGTTTTTAAAAAGCATAATGATAGATACCTTGTCATTATACATCACCTAACATATTAGGTGATGTATTTAAAATGAAGCATAAATCTGAATCGAACGCATGTTGGTCTAGCTGTACTTATATCCTGGATGCTAACTAAAGCTTCCCCAGACTGATTACCCCGGATTTACTCAACAATGAACCACCCCTTCTGAATCAAGAGCTGGAACAAATTCGCTACAATCCACAGATCGATCTTCGAATCCCTCCGAGCATTATATTTTCTATCACCCCGGAATGCTACCATGGTTACCGCGCACGGGGGCTCGGACGAATTACTCTAGGAATCCCTCCGGCAAATCAGGGCCTGTCGTTTATGTTAAGTTCAAATGCAATTGTTCAAAAAAATGATAACTTACCCCATATGTGCAGATTGTTAGGCGAGGCCAACGAGCGATTCGTCGGTTGAGTCTCGTCAAGCAAATCTCCATCGATATAATGCTCGACGATAAATCCTGATGCATCAAACCTAAAAATATTATTAGAATAGTACCATCCAGGAAAAACCAAAAACATACCAATAGTCAAAAACCTGACTTCCCATAATATGCCGACCAACACCCCAGCAATTCTTATACCCCTGCTGCCGGAGCCAATGGTGTCCCAACAGCTGGGTATCAAAATCGTGCGTCTCGAAAGATGAATGATGAACATGCGACTTAGGTCCTTCGAACATGAAGAAGCAGTGATGATCTACCAGCTCACTTCCTCGGTCCAGATGGAGAAAGACGGTGATATCTTTGCCAGTTTCATCGTGGATGAGCTATTTTGATTAGTGTCTACCAACACCGACCTGTAAATGCGATGACTTACATCGCTGGCCTTAAAGTTGAATCTGTTGGTATAAAATGCGTACGCTTTGGCAAAGTCGGTCACACACATTCCAAAATGACCGAGTTTATGCACTGGTGCTGGGCCTATAACTTATTATTGGCTTTATAATTGACCTTGCCCGTGGCATATAAACGTACCCAGTTGAAACCTCTGCGCGCTGTTGGTCGATCGTTGTTTCTCTGTGGGCTTCAACAGGTTAGCTTCCCATCATCCTCATTCTCCGTGATAAGATACATACATAGTTATACTTCAACTGCGGCAAAGCCCTCGTCTCATCCGCAAGATCTTGCCCATAGACCAAATGAAATGGGAACCCATCGACCGGGTCTTTAAAAGTCACACATAGACCTCCACCCGGAGCTTCCACAAGCTCATATACCTCACTAGCTTCAGGCAGTGTCTGCGATGCATAATCAAGATCTTCGCGAGATCCCACGACAAAAGCTGCGCCGCCGAATTCATCGACATCGCCTTCTCGCGCACAGTACACGAATGGCTCAGGGCCAGTTCCGCGGTAATAGATTATCTTCTTGTCCTTGTCGCTGGTTTTGAATTCCTGAAAGCCAAAGTCATTTAGGAATCGGGAGGCTTTTGTAATATCTTTGTGGTTGTAGTAGATGTGGGCCAAACGGACGAGGCGGATTTGGCGATGGTCAGTGGTTGCGCCCATGATGTGTTATGCGATATGGTGCTACTCTGGATAGATTTCATGATAATTTACGAGACAAGCATTTTCATTCTTAATATAGTGATTCCTTGTCGAGTTCATTTGGCGGTGCAATGCCGATATGATGGTTCGGACCATCTTCGGTGCAATTCGGTATCACTCCGATATACACAAATACAAATGCATCAAAACAAGTTACAGTGATAAAGTAACAGCTGCAACTTAGAAAATTAATTCAATGGCGGTGAGTTGAGAAAAAGCAGGATATATCACTCTCACGGTTCTCTCCAATACAACTTCAACCGTCAACTTTGACAAACTTGAGCAAAGATGGCACCGTCAATAATCGACCTTCCTACATCTCCTAATGGTCAAACACGCCATAAAGCAGCCACGGATGGCACCATCGATACCGAATTCTTAATCGTCGGTGCGGGACCGGCAGGTGCTGCACTGGCATGTTTTCTCAGTTCATATGGTGAGCTAATGTACTCCAAATAACGTTATCAGTTATCAAATGCTAAGGAATACAGGAATCAGAGGAATCATGATCAGTGCCTCCCCGGGTACTGCCAATACACCCAGGGCCCATATTACCAACATGGCAGCACTAGAATGCCTCCGGGATATCGGTCTTGACCAAGAAATCAACAAAGCCGCGTGCAGCGGTGATCAGCATATGGTACATACTAGATGGTGTCACAGCATGGCTGGTGAAGAGTATGCGAGAATCCATTCTTGGGGTAATGATCCTAAGCGAAAGGGTGACTATGAAACGGCCAGTCCTTGTTCGCCGGTCGACCTCCCGCAGACGCTGTTGGAGCCTATTTTGGTCCGGCATGCCATTTGGAAAGGCTTTACTACACGTTTTGATACGAGATTCCTCTCTTTCACCGAGGATAGTGGCATCATTACAGCCAATCTTTGTGATAATCTCTCCCAACACGAGTACCAAATTCGAACCAAATATCTCTTCGGCGCAGACGGGGCCCGCAGCCAAGTCGTCAAGCAACTCAACCTTCCCCTGGCAGTCAAATCGGGCCAAGGCCTCGCAATTAATGTCCTTGTCCGTACCGATTTATCCCATCTCATCGAGCACCGCAAGGGTAATCTGCATTGGGTTATGCAACCGGATCGTGAACACCCCGAATTTGGCTGGATGGCAATTGTACGGATGGTCAAGCCATGGAACGAGTGGATGTTTATTTTTTTTCCGACAAATGATTTTGATCCGCACGCAAATCCATCGAATGAGGAGTATTTACAGAGGGTGCGCGAGATTATTGGTGATGAAACACCAGCAGATATTACTGATATCTCGAAGTGGAATATAAATGAGATAGTCGCGGAAGAGTACTCCCGGGGGAATATGTAATTACATTAACATCCTATTTTGACACTGGTATATACTCATGATGAACAGATTCTGTCTCGGTGATTCCGTCCATCGCCACCCACCATTGAACGGACTGGGCTCAAACACCTGCATCCAAGACGCATTCAACCTTGCCTGGAAAATCGCCTACGTTCACCAGGGGCTCGCATCTCAATCCCTATTATCAAGTTACTCAACGGAAAGACAGCCCGTCGGCCACTCTATCATCACGCGCGCAAACCAGGCATTCCGTGATCACTCGCACATTTGGGATGCATTGGGGATGTTAAACAAAGATGTCGAGAGCCGAAGAGCTGTGCTCGAGGAATTGTCTGCTGTGACGCCAGGCGGGCAGAAGCGACGTCGTGCTCTGCAAGATGCTATCTCGCATACGCGCCATGAGTTTCACGGTTTGGGGGTTGAGATGAACCAACACTACTCTGGCCCGGGGGTTTACGATGCGGATGAAAAGCAGGCATATGCCCAGTATGGAAAAGCTGCGGAAGACTCAGTCCTGTACCACGAACCCAGTACATATCCGGGATGTCGGTTGCCGCATGCTTGGCTCAATAAGTCCGTTCCGGGGAAACCGATTTCTACGATTGATCTGGCAGGACATGGGGCGTTTAACCTTCTCACTGGCGTTGGAGGCGAGCCCTGGAAAATAGCTGCGGAGTCTGTGTCTAATAAATCGGGAGTTCCGTTAAGGGCCCATTCTATTGGGTTCCGGCAAGACTGGGAGGACATGTATTATGACTGGGAGCGGGTGAGGGGGGTGAATGAGTCTGGAGCTGTGTTGGTAAGGCCGGATCGGTTTGTGGCTTGGAGAGTACCTGAAGTGTTGGAGAATGTAGATATGTGTGAAAGGAAGTTGGGTGATGTATTGAGATCGATTTTGGGTGTTATCAAACTTTAGATACTAGTGTTTTATCGTATAGCATTTTAGATGTACGGCTAAATTTGTCTAGAAGAGAGCATCCGACAATTCATTCGGTACCTGCAAATACCTCCAATCAATATCAAGCCCTCCATCCATCGCCCTGCTATTTTCAATCCACGGCCCTTGTGACTGCGTACTCCCGAAGAGGAACATAGGATCAATTAGTGTGGCGGACGGGATCATCTGGTCTGTAATAAAATGAGCGTCTGTTGATGGTTCAGACAGCATATCAACCATCGATGCGTTCCGCATGTCTTCAGCTGGAATTCCAGCGTGCCAGTTAGTTGGGTTGAAGCTGTTGCTTGATGGTGGTGTTGGGATGACTGTTGTGGTCATGCCGTTTGAATTCGTATTTGGTACGGATAGGATGTCGTCAAGGTTTGGACTTTGGAACGAGTGCTCCCGACGAGCCGGTGGAGATGAAGCATGACTCCGTTCTGTTCTGCGCTTCTTCCTGGACTGCTGCCACGCTTCCAATTGCTCCTCGAGGGTTTCCAAATTCTGTTGAACAGTGGTATGCATATCCCAGAATCGCACGCATCTCTTATATGTCAGATGCAGAACCTCATACCTGGACTTTACAGCAGATTTAATTGCCCCCGGTCGGCAGAGTTGGCTGCGCATCAAATGCACAGCTGATGCCAGCCAGATAGTGTTTGAGAGGAAGGGGTTGATGTATCGGATATGATGGTCGCAGCTGCGGTGGATGATGGTAAGCATATCATCGGCGGCTTCGAAATATTCATTAACGGCTAGGCGCTCTGTCTTCCCTTTCGCATTCATGTCGGAGTTTTCACGATTAACATCGAGCTCATGGGTAGGAAGTGCTACATGAAATCGCCCTTTGAATACGTCGTAGCGGTAGATCATGAGTCGTGCGAGCTGCGTCATCATGTAAATATTGTAAATGGAACAGTGTATTTGCCGCAAGGACGAGACCTCGCCGTGGATGCGAGCGTCAAATCCCAGATGTTGCTGCCGATATTTAAGGTGACTTGGAAGGGCTAGTTGAAAACAATATACAGCGTTAGCAATGACCTCGAGTCGCTGACGAGCCTCGTCCATTCGGTCAGAAGATGGTCCATTTCCATTTGGAATGCCCCTGGGGCTGGATATTCGCTGGGCCTCTTTCATAAGGGAGTTTATAACGATAAACCATGCTTTGGGCGATTGACTTCCGCTATCTGCAAGTGCCTTCCACCGAAGAATCGGGTCTTTTTGAAAAAAGCAACTCTGTGTGGGCTTACAGTCAAACCAATGCTCGTCATCAACTGGGAGCAGAGTCTCCAGTTGCGACCAGTCCACGGCGGTAGGTGTTCGTCGGATAGTTGTGGCGAAGACGTCCATTTCCCAGATAGCCCACCAAGCACGGCGCTTCTCTTCGTCTTCAGACCATTGCCTGCTATTTAGGACATGTTCCGTGCCACGAGCATCAACAAGATGCAGGTTCATTTCGTATGCTAGTCGGACACATGTCCCTAACGTCCGCCATGCTCTTCCCAGAACACCCTGCGTTAGTTGACCGTGAGCGACAAGGATAAACGCTTGGAGCAAAGATAATGATGGTGTATGGTCACCACACTCTTTCAATGCATCATTGCTATACTCTGATGCAAGGTTCAGGAAGTGTGCTGCTCGTCTATGCGTGTTTGTTTCTACTCCATCCTCGGCCAACTGAAACCGCACGGAGAAGGCTATCATGGCCCCCAGCAAGGCAGTAACCTCTGTTGGAGATATGACACGACCCAACTTATCATAGAAGCTAGGCTTGTGAAATAGGTTCAGAGCCACCATGTTGTCGAAATATATTTCAATCCTGGTGGTTTTAGTAAAAAGTAGCCTTGCACTATGATTTAACACACTCACGACTTCTCTACCTCTGGCCATGATGATTCTAGAACAGAACGCGCTTTGTCCAAGGAAGCCTTTTGCTGAGTGGCCCCAGATGGCTGCTTCTCAGTGGTATGCTCTTCTCTCGAGCCCGGACTTTCATGCGATGGATGCAAGATAAAAGCGAGGTCGGGTACTTTTCCCTCCACCGTCGCCGGAGCATGGTGACTCTCAGCCAACAAAGACACCTCCCGCTCAACAGCAGAACTGGAGCTAGGGGAATCCGATATAAGATCTGTAGTCTCGTTCTCGGATCCTAGCCTGGGTCTAGTGGGATGTCTCTCTTCGTCGTCGTCATCTCTATCATTTTCATCCGAGAGACGTTTCCGTTGGCGTAGAGAACCTATCTTCGGACCTGGCTTTAATGGTCCTGCAGGATATGAGCAATCCTGCGATGTCTTCTTGCATACCAAGCAATTAGGGGATCTCCGGTCACTAGAACTGTCAGTGCTGCTTTCCTTTGCGGTGGATGTCAACCGACCATTTCACTTTACGGCTACGACATGATCGGCAGGAAATGGACGAACGACGAAAATCGTGCCATTGGACCATTCTGTAGCTCTGTTGTGATGAACGGAGATATTGACAAGATGGAAAAGACAGATCGACAAGTATACAAGCAGATACCCCCGCATTCTTCTCCGGGTCTCACATGATCCGCGCTGAAGTTTGTATTTTACCGTTTTTGGTATTTGTCCGAAGTCTGTCCGAGTGGTTTACTATCTATGCATATTCATGCTATTTACAAATTTATTCATAGTAAACCTTGTTCACCAAAGTCCCAATGTTCTCAATCGCAACGCGCATGTCATCACCGTCGTTCAATACAACCTTCGGATCACGCATAGCGCCAATTCCAGGACCGGTACCGGTCATTATCACCGTTCCTCTTTCCAGGGTCGTTCCTTGGGACAAGAACGAGACGGTTTTGGGGATATCGAAGATCATTTCACTGTTCCGCTATTAGCTTTCGATTGTATCTAATGATGGCGTATCGCACCTACCGAGTGTTCGAGTCTTGCACAACAGAGCCGTTGTGAATCGCCTTGATATCAAGGTTATGCGGATCAATAGCCGATGGGCTCACCAGTACCGGACCCAATGGGCAGGAACCATCAAATCCTATATCATTCTTTTAGCAGTGTCCAAGGCCCTGTCTTATTGGCCCACGTACCCTTCGAAAAACTCCATTGGCTGTTCTTAAACTGCTGCGCACGAGCACTAACATCGTTACTCGCAGTAAAGCCCAGAACATGGTTCATGGCCTCGGACTCAGGAATGTCACGACCGGACTTGCCAATGATAAATGACAATTCCGCTTCGTAGTCACTGGTTCCGTCCTGCGCGATCTTGGGCACATTGATCTTGGCCGGGTAGGGGCCATTCAGTGCAGTCCGGGGCTTGATGAAAAGAACGGGCACGTCTGGGATGGGCATGTTGGCTTCCCGGGCGTGGTCGCGGTAGTTGAGACCCATGCATCGGATTATGGGGACATGTTCCATCTCGATGGGGGCAAGGAGCTGGACACATTGGTTAGTAAACGCAACAAGCCCTAGTATCGTGCAAAGACCTACCTGGGCAACCTGCAGCTGCTTGTCCGTCACTGTGCCATCAAATATAGACCCAGTGACCAATTTTGCCGTCACTTTCTCCTTGTTCAGCAATGCGAGGCCAACGTCCTGATTGGCGTCTACCTCGCCCAGATGGGCCTGGCCATCTTCTTCGGCGATGAACCGGATCAGTCGCGTCCAATTGGGTACCATTTCGTATTTTTTATCGTGAATCTGAGTAGAACCTCAAGCAAAAGCTACTATAATTGCTATGTGTCTGTTTTATGGTACCCCTCATAACAATGCCCCGCAGAGAATCTGACTAATTCGTGTCAATTTCGGGGTAACTGTCGGACTAATTCCGCCATGGATCCCTGATGCAATATCATCTCTTATATTTAGGTCTACAGAAGCAAGTCGGCGGCAAATAGCAAACTAATTCATTATTAAAATTCTCGAAGCCGATCGTAGTAGAGCATAATGGTTTGTGGTTTGATATTGAAGACGTGAGGGTGTGAACAGTGAAGTAGATATATATCCATCGATCAGCCCTCAACCCTATAATCAGTGAATAGAAATTAACACTTGCTTTTCAAGCATGAGACGAAATATCTTAAAGAATCAAGCCATATCACTGGGGTTAGTCTTGAACGACATTCCTACATGGACTCATCCCCATCCGAGGACCATCTGACTCCTACGCTCTATTATAGTGGCTAATGGTCAGGCACAACCTCCTTAATGAGATTGGAGTGTATATGAATGAATGGCTAACAGCTAAAGGACAACTCTATTACATACATCACCAAGAAGACATTCGGTAACAGGGTAAACAAAAGGAGACACTTAGAGAAATACTAGAGTGGCTCTTCCCGTCGAGCTTACCCTCCACGGAGATATAGATCACAAATGTTGTGTTTTTATGCCGACTAAATTCACTTTGACACAATACCAAATACCGTGTGAGAATGTTTGCATGACATACAAGAGCATGAGTTCAACGCCTTTTGCTTCTTCATCTACAGAGGTATAGAGATGCTAACACACAGCAGGGCCGGCTACATGGACAATTTTGCCGTAACCACACTTGCTATTGGGTAACAGATACCGGCGACTGTCAGGGAGGATGCTCCTATTTTCGAGACAATTTGCACATCCTTCTTCCACTATAGATACAGTGAGAACGGGATCCAGTAGGAACACCCAGTAATTCGTAGTTGTTAAGAACTCCAGAAATTGATCACAGACTACTGGTTAGTTAGTTACCACATTTCTTTTTTCTTTTTTTTTTTTTTTTTTGTTCTCTGAAACCGCTAAAATGTACAGGAGCCGGGCTTTGTCGTACGGAATCGTCAATGGGGGTCTGTTTCGAGTTTGGGCAGCTTAGATATCATGGCTACTTTATTATACGTTAACGCACCTCAAGCACAACAAGATTAGGGAGAAAGCATCGCAACAATACTGGTAGTGATTAGAACAAATGCAGTATTATGTACAAACAAACAACAAAGCTCAATAACATAAAGCTGCAACATCTATATACTCGTTTGGTCGTATACTCGACAAGTCGTAAACTAATGCCTTCATTTTTTTTAGTTTCCATTCCAATAACTTCAACACTATGCCCCCCAGAATCATGACTTGTCCTTCGTTTTCCAGCGTAACATCATTAAAGGGAGATGAGAGCATCGTGTACAGCTCAACCCCTCGTGTTGTATCGTTCATTGAACGCATTCACCGCTGCGAGAGCATTAGCTTCGAATTCTAAGAACTATAATGGCAATTAAAACTCACCAATTCCAATCTGCCTATACAACCAATTCCTCGAACTCTCATCCTGCACCGGAATGAATGGGCCATTGGCACCTCCCTTAAGCGTGATACTCATTCCAGTCCGCTCCTTTGAGATTGTTTGGATGTCCGTCAATCGAATATCCCACTCGCTCCGGAGTCGCTTGGTGCGGACGAGCATGATCCGGTCATAGGTCAACATGACCAGTATGTCTCTACCCGGGAGCTCCAGATGCGCGATATAATCCTGGTTAAAGTATTTGCCATCATCGGTCGTCTTGAGCCAGAACTGACCCAGGGCTTCGCGCTGGGAATAGGGCCGTACAATGCCCTCTGTTCCGATGAAACGGGTCAGACGGACACGATCCAGACCTTCAGCATCGAATACAGTTGTCGTGTTTCGAACACCTTCAGCGAGGTCTATCACATAGTTAGAATTCAATGTACTTCCCACACAGTTGTTGATGTCACATACTTGAGGCAAGATCAAAAGCACCAATGGCAGGCTTAGTAGCCAAACCCAGCACACCCTTCCCGACACCCTTGAAGAATCCCTGCAATCCCTCCTTCTCAGCACCCTGGAGCGGATGACGCGCAAGTCCTCCGATACCACTCGCCAAACTATTAGCAAAAGCATTGCCACCAGCAGTGATACCGTACAGTGCATGCTTCGGGCGGTTTCGAGATTTCGACATCCGACGCTGATCTTGGAATTCCTTGTCCAGGGTAGCAGCCGCAAGACCCTTGGACATACTTCCGGTGAACTTGGCCATACTATCGGAGAAACCAAAGACAGATTTCTTGACGAAGCTCGTGGCTCCCTTAGCAATTCCGTAACCCAGTTCCTGGGGTCTGTCCGTCATAACGAGACCCTGGTACGGCTCGTAGAAGATAGCAGCAACACCAGAGCTGACGTTGTTAAACAGACCTACGGGGTTTCCAAGGAAATCTGCGGACCCAAGAACAATATGCACTTGACGAAGGAACTCTTGGGTATAGTGCCTCTGGATATTGCTGGCAAGGACACCAAAAGAAACACGAGCATTCTCCAGCATCAAAGCGTTCAGTCGAACAGGAGCGTCGTTGATGTTACCAATAGACATGGTCATGACATTGACGAAGAACATCAACGGGTTGGATGGCTGCATCGTGTCTTCGACGTTCACACGCTCAGTACGCATAAATGAGATATCCAGTTGCATGGGCTGCAGATGCAGGAGCTCGAAGTACACATCCTGCTCAGCACCTTCGTGCCGCGGTTCCGGAATTCGGAGATCTTCGTCGCAAAGCGCTCCTTCTTGTTCTTCAGACCAGGAAGCACCCGGTACCTTGATGAAATCGAGCAGAGCCAGAACAAAGTCCTCGTCAAGTTCAAGTGTCATTTGCTGTAGGAGCACCGTGGCATACTTGATATACAGCACACCATAAGAGTCATCCTTCACGCGCGTAACCATGGCGTGGAAGATCGGGTGGGCTTCCATCTCCTTTCCAGTCTTGGGAACGACACTTGGATACAGCAGAATGGGAAAGATTCCTCCATAAAGCTGGTTGTCGATCTGAATCCACCTAATCGTAGTGTTCAGCGTCTGGTACACCCTCGACTCCCGGTACTTGATGTCAATCTCACGGAAGGTGAGGTAAAGGAGCTCCTTCAGGTTCTGGTTGACCATTGAAATACCAATACCGCCAAGACGAAGCTGAGCCTTGAAATTGACATCCGAGTTTAACTCCTTGACCTCGAAACCAGCGCTCAAGCTTGCTTGAGAAGACTGTCCCCTCTGTTGCCTGTACATACTCTTTGACTGCTTGAAGTTCGACAAAACAAGCGTCTGCGTCGGGCCGTCGGCAACAATGTTGATATCGATGATCCTCTGGGGTTCACCGTGTTGAGTTGGGGGTATCCTCATGGGGATCAAGTTTCCGATTTCAGCAAGCTTTATGTGCCGTTCTTTGCCATTACTTGTCACAACAAGGGACTTGTTCTTCGTGGCCGGGTAATCCCAAGCATAAGGCATAATGCTTCGAGGCGGCAGGCGATACCGGATCGGCCGCCAACCACTTGTCCGGTCATCCTCGTCATCTTCAACGTTTGGATTCTGCAGAAGTCCCAATTAGCACAAATTATCAAAAACACGGACAGGGACTGAAAACATACAGCCTGGTAGAAGATGAATTCCAAATCACTCTCATTCCGCATAGAGAACGGCCAGTTGCGGGTCTCAATGTTGAAGTGCAAGAAAAGCGTGGCACCCTCCAGGATAATATCAACCTTGATCAATCTTTGGCGCTGGTTCTCCTTGGCCAATTTCACATGCACAGTTCCGACATCCGCGATGTTAAACGGCGACGACCACTGGTTGTTTACACCAGGGAAGCACAGACAGAGCTGCTTCTCCGCAACCTGGCGCAGGAAGTGAAGAGGGAGAAGCTCGCCACTCTGTATAGTCAAGACGTTGGGCGAGCCAGGCTCACGAACCATAATGTCCTCACTCAGCTTGTTTTTCATGATGAAACGAGGTGAAATGGTGACGACCTTGGTCATCTTGTATTTGCCTTCACCTTCAGCGACAGATACACCCGAGTGGAACTCTGAGCGGCCAGCCCGGTCCGGTAACATCACTTCGAAAGTACTTCCGATAGCTTCGAAACTTTGGGGCTTGCACCAGGCGGATTCGCCGATCTTGATCATCGACCGGTTTTTCTGGTCGTCAGTCGGGTAAGAGTACATGTACGGAAGTGTACGGCCACCATGTCTCGCGTCAGCCCTCAGGCCCTGTCCAGCTGCTGACCGTGCCGACTGCATGAACGCCTTGCTCTGGATCTCCATGGGAAGACCAGTCTTGTTCAGGATCAGGTATGGACTGTAAATCGAAACCTTGAAGGCACCTCCGCTATCCGGCACATTGAAGTAGTGAAGTTTCAACATCAGCTGGATACCTCGGTCGTCTTTCAATGGTAGCGTGTGCTCCCTCCGGAAATCCTGGGCATTTCCGTTAATAATTGCGAATTCACTTTGCTTGAAGACAGTGTCCTGGAGGTCAATGCTGAGTAGCAGTAGATGGGAAAGCTCGACAACATGGACTGGGCTAACACCACCCTTGCGTAAAAAGTTCGTCCAGTCTTTCTTGGTGTCCTTGTCATAGATGCGATACTTGAAGTCGTACGGGAGCAAGTTCTGGATCTCGACGGGAGCAAAGATCCTAGCCCGCATGTACGGATAGGTGCTTGTCAAAGAGTCTTTCGAATCGAAGGCGGCGTGCATCTGGAAATAGAACGGAGGAGACTGTTGTCCATTTTCGCTGAGACACTTGATTGTCCGCGTCGGCCGTTTCAAGAGATCCTTCCAGTGCAGCTGCTCATTTGACCAGTCATATCCGAAACCTTGGTCCGGACGAACCACGACGGAATGCATATACGCTGCT